TACTTATATAGCCTATTAACTAATAAAAAAATGCTTTAATTTTTTTAGTTATTTTAATAATAATAGTATTAGTAACTAAGTAAAAAAAGTAAAGGCTTAAAAAAGTGCTTATTAAATTTAATAAGCTAATTTTTATTATTAATTAAAAGCTAGCTAATAAATTAATAGTGCTAGTCCCTTAATTAATATAAGTATTTTTTAAAATTTTAAATACTTTGGCTGCTCCTGCTACCTTATAAAAAGGAATTACTTTAAATATACTTATTATATTATTTTTTAAAATTTTTACTATGTGTTTAACTTTATTAGCCCATGCTTTAATAATTTTACTTGCCCTTATTATTAAAAAGCTAATAATAATATTACTTAAAACCTAGTTTTTATTTTACTTAATAGCCTTAAATTATAATACTTTACTTTATTCTAGCATATAAAACCTTAATTTATTAATAATTAATTATAATATAATATTAAACATGTTAAAAAAATACCTTGTTATTTATAAGACTATATAAGTTTTTTTAAAAGCTTAAATATAAGCTTTACTAAAGTTTTAAAGGTATATTATTATTAATATAGCTTATTAAATAAAAAATTAGGTTTTAAAGGTTTTTATAAATATGCTATATTTAATATTAAAAAGGTTAAAATAAAATTAAATTTTTACTTCTTATTTTAAGTAAATTATTATTTTTTAAATTAAATTACCTTTGCTTGCGCCTAGTTTTTTTATTTTTACTTTTATTATTTTTAAAGCTTTTAATATTTTTATTTTTATTACTTTAATATTATTATATTAGCTAAACTTAAAAAGCTCTTGTATTTTTTTTATTTTTATAGTATATAATTAAACCCTTAATTTATTTTTTTTTATTTTAGTAAATAAGGGCGTCCGCCTTTTTTTATATGGGGGACTTGTTAATATCAGCTATTAATAATACTAATACTACTGTTGGGCACCGCCCTAACACCCTTTTCTTTTATCTAACTTAGCTAGCCTTTAACAACAATTAATAATATTATGAACCCTTTAAATCGTGAACCTGCGACAACTATAAATATTAATTTTTACTACCGCTTTTTTTTAAAGAATTACTATATTAAGAATATAGTTTATAAAGGTGTATATATTTTTATAAAAAGTTTTTAAGCCTTATTTTTTTATTAATAAACTTTTATTATTAACCCTGTCAAGCTAAAAGTAACTAATATTTTTTATTTTTTAATAGTATTTTTTTAGTATAGCTTTAGCTGGCTAAGATTTTTTTTTAAGAAACTAGTTTTAATTTATTAGCTAGTAAAATAAATCTATCTTTACCTTTTTTATATCCGCGTCCCCTTTTTAAGCCTTTTTAGTTTTAATAAAAAGAATTTAAGGGTTTTAATTTTAATTCTTGCCTTTAAGGTGCTTGCGGGTAAGCCTTTAGCCTTTTAAAATAAGATTTTAGCTATTAAACTAGGCTTAAAACTTTATATATATTTTTAAGATTTTATTTATATATATTCTTTAATTCCTGCGTTTTATTAGTTTAATTATTTTTTTAAAAATTTTTAAAGTTCTTTTTTAAAAATCTTTTAAAAGCGGCTTGCTTATTATTAATAATTTTTAAATAATTATTTAATTTTTATTATAAAATTAATTTAAAATCCTTATTTGCTTGTTGGGGGCCTGGATTAAAAGGTTAGTAATTTACTTATTAAAAGCTAGAATTAAAAAGTTATTAATTTACTTATTATAGGCCAGGATTAAAAGGTTATTAAAAATTTAAATTTAAGTTTATATTATAAATTTAAAAACTAGTATTAATATTAATATTAATATTAATAATATTATCCCCTTTTTTATAATTAGTAAGACGGGGGGACGCCTAGGTTTAGTAATTAATTTTATAAAATACTTAGGTTTAGTAATTAACTTTACAGGATACCTAGGTTTAGTAATTAGCTTTACTATTATTTATTTTAAATAATACTATAAGTAGCGGCTAGTAATTAATTAAGTTTATTAGCTTACTAGTTTATAAGCTATTAAAGTGTTTAGTTATTATTTAATAAGCCTAGTAAAAAATATAAAGGTTTAAATAGGCTAAGAAGTAAATAAGCTAGGTTAAGAAGTAATAATTAAAAAAGTAAATAAGCCTGTAAATAGTTTAAAAAATAAAGGGATATTAATAATAAAAAAAAATTAAATATACTAATAATTTTTAAAAATATTTACTAATAGCTAAGTTAAATAGCTAGCTAGTATTATTAATAAGTAGTTATAAAATTATTAAATTATTATTTTTAATTATAGTAGTTTACTTTTACCCTGTTAGTTTTAAACTAAAGGTTAATTTTAAAGTAATAATATTATTAGTTTATATTAAGAAACTCGCGCGCGTTTAGCCTAAAAATTATTTTAATTTTAGTAAAAATAAATTAATAAGTGCAGGATATATAATTTTTTATGCCCTTTATTTATTAGTTTACGTATTTCCTATTTTTTAGCCAAAAAATAATAGGTTTTTTATAGCCTAGTAAAAAACTAACTAGTTAATATCTTATACTAAAAAATAGGTATATTAAATAAGGAATAAAATAATTATATAATATATTATAAAGTTAATAAAAAATACTATTCCTAAGTTAAATTTTCTTATAAATTACTATTTAATTTACTAAAAAACCTTTAGCTAGTGGGCTAATATTATTAAAGCATTATTTTATTTAATTTAAGCCCTTTTTATATTATTTAGGATTGTTAATTATTATTTAAAAATAAAAAAATAAGTTTGCGTAAAGGTGTTTATTAAAAACTAAAAAAAATAAGTTATAAAAAAAATTAAAAAAGTAAATTTATTAAATTTATTAGTTGGTTAAAAAAAAAAGGTTTAAAAAAAAACCATTAGCCAACCACTAAATAAAGATAACTTTTAAAAGTTTAGGAGTTTAATTAGTTGTTTAGTTTAATATAAAATAACTAAATAAACAAGTAAATAATAAAGTAAATTAAATAGGGGATAAGGGTAAAAAATAAAAAAAAAAGATTTATAGGCTTTTTAAATACTAAAAATTTTTTAGTTAGTATTTACTAGCCTAACCTTAATTAGCGTGCCTAATTAAGTTATTAAGTTATTTACTTAACTAGTTATGTCCAAAGACATGCTACTATTATTAAAGGTAAATAATTTAAAAGTGCATTTATAATATTATTAATAATTCTTTAAAGGCTAACTATGTTCTTAATAAAAAAAAGGGGTCAGGGCGGTGCCCGACGGCAGTATTGGATGCCGTTGGGGTGGCCGACCTTGACAAAAATAGCACCTGTATAAAATTAAGCCTAATAAAGTATAACACCGTGTTTTAGCTAGTAAAAACCGCCCTATTAAAAACACCCTGTAGCTAATAGGAACTTGCGGCGGCTAATGTTAACTTCTTACTACCAAGGCCTTTACCCCTAAGATCTCTTCGCAGTCACTAAGTTGCCAGAACGCGCTTTGAATAGCCTTAATTTCCGTTTTAGGATCAAGCTAGCGGGCGTACGAGGCCTCCGCAACATCTACTGCAGCTCTTGCTATGACCGCCACAATCTTCTCTCTGAATAGCTTTAATTTGGCCGTGTTAGGAAGGAACTGGCAGGCGTACGAGGCCTCTGCGGGCGGGCGTTCAGTCGGGGGATAGCAGTGGAGAACAGGTTTACTAATAAATTACTAGGCAAGTTGTGTGACGAGTCCAGAACGGCGCTATTTTAGGGTGTTATCTTATTCAGTCGCTTAATATAGGGTGCTATCCGATTCATTTAGCGTCAAGCATAGAGCTGTTGATCCTGTCCCACTGCAGTGGGCCTACTATGCAGAGCTTAGGGGCTCTCTCATCAATAGTCAACAGGTATCTGTTCTAGACTCGACGAGCGAGACCATGAAGGGTCCTTTGCGTCCAGGCTGGCCTGCTACATTGAGTCGGGATGTTTATTGGCCCGAGGCCCGCGTAGAGTAAAGACATGAATATATATCCGGCCGGGCACTACTTCGCCGCTCCGTATAAGACCTGGCTTCTTACAGGGCAATGGATTCTATGTCTATATGGTCATCTTTCAAGAAGTAGATCGATGCATAAGCATCAAACATCGGAAGATGCCTGTATAGTTTTGTCTACCGGGATACACAGTACGTCGGGGATTCGGGTGACGACTCGGGACCCTAGCAGTTAAGCAAGGGACATTGCTTGTTGTTTGCGAAACGAGAAATTCCTCACAGACCGGACTTGCCACCTTTGCACTGAAAAATGTGAGTCCGCGTTGTAGAGATAAGAGCCAAATAGACAGATGGGCTAATGGTGGGTATGGTCGAGACGACGATGTTAGGGTTAGAGACTCGTACTCCTAGTATCGGGGTGATTGTAGTGCACCTCGGTACCTAAGACCTGCCTCTAGAATCCCAGCCTTCCCTGCATACACTCACCATCCAATCCCCTTCCTCTATTATCAATTTGCCGTATCTTCCTCGCACAGAGTCACAAGGATCAAGCCGCCCGGTGCAACGCCAAGCCGATTCCTTTGAAAGCTTGGACCCAACAGCGTCTCTCTGATTGGTTGTCTCCCCGCATCACGCTGCCAGGCAACAAATCAAGAGAATTGAATCCCCACGTGCCAAGAGCAGGCCCCTCATGACCGGCGATCGAACAGCACGTTGCTGGTCATCCGGCCGTTATAGGCCCTGGCGTCGTGGAGCACCTGATAAGCTCGATGCCAGCCGGAGAACACGCTACCAGGCACGAGGGCAGTTTCGAAGCTGTCTTTCGTGCAAGATGCCCTTTGCAATAAGAGCCGTCTGGTAGGTGGATAGTGGACTAACCGAGAGATAGCTCCACGCTTGTCTTCTAGATCCATGCTGTTGGGGTAGAAGCTGGAGCTTGGTATAAGTTTGGACTGACAGTCGTGCATCCAGCTTTATTGGGGTTTGTCGTCTGTGAGATTGCCAGATTTGAACCGGTCGAGCCGAGTGCAGTACAGCAGCAACATGTCTTTCTCTTCCCTCAGTTCCCTCAAGGGCCTCCTCTCCCCCACTACAGAATCGGAGTACGACATCGAGAAAGACCTCTCTAACTCAAGCGACGGAGAGAGCACAAATGGCGAAGTCAAGCCTCGCGATGTTAAGAACAGCAAGTTCATCGATGGACGAGTGATATCCGACGCCATAATCGGCCTCTCGGACGGCATGACAGTACCGTTCGCCCTCACGGCAGGCCTCTCCGCACTGGGGGACACAAAAGTCGTCGTCTTTGGCGGATTTGCGGAGCTCATTGCCGGTGCTATTTCAATGGGTCTGGGCGGGTATCTCGGTGCGAAGAGCGAAGAGTACATCTTCCCGGATGACTTCCTGTATACCCTCGTATACTGACTCAAACCAGAGAATCCTACCACGCAACCCTTAAAGAAACCACCAAAGCAGCCCTTACAGCACCCTCCTCCGTCTCAGAAACAATCCATGAAATCTTCACCCCCTACGAGCTTCCCGACCACCTCGTCTCCCAACTCACAACGCACCTGACGTCCTCACCGCACCTTCCCTCCTTCCTCATGACCTTCCAGCACACCCTTCCCGAACCATCAGGGTCCAGAGCCTTTACCTGCGCCCTTACGATCGCCCTCTCATACTTCATCGGCGGGTTTGTTCCGCTCCTCCCATACTTCTTCGTTGGACCAGACCAGGCGTTTCTGGCGCTGAAGTGGAGTATTGCGACCATGGCCATTGCGCTGTTTCTCTTTGGGTATGGGAAGACTTGCTTCGTGAGCGGCTGGGGAGGAAGCAAAAACATAAAGAAGGGAGCATGGGGCGGACTGCAGATGGTTATAGTGGGCGGTGTTGCGGCGGGTTGTGCAATGGGGCTGGTTAAAGGGTTTCAGGCGCTGGGCGCTGGTTCTGCATGAGTTATGGACATTGTTAACATGACCCGAGATGAAGAGATGTGAAGTGTGTCAATCTGCATTTATGATCTATGGATCTGGCGTTGGGGTTCAAAAGCTAAGATGTATATATAGATGGATGGAGTTAGGATAATCATCAATAAATGACAAGGTTGTCTGCTACCACCACACGCCCTAAAATTTCTCTGATCCCGAATTTCATTTGCAGGAGTATAGAAGCCAGAAAGGCTCGGGCTTCTTATGTAAAATCGGTGTTTTCCTATCCTAAGGAGGTGGGGGCGTGCGGCTGTCTTCAACAACAGGTGTTCTGAAGTACCTGTTGAAACCGCCTCCTCACTGTACATGAAGCCATTTCCAGGTTAGGGCTGGGTTTTCTATTGACGATAAAAGTATATAGTTCGGCTGCTCTCTATCTCCTCCGCAGGAAGCTTCTATGTAGTATATTTCCGCTGCATAAGAGGGACTAATACTGTCCTGGTAGGTACGTCAGGTATGTCGGCCACGTACCATCCCCTGAGACCAACTCGAAAGGACACTCGTTAAGACTCCAGACAACTCAACAGCTATGCATACCAACGGCAAGGCAGAGATTGGCATCGACATCAGTAAGCACGATGTATCGTACACTCTGCCCCCTTGCTAGTACAAACCCATACATACCCGAAATAGGAAGGGTGATAGAACGACCTCCCTAGGCAGCCGAGTTCCATATACCCATCCCCTTTGCGGAGTGCCGTTGTACTTGAATACGGTCATGACCCGCCCATAGACTAATATTGTCACAGCTAAGGGTTGGAGGCTGAGTTGCGGAGTACTCCATATATGTAGTTCGTAAGATAGACCGCGAAGTTGAACCCACCTGTAAAATCGCATGCTTATACTCCGTAGTAACAGTACCTTTGTCAAGTGGATTATGAATAAGCCACGAATTAATAACCTGCTGCCTAGCCAGGGGCGAAAAGAGGAGCTCCAAACGGCCCGGACGACATGAAACAATAGTTGGATAGTTTAATTAAACCGTCAAGATCCACAGTTGTGCTGCGCGGCTGTGCCTGATCTGATGATGATTACGAATACGGGCGGTGCCAGATATCATGGAAGGGTGAACGACCACGCAAGGGGCTGGACATGTCCTGCACTGCCACAGACACAGACACCGCACCGGTTTATATCCAGACGTGGGGAGTAGCATGTAAGGCGGCGTACCTTACACACGGTAATTATGAGCATTAACGTATGTTGTCTCTCCTGAGAATTCGCGACCCTGGTCCTAAGTACTCCTGCCAGGGACAGGTTCCAACTTCCCGGCGCATAGACTACATACCTGGCAGACTGACTGAGTACGTTTGGTTTAGGGGCCAAGAACAGCGAGGTCAGCTTCCGACTTTCGAGGCGCGTTTACGGTAGAGAATAGTTGCGGCGCGGAGTGTAGGTTTGCAATGCTGGCTAAAGTTGCTAGTTCGTCTGCATCGGCGTATAACGAACGAGACCGATTCAACTGGGAATCCATGATATCTACTGTAGCACGAGTTTGGTATTTCGACGGACCGGAGGGTTGTTCCCTGTTTCTTTTGCCCTGGGGGGCGCCGCGTGAGACGGACTTATCGATGATCGGACAATATTCTCCCACGTGCATGTATAACATAGCGGCGGTCGGGCTCAGCGAAGTGACGAGTATATAGACCAAGATTCATGACAGGCCAGCGACAGAATCAACATGAGTCAGGAACCCACGAGGCTTAGCAAGACAATGCAGACGAGACTTTTTGGACCGTGGACAGAAAGCCAGAGCGCAGGAATGGGAATGTTTGCGCGGCATCATCATAACAAAAGCTGATGGAAGATCGTGTAGCGTATAATTTATGCGCTGTATAATGGCCAATGGAGCAATGATCAGTCCATAGAGTATGCCAGGGTGGTTCGAAGTGGCCGAGGTCCTCGACCGACACTTCCACCAGTAGCGGGGATGACCTCATTGGTACTCCGTAGTCTCCAGTACTATCATCTAGAGGGCTGAACAAAGGGATTCAGCTGATGCCGGTTTGATGCAGCTATCCACTTCGAGGCGAGAAAGCAGCGCCGGAGGCATCGGTCTGGTTGCGATTCAGTTGAGTCCGCAACCAAGATGCCAACAGGGCTGAGATCCACTTTGTATCATCATGTCGTTCGCCCGTTTGTCGACTTATGATGATGTATGGGATGAAATCACCCGCCCGTGATCGAGCGCCGAGACTTTATACTAGATACGTTAGGTATCGATGATGAATCATGCTGGTTGATGCTTGTCCAGCTGCGCCGAACCTTCAATTGAAGAGTGGTGATGATGATGATGCGAGCCTCATCGCATCGCTGAGCCCTGGCGGGGCTGTGCTTGATATACCTAACGGCACGTTTATAGCGCAGTAAAGAACGGAGAAGCCTAATACAATGTCTTCCAAGACTGCATGCTCTTACCATTTTGGTGGTATGCATCGATGACTTCATGCCCAAGTCTCACTGCATAGTCTGAGTTTGCGCCAACGACGTCCGAACATGCTGAGCTGATGAACGAATACGAGGGCTGAATGGGGACAATGCACAGTCTTACCCTCCGAAATACAGAGTAAAGAAGCAACCAGTATCTAGTTCCGGACGCAAGGAGGCTTTGAAGCCTCGCTTTCGTCCTTCTTTAATCAATTCTGAAACTGTAGTAAATTGCGCCGTTGACTGACCCGTTTATCCGCAGCGCGTCTTTGTGCGCATGGCCAGCGGCCGCATGGTTCTGACCATGGTCATCATCAGCCCAAATAATGGCTCCAGAGTCTAGATAATACCGGCACTGGTAGCAAGCGACTCGGTCTGGAAGCGCATAAGATCTTGACCAGCGGTTACCGTGGTCCATCGTGGGTATCGTGCTGTAATTATGTCATACCGTCATGTATCAATAACCCGTATTCCCGTATTATGCCAGACTTCTTCTTTCGGTGGTCTCGTGCGCCCAATCGATAGATCAAAGCCCTGCTGCAGTTCAGCAGCAGCGCATATTCCATTTTAGTGCTGACTGCTGACTGTCACCGAGTTATCCATGTGAAATATGGGGTTGGCAAGCTGAACATCTGCCATTCTGCCATCTCGGAGTTTTACGACGGGAGCTTGGGCCGTGTCGATATCCGATTTCCGAGCTGAGGCCGAGGGTCTTTCGATGTTGATGTCAGACCATCCTTATCACCAAAAAGAGCCTTCCGCGGTTACCAGTCACCAGAGTAGGCCTTGGATGCTACAGTCGCCTACTTTGTGACCCCGTGCCCGGTCGGATTCGATATGAGATAAAGGCAGCTTGAAAAGAAGATGGCTGGGAGACACTCCGTGTTGACGCTCAACGTCTCATCGACCGATAGCTTGTTGAATCGTCCAATATTCAGGAGCTGGTGGTGAGCTAGACTGCTAGTTTAATGAAGAGAGTCAGGGGACCGTGCTCTTGGCGGCAGGGACGCCTTCGGTTGGCTAGATGGGGCCATGCCCAGCAGATCTGTGGCTTTCAGTTGGCTACCGATGAGCCGATGGATCTCCCGCCCTTTTGATTTGATTTTTCCCTGCCGATTCTGTAAGAGGCTGCGTCCATATCACATTTCATACTCGGCGCCTGTGGCTGCAGTCACTCCGGGGGCTGGCGGTTAGCGGGGTGCTTTGAAGCGATAAGCACAGCTCAGCGTCTCCCTGTACTTTTAACTCCGGCGCTGCAGCGAACTCACCTTAGAATTAGAGTTCCCACGAGTTGCAGAGTAGAGTTAGCAAACCTTGAAAGCCTGAGAGTGGACTCGATAGTTTGGTCGATGAAGATTTTGTCCTCCACTACTGGCCCACTTGATGGCTTTCAGGCACACAGTACGGCAACTCGGATTGTGTCTCTCCGATACCGAAGCTAGCCCCGACAGGGCTTAGTGTCACCTCGTGATTAGCTCATGCCGCATGGTTTTTGTGTAAAATACGCTGCAGTAATACCAATACAGCGTACTGACAGCCGGCACTTCCGCTCTGCCCAGACTCAAAGACTAGGGCGTTGGCGCTTCCTCATCATCTTCTGCTCGTCGACCTTTTCCTCTTCTTCTTCCTATCGGTGCTTCTTCTCAACCTCACCTCGTCCTCAGTCGCTCGCCTCAAGGTCTCAAACTCCGGCTCCGTGGCCATCTGCCTCCCTCGCGACCTCCTCGTTCCAGGTTTCTCTTTCAACTGCTCGCCCTTGCTCTCTGCCTTGCGTCAGTGAAACCCCCTGCAACGTGACGGCCCAGAGACAACCTCGTTTGGCCGCTGGAGCCCGGAGCTTGCGCTTCGTTTCGTCTTCGATCCGATCTTAATTTCCCCGCCTCGGTCGACTCAGTCAGCAGTCCGCTCGTTGCCTTGCGGCGTCGTTATTTCGAGACCCCCTTTCCGCTGCTTCCGCGTCCGACTTATTACTGGCCTTCGTCCAACTTCAGCACTGGAGGACAAAGAAAGCAAACGACATACGACTTCGGAGGATTACAATTGAGTCCTGCCCGCGAGGCTCGCCGCAACCATGAATCAAACACTTCCCACGTGGAAGGACCGCACGCAAAACCAGTTCGGAAAGCTTCAGATCCAGGTCCCATGGCGGTCTATCCAACTCCTCGTCCCGCATCGCATGCGGCGGAAGCTGAGGTCCAAGTTGCGCAGTAGAGCGTCTCCTACCTCATCAATAGCCTCTTTACAAACTTCGTTATCCCCCGCAGACACATTACGATCGCTGCAAAGCCACCGATGGACGGTCTACGACTTCCAATATCTGCTTTTGCTGATTGTTGGCATTTTCTCCTTGACCGTCATCGAATCGCCCGGGCCTCTGGGCAAAACGGCCATCTTCTCTATGCTCCTGTTCTCCCTCCTGATCCCTATGACCCGCCAGTTCTTCCTCCCGTTTTTGCCGATTGCCGGATGGCTTCTGTTTTTCTACGCCTGCCAGTGAGTGATACCAGATGACAATACCACTGACTCGGTTACTCACGGATCACAGATTCATTCCAAGCGATTGGCGCCCTGCTATTTGGGTCCGTGTATTACCTGCACTGGAGAATATCCTTTACGGCGCAAACATCAGCAATATTCTATCTGCTCACCAGAACGTTGTGCTTGACGTGCTGGCGTGGCTGCCTTACGGAATCTGCCACTATGGTGCTCCGTTTGTCTGCTCGTTAATCATGTTCATCTTTGGCCCACCCGGCACCGTTCCTCTCTTCGCGCGCACTTTTGGCTACATCAGCATGGCTGCAGTCACCATTCAGCTGTTCTTCCCCTGCTCTCCACCTTGGTACGAGAACCGGTATGGCCTAGCCCCAGCGGACTACTCAATTCAAGGTGACCCTGCAGGGCTTGCTCGCATTGACAAGCTGTTCGGTATCGACCTCTACACGTCCGGCTTTCATCAGTCCCCGGTCGTGTTTGGCGCGTTCCCATCGCTGCATGCTGCAGATTCAACGCTGGCCGCACTGTTCATGAGCCATGTTTTCCCCCGCATGAAGCCTGTCTTCGTCACCTACACTCTATGGATGTGGTGGGCAACCATGTACCTCTCGCATCACTATGCGGTTGATCTGGTTGCGGGTGGTCTATTAGCTGCCATTTCTTTCTACTTCGCTAAAACTCGATTCCTCCCTCGTGTCCAACTTGACAAGACTTTCCGCTGGGACTACGACTACGTTGAGTTTGGTGAATCCACACTGGAGTATGGATACGGCCTGGCAGCCTACGATGGAGACTTCAACCTCGACAGCGATGAATGGACCGTTGGTTCTTCATCCTCCGTCTCCTCGGGCTCGTTGAGTCCTGTTGACGACCACTACTCATGGGAAACCGAGGCACTGACCTCCCCTCACACCGACATTGAGGCCGGCAGGCATGCTTTCAGCCCTTGAGCACCCCGCAAACCACGTCGATATCTGCATATAGCGACCTCCCTTCTTCTTCACTGCATCTATTTACGAGACGGCGTTAGAACATTTCACGATATTCTGGCTTCATTGCATCGAGCACATTTCGACACATATTTTTAATACCCTTTGCTCCGGCATCCCGGATCCAGCGGTTTGACCTTAATGTCCTCGGTCTGAACTCGCTCGGGGTACCGTTTCGCTTTTCGCTGCGCTTCACTGTACATTGCTTGACATCGCGAATCCGGTTGGGCTCGAACGTGGCATGAGTTATCGCTCACCGCTACACTCGTTGCTCCGTCCTAATATTAATGGACTCATTGGGGCTAAAATCGCTTTTGTGTCTTAGCCTCGTGGAAGACCTTCCGATACCCCCCGTCGGTAACATTCGCTTGTCTAGTGTCCACTTTGGACACACTTCGATTCTCCCTTCTGTCGTTCGCTATTACCTTTGACCTGGTCGAATCCATCCTTATTCTTCGCTTCGACTATACTATATACATATTTTTACCATTCGTGTCGATCGCTCACACTCTTGGCGCCTGGGTCTGGAAGCATTTATATGGGGAAAAATTACGGAACGGGGCGCCTCTTCTCTTCTTGCACTTCACTCGCTGTGCATAGATGGTTTATATTTTTTTTGCTTTGCAATGCATCACGAACTCTGCATTGGCATATAGAAAGAGGGGAAGGATGGTCCTTCTTCTTGTTCGCTCGCATGGTTTATCCATTCGCTCGTCGTGGACCGCATCCACAGATTACTCGGGGGCTATACACATGGCTACTGCGTTGCTTTCTGACATTCACCGGACGCTCGAGGCTAGGAGCGAATCCGACACCGAGAGCTTATTGGAGGATGCTCCCCCGTCCCGATTCGGCTCGGCTGTCGACCTCCCTGGACCTTTCGTGACGGTGATTTGACTTGCTTGCTATGGGTTGACGCTCTCACACCTACCTACCCTATCCTTACCCACCTTTGGCACGTTCCGCTCCCGATTTATCCATACTCGCCCTACCTCATCCGCTCGTCCCCCCTTGGATAGTGTGTGTTGCGGGAGAGTTATCCATAGCAGCAGTATTATTAGCTATAATCCGGTAGTGTTATGATTTATGAAGGCAACTTGTATACTATTGACCACTTTGTCCATATTTGCTTGTAATAGAATTGACATCGCGACGCCTCGACATTCGATACTGCATAGGGCAACTAATAGTCCATGAACGGTATGCCTCTTTGAATCCACTAATGAACCTTGGAGAATACTCCGTGCCGCAGCCCGTAGTCTTATGGAAAGTAAAAAACACCAGAAGAAGGCAAGCAGATAAGGTCTAATAGATGACATCTAATGCGTGTTCTGGACTGTATACATAACCACAACAAAGCCAAGGTAGGGTAATTAATGCTTTTTTAAGTGCGAACTCTTTATGTATATGTCTACTCTTCATAAACCTTTACCTTCTCCGCATACTCCTTGATCCTGGAGACAAACGTATCCTCAATCTCATCACCGTGTCCACCAGCAACACGGAGGATGAGGTCGTTAAGCGAGGCGCGGCCGAGGATATCGACGTGGTCGCCTTGGAAACATGTTAGCAAAGGACGTCATCATGATCGGAAGTGCGTTGGAATTAGCGTACCTGTGTTTGGGCCACCGCGTGGCGAGAACCGATCCGGCTCATGTGGCATTTCGTAAACCTTAATCTTAATCCCAGATGGGTTATACCGCTTGATATGCCAGCCCTTGGCGCACATGTAGCCTGTGCTAAGGAGGTTGACGGTGCCGTCGCCCTCGCCGAGGACAACGCCGTGGTCTGTGCCGTCGGCTGTTGTTACGGTTGTGTCGATGCTAACATTCAGGTTGACGAGGGGGTCTCGTTCCTCTTGGTAGAAGTAGCTGCGCTCAGTTGGCTTGCCGACGCCGTAGAAGCAATAGAGCTTCATGTCTGGTGCGCGCGGGAGGCGAGCCTCGAGCGGGTTGAGCCAAGTGCGCGGATCGTTCTCGTTGGCTTCCACTTCGGCGGTTGTGTGCGCGACACCGTGCGAGTAGCTTCCGAGTACTTGATCGCGGTACCAGGGCTCGCTTTGGTTGAGGAGGTATTCGAGGCTTTCTGGTACAGTAAGGTTCTTCTGCGTGAGGGTGGAGTTGCTCTCGCGGAAGTTGAGGAGGTTGCCATATGTCATGTGCTGGCCGGGTAGGTCATCGGGGGCCCAGGTGGAATTGCCCCAGACTGCTTCGCCGCCCTTGGGGAGCATGCTGGAGATGCCGGGCATCGCGCGGAAGATCTCAGCGCGCTCTTCGCGGGAGAGGAACTTCTCCAGACCGTAGACCGCGAACGCATTGAGCAGTGCTGTGTCCCGTGTCTCGCCGGATAGGACGGCCGTGAGGCCTTTGACCGCGCCGAGCATGCAACCACTGATGTTGATCCAGTTGGCAATGTGTCGGTTCACCCAGTCTGAACCGCCGTTCCCATGCGCTGGGTTCTCAACCCATTTGAAGAAGAATAGCACCACCTGTGACCCCATACTATGAGAAGCGAGAGTTACCTTCTCACCGCGCACGTGCACCGCCGTCTCAATGTACGACTTCAACCGGCTAAAGTACTGGTCCCGAGCCTCCAAGTTCAAGTACGATAGTCGCCAGTCATAGGCAGCTGAAAAAGCGTTCGTCGGGTCATACCCGATACTCGCGAGGTTCTCCAGGATCTTGTTCCATATCCAGTACCCCGTGATGAAGAAATCCGTAGCGTCGAAACCCTGCGCCGCACGCAGCTTGATTCCCGGCGGATCCAACCCGGTCTCTTTATCCAGCATGATATGGTTCTTCCATTCTGCCTTGTCCATCACAAGTGCCCGCATCATACTCCAACTCCCCCAGAGTCTCCGCCGGAAGTACATCAGTGACGTAGGGCTAGTACCCCAGCTCTCGAGCCCCGTCGAGATAACACCGGGGATCATTATGATTGGGTGCTTCGCTTCGACGCCCTGCGATCGGAGATTTAAACCGACTGAAAATGCATCGTAGCTGACCGTATCGCGTTCATGTTGCTGCAGGCAATCAAAGTCAGCACCACTTGGCTAAGATCTCAAAGAAAGCAACATACCGAAAACTCCCGCGCATCCCGCATGATGCTCTGGGGAATGACATCCATCAACGAGTCTATATTCAAGTCCATCAAAGACTCCAGACTAATGACGTCCTGCTGCTGGGCGAAGAAGACCGCGCAGAAGATCCCGAAGACTCCGCCCAGCAAGAAGATGAGGCCATTGCGGCGCTTGCTCTTGGGTTTCGTCATGAACGATTGCTTCCTCTCATTCTTGGGCTTTATCGCTGTCGGTCGGAGGTGCTTTTCAGGTGACGAGTCCGCGGGGGCTGTGGACTGGACATCGTCGTTGTTGTTGTCGGCATTGGGCTGACGACGGCGGAGCATAGAGACGTGCAGCGATCGCCAGCGGATCAGCTGCGCTTGGTATTCGAGGACGTAAACAAGACGGCGGGGAAGCAAATTGATGTCACACAAGATGAATTGTATTCCGGAGACAGAAATTGAAGAAAGACGAGCAGGATGAGGGCTGTGGGTAATGGATCGATGAAATCAAGGCCATGGACCGATAAGCTCACAATCACATGCGCCCTGTTTTTTATCCCTCTCCCAGGCCCCGACCTCACTCCGCAAGCAACATACTACAACAGACCTTCCACTCGCCCTCCTCCTACCCCTTTTCCTCCTCTGGTTTCCTCTCCTAGACAACACAATGGCCTCCTCGACACCCCCAGCCTCCGAGAACCCCACCTCCACTCTCCGCTACATCCGCTACGACTCCGCCCACGAGGACGCCTACGTCGCCGCCATGCGCCAATTGATCTCCAAAGACCTCTCGGAGCCCTATAGCATCTACGTCTACCGCTATTTCCTCTACCAATGGGGCGACCTCTGCTTCCTAGCAATGGACACCGACCCGACAACTGGCGAGGAACAGATGGTCGGCGTCGTCGTTTCAAAGCTCGAGCCGCACAGACACGGCCCGATGCGCGGGTACATTGCCATGCTGGCTGTGCAGGAGGAGTATCGCGGGAAGGGGATTGCGACAAAATTAGTGAGGATGGCCATTGATGCAATGGAGAAGGGGGGTGCGGATGAGGTGTGTATCTTTTCGCCTTGTTCGCTTGTAATTATGGTATGTTGTGGGTGGATGCTAATGGACGAACCTGATAGATCGCCCTCGAGACCGAAATAACAAATACCGGCGCAATGAAGCTTTACGAGCGGCTTGGATTCTTACGCAGTAAGCGGCTGCATCGGTATTATTTGAACGGAAACTCGGCGTATCGGCTGGTGCTGTATCTGAAGGAGGGCGTCGGGTTGATGAGAACGTCATTTGACCCATATGCCCCTCCGCCGGATCATGCCCATGACCATCTTCCCCCTGCTCCTGTTCCGCCAGCAGCACCGCTGCTCGGTGAGAATGGGGCGTGATGGTCGGGTGTATACTGCTATGACTTCATGATAATGACTGCATCGGCTTGGGATAGAAGAGATAAATTTCGCGATTTATCTATTTATGTTTATGACTTGGTTTAGATGCATATCCACGATTAGAGTTCTGAACGAGAAACATAGGTACATGTCTAATCAGACAAGGCTGCGTTAGTCTCTCTCACTCATCCCCTCACGATCCCACCTTCCACCACCCCCTCTTCGTCTCCTCGCCATCCATTTTCTGTCCTTGACTCTTTACCCTCTTTGATTTACTTTGCCGGCATGACTACCGTCAACTGGAAAACCAACTTAAGGCGACGACAATGCTAGATCGAACTCACGAGGACTACACAGTTGGCTGGATCTGTCCGTTGGAAATCGAGCAGATCCCCGCCGTGCGAATACTAGACGAGATTCACCCTTGTCTCGGGCAGAGTTCGACAGACTACAACACATATATCCTCGGCAGCATTGCGGGATACGATATCGTGATTGCGGGCCTGCATCTACAGGGGAACAATCCAGCAGCATCGGTCGTCATGCAGATGCGAAACACGTTTCCCAATATCCGCTCCTTGCTTCTCGTTGGTATTGGTGGTGGAGTGACCGTTGAGACGGATGGCGGAAGAATCCGCTTGGGCGACGTCGTCATTAGCAAACCAACGGGCGAGAACCCTGGCGTTGTCAAGTATGATCGAGGCCAGGCTGAGGCTGGGAGATTTTTTCGCACCGGTGCACTTCCTCCGCCTCCCACCGTACTTCTCAATGCTGTGGGAGATCTGGCGGTACACCGCGTCTTGTCGGGAACTGGGACTGACCGAATAGCAAGGTCGCTTTCGCGCGAACAATGGCGACAGTGACCCTGTGCTGCGGAGGTTTCAGTTTCCGGGCCGCGTGAGCGATAACCTTTATCCAAGCGACTACATCCATCGGCAAGCAGGTGTCTCTTGCAGCTGGGCTAGGTGTGATCCGACAAAGTGTATCGAATATGACGAGGCGAAGGATGACCGCGTCAGGGTCCATCGAGGCGTAATCGCATCCGGCGAGCTGGTTGTTGAAGATGCCATCGCAAGGAACCACTTAGCAGCGCAATGCGGTGTTTTGTGTTTTGAGAGAGAAGCAGCCGGTGCACTGGCCGATATTCCCTGCTTGGTCATCCGGGGTATCTCAGATTATTGCGACTCCCACAAGAATGACGTCTGGCATGGATATGCTGCAGCGACAGCAGCGGCATACGCCCGAGAGCTCTTTTTGCAGATGCCCATCTATGACTCGAAGAATCAATTATTTGACATTGATACAAAAGAAGGGATCAGGCTGCTCCAACAGATATTCGCCTCGGCCCTCAGGCCCTAATGGAGTTGAAATGCTCAAAACTACTCCAGTGGCTGGATTTTGTTTCTATTGACAACGAATACCATGCAGCCTTGTCCTCACGCCTCCCGGGTACATGGTGCTAGATATGCCAGGTTCCCCAATTCCAGCAGTGGCTAGCGATGCCCAAGCCTGGGACCTCGAAGATTATGTGGATTTGCGGCGGCGCCGGTCATGGCAAGACAACACTGACTGGTAGTATTGTCGAACGTTTGGCTTCGGAGATCGAAGCTCCTCCAGTTGTTCATTTCTTCTGCACGGGCGAGGACGAAAGCAAACGAGATCCCAATTCAATAGCCCGCTCATGGGTTGGGCAGTTGGTCAACAAGCTCCGCAGCCGTAGCAATATGTCTACCTATTTGTGAAGGGAATGAATTGCGCAATGCCACGACGGCGGAGATATGGGAGATCCTTCGCCGCGTATGTCAAGGCATCCCGAACTGTGTCCTTGTCCTAGATGGGTTCGATGAGTGTGGCCCTCCAGAACGGCCATGGTTTCAAGTGAAGAAAGAATTTCTTACGGAATTCTGGAAGGTGGCAGCTGCATCGTCAATTAAGATACTGATCTCCAGCAGGAGTGATGCCGACATATATTCACACATAAACTCAACTGCCCATGGGACAATTAGCTTTAGTGGATACAACATCAAGCCGAATGACACAAGCGAGGATATCAAAGCCTACTCCACAAGTATCGTTCTCAGCGGACTCAAAGTTAACAAGGATCAAGCATTTCTCAATGAGATCTCTGAAGACGCAGCTGAAAAATGCAGCGGTATGTTTCTGTGCTCCGTCTCCTAAGTCGACATCTCAGTCCTGGGGAGACCCGAAATCAAGTCCGGGCTACTGTGTCTAGGATGCCTAAAGGACTAGAGCAAACATATAGATGGGAAATCCAGTTAATCTTGAGTCTCGAGCCCGAGGAAAAGGAACGCGCGATTGCCATTCTACGCTGGACGAGACGCCCTCTGACTATTCGTAAGCTGGCAGAGGCTCTGGCTACTGAAGACAATCTAGACGGCTGCTACCCGTATGATGACATACCTGAAGTGCTAGATGAGTACTATGTCAATGACCAGATCCGTAAGTACTGCCAGTCGCTGGTCTATGTTCGAGGGGAATCATTGGAGACATCCATGGCAGCTCAAACTATCCACTTCATCCATTCATGGGTGAAGGATTTCCTTAGGCAGGACCCAACGGGCTCCCTGATTAAGGCAATATCGTTTCCTCGTGAAATGACCGAACATGGGACCCTGGCTAGAGTATGTTGATCATATCTCTGTTACAACGATATAACACCACCCGGTTCAAGCCGGGACGCCGGAAGAAGATAAATGTCTTTCCTTTCTTGAGATATGCTGCATGGGAGTGGTCTTCTCACCTGGTCCGCAGCGGGAGCTGTCTTGCTGATTTGGAAATCCTGGTCCACAAGCTGTTCGATCCTGCATCATTCCGCTGGGTGATATTCTGGGCTGTCGTCCAGGAGTGGACAGGGAGTGTCCTTTCCATTATCGCGGTAGAGCCACTTGACATCCCGAGTCCCCTCTATACCGCTTCGCACCTGGGCCTCTTTAGTACAGTATTGTGGCTCCTATCATCCGGCGTCAATATCAACGAATCCCATACGGTGTATGGATCGGCAGCCGCTGCGCGCAGTTATTGGGATATAGTGCACCTTCTGATTGAAAAAGGTGCTGATGTGAACTTGCTCGGTGGTGAACTCGGTTTTCCCATCGTTATAGCCGGAAACTTATACTCGCCGGGCTCTTCGGAGCATATAACAAAATTACTCCTCCAAGCCGGTGCCGATGTTGCATGCCACGATCAAGACGGCAAAACTGCGCTGCACTACTTTGCTATCAATGGATCAGAGGAGACAATTTTTGCTCTACTTGAGAATGGTGCAGACATCGAAAGCCTATATCAAAGTGGAACAACCGCACTCTTCTTCGCTGCAGCCTGCGGACATACAAAAGTTGTTGAACTACTGATCGAGAAAGGAGCTAGCGTCGCAACCGCTAATATCAACGGTCAGACGCCACTACATGTTACCACTGCGCGTGGATACCATACTATCATGGAGCTGCTTCTGCAGCACGAAGCCGATGTAGATGTTGTCGCAAAAACTGGAGTGACACCCCTTTGGCTGGCCGTCACCGGAGATGATATTGATGCGCTAACCCTTCTTCTCCGGCATGGGGCGATATGAACAATACCTACGAGCCGACGCTACTCTCCGCCATCAAGCGGAGCTCTGAACAGACGATCCGGATCCTTCTCGAGCACTCGGCTACATGCAACACTCACGATGCCCTGATATCTGGTATCCGCAGAGGAAGCCCGGATATCATGAAGCTGCTTCTCGAGAGCAGCGATGGCTTCGAGGCAGATATCTCAACCCTGCTCTTCGCAATCAAGCAAGGAAACGCGGACATTGTTCAGTTGCTTCTTGAGCACAGGAATGAGCAGGGCGTCGGCCGGGAAATCTTTCTCGACGCACTGCTTTACGGTGCACGGCTGCGACGTTTGAATATAGTCAGATTGCTGCTTGGCCAACCCGACGGCGCCTATATTGAACCATCAATCCATGCGGAGTATGCAGCTCGCACGGCATCCCGGGAGCACGATGAGATCTCGGATCTGTTGCTCCATCGTTCGCTCGAGTTGGATATTGACTAATGCAACTGGAAGGTCAGGTTCGAAAAGCTCGCGCTTGCAGGAAACTACAGTACACAGAGGCTTATAGCCAGGGGTTTCGGGTTTAGGACGTTTTTGGAGTTATATAAATCAGAAATGGCCCTCTATATTATACAATTCTATGTTTCAAGGTATATAGGTACAGTAGCTGGGTGATCGTGATCTAAGCGGGGCATAAACTCTTATACAATCGATATAGTACAACAAAAGATCTATAAAATCCGATGAAACCCAACGTTGCATGATGTCAGGTCGAATGGTCCTTTCCACGATGACAGGGCCACCCATTCCTTCGTCGAAGGCGGAAGTCCCCTTACTATTCATGGACAAGTCCTATTTCTGATGCTTCTTCCTTCTCGATAAGCTCAAGCTAAAACGAATATATATAGCATTCTGTATCAGCCAATTGGTCGGACGGGGAACACTCCCCCAATCCGTATCAAGCTGGAGAGCAGCCTCCAACATAGGCCCTATCGAGAGTATCGGACGAAACCACGGCCCGACCTCATAATCATGTTTGATGATCGCCCTGGCTGCCCGACGCTGATCCTCGCGCTCCTTTCCCTCGAGCGTCGCCCGGTTTACAAAGGCCGAGAGCGGACTGTCGTGGAACTCGGAGGGGATGGATTTGAGGAGATCTTGCTTGAGCGGGTACTCTGGGCGGTGCAGACACACGCCTGCAATGACTTTGCCGGCGGAAGTCCACCACAGCTTTTCTTGTTCGGACATGGATTCGGTTGCTTTATTTTGCATAAGGAGGAAGGTCATGGTGTCTCGCATAGGCTTTGTTGTTGATTCGTTCATGCAGGCGTAACGCCAGAGGACGCGGCATATGTTGTAGTGTTTGTTGTGAAAGGCATTCACGAAGAGGCGTTCGTAGGTTAAGCTGTCAAGATCGGGACTAGAGGAGTCGAGGCATTGGAGCACGTAGTACACGGCGCTGTAGGTGTCGTTGGGGAAGAGATTGATGATCTCGTATGCCACTGTGCTATCCAATGGCACTTGACTCCCCTTACACAGCTTTAGAAGCTTTCGCATAGCACGTACGTTCCCTAGGTTGGCCGTAACAGCGAACATTTGCTTGGTCAGCGATGGCGGAAACCAATTCGATCCAGAGACCATTACAGTCCGCTGGAAGAAATCGTTCACGCTCCCGCCGGCACGGAGGTGTTCCTTGAAGAGATCCTTGACCATGAACTGCAGCACGCTTCGGAGAATATAAGGGTCCTTCAGGTAGCCCCTTCGCTCCATCAACTTGACAAGATATGCTTTCTGCGTCGGCAAAATGAGGGAGTCTAGAAGTGCCAGCCAAGTACGAATATCAGGAGCAACGCGTAGCCGAGCCATGACGGCTAGGATGGAGCAAAACGATTCAATGTTTTGAGTCTTTGCCACGGACTTCAAGAGTATGTTGAAAGTCTCGATGGTCGCAACATGGCCTACACGATTGAACAAAGCCCGAACGATATCCCGATATTTCTGCTTAAGCAGATAGGAAATGGCCACATTGACTGCGGTTGTGGATATCAAGTGTTGCATGTTTCGGTCAAGGAACAAATAACGCAAGGCACCAGCTACCCTGGTTCTGTGAGGCGTGGAATGTCCAGGTGTTGGTTCAGACCTCGTCAGCTGTTCCACATGTTCCATAAACTGCCTCACAGTAGAGATCTTGTGCGGACTATCGATCAGGGCATCTAGAGCCACCGATGGCCGTGGGTCATGAGCCCAAACCCCCCTGATTTTAGTCAAAGACCAAGAACCCTCGGTTGGCCCCTCTTTCGCCAAAGAAAGACGAGAAGGGAAAATAGGTACCGGTGGTTTTTGAATATCAACTAGCGGATCTCCCTTCTCCTGTCGTTCTTTGACCGTCATTATGCTCTTCATGGCCGACGTTACGGCCCGAGGAAAGCCGATGAGGACAACCTTTCGATTCACACCCAAGCTCTCGCTGGTTGGCAAGACATGCACCCGGCAATCACCGTGCAGCCCCATGAACCAGACATTTTCCGATTGCGAGAATTTTATCGACACGCCAGCAAGGAAAGCGATCGTCTCGTCAGGAACATAGATTTCCCTCCTTTGCAGGGCCGGATTATTAACGTAACTGACCGTGTAGAGGTTCGACTTGGGAAAGCCTGTGCGGCCCCTAGAACGGTGTTCAACTGTCTCGAGAAGTAACACTGCTTTCCGATATAAGGGGTAAAGTTTTGAATTTAAGGTATGAGAGTTTAGTGTCTTGCCTTGAGACACGAGATCGATGTTGCGCTGCATCTTGCGACCTGGCCGTACTTTGTGTACCACATGTCTAACAAGAGCTCGGGATCTATCCAGCCGGCGTCGAGACGAGACGTAGGGGGGCGAAGACAGCTTCTCTTCTGCGTATTTGTCCCAAAATTCGTCGACAAGTTTCAAGTTGCGATCTGCTTCGCTATTTAGTTTTGCACCCTCGTCAACTTTCCGTGCTGCTCTAGTCTTCGTTCTATTTTCCGCATTTGTTGGTGGTCCAGGTGCAGTCGTATCACTCTCGGGTTGAGACTGAACGTTCTCGCCAGGGCCAGTGTTCGAAGACGGGATCTTAGATTCACAGGAGAGCCATTTTTTCCTCGTGGACGCGCCAAAAGACTGTTTCCGGGTCGGCTGCCTCGGACGGCGAGGTGTCGGACGCGGGCAGGAACCCCTAGAGACAGATCGAGTATTATCATTGCGAGAAAGTGCCGTGCTCATTGATATCTGCTGTTGTCGGGATGTGGAAGTGAACCAGCGCGGGTAAAGGAAGAGGAGAGTTTCATCAAGATGCGGTCCGCGGCCCGCTGCACAGTCCGCTAGAATTGTAGATATACCGCATCTTTTGAGATGCTGACGGCTACGCGGGAACATGTGATGGGCAGCGAACCAGAGGAACGAAGCATGGGACAAGCAAGTAAGTAATGAGTGGTCTTGGGATAAAAGGACTCGTGGAGGAAGGCAACATTTTTTGCCGGGAGCACTTGGGGAAGCTTGAGGCGGTGAACCTCCTCCACTGTTCCGTCTCGGAGCTCTACGGAGAGTTCCCCATACATGGCCAACAAACAAGCCCGAGACTTCATGCTCTATCTCGATCAGTCTCTCGGATAATTATACGATACGAAGCACATAGCGCGCTACACGTTGGGTCAAGGTGTAACAAGCACGAAACATATACAGAACTAACTCACATGCCCATAAGATGAAAAAAGAAAAGGGTATCAACCACAGAAAACAGTCGCGGCTTGAGCGAAGATATAGCCAACTTCAGTAAATATGGAAGTCATGTCCAATCTCAGCTTCTTTCGGGATTCCCTTGATCTCACCTCCATTATCCATTGGTTTGAACGAGAATCTGCTCGACACTCTGGACATAAGACTATCCCTCCTGTTCACCGGCGTGAGATCCAACATCTCAGCAGCCGAAGTCGACGCGCGTCTGTGGTTATCCTGTGGCTCCAACTCCTGGAGCTGGAGAACCTCGGGTCCGATAAGATGACACTCTGCTGTGGAGGCGGCGCGGGTGAGATATTCTTGTTTGCGCCGAAGGTCTTGAATGTCGGTATCTTGTTTCGGTTGTGTTTGTTCAGTTGATTCCAGATCATTCTGTTGTTCTGATAGGAGTTGGATTGTTTTGTTGAAGTATGCAACGAGTTGCCAGCGGGATGTTTGGTAGACAAATCGGCCCATTATTTCTGGAATCTAGACAGGATATTAGCGTCGTGAGGTATGGGGCGCGGATGGTGCTTACCTTTCCATCTAGATAGTAGAGTTCCTCACCTCCATCTTCAACAAACTTCCTCACAGCGTCGAGCTTCTCCCGATCGACAATTGCAGTCTTCACTGCGTACATCAACGTAGGAACGTTCCTGATATCCTCCACATCCTCCTCCTGTCTGTCCACAACAGTCTTGCCCAGATTTATCGACGTGGCTCTTGACGGTCTCTCCGAACTAGACGCTCCCTTCCGCTTCACCGCAGAATGGATTGTGAAGTAATCCTCATTAAGCGTATGTGCCATCTCCAGCCCCGTCCGACTCCTTCGATGCCGCTCAGTCGAAGACTTCTTGACACGTAACCTTACCCACCGTCTTCGGCGTACAAACGAGTGCCAAAACGGATGCGTCCCGTGCCATGATGACGAGAGGGAGAACGAAAACGCATACTGCCACCCCTGCTCGTCGACGTCGCCTGACATATCTACGTACCACGTCTTCCACGCCCACTCCCAGCTGGGATCAGGGACCTGCGCGTTTGTGATGTTGACGAAGCTCCGCTTCCCGCTGGCATTTATCCATGGCGCTGGGTCGATATTGAGGAGGGACTGGTTGGAGTAAAGCGGGATCCCGAAGAAGAACCAGCCTCGTTGATTCTCGTAGAGAATATCCAGTTCGCTACCAGGTTTCAGGCCACAGATCTTGAAGTGGTTCTTCGACTGGTGTGTACTCGTCCTTCTAGTTTCTGCTTGTGTACCTGTATCGGAATCAGCGCCAGCGCTAGCACCAAAATCCTGCTGTTGTATCTGCTCTGCCGAATTATCACCACTTTGCTCATAGTAGGCCGGCTGCGAGTCCGATTGATATCCATCCCGATTCTTATCATTGCCGTAGTTAACCGTAGTCGCATCCTCACGACTCGTGCTCGCATTGGTAAGAGTATTTGTATTCGTCACGGCACGTAACAACCCCCCTTCGTCCGACGACAGCTGCTCTGACCCCGACTCAGGGATGTCACTGCTACCACTAGCAACAATACCTAGCCGCTCAGGCTGCCATTTTGCGTACTTGCGTTTTGTGCGTTCCGCACGAATCGACGGGCGACTCCAAAGTCTAGACCCCGAGCTGGCGGTCGTTGTCGTTCTGGAGAAAGATGCGTCGTCTGGGGCCGGGCGCTCGGCAGGAGCCGTGTTGTCGATGAGCTGGATATTGGAGGTCATCGCACAGCGAGAGCATCGCTCACTCAGATGAGCATGAGAAAGACCATATTCCTTTTGTTACCCCTCCACAGCTTCTAGCGAAAAGTAGAAAGCGATGAGTTATCCCTGAACAGGCTGAAACGAACGAAAACCATCCCCTAACGGCCAACAAGCAGAATCCGATCGATCGAGAATGACGTCGACGGTGGGGGCTGATCTGCGGGCTTGTTTGCCTGAGAATATTTCCCCTTTCTGGACTATCGCCTTGGATTTCAGGCATAAAACATGCTCAGGCTAGCAAGGCAGTAAGGCATAAACGGCCCTCCTCCGAGTCCGACGCGTCTTATCCAAATCGCCCGCTATCTACAAAACCCATACTTCCAAGCTAGGATTACGACCACCAGAAACGAAACAATGGACTCATCACATTACCGGAAAATCGAGCTACAATCCCCCGCAGACTTCACTTTCCTCCACGGCAACACGGTCGCCCTCTCCCGCCAAAAGCTCGACCTGCATCTACCCCCCTCGGCAGCCCCAAACAATGAGCCGGACCCTATGCGCGAGCGCGTGCGCGAGCTCGTTGATGATGTACATACGCCTCCCCAACCTGTCAATATCTATCTGTCAATGTGCTAATGTTCTGTTTCTGTTCCAGTTCATAACCCGTACTTTCGCATCCGCTTCGTCCTCCGTCTCAATCAACGGGCTCGACTCGTCGTCCCCGGAGTTTCCATTCCCAGCAGCATTCACGGCGCCAACAGAACTCGAGACGGTCGAGTATGAACCCTTCGACGGGAAGTTAGCGGCGCGGGTGACATCACTATATGCGCAGTTGGAGTCGCTGACTACGACGGTTGCGCAGTTGAGGAGGGATGCGCCGGGGCGGGCAGCGAGGGAGTATGCGCAAGAGTTGGCGAAGGTTATTGAGGAGGAGGAAAAGGCGTTAGAGGATGAAGATGAAGAAGAAATAGACGCAGATGTCGAAATGGATGATGCAGGTTCGAATGTGGACGCCAACACAGTCCAGAATGAATCACAAGCCCTGTCGGAGAGAAGCGCTACGAATACGAACGGAGAGAAAAATGAAGAGAGGAGGCGGCGACGGAAACCATCGAGGAAGGAGTGGAAGCTGGATATTCCACTTGGCACAGAACAGGAAGCGGAGCGGTGGCGGAATGGGGAGATGGCGGAGGTCTATGAGGATGCATTGCGAACTCTACTTCGGCTTCAGGGTGAGCCTGTACTAGGGGATGACGACACCGTTGCGTCCAAGTCCGACGGTGTTGATGGAAATGCGCTGGCATCTACGGTAGGCAAAGCCGAGCGAGCTGGCAGGGCGGTTGAGTTCGTGGAGAAGATTTGATGCCGTTTTCTTTTATCTCTATCTTTGTTTGATATTCTCTGGGTGGGCTCTGGACTGGCGTTTTTTCTAGGTATACCAAATTTCAAATGATCAAAGATTTATCGTCTGGGATGATGCAAGCTTTTATTGGCATCCCCACGAACGCAATGAATTCGAAACTCAAGTGCAACTGAAGTCCTTTAAATGAATTTGATTCTGCCAAACCTCAACCCCTAACCCCTGACCCCTTCAGCTCCAATCTATGACCTTGCGCCGCTCAATCAACACAAATCGAATATCTATTTCAAGTAGGCAGACAATGGGGGGCACGAAGGAAAATTTAGGCACGATGCATGACGATAAATGGTGAGTTCGGCAAAGTAGTATGGCAGGGATAATATGGTACAGCCTAATCAAGAGCTCAAGGCGGTAAATCTATTGTCAATAGAAGAGAAAACGGAGGGAAATGGAGCAAAGAGCTTGAGCTTGAGCTTTTACCATATTGATCCAAGATGCCAGGAAAACAGGAAAAAGATGGTGTGGAATGGAGAAAAGAGAAGTAGGAAACATAGATGAGATAACGCTCCTGGGTTACGACTCTATGCCGCGGGTTGAGGGACCTCCGGTGCCTCTGTCGGCTTTTCAGCGCCAGTGTTTTCAGCAGGGACAGGGGCCTTTTCCTCCTTAGGGATAGCCCACTTGGGCTCCTTGGCCCATTGCGGTTCCCGCCACGGACCCATGTCACTGTACTCGCAACCTCCCTCGCACTCACATGTGCCACCGTACTGCTTCGGAAGGTTCTCTTTGGGGACCTGCTTCAACAGTTCAGACTGGTATCCAGAGCCGAGGACGTTGATCTTGTTAACAGTGACGGGGTCCAAGAATCCCTTGACTACGCTGAAAACGGTGCTGAAACCCCATGGGGCGTTGATCAGGTAGAGCTTTCCAAGTCGCTCGGGGTAATAGTTCTGAGAGACGACGGAGGCTTGTTTGAGATAGCCGTATACGGATGGGGCGCTCATGAGCCCAACGCCCTTGAGATCCATGATGGTGCAGCACGTCTCAAGTAATTTTCCAGCCTTTCGTGAGCAGGCGGGTAGCCGAGGGTCCGCGAGTTTCTCATACTCGGTCACGAGGTTCTTCAACATACGCTCATCGGTTGTGATCTTTTGCAATGCAGCGAGGTCAATGTTCCCCAGTTGCTCGATGTAGACAGGTCGTCCATCCTAAAAATTTAACAAGTGAGCTATTGCTGTCCTTATTGTCTGAAGGGGGAACTCAAATGCACCTTGTCGGTTCTGTGATAGTACTGAGGGTAGTACTTGAAGACCTCGGGCTTTTCAGTGTACTCGAAGGTACGGGCGAGATCATCTGTGCCAAACTCTTTCCTCCACTTTTCGCTTGCAACGAACCTAAGGAAGATAATTAGCCACGGGAAAGCAGGTCGAACTCAGGGGCAGGAGCATACATGGCCTTAGATGCGGCAACATCAAACTTTCGTGCTCTCAGGAAGCGGAGCAGAGTCAAAGTATCAAGACGTTCGGTGTAACCTTCCTTCTCGAGTTCACTCCGGAGCTGCTCTACTTTGGCATCCTGCTCGGGAGTGGTATGGCCAGGGTGGCCCGGTTGAGCCTCGGGGGCAGTGGTAGGAAAGTCATAGTCGTCGTATTTGGACGCAGGGATAGTCTGCTTCTCAGCGGGAACTGCCATTGTGATAACAAACGGATATTATTGTGACGAATGCAGGTAAAGGGCTTTGAAGTTTGAGGTTTGATAGTTCCCCGTGGCCGGTTGATTGGGGAATAGACGGAGTGGAGATGGGCAATAACAGAAGAATTGTTTGCCGGTGACGGAAATGTAGCCACAGGAAGACGCCCGGTTCTCCGAACAGTCAAAACACTAAGGCCAGGAAGAAGAGAAGTTCTGAAAAGGCTGTGCAAAAAGAAAACAAGAGCGAGGAGGGAGAATGGACGGTCAAGGACGAGTCGGGCTAGTCAGCTTCAGGAGGGGCTCAAGGCGGTCAGCCACAATGTTTAATATACTCCGTACTCGGGGCTATCCACGTTGAATGCGTTTCAGGAGTAAGTGGATAATATAATATGAATTCCAGAACTTCATACGGAGAATTGGGTACTCAGCAATAATGTCTTTGTGCCAAGGGTTGCCTCGCCTCACGTCATATTTGCAAGCCCGGGGCCAGCCACTCTGACGTCGAGGCGGCAGTGCGGCACAGATCGTAAGTATTTTTATGCATGTTACAGGTCATCAGGTTGAAAGAGGTCGCTGTTAGATGATCGTGGCAAGGAGTTCCTCATTATAGCCAGCCTGGCAGCCAAAATACGCTAATTCCAATACATATAATTACATAGAACATCTGAGCAGGTAACCGACGATAACAAATGAAAGTAGTGTAAGGGGAGAAGTAGAGCATGAACGTAAAACACAAAGTCATCAAGTAGTAGAGAGCAGAACACATGCAGTATCGTTCAACGGGGTATAGTAAGGATAAATAAAGATAGAGCAGCGGATTGTTGAAGTGTGGAGGCTATTTCCCGACCAGCGAGATAAAACCCCTCTCACGCTGTAAATGAATACCTGCCGCATCGGCACATAGATGATACGCCAATGAAAAGGTCTTATCGTGCAATGTACCTCGCATTCGGTCGGTTCACCCGCCAAAGCTGGCATGGGTTATGAGACATGGATGAGATCATGTGCGAGCAGAATGCGGCCAACCATGCAGTGTCGTGTGGATTAGGCGCGCCATGGCTTTAATAGAAAGGGGTGGCTGAGGGCCCAGTCGATCTCGCCTCCAGAGCCTTCTGAGCCAGCTGGAAGTATACATCGCTGAAATAGCGGAATTTTCGAGTGAAGGAAGCCATTACCAGCCCTTCTTGCGAGAGAAGCGTTTGTTGAGGAGAGTAAGCACCTTGGAGACATTGAACTGAACATATTCCAGGTCAAGGTCTTCTAAGTTGTCCTTCTGCATCTCGAGCAAATCGTCAAGCTTGAGATCCAATTCCAAAAGGCCTCGAGCACGACCTTTATAATGAAGGCTGATCACGAAAGTCCCAGGCAACGGGCTCTTGAACATGAAGTAGATGTTTGCGCGTCGGTTCTCCGGAACATTGCTTTTGCGAATGACCCCTTCTTTTTCGAGTTGCTGATGGGTAAACTTATAGGGTCCCAATTCCTGCTGCTTCTGCGTTTTCCTTGACTTTCCTTCGGACTGGCTGCGCACATTCTGTAGGTAGGACTTGTACGTTTCCAACTGGCCAACGAGAAACCCGTTATGGTCACGAATCGTCGAGTATACCGACTCCAACTGCCTCGTTTCTTCCATAACTTTCTCCTTCAAAGAACCCAAATGTACGAGTTCCTGTTCGACCTCATCACGGAGGAGACTGAACTCATCCGACCGATCAATGACGCCCATTTCCTGCAATTGGCTCAGAAGCTCCATGGTTCGAATACCCTTACGAACCATGACCGCGTCATTCTTCAATGTCGCAGCAGCTTCAGCGATACGATCTAGGCGAAGAGGGCGGCGAGCCACGGATGAGTGAGGGGGAAGAGATCGCAGAATTTGGACAAAAGTAGACTTGGCTTCCATGAAGAAAACTTCCTCCTGCGTAATATCCAGGGCGGCAGTCAAGTCATCTAATGCTGTTTCCCACCGGCTGAATAGGGGAACCGTGATGGTTCGATTTTCTTTGCGCGGTAGTTGTGGAGGAGCGGGGCCAAGCTCCTGTAAGATCTCCTGAAGGTGGGAATGTTGGTCCTGAGCCAGGGCCACGTTATGCTTCTCCAGCAAAGCGTGCGTTGCGTACACTTCGTTTAGTGTAATCTGCAATTCGAGGTCTCGCTTAGAGAGTGCAACGTAGTTGTCCATCTCCAAGCTTTCATAGAAATCCTGCACTTCACAAAGATCAAGCATGAATTTGTTGACACGCTCCTTGTTTTGCTGGATGAAAGGCTGAAGTTTGGCCATATATGGCTCCTTCGCGTATGACGGCTTGTTAGCTAGGTTCTGGAGCATCTTTGCGACCAAAGTCAGAGTGCGTCGAGGCCTATCCGTCGGTGTAGCATCAATCAACATGTACGAGCGAGGAGTAACGATAGCCGGGTTGATGAAGCGTAGGAAGAAAAAGCCTCCGATGAGGGTACAGATGGTTTGATCATGAGCGTCTGGGTATTTGCGCCGTGACAAACTTCGGATTTGCTTGCAAATCCAGCGGATACCATATGGGGCTTGATTCACGGAATTGATAATTGTGGTAAGAAAAGAGTTGGCGATATCCGTCAGCTTCTTGAGGCGCGGCGCAATAATGGCCTGCACCTGCGGGTTTTCCGCAGCGACTTCGCCGGTCACGCCACGAGGGAGGTCATCTGGCAACGAGCCGCTTTTTTCCTCAATATCCCTGACCATGGCCTCATAAACCTTCAAAGGATTGATTTCCAAGTCAACATCGCGCAGCTCGATCAACGAGTTGATCTGCTCGGCCAAGACCTGTTTCAAATAGCTCTGGCCAGGCCCACGGCGGGTGTAGGTGGTCATCATACGCGAAACAGGAGTGTTTTGTCGCAGAAGAGAGGAGTATTCGGGAGTATTATCAAACTGATAGGTGAGCACGGACTGAAACATGGTCAGTAGCAGATGCTCCTCGCGACTCTCGTACTGGTTTCCATAAATGGTGAACATGACAGTTTGAAGGAGGGAATCGATTTCGGACATAGAGACAAGTCGGCAGAGGTGCGCAATGTGTCGCGGTTCAGTCTGGAGAAGAAAAAGAAGATTGCCATATTTTTGAGTTTTCTCGTCGTTGGGGAAGAACCCTTCCTGGGGATCAACCGTGTCGTCCAGGCGATTCGCGACTTCATTTTGCTATGAAATATGTAAGAATCAAGGTATTGGGGGGTGCAATGGATTGATTTTACCTCCTCCAAGGCCATTCGGTTCTGAATCAGCAAAGCTATTCGCGAATCCAAGTAACGAACATCCTTCTCTAGCACGAAATTTTTCTTCGATTGCGAGGAGATCTTCGATTTTAGTTCTCGTAGGAATTTTTGGGCTGAATGCATAAGTCAATGTGGGCCTCGACAGCGTGATTCCACCGAAACTAACCTTTAGCCAGGTCATCTGAGATTTCCAAATCTCTGTCCTTTGCGGACATAGACAGATAGAGTGCGGTGACGGACATCCGCTTCGATTGACGAAGGGACCGAGTGTCATGAGAAGACATTGTGTTTTGACGCGCAACCGGTTGAAACGACGAGGAAGAGGAGGTAGATGCTCTAGATGCTGGTTGTAACATTGTCGCAACAGACATTTTGTGAAAACGCGGGCCGCTCGTTCAATATGCGTGGAGGGGCACGCGATGGTATGCTCCGATCCTGGTGTATTTCGCTGAACAATGGGCACACCGGGATCGCGCGACAAATGTCCCAACTCGCAGGTGAAACTCGAGTGCGATTTTTGAGAATCAATGGTCGGTCATTGGCAGACGGGCGGTGCGGGCACAAGCTAAGGTGATCGGTAGTCGGATGTACCCCTAACGAGACGCGTTAAGAATCGTCACGAACTAGAGGTTTGCGCTTGAGTTTGAGCCGGACGATGGTCAGGTCGCTAAAGTTTGGCTGCGGGTCCTGGCAAGTCAATTCGCAGAACGAAGAGTAGAAACGGTCAAGTGAAGAAGGACTGAGGTTAAGGGCTGGGGTATCGTGTTCGGGCAGGGCAAGGTAGCGAACAGAAATATCCCCGAGAACGGAGGGAGAATGGAAAAGAAAGTCCTGACCCTCTCTAAGACCTGGGCGGGCGAAAGGCTTGGAAATTGGTGCGCGAGTTTCAGAGTGAGGAAGACCGGGATTGGAGGAAGTCTTAGTTGGTCGAGTCGCAGATCGGATAGAGGACAGAACAGGGGCCGCGAAAAGGAGACGATAAGATGGAAAGTAGCAGGAAGTATTAATGATATAAGAGTGATAGCAGACAGCTGGAACGGGACGCAGGGGGGTAGGTGCGTAGGTGTGAAGAAGAGTAGTGTAAAGTAGAGTAGCACAGACTCAGTAGAGAAGAGTAAATGCAATGGATGATTCCCCAGACCTTAATTAATCTGGGAGGGGGAGGTTGGTTTGGTTTTCAGGGAAAAGAAAAAGAGGGGAGACTTGGTCTGTTAGGGGTGGAGATGCTTCCGTGACTTGTAGCCAAAAAGTACTCCGTAAGAAAGGAGTCTTACGTAGAGATCCAGAGACTATGTAGATAGACTCTGACTCAGATACTTTCCGACTCTGGATACGTAGATAGATATACAAACAATTAATCTCGCAGTCTTGGTTCCTGCTGAGTTCCCGGCTCTTGACACTGTAGACTGCGTAGTCGTCCGCGTTGACACTGGAATCAAAAGGAGCTTTGCCTCTTCTCTCCACCTCCACACCACACCATCTCCCATGGACATCACGGTACCTGACCCATGTTTGCTCGCTTTCATGGGCCATGGCCCATTTCAGACGCTGGTGGAGCACTCATTCCTGGTTTCCTGTCCAAGACCGCATTACTGCGAGCCTAACAATCCTGTCAGCAGTCAGCACTCGCAGCGAGATTAATTTGAGATGGAATTCATAAGCGATACTATCCGGATGATCGACTTCCGACCTCTTCCTCCTCGAAGCTGATGCAGGATGCAAGGGGAATTTGCCCACATCCGCCGCAGCCACCTGGTGCACGTATCACGTACAGAAATTCGGCAAGGCCTGAAGACATGCTGAGAGCCTGAGTTGCTGACCATGAGATTTTAGCGTCGTTACCCCTGGCGGCGGCGCCTTGGTTCAATATTTCCGCATGCGGCCATCCTTGCCACAGCCAACCTCCAAAGTTCGGTCGGCGGAGCCACACCTGTTGCTTTATTATTTCGCTTCGCTGCACAGCGTGGGTACCGTCCAGGATGCACGGTGTGATATCGTACGTTAGCGGCAGTCAGGCCAATTGTCGGGTTGGCTGCCGACAGTAATCCCTGCGACCTTGCGCGGCAGCAGCAGCGGCTCGGCGAGGGCAAAGCTTCGACCTCACGGACCATTTGACTCGATCACCGTCTGTGCTTTTGAGTTTCGGTGGTGCCTATCTCAGTTCCCGGCATTCACTGCACCTGGCCATCGCTGTCAGCCTCCATTCCAGTGTCGATTCTGAGCGTTCCATTCCTCCCGGGCTTCCGAGTCATGCTTGGCTCGCATGGACGAGAATCACAAGGCCGGTTGGGCTTGGGGCATGGATAGGTGGCTCTAGTAGCCTTTGGTGGGCAGGAATCCTGCTCTTTTATTGGTGCATTCCGGCTCGTCAAAGCGGCCCACCGTTCTCTTGATATGCATCGACCTTAGCCGCCGTTGATGTCGGCTCTAGCTCACCATTCCTGAACTTCAGGAATCAGGATACGAAGCCCATTCCTTGCATTTCTTGTCGAGTGGCAAACACGACAGTCTTAAGCCCGTAAACTCGGTACGGACAAGTGGCTGCTAGCAATCAGATCAACCTTGGAACCTTTATCCCTCCCTTATCGGTCACTCAAAATGAAACTTTTCGCAATACTAGTCAGGTGGGCCCCGGTTCCAGTTCCTGATTGCCAAGGTCCAACCCCGCCATGTGCCCGGCCCGCAATCAATTCTCCTCTGAAGTCTGAGTATCAGCCCGGCTGCCCGGTACCTGCGTTGGTAACCTGGTATGCCAGGCGCCTATGCTTTCCTAGTCATCCCAGCACTACTCCGGAGTAAAGGATCATCTGACCGCATCAGATCTTTTTTTATTGGCCGCGGCTGTCAATATACATCTGTTGGCGTCGAGCCGATGCTGGCCTGGGTTCGATATTACATCATTCTCCATTGAGCGATGTTTCAGAAATCAGCAGACCCTGCCATCCCGAGTGGATCGGCCGCTGCGACTTCGGATTCCTAAATTGACCAAGACTTCAGTTGAACACGTTAATGTATTAGCGATTTCCGATTTTCAAAGCGACTTACTATATACAGATCATTCACTAAATCAAATTTCCATACCAAGGCGTTGCGAGCGCACTGCGACCCGCCAAATGAAGGACTCACGGCGCAGAAGCAGAACAAATGACACGAATATTGATTTGCGCTGAACCGTGGATGAGAACTGCGAAATGAAGATTATCCGCCGTCAAACCCACAGTCCCACACTACTGCTACTGCTGCACAGTACTACTAAGTGCGATCATCAACAATTACGTTCGGCGTCTGCTGCCCAGCGGCCAGCGTGCCCTAGCCCCTCGGGTTTTGACTTAGCGGTGTAACAACCGCATCCACCTCAGTCTTACAGTAGTTTGGTGTCAGTGCGCTCAGGGGTACGAGCTTAATCGCTTCGATGCCCGTGATCGTCTTCTCCGCAACCCCGCCATTTTGATTATGAATCCGACTGGGATCATGCAATTGCAAATACGAGGTCATCTGGACGAAGACACCAAAGACATTTCCAAATCCTAGATCCGTCGATCTACGGCGCGGTTTATGCTTGCTTTTTATGTGTCACTGCCGTCTTATGGAAGTTTGAACTCTGGGGTATTGGGGCGGGATGGTAAGTTTTCCATGCGTCATAGCTAGGGTTGCGTAACCTGGGCACGATCATGGTTGGTGGCTCTCTAGCCACGCTTCCTACGGAGTACCTAACAGTCACTATCTTTCCTGCAAAGAGTGGGGCATCGATAGTGACGAGTATGTGGGCACCCGGCCATATCTCGAAGCTCTGTCCATGGTCAAACATGCTCGATGACGGCCTGGTCAATGTTTTGCTGCGATCTTCATTGTCTAATTTGTCAGTTGTTACCGTATCGTCTCCATTGACCTGATTTCGATCTCGATCTATAACAGCCCCCGTCTGTAATCGAGTCCCCACTCCACAGTATGCCTCCGGGTTGGCACATCTTACTGCCCCAACCTTATATGCACTAAGGGTTCAGCTCCGGGTACGGCTAGGCCAGGCCGATGTCAGGGCTAAGCGTGCAAGAGGGGATTGTAGCATCTGATCATTCTGATGAGGCTAGTTCCCAAACACCAAGAATCTGGCCCCATCTGAACAACTAGAGCAGGGCAAGGTAGGCGATACCAGTGCTACGCCACATCTAAGGGATGTGAGGCGAGGTGCATCGTACTCCGGTCGGGAGTCCGGAGTACCTACCCAGTAGCCTCTATCACTAATGCAGGAATCAACGCATCCGCATGAACTATGAGGCGGCCAAAGCTCTTTGAACACCCACGTGGTTCTCGCTTGGACCCTTGATGGCCTAATGCAACTTGCCCCAAGCCGTGGCTTTCAAAATCCGGCCGGTAGTATCTCTTCTTTTGGATTGATCTCAACATGGAACTTCGAGCAAGTCCGGGCATACCTCGTCTATACCTACGTTCGGCTGAGAGGGCACTCAATCTAGGAAAATGTATTATCAAATGTGATATCCACAAGTGCTTTGGCGAGGTAACATCTACCGACTGGTCCCTGAGCAACTCCAGTCCCCGCGTTTTATTCTGCTTAACTCGAAACGTTGTCTGGGATCTAGACAAGATACGGCACCTAACCAAAGCAAAATGAGCCGAGGTCCAACGTTGACGCTAACATCCAACGCCATCATGGAGAAAATTGTCCTACGGACATCATCTCCAAACCTTCTTAGCCCTCATTTTAAAGCTAGAGATTGAGTCAATTCAATTAATATGGCTCCCTCTCAATCCCCCGCCGCCAAAACCTACCTCCTCCTCTACAATGCCATCAGCGCACTTCTCTGGCTCCGTATCCTCCTGACCGTGCTAACAGCGTATTTCAATTCCAACTCGCTACCAACTCTATACACAGCCCTTGAGCCCCAAGCCAGATGGACGCAAACACTAGCTGTCGTAGAGATCTTACATGCTGCAACTGGTGCGCATTCATTTATTCTGGACACGGTCTCATTGACGTACTCCGTACGCTAACAGCAGTCAATAGGCCTTACCCGCTCCCCAGTCTTCCAAACTTTCACGCAGATCTTCGCGCGTAGCGTGCAAGTCTGGGCGATCAACTATGCCTTCCCATCTGTGACGGCATCGTCAATAGCTTACCCAGCTATGCTCTTTGCCTGGTCTATAGCAGATACGGTGCGGTACTCCTACTTCGTGGTTTTGCTGGCCGGTTTGGATGTTCCTGGGTTGTTGAAGTGGTTGAGGTATGTGCTATGCATACAGATTTCGGAGACAGAGATCATTAATGCTGCGCCTGCGCATCTAGATACTCCCTCTTCATTGCCCTGTATCCAATTGGGATCACGGCTGAATGGTGGTTAATGTACCGCGCTACCAGTGTGACAAGCAGCTCCCTTGTTGCAGGGATCTTTTACTTCTTTCTCGGGTTGTATGCACCAGGTGAGTGGAGGGATTGCGATGCAGATTACGATCCAGCTGACCAATCAGGTTCAATTATGATGTATTCGTACATGCTCAAGCAGCGACGGAAAACGCTGGCGAAATAGGCCATGCGTTTGAAGTCGCTCGGTGATGAGGGACATCCGAACGGGCGTGAATAAATGCGTCAGGGTGGATATTGTTTAGGGCCATTGCCAGGCCCAGAACAGAGGACACTTCTGGATGGTCTTTCTCCATCGGCAAGTGATTGCCAGAAAAGACTTGGCCTGCCTCAACCGACCTTTATGTCGTGGAAGCCGCCGGTTGACACCGGGGATTAGACCATGGTCGAACCTAGCTAGCCCGACACCGCGATAATGAAGAAGTAGAGTGCTGTACAAAGATACGATTGAATTGTTGCAAAGGTATCTAATAATAGATCATCTCATCGTATATCGCTTGAAATGCAATAGATTCCACCGACACCGGGCGCCGTGAGTAAATGCGAAATGTATCGTACACAGTCGTAACGGTAGTATACAAGTCAACGGAGGACGTAAACACCTTGTTTAGCGAAAGGTGGAAAGTAGAATGGTAGCACGAATGCGAATGGGGATAGAACCCAAGCCATTCATGCCGAGCTCACACACGAGCTACATCGTCGAGCATTACATGAAGGTTGACATTTCTTGATTATGTCGTCATGACCGCCGATTATACTCGGCGTCAGTCTCGGGTGTGTTCTTTCGTGCCTCTTCGAGCATGGTGTCAATGCCTCGCTCCTTGAGTGTTTTCTGTACGTGACCGCGGGTTAGTACAGTGTTTGGAAAGCCCCGCGAGTAAAGCGGGGTGGGAAACGTACTGTCAGGCATGACTTGTATTTGGCGAAGAGTTCTTCGCATTCGTTGGAGCTTGTGTTGCCGCGGAGATATTCTGTACGCGTTCTGGTAAGATTTTGGAGGTCAAGATAGAGAGCTATATGAGCATACTCTCGCTGTACCACTTGAGAAAGCAAGTGTCGTATTTCCTAGTGATCACGGATTAGCTTTAAAGTAGGTAAACGGCGGAGTTTCGGTGCGCACTCTTTGATATTGTTGCACTCTGGGGCTATAGAAGCTGCCATGTTGACCTGATTGAATTGAAGATGTGGAATGGAACGTGAGGCGAAATTGAGAGCTGGCTGGGAGAATGAGTGAGATATCAATGAGCAAAGACCAGCAGAATCTCGGAGAAGCTACGGAGTTCCGTATGTTAGGAAGGCGGTCAGCTGCCGCAGAGAAATTTCTCCATCTCCGCCTTATCGTTTCTCAAAGAAACTCTCTTATTCAACTCTCGCCAGAGTTTTGTTTTTCGGATCTTTGCGAGAAACGGCCCGGCAGGGATTCGACAACATGGACCCAGCCGCTGGATTTGCACCGTTTCAGGAACGGGTGCAGACGTCTCTTATGGATGTCACCCGTACCGTCGGCGCGTTGCCCGTTGACGATCTCAACTTCCACCGGACCTCAAGCGCAAAGGTCTCGGAAGGGTTGGATGAGGAAAGCGGTCGATTGCTGTCGCTCACATCGTCTCTCTTGAAGGCGGCTACTGCTGGGACTGATATCTCCGCTCCGGTACTGTCAGACGAGGATTCAATCGATGATAATTGGCGGGGCATTGTGGATGTGATTGATGCGCTCCTGGAAAAGGCAGATGCATGCTTGGACGAATTCACAGGGGTCATTAAAAAATTGAGCCCTTCGCAGGATAAGGATGGAGAGAAGAAAGATGCGGCTACGGGTACGAGAAAGACGCAGAACTTCCCGACAATTTACGACTATGGCCCGTCGAAAATCCCCAAACCCCAACTTCAGTTTGAGCACCAGGTCGATCCTACGGATACATCGCCCTTCAAGCCTCTGCTCAAGACCAAGCCGCATGCTATCGATTCGCTGGAGCAGTCGCTGACACCACCTACTGACGCGCCTAAGTGTTATCGTAATCCGTACGAGACGGAGATCCGTGCTGCGAAGTACCCCGGCTCTGCTTATACTGTGTCACCTCCAATTGACTATCTGCCATTCCAATCGACGACCGCGACGTTTGTGGATACTTTGGAAGGGGTGAAGGAGATGCTGGCGGAGCTGAAGTCTGCGAGTGAGATTGCGATCGATTTGGAACACCACGACGTGCATTCTTATCATGGACTTGTCTCGCTGATGCAGATTAGCACACGGGACAAAGACTGGGTTGTGGACACGCTCAAGCCGTGGAGAGAGGAGCTACAAATGCTCAACGAGGTGTTCGCGGACCCTAAAATCTTGAAGCTCTTCCATGGATCAAGCATGGATATTATCTGGCTGCAGCGCGACCTCGGCCTCTATGTTGTGGGCATGTTCGACACATATCATGCCGCTTTTGCGCTCAGCTATCCGAAGAAAAGTTTGAAGTTTTTGCTGCAAAAGTTTGTCAACTTTGAGGCCGATAAGCAGTACCAGATGGCCGACTGGCGGATTCGACCACTTCCGTCTGGCATGTTCAACTATGCCCGTTCCGATACCCACTATCTCCTCTACGTTTATGACAACCTACGAAACGAACTCTTGGAGAACTCCACGCCCGAGGCGAACCTTGTGGATTATGTCCTCGAGAAGTCAAAGGCCGAGGCGCTGCAGCGATATGAGCGTCCCGTCTACGACGCAGCTACAGGGCAAGGCGCGGGTGGTTGGTACGACCTGATGACGCGCAGCCCGGCTATCCTCAACAACGAGCAGTTTGCTGTCCTCAGGGCAGTGCACGAATGGCGCGACAAGGTAGCTCGGGAGGAGGATGAAGGTGTGCAATGCGTTTTCCCAAAGCACATCCTTTTCCGAGTCGCCCAGACGATGCCTCAAGACCTTGGTACATTGTTCAGGACAATGTCTCCTATGACACCGCTCACCAAAGAGCGTGCCCCAGACCTGTTGCAGATAATCAAGACAGCAAAGGCTGAAGGTGCCACCGGGCCGGAATGGCGTGACATCTATGTCAAACCTGTCAGAAGCCAGCGACCAGTACAGCTTCCTCCGACGCCTCATACAGCGCAAGATGGTTCTTTCCCTACCGCTTCCCGCTACGAAATCTCACAGTTCTGGGGCTCTGTGCTGGATGCCGAGACCCCGCCCCAATCTCCACTGGAATACTCTCTAGTAGCATCCGCCGAAGCCCTTCGCCTCTCCCTCCCTCTTCCGCCTATGCCGAGAACAGTCGCCGAAGTCCGCGTTGCGCAACCACTTAAACCAAAAACCCCCACACCAGCACCCAAGAAGGAAGAAGAAGACAAGAACAAGATCTTCACCGTCAAAGAACTTGGTGGCCCACGTAAGCGCAAGGGTGCGCCACAACCTCCGGCCGAAGCCGAAACAACCTCACCCTCAGAAGAACCCGAAGCCGAGCATGAACTCGACGAGATCCCTATCGAGGTTGATTCGCCTCCCTCTAAGAAACAGCGCCGGAAGGAAAAGCGCGAGAAGAAGAAAAAGGAGAAGCAATCTCAGGCTGCAGAGGACTCAACGCCATTCAATTACGACACGGCCGAATCTATCCTCAACGCCAAACCTCAAGCTACGTCTGGTCTTCCTTCCAAGCGGCCATTTGATCCATACAAGAAGGCACTCGAGGCTCCTCGGACTGGAGTCAAGAAGGAGAAGAAAGAGCTGCCTGGAAGGAGTTTTACATTCAGGTAGATTGGCTAAATCTCTTCCGTCCCATGCAGTATATAGACGAGCTTAAAAAGTACGACCAATGCATAGCGATACCCGGTCTTGTCTTTAATGACAATACTAGTCTAACATCTCGCATACCCTATCTTTCACCTACAGTACATGTGTTTAGAATATGCTCTTTTATTTCGCTGATAAAGCTGGGTACTAAGCGGTCTTGATGATCAGCAGGCAGTGCACCAATGCTATGGAACTAGCCATAAAATACATTCCTACTAAGCCGTATCTGCTCCGAGTATAAATATACCCCCAGTTCAGTTTATCTTCCTATTCGTGATGGCTATATCAACCCTGGTGACAAGAGTATATGATGACTAAGCCCGAGAACGGATCCCCTGCGGCTCGCTACAGAGTCCAGACTGCAACAACTAGACAGCCAGTCAACAACTGCGCGACTGTCACTCGCTGATGCATGTCAGCTCGGGGTCTCTGCTTTGCATTTGCTAGATTGTCACATGCGATTTCTCAAGGTGTCGAATTGAGTTTCGTCCCTACAAGGCGTTCATTGAGCACACCACCGTTTATTGAGGACACCACGCCTGTCACTGCACTCGGCTGGACTTGCTGGATATACAAAAGCGGTGATTTGGAACGCACCATTTCCCGGATTCCATTGAACCGGCTTTCTGGTATCGAGCCATAAATCGGCTTATCTGTGCCATCGATCCTGGCTTGGAGCTAGGCCATCAACACAGCCATGGCCTCCGAACCCTCGTACATAGACTACGAGGCCTTCCTAGACCCGGCTTTCTCGCCAGCCTCATTTGCCAATTCGCTGGTGGTGGCCACCAACAATGCAACAGACACACCGCTGGACCTCTCTACCCCGCTTTCCCGGGTATTGTTCGACCTCCAAGAGATCGACACGCACATCCACACGCTGACCACCAAATCAGCTCTGCCCCTGCTGACGCACACGGGGGACCAAACCGCCGCTGCGGGCAAGATCCTTAAGGAGGCAGACGAGCAGATAGCCGCTGTCTCACAGGGCTATGAGCGGCTGGAGCGCGAAGTCTTACGCAAGTGGGAGGCTGCCGAGGAAGCGAGGGTTGCTGCGGAGAATTCCCTGGCCACCGTGCGTCTCGCACGAGCCGTTGCTAGGTGCATTGCGCTAGGCCGCCAGCTGGACAGCCAGATGGTCGAGGTTACTGGGCGTGGTGGGCTTTCTGGGTCCGGCTCTGGGTCCGGCCCTGCAGGCGAGCTGTCTTCTTCTGGTTCTGGGCCTGCGCCAGGGTCAGGGTCAGGGCGAGACGATACCCGTGCGCTGGAGCGCGCTGCATCAACCATCGTGAGTCTGCGTCGGCTGCTGTCTGATACGGGCGTAGGCGAAGAGGGCTATGGTCTGGACCGGGTCAAGGTCATTCGAACCCTAAAATCTGACCTTCTGATCCCGGCCGAGAACCTCGTCAGGGCCAGAGCACAGCAAGCCATCAACCGATTCTCCATCGCATCCTCGTCAAACACAAGCAATGGCACGGCCTCCCAATCAAGCTACAAACAAGCCCGCGATGCACGAGCCCGTCTCGTATCAGGCGTCAACACCCTCTATCTCCTCTCACATCTGCCGCCGAAAACAGCCATCCCAAAAGACTTCACTCCGGACCTCCTCCTCTCCACTCTGCAGGGTTTCATCCAAACAACCACCGTCGCCTCCCTCAACAATCTCTCCCGCTCACTAACTATGCTCCCAACCCTCGACAAAACGCTCCCCGAAATCTCAGCCCGCTGCCAGGACATCCACGCCCTGGAGACAACTCTCAGCACCATCAAACCCCCATCCCATCCTTGCCTTCCCCAAATATTCCAAGATACCACTTCCTCCCTATCGAGGAATAACCTCCTAACACCCCTCCTCAATACCCTCGACACATCCTCCCTGCCCTCCTACTTCTGGCGCTCCCTCGCGTCTTCCCTATCACCCCGTGTACAGGAAATCATCGCCCGTGGTGGTGTTTCGGCACGTACGCTCCGTTCAAGCCGCGATAGACTCAAGAAGGAGATAAGGGAATGTGTACTGCGGGGTTCGCAGTTGCCGGCTTCCGTGGGGATGGAGAAGCAGTCTACTCAGGGTAATTGGGAGCGCGAGGCAGCGGTTATGGTTGGTGCAGTGGCGGGGTTTTAGAGCGGTAGTTGCGTTGATCTCTCTTTTGTTTTATAGATCTATATACCTATGTGTTTTATCACCAATGTTGTGATAGCAGTTATACTTGATTGTACCTAGCTTGTATTGCCTACATCAGTAATCTATTACACTCTTATCTGCCAACCCCAGCAAGTCTTATATCATCGTGCTCTAGTAGCGCCCAGATGGGTCGTATTCTCTCTCATCATTGCGTTTCTTCCAGATAGGCTACTAGGATCGTAATTCGTGGACTACAGTTGAGCTCATGACAAAGGAAGCGGACCAAGCCCTGGTCTTACTTTAAAGCCGCTGTCCCTCCTTAGTATAATCAGCCGTGAGAGTCCCTTGAGTCTGCCGGCGTGGATGCCCACGCCTTGCAAAGGAGGAAACATAGTATCCATTCGATAATAGGTCTCTAGCTAATATTTGCCATATACCTTGGTAAACATATTCAACGAACACGCCCCGGTTGAGAATCCACCCTTTTCTTAGAGACTTGCTTTGAGTGGGATAGAGAGCGGCCCGTACTCGAAACCTCTACCCTAACATACCCCTTTTCTCGTCATGCCGTCGGCCTTAACCCACTTGAGATGCTTGCATGGCTATGTGCTTGTCGGAGACGCCATAGAGCGTCTTCTAGATAAGAAAGGGCATTTGTCCATTGAGGACTCGGTTCGGGCTTACTATCATCACAATACATGAATGCTCGAATAGCGTTGATATATGCCAAGATGAACCAGTTCAATTGACGTTTGGGTAGATATTGCACTGGGTGAGTTAGGGCACAATAAGCCATAGATAATGCTTACTTTGAGCGATATAAAGAAGTCACTCCTGTTCTTGGGAAAAGTTGGGATGCCTGCTTTCTGACCAGGGTGCAGAAGAGTATACTACTCTGTCTGTTGTGTCTAGCCCGAAGAGTTGGGAATTGTTGCCGGTGCACGACAGAGCGAGCACGGGAGCCCTGGCTCCTGTCTGTCGATTGATAAAGTCCAGGCTAGGACTCATGAGCGCCTAGATAGAGATCGCTCTTAACAAATATGACCGAGACTTACCGGCACACTCTGTCAGAATCTGAGCTATGGAATCCAGGCTAGCTTTGTCAGTACAAAACTCCTTTTTGACCTGAATATACACAGCATTGACCATCCCGAGTGAGACGAAGTGATATGCAATACCACCTTGCTTGGAGAAGAACTTGCCCTCCAATACCCCGCCAGGCTTGTCGACAATAGAACCCCAAAGAGGGCCACTATCCCACTAACCAACTGCTTCATATTAGTGCTATTTACTGGAAAGCTTGACCCGCAAAGAGCATTGATACTCACAACATACAGGTACTTAAAGCGTGTCTCTTCGCTGCCATGAGACACCATTGGCCCGTAAAGAGTCTCGGTCAGGCTGAGGTCGGCCACTATCTATTTGAAAAGACCATCTGGAATGTGTGTGCGAAAGACCTCAAGACCTAGCATATCGGGACGAAGAGGCTCATGGTCTAGCCAGACGTATTTGGCAACTTACTGGTATGTAATACTTAAGAAGGGGACATGTATCTTCTGCGCTGCGAGGATGTAAGCCAATCCGCACACGTAAGTGACTTTTTGCTGTGCTCATATCTTACCAGTCAATCTGGTGATTGCACGAGGGGTTATGTCGTAGCATGTAATCAACTCGAGGAGCGGCTCTTCATCAGAAAGACTCTTGTCAGCTTTTAGCCTGGCAAATTCAGCGGTCGCCTCTGCTTCTTATAAACCGTCCAGGCGAAGCCTTATGCGGCTTCCAGGTCGCCAGAATTTTACTCTCCCTGGTCAAGCGGGACTTGGATCCGGCTTATGAAAGACACCATTGCGTGAGGGCGTGAAGGGCTAAAGCTTAACCCCGTACGGTCTTCGAGGCTTGAGAGCCCGATGGAGAGATGCGGGATCTTTTGACCATGGTCACAAGCGGAATAGCAAGCCGCCAGGGCATACTTCCGTCCCAGCTCCTCATTTTCATCGCGTACAATGAGCAGTGGCTATTCTTCTCTGATAGTCGATGAACAAGTGAGAATGGTAGGGCAATTTGCTCTTTACTCGCGGGGCACGGGTGGCGGACATGATGCAACAATGCCCCATTGCCCCGGACCCTGAGCCGCCAGCTGCCCCTGCGCCAACCTGGGTTACGTAGACTTCGAAGTATAAATAGTGTACCCCTCAGGCCAAATCGCAATACACACGGCTACCTTCGGTCCTCAGCTCCTCGGCTCCAAGGCAACCCTCACCTCACTTCACTGACAAAAGCATTGCTACTGCCATCTCAGCGCTGGACGCATCATAAGTCCGGAAGTACTATGTACTATGCAATAGCAATAATCTTATTGCTTATGATATGCATGCGCTTGCATGGGTGTACGTAGGAGTTGGAGATGATGCACTGTTATTGGCGAGGAGGCGCCGGGAACAGATGTTGGAGGCTTTCACCGCTAGGCTGCAGGCCGGTGCTCTTGGACGCCTTGGGCAATGAGTTGTCTGGTATGGATTGTTTCAGGAGGTGTTGAGTTGAAAGTTTATGCGTACCTGAAGGTTGCCCCAGGGACGGGCAGATAGAAAGTATAAAGCATGTGATTGGGCAGGTTCTCAACTGCGTGAACCTTTGACAGGTCGTGCCCCGTAGACGTAGAGGCGAAATAACCACTAATTAGCGACGGATATGCCGGTGCTAATTAGCAGAATAGGTACCGACCACCAGGGCCTGGTACTCCGTACAGAAGTAGATACCTTATTCAATGTATCGGACTAAGTCCGTGGATGAGCAGCTGACCTTGATGGCTCGTGAAAGTAAGGGCATCCCCGCCGATAAGCCAGCGTTGGGCGGCTAGCTTTCTTTGTTCCTTTTTTTGAGAAGGCTGCCTCCGAATGGTGGTGCGCTGATACAATCCCTGCCACCCTGAAACCAGGTCCAGACCAGTCGGCGAAGAGGAGGGGCAGAGGCTGTCTCGGTGGCGCTGATTTTCAGGTGAGGAGTGAAACTCGTGTAAGATTGGTTTGGAGTGTCGAACTGCCCCTCTTCACTCTCGGTGTCCCTGATATCGCCACTGTTCCTTAGGATTTCAACTTGGGATGGTGCTGATAGCGTTGTTGGCCGTATTCCTATCAGGATAGCCATTGCAAATCATGCGCAAGGATATCCCTTGAAGGACTCAACTCGACTCATCCTCGCGGAAGGCTAATGATGCAGCAGCTGTCATGGTGATTGGGAATGTTGAACAAAACCGGAACGAAACCTTGACCCCACCATGGATCTCTCCACACTTTACCTAACGACTGTCTTACGTAGATCACACTCCGTAGACGGTAGACGACAGGAACCTTGGGGTGCTTCCTACCGTTCCTGCGAAGAAGAACTCCGTGGTGCGGTCGGGTACGAGTACATACATAGTACATCCAGGGATAGCGCTGTGGGAAAACACCCTCTGGGCCAATTGTAGCGATTCTGCGGGCTGATCATGAGGTGGGTATTGCGTGTTCGGTGCGGACTGAGCGCAGGATGATAACCAGGAACAAGAGTGACGCTATCATGGAGAGAGCTTGCGAAGACGAGTTACCTTGCTGGGAAGACGCGGGTGGCGACCGTACTCTTGTACTCTGGGGTAGGTATCCGAACTTTCCGAGGACCAGCAACGGTGTACGGAGTACTCCGTACTCCGTAAGAATACTTGCAACGGCATACAACGAGAACCCCTACCTTAAAAATGGATCGATAGGCCGTACTCTGTAACGGGTACAGCTAGGCCAGGGTCTATCGAAGCGAAGCACCTCATCGTGTCAGCAGGTGGTGCAAAATTACCAATCCCCGCATAATGTCTTCCATTGAAGCTGGGCCTGGGATTCTGGTCCGGTTCTTGCACTTCCGCCACAAACTTAGACTGAGAAGAATTCCAAGCGCATGGTTGGAGTCGACTTCTACCTGATTGGATACCCACGTGGCCTGATATTAGGAACAAGCAAACGACCGAGAGGCAGAAAATAACGACGATTGACGAGCGCACAGGATGCTTGCGCGATCTCGAATCTCGATGTAAGGTACTCCTGCATGTACCGCGTGGCGCAGTTTTGTCTCCATGGCTAGACCCTGCTGCAGAGCTCTAGAGTTCCAGTCTTCCGTGCTGGTAGTATTGGAGAGAGTTACCAGAGGAAGCTCAAGCTGAAGACCCCGCTCACCAAATGGTAACGTCACTCATCGTGCCCAACCGGCAACCAGCCTTTGGCATCGTTGCGCCGAAAGTGGAGCAGGCATCCTGGTTCCTGGATTGTAATAATGAGCTTGAGGAAACGGCAGGAAAGAAAGGTGCTTGGAATGCTGATCAGGGCACCAGCGTTGTAGCAGAGCCGCGGGGCCTGAATGACCCCTTGACCTTTGGTATGAGCTGTCCACGAAAGGGGACTGAAAGTCAAACCTAGCTGTTGCTATGTACCATGGAACAGCAAAGTATCCTCCTGTATGCTGCGTCTGGGGTGTGGGAGAAAGGATGATCCCAGAAGGCAATGCTAGTGTTTGAGCCGCCGCGGCCGTCTCACCTTTTAGATTTCTATACTCTGCAAGTATAGACGGTATGAGCTGTCAAGCACACCGCCAAGGGGAGATTCTATTTGAGGGTCCAGAAATTGTAGAAACACCCACCTGCGTCTCCACCCCGGATCGAATGGCGATGATTCGTGTCCGGCGTACCTGACGCTTGCCTATCACGGTGCAGAGTGCAGCCCCCGATCATCATGACCTCGCGGAGAGAGGGGTGGATGATTTCAGTTTGGTAGGAACCAACCTAAATGGTTATCGTCATCACCACCTGGATCTGAGGCGGCATCTTGCCGTCATCAACTATTGTTTCCCCTTACTTAGTCACTTCTCTTAGCTCTGGCTCCTCTTCTGGCCTGATTCTTTCCTTTTGAGCCCTCTCTGGCCTTCTTCCCTGCCTCCCATATTACCTTACCTTCCCACAGCCTTGTCGGCTCGTCTCGGCTTCCCAACGTCCTTATCATTATTCACCCTCCGCTTCCGCTTCCTCCCCAGAGGTGCCTGAGCCCGTCCATACACGCCAGCGACACCGTCGCTTCCTATTAATAGGCGCCGTTTTTGACGGATCTGATTGTATTGCAATTTTGAACTTCCCCTTCCTTCGCCTCGCGTCGATCCGTCAGTCGCCTCGCAGCATCTACTCGTCTATTATTAACACCCTGTTGCCCAGTATTGGATTTAGTTTGGGTCTTGGCTGGGCCCCGGTGTCTTGAATTACTACTGTCATACCCACAACAACCGGGACTCGACCTCTCCATCGAGTCCACCAAATCTTCGCCGTCTCACCTCTCTTCTTTTCTTTCCCCCTCCCCCATTTTCCAAGTCGACGCTTTTCACCTCCTCTCCTTTGGATCCAACTACTTTCCTTTATCGCCGACCGTGAGAGATGCGCCCTTGGTACTAATGCTTCGCCGTCTTCGCCCGGAGTTCGTCCAGTCGTCATCCTCAGATCACGTCCACGGTTTAACTCCATCCGTACTCATCTCATCCCCTCGCTTAAACACCCTGTTGGCGCAGGGATACCTCCATCCCTTTCCTGTAAGTTGTCATGCAACATTCAAAAACAAGGGAATAAAAGCAATGCAGAAAATTGTCTTTGGTTCCTGATCCATTTTCATCCCTTCGTTGCCGCTCATAGCGATCATAACATGGCCACCTGCTTACTTGACCTGCGTAAACGCTTCTAGTAGTCAGCATCTTCGGTCGATCTCGTCTTTTACCTCGTCTCGAAAGCGTCAATTCTCCCTTTTTTTAGTATCGTGTCAAAGCACATTTCCGAGTCGGACTCGTGTATACATTTTGGAGTGGCTTTCTCATGAAGTTTCGCTGTCAATATGTCTTTCTTACCTGTCAATAACATTTCTTCGCCACCAGACCGCGCCATGGAGGATGCAAACGCAACGTCTGCGACACCTCGCCCTCAATCAAATAGCATGCCCACTACACAGGATGCCGGGGCTTCAAGCAGTAACACTGATATCCATATGCCTGACGAGTCTCGCCGGAGTACACATTCGATCTCTGATGAGACCATCCAAGCCGACTCGGATGGAGAAGGTTCAGATAACGGGTCGGAGCGAAAGGAACATGCACCGCCATCGAAGAAAAAAAAGGGCCAACGTTTCTACTGCACCGACTTCCCGCCATGTAATCTCAGTTTCACTCGGAGCGAGCACCTGGCTCGCCACATTCGCAAACATACCGGAGAGCGGCCGTTTCAATGCCACTGTTCACGGCGATTCTCCAGGCTGGATAATTTGCGACAACATGCCCAGACTGTGCACGTGAACGAGGAGATACCAGACAGCTCGCTAGCGGCCACTGGCACTCGCTTTCAACGCCAGGTCAGAACTGATCGAGTGCGGCCTCAGGGTCGCGCGAGAGCAGGAACTGGAGGTAGTCAGGGAACACACAGCAGGGGCCACAGTAGGAACCTGTCGACATCAAGCATCGCTTCGACAGCCTCAACATTCAGCCAACCCGCGGAACTGCGCCGGCGCCCGCCGCCGTTGATCATGGCAAATGACGGAAGCGCGAGGTCTAGGCTAGGTCTTGACCCGATGATGGACACCCCCACTACGCCACCTGCCCAGGTTCGAGGTTTCCATGCGCCGCCGGGCGGCTCTCCATACACACCCTCCCAGATGTATCCCGCTAACGGCTCTCCTATGCCTGGGTCGGCCCAGGTTGCCGGCTTCTGGGAGGGCAAGACCGCAGCTCGTCGATTATCTGTTCCGTCAGGAATTAACCCTTTTGCACCCCAGCAATATGCTCATCCTTACACTGCTGCAACCTACGCAGCGCCTGGCGAAATATATGCTAGTCCTGTCAGCGGAAAATACCCAGTGGAAAGGGATTATCAACCGACGGAAGCTGAGTTGCGGCGAAGGACGTGGCATTATTCGACATGGCCTACTCCCTCCCGCACGGAATATAGTGGCCTCAGTAATTCTCAAACATCGGAAACGCTTCCAGCGGTTGGAGGCAACGAAACCGCAGACCGGCCGCCGCGTCTGCCGGGGATTGAAAGCTTCGACAAATTCGCTGCGCAGCGCTCCTTGACACCTCCTGTGCGCAAGCCCAGTCCGATGCAGGTAGACAACAAACCGCCTCCCGGTTACAACTTCAGCGGCGGGTTCAACTATGCACCACCACCGGGACGACCCGCCCCGCCTATTTCTGGGCCTGGTCACCGACGCGGCCACGTTTCGTGGGATATGTCGCTGCATACAAACCTGACCGGTCTTCACATCAGGGACAAGCCAATTTCCCAGCGTGATGCATCGACCTGGGGCCAACAAACTATCTCGGAACTTCGTAACATTGGTTCCCGTCCGTCATCATCATACCAGCAACAGCTCCAGGAGTTCCGTGGTCATCATGGCTCGTCTTCGTATAGCACCACTGCATCAAGCTCACATGCTGCGCGAACGAGCCCAGAAGATTCAAGTAGCAGCGAAGGAGTACACACTCCCTCAACAGCATCACTTGAGTACCATCCGGCCATTGTGCATAACAACGGCTTTGTCGAGCCCCATCATCCTCCCTTTTCTTCTGACACACCTCAAACTGTACGCACCCGTTATCAATGAGGACCAGCGATAAATCACTGATTTGGAGTCTAGGCTTGTCCTCCTATATCACAACCCGAAAACTACCATTTAAAACACGAATCGCGGCCTGGCCTCCACAATGTTTCAAGAGATCCTGGAATGGGTCGACTTGAGGCTCTTGTCGCGGTTGCTACGAGCGAAAACAAGAATGCCGCAGATATCATGGTGTAGCCAATCATGTCTACGTTATGTGCTGTGATCTTTACTGTCTCCCGGTCTCTTAATGGCCTATACCAGCTATCCGATTTCCTTCCGTCCAAACCTAGTGGCGCTATTTTTGTCAGCATCCCACTCTCCCCTCCAGACTACAACACCCACTTTCGTTTCCTTTCGGTTTGAGTGTACATGGCGTTTTAGACCCCGGGCCTATTGTGACTTGATTATATACACAGCGTTACGGCAGCTCTTGATGACTTGTGATGACTGATGAATGAACGCATAGTGATGGGTTCCAAGGAGGTGTTCTTTCGATGTCAATACTTTGTTCGGATTACTTTTTCTGTTGTGTTTAACTTTTGGCCTGCATGATCTGGCGTTCTCCTTCGGGTCGTGTGTTCAGCGCTTGAAGATACCCCAGCTTCAATCCCGGCTTTAGTTGCTGCGAGGTTCTGGGCAGAATTTCTTTCGTCGTGGTGTGGCAGCGTTTGTGTTACTGTTTTCTCTCGTTATTTTCCCTACCTGAATATATGAATCATCATTACTTCTGTGTTTGCCGTAAGCTTCTAATTGATTTTGGCGTTGTCGCGACTCCAGATTGCTTGTGGCTACAACCCTATGTGCTTTAGCTAAGTCAACCCAATTGATATCATCACTGGTCCAGTCGATCTTGAGCTTCCAAGTCTCTTTAATCTATTTACGTATACAATAAGAATAAGCCGTTAGAGTTCCCCACGATGATCTCATGAACTGTTTCGATCCATGTGGCTTGGCTTGGATAAATGCAGGTGGTGATGTGGTGATCCCCTGGTGACGTCAGGTAACCTGGAAGCATCGCCGAGTCTCCCCGCTCGCCAGTACTACATAAACCCCTGTGTCTCCCATAGTCTAAGGTCTAAGATCCAGAATCAGAATCACGAGCATCAATCGACTCTCCTCACTTACGACCTTTCTCACACCACACTACTCGAACGAAGGATATACAGACCCCCGTGTCCTACCTCACTACAACACAACCGACTTTATCACGTCACGACCTAACCCAACCCACCACTACCTACAATCACAATGGCCGCTGCCCCCAAGAGCCGTACTGGACTGTACCTTGGTCTCACCGCTCTCGGTGCTGGCGGTTACTACTTGTACCGCGCTGGAGGCGAACCCAAGGTTGCGAAGGAGGAGATGAACTGTTAGTTCTCCATTTCCGATGCCAGTGACCGACCATTGACTAACAACTGCACGGTAGACGACATCAACAAGGCCCGCGCCAAAGCCCCCGGAGCCGAGACAGGCGAGAGAGCTGGTGAGCGTGCTGGACTGGAAGCGAACCTGAACATCGATGAGGCTGTATGTTCTCTCTACTCCACAACTTTTGTCAACGATGGTGCTAACATGCCGGTGTCCAGGCAAACCAACCCGTAACCAAGAACACCGACCTGGCATCCCAGGCACAGCGAAAGTTCGACGACTTGAGCCAGGCGGGCAAGGACCAGGCGGCGCAGGCACAGAGGAAGCTGGACGACCTGAGCCAGGCCGGTAAAGACCAGGCGAGCAAGCTGAGCCATGAGGCGGAGCAGAAGGCGGCCGAGGCGAAGAGCACAGTGTCAGGCTGGTTTGGCCGGAAGTAGATACCCTCACTACGGAGTACTTGAGTTTCTTGGGTGCTTTTTATGATGATGATTGCATGAATGTGTGCTCTGTGGAGTACTTCAGGCTGTTCGGTATAGCTATACCTCGGTAGTTATTCCAGTCTAACTCAATTGACGATAATTAATGACAATAAAGGGCCCGATCTGGCTCCAATACTCCGTTCTTCTCGTAATTCTCCGGGGCAGTGGGGATCGAGGTATGCGGCATTCCAGACCTGGGTCTCGACCTGGACCTGAACACCGTGGCGATGCGTGGGCTTGGTTCGGTGGTATAGAATTGTTAAATAAACATCGATTGAATCTTCTGCTTCACGATCTGGACCTTAGAGCAAGCTTTACCACTTCTGAACTGTTCAATTATCGTGATGAGTTGACATGGTGCAAGTAATTTAACCCGATCGAGATGAAATCGCGAAATCGCGTCGCGACGCGTCTGTGCTAAAAAAACCCGCGTGGAGAATCTCTCCAATTTTAACCGCCCCATCATCCATCCCCTTACCTACACAAATCGAACCTCATTCTCACACCTATTTACCGTTGCGATTCTTCCGATTACCTTACCTTCCATGTTTATACTTCACTGAATAGCGGAACCATTTTAAGCTTAATAGTTTAATTATCTACGGAAGTCGCGATGCCTCGCACCTCCTCTACCGTCACGCGGAGCCGCTCAGCACGCCTTCCTCGAGCACAAACACAGCCGCAACCAGGGATTCAGGGTTTTGCAAGAGCGACCAAGCCTGGCGTCGGCCTCAGCGCGGTAGCAGACGGCAAGAAGGACCTCGAAGCCAAGCGTCCGACGCTCCCAGTCTCACCTTCCAAGAAGCGGAAGTTGAGCGAGCTTCACAATGTCGATTTTGTTGTGCGGGAACAAGGGCAGCAGGGGAAGGAGGCTACGGTTACGATCTCGGAGGAAAACCAGGAGAACGAGAATGTCGACTTGTTGAATTTGACGCCGTCGAAATCGCTCAAGTTCAGTTCATTATCTGTTTCGTCGCCGCGCAGTGGTCACTATGCTGCCCCTACATCTACACCTTCGGCTCTATCGCCTTCGCGCTCGACGCGCTCGGCGAGAACTAGCATTATCCGGGAGGACGAGGACGAGGATGATAGTGTGCCGTCCACACCCACGAAGCGTGTGGCTGCGACTCCGACGCGTCGAGCGAAGACGACTGCGTCATTACCGCGTTCAAGCGCGTCTTTCAGTCTTCCAGCGCGTCCGGCCGGCGTCGAGGAAATGGTCCGATTGCATTCGGCGTTTCTCAAGGCGTTGACGATTCACGCTGCGCACCGGGGTGTTGCTGCGCCTGCGGATCTAAGAGATTTCTTGCCTAGCATCGAGCGAATCTGGAAAAAAAGGAAGGTTGTTGTTAAAGATCTACAGCGGCTCCTGTGGATCTGGCGCCAGGGTCCGGGATGTGCGTTTCGACTTGCGAATCATGGGCTTGGGCGTGTTTGCTTGGAAAGGATTGCTGGGCGGGCGGAGCGGCTTAATGATGAGGCCGAGATGCAGAGCCGGTTTGAGGAGGCGGTGGATTTGCTCTACAAGCAGGTTGCAGAGCAGGATGAGGGTGAAGAGCTGGATTTCATTGCGACGCTGGGACTGGTCTCCATCGAGGAGTCTTTGGCGCCGTTTACGGCGTTCCGGAAGGGACAGCAGCGGCTGCAGGATTTGAAGGGGGGCGTTATCAAGGTGAAGATGGATGTGCTACTGGCCGAGGCCGCGAATGATGAGACCTCCGGGACGACGCCAGCGAAGATGCGTGACGCGACGACGAACCGACGACAGGGGCTGCTCGATCGAATCAAGAATAAATCGCTGCGTCAGTCGAAGCTGCCTCCGCCTCCATCTAAGGAAGTGCTACTTCGTCGTGCTGCATCTGGGCGTGTTGAGGAGGTTGCGAACGTACTTGCTCTTCTGCGGCCCGCCGGCTATGTAGGCAGTGGTCCGATGGCGAGAATGGCAGCGCAGCGTACACCGTTCTGTCTCGAGACCATCGTTCAGAGGGTGCAAGACTCAACGCGGAATCCTATATCGGAGAAAGAGGTGGAAGCTTGTCTGGAGATCTTGGCTCGAAACGACATAGCGGGCCACTGGGTGAGCATTGTTGTCGTGAACCAGCTGAAGTCGGTTGTTTTGCAGTCGTGCGGTGATGTCCAGCTGAAGGACATCGGGGCCAAAGTGGCCCAGTTGAAGCCGGGGTGGGAGGACACTCCAAAGCTTATAATTTGAAATCTGGCTCTTTTTTGCATATCACTGTTTGGATGGAAGTTTTTGGTTTACGGATACCTCATGGCAGCACGGCATTCTTGGAGTTATGACTACTGGCGACATTTTATGTACAAGCATAGCGTTGCATTTGATACCTGTATGATAGACTATACTTAATCAACTACTATTCAAAACTCCCAACCTGCTGCAAATTCTTCAATCATTCTTGACACGACTGTCAAACCAATTTGGCTCAACGCGGGCTCACGTGACTTAAGTCGCGTCTCGAACGCGCCAAGAATCTATCTATCGACGATAAGAGCAACGAAGCTCAAGACATCTTCCACAACGCACAGCCAGTAGTCAGATCATTTCCCGGGAGTACGTGTGGCTGCTGGTATTAACCATGTCATCTCGGCCAGACCTCAAGGTGAGCTCAATTCCTCAATTCGTCAACTCAACACCGAAACCAACTTTATCTGACAATCTATATCTCGCAGATCGACGACGAAGTCGGCTTCATCCGATTTTACCGCTCCCTCGACCCTGTAAGCGATGAGACTATCCGGATCTTCGACCGTGGCGACTGGTACTCGGCCCACGGCGCCGAAGCCGATTTCATAGCTCGAACCGTTTACAAGACTACCTCCGTCCTGCGCAACCTCTCCGGCGGCTTGCCGTCCGTCTCAATGTCCGTTACGGTGTTCCGAAACTTCTTACGAGAGGCACTGTTCCGACTAAACAAAAGAATTGAGATCTGGGGCTCTGTGGGTACAGGCAAGGGGCATTGGAAGAAAGTCAAGCAGGCGAGTCCCGGCAATCTGCAGGATGTGGAGGACGAACTTGGAGCCATGGGAATGGCAGGCGCAGGAAGTACAGGGGCGCCGATCATCATGGCCGTCAAGCTTAGTGCGAAGGCCGGCGAGGCGCGAAATCTGGGCGTTTGCTTTGCGGATGCGAGTGTGCGCGAGCTGGGCGTGAGCGAATTCCTGGATAACGATGTCTACTCGAACTTTGAGGCGCTTATTATTCAGCTCGGTGTCAAGGAGTGTCTTGTTGTGCAGGATGTCAATCGGAAGGATGTGGAGGTTGGCAAGATCCGGGCGATTTGCGATAACTGCGGGATTGCGATCTCGGAGCGGCCTGTGTCTGACTTTGGGGTGCGCGATATCGAGCAGGATCTTACGCGTCTCTTGAAAGATGAGCGCTCTGCTGGGACGCTGCCGCAGACGGAGCTCAAGCTTGCGATGGGAAGCGCGGCGGCGCTGATTCGGTACCTCGGTGTCATGTCGGATGCGTCGAACTTCGGGCAGTACCAGCTCTACCAGCATGACTTGGCGCAGTTTATGAAGCTTGATGCGGCGGCGTTACGGGCGCTGAATCTCATGCCTGGCCCTAGGGATGGGTCGAAATCGATGAGCTTGTTTGGGCTCTTGAACCATTGCAAGACGCCTGTTGGAAGCCGGCTGCTGGCCCAGTGGCTGAAGCAGCCGTTGATGGATCCGACTGAGATCGAGAAGCGACAGCAGCTTGTTGAGGCGTTTGTTGTGAGCACAGAGCTGCGGCAGACCATGCAGGAGGAGCACTTGCGATCGATTCCGGATCTGTATCGGCTTGCGAAGCGGTTTCAACGGAAGCAGGCGAACCTAGAGGATGTGGTGCGTGTATATCAGGTTGCGATTCGGCTGCCCGGGTTTGTGAACTCGCTGGAGAATGTCATGGATGAAGAATATCAGACACCACTTGAGACAGAGTACACGGCCAAGCTGCGCAGTTACTCAACTAGCCTAGCGAAGCTGGAGGAGATGGTTGAGACGACGGTTGACCTGGACGCTCTGGAGAATCACGAGTTCATCATCAAGCCTGAATTCGATGACAGTCTACGCATCATCCGCAAGAAGCTGGATAAGCTGCGCCAGGATATGTACCAAGAGCATAAGGCCGTCTCAAAGGATTTGGATCAGGAGATGGATAAGAAGCTGTTTCTTGAGAACCACCGCATGCACGGGTGGTGCTTCCGTCTAACACGGAATGAGGCGGGTTGTATTCGCAACAAGAAAGCATACCAGGAGTGCTCAACGCAGAAAAACGGAGTGTACTTCACTACAACGACGATGCAGGCTCTCCGCCGGGAACATGATCAGCTTTCCTCGAATTACAACCGCACTCAGACAGGGCTTGTCTCGGAGGTCGTTTCCGTTGCAGCGTCGTACTGTCCCGTCCTAGAGCAATTAGCCGGCGTTCTCGCTCACCTCGATGTCATTGTGAGCTTTGCGCATGCTTCGGTCCACGCTCCAACGGCCTACACTAGACCCAAGATCCACCCGCGAGGCACAGGAAACACCGTCCTCAAGGAAGCACGACATCCCTGTATGGAGATGCAAGATGACATCTCCTTCATCACTAATGACGTCTCGCTTATCCGTGACGAGTCCTCATTCCTCATCATCACCGGTCCCAATATGGGCGGTAAATCAACATACATCCGCATGATTGGTGTCGTCGCGCTCATGGCGCAGACAGGCTGCTTCGTCCCATGCACCGAGGCAGAACTTACAATCTTCGATTGCATCCTTGCCCGTGTCGGCGCGAGCGATTCTCAGCTGAAAGGCGTTTCAACCTTCATGGCCGAGATGCTTGAAACATCTAATATTCTCAAGTCCGCAACCTCCGAGTCCTTGATTATTATTGACGAACTGGGCCGCGGTACCAGCACATACGATGGATTTGGTCTCGCCTGGGCGATCTCAGAACACATCGTCAGCGAGATCCGCTGCTTCGGGCTTTTTGCAACCCACTTCCATGAACTCACGGCATTGGCCGATCGATACCCTAAGTCTGTCAAGAACCTGCACGTCGTCGCATTTATCGGTGATGGAACTGAAGAACAGGAGGACAAGAAGAAGAGTCAACAGAAGGTCACCCTTCTCTACCGCGTCGAACCGGGAATCTGTGACCAGTCCTTCGGTATCCACGTCGCCGAGCTTGTCCGCTTCCCTGAAAAGGTAGTCAATATGGCGCGACAGAAGGCCGAGGAGCTGGAAGATTTCACGTCCGCCGATCCCTCAGGCAAGGCTGCTTCTACCGCGATTGACAAGTATTCGCAGGAGGAGGTTGAAGAGGGTAGTGCACTTTTGAAGGCGATGCTGCTTAAGTGGAAGAGTGCGATTGAGGAGCCTGGGAAAGAGATGACGGTTGAAGAGAAGAGGCAGATTATGAGGGATCTCGTGAAGAGTGATGAGAAGCTACAGACGAACCGGGTCTTCCAGGGGATCCAGGCACTGTAATTGATGCTATAAGAGTCCCTTTTGTTTGTGTCTTTTGATTCGGGGTGTCTAGGGTATGTTTCTGTCTGTTTAATGGTGGCAGTTATGGCGTTCGGGGGTAAATTCTACGGGATAGATTCTAGCTAGGTCTTCTATTTTTCGGGTAATGGATATCATGAACATCTATCTAGTCTTTTCAAGGTATATGATCAACATCTAGAGCAATGTCCTTGCTCCATGCCCTGTTGCCCGCTATAGTGTGGAATCACGTGCATCAGGGTCCAGAGTCCAGGCGCATCGGAGTAAATACGGAAATTCGCTGGATGGACAGCGACACCACGAACACTCCAAACGCTCATTCATCTCTTGTTCTTTCCCCCATTGAGTGTTCTTGTCTACTCGGTTTGATTCGCCCTTCAAGCGCCCGCGCGTCCGTCCTTCGACTCCTGCATACGCAATCCGAACCCCACCCCTGTCCCTCGTTCTCCGTCCGTGATGTCCCTCCGGTCCAATTGAACGAAGCTGGCCCATCCGATCGCATTCAACAACAGCCTGATTCATGCACCCCTTTTCCATTCTCACCCTCGGCATCTTCGTAGCGGGCTACATCACCGCGAGGTGGGATCTCGTCACCCGGTTATACGAACTGGCCATATTTGCCTGGGATCACGGCGTCGTGGTACGTTGCTTCCGTCGCGCTACAGAGCGCTTCATGTGAGCTCTACTAATCTCCAATCGCTTAATAGACTAGGACAGCGAAAGGCTTCGTCTTTCTTTCCGTTTTCTTTTTCCTACTCATTATCCCAATCAATCATCTTGCGCAAAAAGAGTGTGATCACGTACGTTGCATTGTTATGGATTGGCTAGCTATAAAATACGGCAGGGACTAACTACTGTTCTGTCGCTCTAGCATCCCCGACCTGTCCACCTCGGTGTCTCCGCTCGCGAACAACTACGCCGTCGCGGCTCGTTCTAGGCTTCGGTGGAGGATGACAAGTTGACAATATGCAGATGAGCGATGGATTGCTACGGGTATTTTGGCCATACGACCTTCCTCGGTCCTCAGCGCCGGGCGTAATTGTTGGGTGGCGGAACTCGGAGCTGGACTTGTTTGTGCTGGCCGTGTTGGAGGATGTTGAGCCTCGAAATGTCGATAATGCCCTCCGCGCCGGTATCCTCTTCCGCAACAGCCCCCATCCGGTTCCGCGCATATTTGGCCTATGCGGTCGTTCGGCGATGCATGTTTTAGGGTCAACGAACCCTCGGGATCCGCCGACAGCGTTCAGTGCGTCGCATTTAGTCGTTACTACTCGGCCGCCGGGGAAGGTGCCTAGGATATATTGCCCGCCGGAGACCGGTCTTTCGATTCAGGTCATTATGTTCCACCGGCCAGATCCAACGAGGATGGAGTATATGTCGCTGAACCCTATTTCTCTTGCTTTGGAGGACAAGGTTCTTGCTGCGGACAAGGCGGATGGGATAACGGATATGATAGAAACCGGTGAAAGCGCGCAGAAGGCTCGCGCGCAAAAATTGGTGGAGAAGCTGAGACTGCATACGGTGGTCAAGCATGTTGCATCGCACAAGGAGTTGGCGCTTCCATTCATCGTCAACCAGGTCAATTGCGCATACGAGATGGGGAAGCTGATAGAGAAGAACAGCAGCCTGATCGGTATCCGTGTGAAGCGGAGCATGAGTGTTTCGGAGCGGGTGGTTGAGTCGGCGACGACTGCGCGGGACCTGTTCGTCCTCGGGGTGTCCTTTGTCTTTTGGCAGTGGATATGGCCGGTCGTTACTCGGATATTTGTGATAGGGCTGGTTTTTCACCGCGTCATTGCGGACTTTGTCCTGCAGGTCCTGGAATGGCGTGCCCGGCCTGATGCGGCGGCATTGAAAGATATCTCTGCGACAGCGCAGCAAGTGGACATTCGCTTGCAGCAGTTTTGCTACTGGCCTACGCAGTATGTTAAGTTGCGGCAGAGGAAGGATGACTGGGAGAGTGTGACCACCTACCATGCGCACTACATTCGGTTCTATAATAGTCTGTGGCTTGTTGCCAACGATGTGATTATTGGAATTGCCATGGGCTCATACATCATCGATAATGCCAACTGGGTAGCTTACCAGATCAATCATGTTCTCAGCGGTTGGACGGTCGAGGGCCTGCAGCGGACGATCTCCTGGCTGATGGACTGGCCTGCTGGGTTGAAGTTGAACAATGAGCTTGCTGCGTTCCTGGGTGATCTTTTTCTATGGGTTATTGAGAACTGGGCAGCATGCATTGCAAACCTTCAACCTTACCTCCCTCACATCATCTACGTTATCGGATGCGCGAGCTTCGCCGGCGCCAGCATGCCAATCGCCCTGTTCTCGGACCTCATTTCCATTCTAACAGTACATATTTACTCGTTCTACATTGCATCAGCGCGGATCTTCAACTGGCAGCTCACGATCATCATCTCACTATTCCACCTCTTCCGCGGTAAGAAGCGAAACGTCCTCCGCAACCGTATAGATTCTTGCGACTACGACCTTGACCAGCTTCTTCTCGGAACTATCCTATTTACCGTCCTCTTTTTCCTCTTGCCTACGGTGATCGTTTTTTACCTCGCGTTCACGTCCGCGCGCATGTTGATAATCTTTCTGAAGGCGGGACTTGACACCTGGCTCGCCTTTCTGAACCACTTTCCGCTTTTCGCGCTGATGTTGCGCGTTAAGGATTCGAGGAGGTTACCGGGTGGCATCCGCTTTGAACTCCGTGCTGAACACGACAACTCGCCTAATACCCTCGAACCAACGATACACTACATCCACCTTGAAGTATGCCTCCCTTGCCGTTTTACAAGTCAGGAGACTAACGAGCCCAGTCCATTCCCTTGACCCTCCGCGCCATGTTCGACCAATACTTCCAACTCGGCCACCGCCTGCGAAAACACTACCTCTCACCACAGGTCATCTTCTGCCTCTTCACCGGCCGCTTTGTGCCTCCCATCCACCGCCGCAACCTCTACAGTATGCAATACAGCATGCTTCCTGATGTTCGGCCTTCCCTTGCACAGGTGTGGAGTGAGTTGACCCAGCCGACGAGGAAGTCTGGTGGTAGCTCCTCAGGGTCGAGCTCTGGACAGGGTAGTAATAGTATTGGAATTGGGATTATGGGCATGAAGGTTGGCGGGCATGGGGAGAGGAGGAGGGGGTATCGATGATCCGATGATTTTATGTGGCATGAGAGGACCTGTATAAATAATGATGGTGGGTGGTTGTACGTACTATTTCTATTCTCTATACCTAATTAATACCAATACCCCATTTCGTATGAAGATACCTCAAGATTTTGGGTGCTTCATGTGGTTAGCTAGACCATCTCATTCTCGATCCCGATCCCAGGCGTATGTGCGGTATCCCTTTTGGGCTTCTAGGGTCCATCACCACTCTCCTCCCCTCCTTGTCTGTATCCGGATTGCAGTGTAAAAACATCTATAAGCAGGCCGCCTCGGGTCTCTTCTCAGTGCGCTCTGGGCTTTATCTGAGCAGCCTAGCCCTATCGAAGACCTACTTCAGCTTCAGGCCATGGTTCTACAAACCTGACATTTCTGGGAGTCATCGTCAAGGTAGCTATGTCTTGGCATACCGAGCACTGGGACGATTGGGATGGTCTACTACCGGTAGTCCGTTGCCTGATTTTCGCGGTATCTCATGCTCAGCAATGCAACGATATATATGTGTTCGGGCGTGGGATCTCCAGTGTGATGAATGCGTTTTAACGTGAGATTTATACCCCCATACAAGCACCCATCGCCTTCTTATACCCCAGCACACGTTCAAGTAAGAAAAATCGAATATCAGACATGTTCTTCTGGACATCTTACACCATTTCGGATGGTTGTTGAAAGAGCTGCGTGATTGTCACCCACGCTTTGCCTTTTTGAATACCCATTTGAGTAGTCCTGTCTCCGTCCGTAGGAATTGTCTTTTAGGGCAACTCCTACTAGTTTACCTTGCCGGAATCGTCCACGTAACGTTCAATGTCCTCATTCCGTTTAACATTAACATCGGTCGCTCTCAGCTTAAAATAGCACCGACCAGCTCAGGTCGATTCCCCGTTTCGGAACGCATTGCTTTTTTTGTTTATGAAGCTTTTGGAAGCCCATCTGTCGAATCTCGATATACCTTCATTTGTATAGATCCAACCCGAGTCCGCGGCTCCGGGTGCGGCTCCGAGAAGCCTTGGCCCTTCCTACTCTATTCTCCCCAGCCTCAGCAAAGAGCATAAATTTTAGCTGTCCCCGGTCAAACTAGGGCTACGCTCGCTTCTTATCCTCGTGCCGGATTCAGCAACGTTTGATGAGCTGTAAAACACTCCATATAAACATAAATTCATAGCCAACAATCACTGCAGAACTCGGCCATTACTCTCCTCAACGACAAGATCAAACTCAGGCTGGAACTCGGTGTAGAAGTTATGCTGCGGCCTGTCAGTATGCCGTGATATATCAGTCAATTCAAGGAGCCATAAGATAGACATACCGCATTCTGCGCCGCATCAGCCGTATACTGCGCGATATTGTCGGGGATGATCTTCTTGGGGACGCCATTGGCAGCCGCAGCCTCGGCCATCAGTTGCGCGTGGCAGGCGGAGTCAAGACTGACGAAGAGCCAAGCGGCTTCGTCGACGGTTGAGCCGACTGTGATGAGGCTGTTCCATGTTAGTGGTAGGGGGAAGGGGCTAGGCGATAAAGGAACTAAAACGCACCCATGGTTCTGCAAAATGCAAGCAATATTGTCCTTCCCCAGCGCGGCAGCGATAGCTCTCCCTTCATCCTGCGCGAGCGCAACACCACCGTGCTCTTCGTAGACGCTTAACTTGCCGTAGAAGTTGCAGGCATCTATATGCGCCCCATTAGCCTCGCTCCACCTATACACCAGATCAAGTCATAAAGAAAGAGATATAGTACCTTGAGTAATCATCTCAATAGGCTTGCCAAACGCACTCCACGCCTTCCCGTAAACGCCATGCGTGTGCGCCGCCGCCATGACATCCGGCCGCGCCTTGTGGATCTCCGAATGGATCATGAAGCCCGCCTCGTTGACGGGCTGCTGGGCACCACCCTCAGTCACGTACCCGTCCGCATCAACGAGAACAAGGTCAGATGCCTTCATGGCGGAGAAGTGCTTGCCGAAGGGGTTGATCCAGAAGTGGTCTTTTAGGACGGGGTCTGCACGCCGCGTTAGCAGGCCATTTCAAGAGTAGGAAAGCAAGGCATCATACCTCTCACAGAGATATGTCCGCTAATCCCCTCGTTAAACCCTTGCTTCCCGAAAACCCGGAACGCAGCGGCCATGTGCTCCTTGATCCATTGGCGCTCGGCGTAGGGGTCGGTGAAGGTCGGGATGCCGCGGAGCTTGAGGGTTCCAGCGCGGTTGCCGCGCGCGACGGCCTGGAAGGTCTTATCTTCGAGAGCTGGAGTGATGGGTTTCTTGCCCTTGTCTTCGTGCTCAGTTGGTGTTACTACCACCTGGGCTGGGGCGGGGGTTGTGAGTGTCGTGGTGGACATCTTGTATGATTATCCGGTACCTCTAGTGATAAGAGGAAATGGGGTCGATGGATGAGATACTGAGAGGACTCCATTCGAGCAGACGGGACTGTCGTCTATTTAACTTTCAGCCTTATCTTGCACCCCACTTGATCCGTTGGAGAAGTTGGAGAGTTGGATGCGGTGATACGGGGTTGTCGTCGGAAGGCGCATGTTGTTTGCAGGCGTCGGAATTGGAGATGCAGACTCTATTGGTTTAGATATTGTTTGCCACGGCTTTGGGATTGATGCTATGTAGGTTAGGTAGGTATGCATCACCTGCGTCAGTGACCGAGTCAATTAGAGGATCAGTTCTATTCATAAATGATGGACGCCCGAAACCAGAACGCCATCTATACAAAGCCCATGCCAGCTAGGGTATACATACACAAGAATATATACAATGTGAAGGAACAAAATCACGGCAACTCGTGAACGTAAGAGCTGCCAAAGAACTGGTGATAGAAAGACAAGTAGTAAAAAAAAGGAAAAAAGTAAGCGAATGCAGTTGATCGGGACGGGCTGGCTATACCGCGCCATCTCCCTTCATATTCATCATCTCATACTCTCCGCCGCCGTTGCGTCCACGCCCTGAAAGAAGTCCAGTGCTGCTCTCACCGGTTTGAGACGACTCTCCCGAGCCCTACCTCGAGGAGCCGGTACCAATGCCACCGAAGCTAATCGGTTGAAGCTCGCGCCATCGACAAGCCCACATGCCGAGAGAAATCATAAAGGCGGCGCTGGCGCACTGCAAGGCCCACCAGAGCAGATTGGAAGGAAGAGAACGTGTGTAGAATGTCGTGATGATAAGATGTATGAAATGTATCGTGAGAGCAAAGTCGGGAATGAGCTTTGAGCGAGACACAAGGAGAAGCAGGAAGATGACACTATAGAAACGAATTATTAGCAGGGCAATCGAAGTCACGCCATAGATAGGAGAGCCCACCATAGAAAGCTATTCAACATCCACACAAACCCCAGCATCCACCCTAGCGTCGTATCACCCCGCAACGCATTCCAACTAAAGACTAGATCCAACGAGAACGCCGTGCCGTAGACAAGCGTCGTGAACAGGATCAGAGTCGTCGCGGTGACATAGTAGGCGGCCTGGAGGAGGAGGATCTTGCGGATGATTTTCAGCGGTGGGAGGTCTGTTCGCGCCCCCGCTGGAGGAGGTCGTCGGCGCGGGGGCATGAACTATTCGTGTACCAGTTTGAACTGGTCGTTCGGCAGATTGTGTCTTGTTCGGCGCGGCGATGGGGAGGGTTAACGGTGCTGTCGGAGAGGGCCCGTCGATGTGGGGGATTTCGTGACAGGACGGCGCGCAGATTCGGAGGACAAGCCCTTTAATAAAGGTACTTGTCGTATGGCCTGGTACATCCACCGGAGCGTGTTAAGGGTGGTGTAATGGAGCTGTCAAGTAAAATGACGAAGGTGAAGCTGGCGGAGTTGAGCAACTATTGACCATGCTGGCTTAGCGCCACATGACCTTGCGGAGCAGGCTGCCTGCGGGACGAATCTCGGAGTCGGAGCTCCAGACTCTGATAGCTTGGACAACACCTTGAGCTTGCCTTCCACACAGCAATTGTTATTTCTACACTCCGGAAACTCCGCACACAATGGGCTGGTTCTCTTCGTCGTCATCGGACACCAAACAAGCCTCCGACGGTGGCCGCATAGCCCCCGACCGAACCTCGCGACAACGGTGCTGGATCGGCCGCGACCAGTTCTTCGCTTGCCTGGACAACAACGACATCGTCGACTCTATCAAAGGGGACAAAGAGGCGCGAAAGAAGTGTGCACAGGAGATTGCGGAGTTTGAGGCCGCCTGCTCGAGTACATGGGTATGCATTATCCGATGGGAATTACGTCCCCGCTCGGAGATGTCGGCAAGATGGGAGGCAGAGGCTGACTGTTTCACTACAGGTAAAATACTTCAAAGAGAAGCGCGTGATGGAGTACAACCGGGACAAGACGATCGAGCGGATCAAGAAGGAAGATGCAGCCACAGTTCAGGACCTGAAGTCGCAAGGGTGGTCAGGGAAATAAAAGCTTGGGTTCAGGCGATGGAAAGGATTGAAATTCTGGGTTGACGAGCAGGGGGCTCTTGTACTTGTACTATATCACGCTTAATGACTCAAACTTCTCTACCAATGTCCAGGCTCGCAATTAGTATTATTGTAGCTTAGGGTGTGACCAGGAATAAGTGACACTCCACGTTATGTGGTAAGGCGACTAGATACATGTAGCCATGGAAAATAAACAACATAACCGACGCCGGTGGATAGAATGGCCCAAGATAACAGGAACGGTGGAACAGCGATTGATCTCTTTTTGTCTTAACGCCTGAATGAACGAACATTGACCAGACGATTGCCGTGATAAATACGGAATTTCAACCCTTTGAGCCTCAAGCGAAAACAAACAATCAGCGCCTGACTCCGTTGGTGCAAAATCCGCAAATGGATGAATAGGGTGATAATGAATTCAAGAAAAATCGTGACTCATTGTTTCCACTTGCCCAACTGGCTCATGAGATTCTGGACTTGTTGGGAGGCCATAGTAGGCTGCCCCTGTTGGTGGTGTCCCCCTACTTTGGCCAAGAGTGACAATAGGTTCGGATCGGATATTGGCGAGGCGCTATGGCCTTGCATAAATGGTTGGTGTGGAAGAGGTTGTTGGGAAAGAGGTTGTTGCGGGAGAGGCGGTTGCGAAGGATTGAGCGAAGCAGGCTGTCGAGTGGCGACGCTTAGAAGACTCGCCAAATCTGGAGTAGGGACAGGATTCGGGATGGGGGGTATCGGCTGCTGCGCGGCTGGTACTGCAGTTGGCCGCTGTTGCAGGGCAGCTAGCAAAGACTGCAAGCCAGCCCCATCAAGGTGCGAAATGGCGTTTGCAAGATTGGGCTGGTTTGGAAGTGTAGGAGCGGCAGGATGAGGTAGAGGTGCAGAGGGGAGGTGAGGAACCCCATAAGCAGGGGATGGGAGAGGCACATTTGGTGCGTTTCGTTGCAGAGTTTGAGCCTGACCGACGATATCTGCTGCAACATGGGGTTCAAGGTCGGGATACTCTACAGCCGCACGTTAGCTAAAGCCTAGAAACAAACGATGGAGGAACCCACCAATGGACCGGACATTATCAACACCTGCACTTCGGTCGAAAATCTGCAGCGGTATCTTTCTTTGTAGATAACTGGGTCGTGAAAGTCTCACCACGGCAAGAACGCCTTCAGAGGCCTGTCGCTTGACTGCAGCGTCCAAGGGGATACGCGCTCCTAATACCAGAACATCTACTCGAAGTCCACGGTTCCGGAAGCTGCTCTCTACATGGTAGATGAAGTTCCTGGCAGGAAATTAGAGAGGAATCTTTGTAAACGTAGAGAAATTCCCTTACCGGTCTAGCTCCTCGAGAACCAGTATCTGCACGTCCGGCACATCTCTGGGGGCTCGCCTGGGAACAGGTATATCCGCATCGCTGTCATACGTCGCGCGGCCACGAGGGCTTGGACTGCGGTATCGTCTATCCCTTCCGTAAGGCGAACGAGAGCGTCGCCTGTCACGCCGATCGAACCGTTCTGGGGTTCTATCTCGAGACCGATATCCCTCCCGTAGACGGTATCCGCGCGGAGAAGGCGACCGCGGTGGGCGGTAATCCTCCCGCCTACGGTGACAGGGCTCATCTCGGAAGTCACTGAATGGCAACCTTGCTGGTTCGTGTGGTCGATCGTAACGGTCCCCCGGGCCCCTCGACGACCTATTGCTCGGAGGTCCGCCTCGAGCATAGTCGGGTGACCTTGAGCGACGAGGGGGAGCACGTGAAGCTTCCGACTGGGTTGGTGCCGGCCTGGTATTCCGCTGCGGTTTAGATATTTCAAGATCTGAATAGCGAGTCAGATGGGATTATATAGACGACCAACCGCGATACTTACGAACTTTCCGTCCTCTCACGATAGCTCCTTGTTCGCCTTCGAGAGCCCGTTTGCAGGACGAGACCTCGAGAAACTGTATGAAGCCGTAGGCTTGTTTGATCGAGATCTGTGCGAGCTTTCCATAATTATGAAAAATGTGAAAAAGGTCTCGTTTGGTCACTCTTTCAGTGGGTAGATTGCCTACAATGAGCAAAACCCGTTAGAACGATTTCGTTTGAGAAGCGCGGAAGCGTACTGACCAACAAATAATCTTGATCCATATGGAAAGCGATCCCAGAGTCCCTCAGTCACGTAAACTCTTTCTTCATGCAGGAATGCGTCATATTTTTTCTGAACATCTGGACCCCACGGCGCATCATCATCGGAGCGGAGTGCTTGTCGATCGACTCGGCCGTTCTTCGGCATCGCGGGCACTGGCGGTTCTTGGGTCTCCGCTGGAGAGGATGGCGGTTGTTGGAAGCTAGCCACCGGCGGAGGGGGAAGGGAAACGCCCCCGGAGGATGTCCCTGGAGCACCAGCCGGCAAGGAAGACAGTCCGACGTTGGATTGGTAATTACTCGGCTGAGACGCGAAGGGATTTGACGCGTTAGAGGCATTATGGGCGGGGAGTTGATGATATGAACGAATATCATCGCTGGGGTTGTAATTAGGGTGAATAGAGGGCTTCTCCTGTGGTGGAGGGCGCGGAGGGAGGCCTAGGGAGGATTGAGGCACTTCATCGGCTGCAGCTTGGGGTGAGACTGAAGCAGAGTCCGCTGGGATAGTGGTTGTGGACGCGGTAGGTGCTGAGGGAGATGTTGAAGTTGGTGGGAGATTATCAAGGAGGTTCTGGAAGTCGACACCATTCCCAGCACTATTATCCTCGAACATTCCCTCCGCGTCTAGTCGGCCATGCGACGCCGCCTGGCTTTGCAAGGCGCCGATGGAGTGGTTTACCTCAGTCGCGAAGGAATTGTTGCGAGCAGCATAGGAAGAGAATGGGTGGGCATCGGGGACAGGGTGGGTTTGAAGGGAGCTAGGATCTGATGCAGCACACGCCGTTAGAGAAGAGTCTGTAGTATTCCCAACACTCGAGGGCTGTGTGGATAAAGTTGTGTTGGGCGAGGGGGGTGAAGCGGCAGTTGTGGCTGGAGAAGGGGTATCGGCATCCATCAACGCGTTATTCATTAAGGGAGGGCCAGAATGGAGGCTACCTTGTATATGCGATTGATGCTGTGATGGTGGTTGTTCCTGACCACGCTGTACAGAGCCATGCCACCCCGCTTCACCCGCGCTTGTATACTGTCCATTCAACTGCGCACCGTAGCTGTTGCCATAGAAGTCCTCGGCCTGCCCATAAGTCGAGGTGTCGTTGAAAACGGGGTCCATTTGATTCTGCAACACAGGGATACTGGTAGGTTCCGCGACGTGTACCGGCCGAGGGCTTTCGGGAGTCAAGGTCTTGCCGCGAAAGTGGAGAGCCTCATCTGGGAAGTCTGGCGTCATGTAGACCAAGGTAAGAGAGTGAATTCATCTACAAGCAAGCAAGAAGGGCGACTGGAGAGGCGAATCCAATATCGCAGCTTTTCAACGAAGAGCGCAGAGCAGTGAAAGCTTAAGTGGGGCTGTCGTGGAAAAAAACCAGGCGGGCGGGTTGGAGCACTCGAGGGCGGCGAGGCAAGTGGAAAAGTTAGGGAGACAAAGAGAGGTTTTGGGGAGAGAAGAAAAGGCGTGCCTATGGCGGGGAAGGAGGATGAAGAAATAGACTGATAAGGGAAGGAAGAGGAGGAGGTCAGGTGTAGCAGGGAAGGAGATGCAGAAAGATCTATCGGAGGCGACGGAAAAAGTCGATGAGGAGGATCGGAGCTCAGACTGGGAACAGGGACCACCAGTGAAAAAATAACAAATAGCACCACCTAAGAAGTTCCCCTCCGGGCACCGATCGAAAATAACGTGGACGAGCAGTGAATGACCCTGGGCTCTCCAGTATACTGGGACACTGAGCAATTATTAATGACAACCGTGATAGCACACAGTGTACGGAGTAGAGAGCTGTGGCTGAAAAGCGACCCGGCGACTGGAGGAAGCTGGGATCTAGAGGCGGATAAAGGCCCAGCTAGTGAGCTTATGGGAAAGCCATAGAAAACAAGTGGAAGCTCATTGCGAGGAACCGGTGAACGTTCGAGATGCCGGAGCGACTGAGCCCTGAACAGGAGAGAGTGAAGGAGGAAGAGATGCTTGCGCAACCCTGGATGAGCAGCCTTGGAAGATGGTGAGGTGATCGCTGTGGGTCACTTCCAGTTCATCCAACTTGGTTGCAGAGTCCAGACTCCAGCTTAAACGCCGCTACGGCTTCGTTCCTGTCCATGTGACCTCATTCAATATCAAACTTCGGCAGCTAAGCTAGGGCCCTCTGGCCGACTACCTTAGGACGTCGAGAACCTTCTTCTACCCTCTCACGACGCAATTTGACGCCATGCTCCGCACAATGCTTCCATCCCCTTTCAGCCGGTATAGTGTCACTGTCACCCTTCGGCGATCCTTCGCATCTCGGCACGCGGACCTTTCAAGCGAGGACCTGGCTGCAGCTAGAGAATGGCTCTCCAACTTCAACTCCACAACAATCCCCCGTCATGTCGGTGAGGTCTCGTTCAGCCGCTCTGGGGGCCCCGGCGGCCAGAACGTAAACAAGTCTGTCCCCGCACTCGACGTAGTAGTGTAAGGGTCTCGCTTCTAACGTAGCGCTCGGATAGGGTCAATTCCAAGGCGACACTGAAGGTACCGCTTGATTCCTTGTTGCCGTTGGTGCCGCACATCATACATTCCCCGCTCCAGTCATCCCGCTACTATGCGGCCAGGACGCACAGCCTGGTTATACAGTCGGAAGAGTCGCGGAAGCAGGCCGACAACGTGAGCGCGTGCTATGACAAGCTCCACCAACTACTGAAAACTACTGCAAATGATCTGGTTCCTGGCGAGACTTCTCCGGAGCAAAGGCGGCGCGTGCAGAAACTGTACGTACACTAATAGCGCTTATGTATGGACTGGCGACTGACACCTGATAGGGAGAAGGCTGCAAAAGAGGCTAGAATCAAGGCTAAAAAAATGCACAGCAGCAAAAAGAGCGGTCGACGAGGAAGTCGCGACGACTGATGGCTTCTTCTCATACTAATTTATATATATCAATTTGCGCAACTTGATAATGAAAGACGACTCCAAAAACGCCTCGAATGACCGGACCCAGGCCTACGATTCCTGAAGAACCAGCTCCGCTTTGTGAATCGTGGCAGCAATAACCTTTTGAATAGACGGGTCCAAGTCTCTAGTCTTCTCGACTGGACGTAACCAGCTGATTACCTCCTTCGCAACCTCGGGCTTTTGGCGATGTTCTTGCAGTCGTGACAGTGCCGCTCCCAGTGCACGGGGGAACTCGGCCGAAGTGGCTTGAACGCCGGCCGTAGGGTATTTGATGTAGCATATCAACGTATGAGGGCTGACGGGCTTGAACTGTTGCATTGCTTCGAGGATATTTGACAGAATCTTCTGCAGGCAGGGTACGTCTTCAAACTTGAAGACCATGTCAAAGAACTCGTGGGCGAATTGGTCGTTATGGTCGAAATTTTTGATGGCAGAGTCGAAGATAGCGAGTGGGATGGCACCGCTAAGTGCGGGAGTTGAGTTGAGAGTTTTAAGCGCCGCTTCATCCATGTTCTCATCTCGCGCACTAGGATTGATCTCTTCTTCCGTAACGTCTGGCATCATGATCATGTCGGCATTAAAGTCATCCTCTGGCGCCTGCTGCTTGGGAGCTTCGACTTTTTCGTCGAGCCCAAGTATCCTTTGTCGAGCAACCAACTTCGTGATGTAGATCAGCTCTAACTTGGCGTACTGAATCCAGAGCTTCCTGGAGCTTTTGCAGAATCTTAACCCTCGCTGCATATAGGTCCGTGCCTGAGACATATCGGCGTGGTCTTCAACGGAGTAATTTGCGGCGTAAATCCACAAGTCTGCGTTGGACGGGTGAAGCCGTAATGCGTCCATCAGGATCGTGCTGAGTTTCTTGAAGGCTTTCTGTCGTCGCGCATATTCAATGTACTGGACCCATAAACCGATATCGCCGTGAAACTTGCGAGTGGCACGATCAAGGACGAAAAAGATCCGACGTTGCCCACTGAATCCGGTTGATTTGATGCCTAGTCGCTTTACTCTTTTGCGCCGGAGACTGTCGAGGTTCATTTCGTACTCGGCATAGCGTACGTAGTCGGCTGGCTGTGCGCCACGCGCATTGATCTTGTGCTCAAAATCGGATCGCTTCTTGACGATTGATGTGATTTCATCCTACGCGAAAATCAGGTAAGTATCCAGCCGTCCGACAGACAAGACTTTGCGAAGCTTACCTTGGTGAAGATCTTTTTCTTCTCGTACTCTTTGAGCTCCGGAACGGACTTTTCCAAGAAGAACCGCGCTTTATCAGCGGTGGCAGACATTATGAAATTAGGAGCTAATAGCTCTTGTGGTCGAGTTGGATAGTATCGGAGAAGCAGATGCCCAACAGAAAAAGTCGCGGTATCCCGCACTTTTTTCTTTGTAGCCTTAAATCTTAGGCCGTAACTCCGTGGCCGCTTGCCAGATCCGCACTAGCGCCTCATGGTCCGGGCGGGCGTCCGTTCGTTGCCGAATCTCGACCATCCCATACAAGCCCGTTCAATTCTGATGCCTCGCTGGCCTCAGGGGTTCTCTTTTCTTGCCTCCGCCGTCTTGCCTTTTCCACTACTCTCTTTTCATTTCTTTTCATTCAATTCTCTTTTGCTTCTTGACTTTCTCTAATAACTTTTGAGACTTTCATTGAGCCCTGAGACCTGAGTCCCTTACCCGCGCGACAATGGCGCCCAAGTTTAAAGACGGGGACGCCGTTGCGACGGTGAGTGCACCTTCAATTTCACACGCATTAATGCCCGGGCTGATATTCTGCTAGGTCAATGGAAAATGGGTCGCTTGGGCCCATACCGCCGTCGCGTACACTGCCTTTTTCAGCGCCCTCGTTGTCGGAATGAGCCTGCATTTCAACAAGATTGTGCAGAACGAACATTACGGCTATCCGGATGAGTGGTTCCCTTCTGTCTCAGCAACAATCGGCGACCGGTATCCCGAGCGCTCGTTCTTCCAAGTCTTCATTGCCATCACGTCAGGACCTCGATTCGCCCTCGTCTTCCTTTGGTATCTTGTGACTGCCCGCCCCAACTCGACTCTTCCCAAGTTTGTTGCTGGTGTCGGAATTTTCCGGACGTTCACCTGCGGTGGCTGGACATATGTCACGTCAACCGATGACCACGATTGGCACGATATTTTCATGATTTCTTACTTGGTTGCAACCTTGCCGTGGACAATTGGTTGCTTGGCCTTGAGCCCCAACAACCGGCGCGCTGTCAAGTACCGCAAGGTCCTTGCCAGCCTTTTCTTCGGCACACTCGTTCCGTTGATCTACTACTTTATTCAGCACAAAGTGCACAAAATTCCTGGCGGTGAGAAGCCCTTATCGATTATATGCAACTTATGCTCATTGTCCGTCTGCTAGCTTACACGAAGTACGCCTTTTTCGAATGGTCTCTCATTCTGTTTGATGTCGGATTTGATGCCGTTACGGCGCTCGACTTCGAAGCATTCGAGATTGTGGTGAAGGATATCAAAGGAGTTAGTCGAGGGTATGTACCTTGGCTTCCAAAGTAATGCACAGCCAGCAAATGTACAGTTCCAAATCGGCCGTTGGTACTTGAGAGACATGATCTAAGATGGAAATTATTTTTCAGGCAGTTAAAAAACGCTGCAGACTCTGTTCTTGAGAAAGAGTGTGTACAACTCCACCCTTGGAGGTCTTCCGTGAAATTAACTCGTAGACAGGAAGGGAAAGCCTGTCGGAAACACCTTTGGCCAGGGATTCTTCTGGAGTGAGATTTTTGATGCCGCTGCTGATGTGTACAATGGGGTATATACTGGATTTCCCCTCCTTTAACCGTTTACTGACAGAGAGCAGTTTGTCTACTGGACCAGCTGGACTTCCCTTCCCGTACTTGTCTGGTACTTCCCGCTCTGGCACATGGGTATCTCTGGATATGAAGTCGTCATCCTCAGTTACGTTGCACCTGTGCTTCTCGCCATCCCCGTCCTTAAATCTCTGGCCGTCAAAAATCCTCGTATCTTCCACTTCCTGTCACTGTCTGGGTTCCTTGCCTATAAGGTGCAGGATCCCGCCAACAGACTGTTTATCAGCACGTTCGCTGTCTCCTGCAGCTCTATCACTTTTGCTGCCACTCTGTACGGCGACAGGGCGCAGCACACGAGACTGGAGTCGCGTGTCTTCGCATGGGGCCTCGGCTTGATTCTATCCAGTATTGCTAAGTTCGCGGGCAAGACCAACAACCCTTTCTGGCCCATTATGCATGCCGAAAATGGTGGTTGGAATAAGTTAGGATTGCTTCTTGCTATCTTGGCTGGCGTTCGCTCATTCAGGGCCCCTGCCAGTAGTGGCGGGGACTACTTCCCGTCGACCGGCAAGAAGGGATCCTCTTTGCTTGCCGGACTGGGAGCGGGTAGCATGATCTTCTTGATGCACTACCTCTTGTCGGACTCCAGTACTATGATCGCCTGGGTTTGGGAGGGCTACCCAGTCCGTGGCCCCCTCGCTGTGCCCCATGGCGCTCTTACTATCTTTTCGATGGGCGCTGGTCTTGTGTTTGGCCTGTTCTACCCTAAGGTTGCCGGAAGCTGGACCGCGTTTGGCGTTGGCTCCCTTGGTGCGGCCTTCCTTACATGCACCAGCAACTGGAGCGGATTCTACGGTGCTCTGACGATTGCCTTCTACCTGATGGCCGTTTCGCCTGTTCTGATCTCGTCCGCGGTCCGCCATTCCCCAGCGCCGACCTTCGGCCTCGCTTTCTTCGTTTATGTCTTCCTCCTTCTCTTCCACGTTTGGGTCGTTGCCTACGCGTTTGTTCCTGGCGGGCCGCTCGTCAGGGAGCACACCGACTGGCTCATGACCATTGCGATGCTATTCATTGGTGCTGGTGTCTTCTCTGCGGCCGTGTCCAGATCCAGCGGCCCCAGGACCAACGCCATCAGCCCGAACGGCAGGAGAGCGCGGTCCTACTATGTCTATGTGCTTGTCGCATTGCAACTGCTGTCAGTTTCAATCGCATACCTGCGCTTCCCAACCAACGATTACACACCGTACCACAAAGAGGAAAAGGCTGTCACTGCCGGTATTTGGACCGTGCACTTTGGTCTTGACAATGACATGTGGGCCTCCGAGCGACGCATGCGTGATGTTATTGAGGAACTCGAGATTGATGTTCTCGGTCTCCTCGAGTCTGACAACCAGCGTATCATCATGGGTAACCGCGATATCACTCAGTTCATTGCCGAAGACCTAGGCATGTATGCAGACTTTGGCCCGGGTCCTAACAAACACACCTGGGGTTCGGCGCTGCTCTCCAAGTTCCCAATTGTTAACTCGACTCACCACCTCCTTCCTTCGCCCGTTGGTGAACTCGCCCCTGCCATCCACGCCACTTTGGATATGTATGGCGAGATGGTTGATGTTGTTGTTTTCCATTCGGGACAAGAGGAAGACCCAGAGGACCGTCGCCTGCAAACCGAGTATCTGTCGAATTTGATGGGCTCTTCTCCGCGTCCGCTGATCTTGCTAAGCTACCTCGTTACCAAGCCGCTCGAAGGCAACTACAACACCTACGTCAGCGAGCTGAGCGGCATGAAAGATATAGACCAGACTGACTGGGACCGCTGGTGCGAGTACATCCTCTACAAGAAGATCAAGAGAACCGGCTACGCCCGTGTCAGCCGCGACTCCATCACCGACACTGAGATTCAGGTACGTTCTTTCCCATGGAGATCCATAAGTTGAGACTTGCTAAACCGTGCCCTAGGTCGGTAAATTTGTGATTGGTGAACCAGAGCCCGAGAATGAGATGATGATTCCGGAGGAAATGGTTCCTCAGGGCCTCCGATTCCCTGCGCTGTTCCGCGGTCAGGGAGTGCGCGGTCACCGCTACCACGTCTTCAACGAGCCGAGATACTGGCAGTAATCAATATCTGCATAACAGGCTACTTATGCTAGACATATATAATATTTCGTTGGTGTCAAGTATATCCTTGGCTTGTTAGCAGCTATATGCTGCTCACTGTCTGTGTTAATAATCACGAATGTGTATAGTGTATCGATTCCAAAGTCCTCTTGGTTCTTCTACCTTGCGGTTTTCTACTTACGTGCCTCGATATACCAGGCGCTTATGGATCAACTTGGGAAACTGCATATCCAAACTCCCATGTGACCTTAGTTGCTTGCGCGCCGTCAAAACCCCTTCTTTCCTCGTAATCCCCGCCACCTCTTACCATCAATCCTAAGGACTTGCTCTTGATCAAACTATTCTCGGGGTCAGAGCAATACATTAAATTGTTCTTGGTACATTGCGACTGATTGGCCGTGAGTGCCGGGACAAGTGGTCATGGCACCAAGTGTGTTAATTCTCAATCTCCTGCCCATGCATTGAGAATTGGAATGAGGCTAATAACAATGTTGCAACCTAAGCTTTAGATCCTCCGACCCATCGGCGCACGTCGTCTCTACATCTCCAGGACTGGAAGCGCAACGGCACTCTTCAAGCTTCTCAACGCCCTGCACCTCCTTCGCTGCGTCGCACACAAAACGAAATGATTATACCGAGTTGACGGTACAGAACCTGGGAAAATGACGAGGATGAAAACCGACCTCTCGTTTAAGGCTGTTGGGCGTGACATCCTGGGCGCGCATCACAAAATCGTTGATTACGAATCTCGACAGATATTAAGAGGCCGAGGAATTTATGCCGTCACAGAACACAGACCAGGCACTACCGTAAGCGGAGGAGCTAGTGCTATCCGCGGTACGGGAACCTGTACTTTGTCAAGTTTACAGGGGAAATGCGGCAGATAAGGGCTGCTTTTTGGCAGGAATGATACTTTGATATGAAGGATCTCCACCAACCACTCATGGAGGTGCAAGTTGCGCGAATTATACGCAACGTGAAATGCAAACCCCACCAGGCAAGCGTCATACTAACGGAGCTCTAGCCAAATCAACATGGTTGGTGACGTTGATCATCGCTCCTTGACAGAGGCGTACGTACTCGAAACCGCCGAGGAATGCGCCCATGACTCTCCGTTGATCATCGTCACAAGCCTCCGCCTAGCCTATAGGATGGCCTGAGACTCCCTAAACGGTCAAGAAGAAAGGATCTAAACTTTCCTTCCCTTCAACTGAACGGTTACTGTCGGAGGCTCTCTGCCCTACGCCGTGATAGACTTCACGTGTATCTCAGTAAGGTGCTTACGCTCGTCATATTCTTCTTGGGCTCGCAGATTGCCCGAGCTTATTTGCTGGGCATACTACGATCCTGCAGATATCTGGGGAAGAGTCAAGTTCTAGTCAGCTTTTTCAGTGTCCACGTTGGCCAGTGCCTACTCCAGGTGAGTTTCGACCCTAACCATGATAAATCCTATGGTTGCATGTCTCAGAAGTACTAAACTTGGATAGTGACGAGTTCCCAAGAAAGAATCTATTTTTGGGGTCGAATCAATCGTCATAAGTCAACTAGTTGTGCAGCTAAATGGAGGTATGGATAAAGAACCGGCAACTTGGCTTGTTGCTCACCAACTTGCAGATTCAAGAGAATTCCTTTGTACTCGAAATAATCTGAAACCCTTTGTTCTATACCGAGGCCTAAACAAAGGAAGCCTGTACAAGCCGGCTTCTACGTGTCTGTAGTAAGTTGTTGAAAACCCATCCAATGCCGATATTCTCCCGCTGACATCCTAAGCCTGCTCATTCAGAACTTCAAACTGTACAGTACTGGTATACTGTCAATTCTTAATACGCACTTTTGCGGCTAGACCGCCGATCTACAGCCCTGAGGTAGGTTCATACCCTCCGTTTAAGGCCATCATCTTATATAGCGATGGCTGACGGATGACATCTCTCCATTATCAAAAGAAACAACATGGCTAAGTTTTATAATGTACCAAAAGACTTCGTGCTCCCAGAAAAGCAAAAGCCCGGGCGAAAGGTGGATCGTTGGAAGGGAAAGGTGGTAGATCTGAGCATCCCTCCTTATCGCAAAGCGAAAATGGGAGGCAAACTCCCAGGACCCCATCCTGACGAACACGCGCCCCCCGACAGGCGTAGAGTCGCCAAGAATATCATTGGGCGGATGGATATCTTCCCAGAAAGGCGGTGCTTAAGCCCACTTCGAGTACCCGAAGGGTTACTGCAACCCAATGGAGAAGTTAAACCAGGACCAACTGCCCAGACTGATGGGATCCCGAGCAGACGCATACCGGAGATTCACATTGGGGATGACTCACCTACACCACGCTGGCTCATTCGACCTGCTCCTCCAGCGATTGGTGACGGGTCTTCAGGCCGCCCACCTTCCATTGCATCAACCAGCAATTCAACCACGTCAACCGGCCGTCGCCTTCCAGCACTAGGGGTGCTACGATGGGAATTTGACCCTGGCTCAGCTACCAAACATCAGCAGGATGAGACAAAACTGTACGAGTACGCCTACCGATATCTTCAGAGCAAGCTCTGTGACCCGATTGCCCGAGAGGAGTTGAGGGACATGATTTGGGACAGCGACTATGCGCCGATTGTTGAACATGTCGAAGACCCATTACCAGTCCCGCCTCCACCAAAGAAGAACCTCATTCTACCATCGCCCTCATACGAGGTTTCTCCGAAATCTTCCTCAGATCCTGTTGACTATCACTTTATGTATCCCGACTATGCCCGGCCGTCACTCGCAAGTAGACTTTATCAAAACCCACGTATGTCACCCTCACTAGGTCCAAGAGATACTTACTAACATCGTCTGGCTCCAAAGGTCGCAAATTCAGAGTCAAGCCCCAGAGCTCCGCCGACTCCCGTGACAGCTCCGATCCTGGCGAGAGTTCCCGTACTCGTGGCAACAATCTCAAGCCCGGTGAGTTTAAGTGGATCTGGATTACACTCACAGTCCTCATCCTGGCGCTATTCCTGTGTCTTTTTCTATACGTGTTTGGGATATTGAAATGATGTAATAATAAAAAAGCCCCGCAAAGATCACTCTCTCGCATTTCTGAGGTATAAAGCGATTGGAAGGGTCGTGAAGCCCTAGTTACTTCAATGCTGTTCTGAACTTGGAGTTTGGAGCTGGAATATGAGAGAGTGGAGTACTGCATACACCTAGGGCTACCGACACCTGCCTGCACATTCCTCACAACCCCTTGCATATCACATTCCTCATCGGACACGAAGCCTGGTTGTTCTTTACTGATTAGCAATTATAGGTGCGAAGAAGAGGAAGGCAGCGAAACCGAAGAGGAGAAGGAGGAGGTGGTAGAAGAGGCGGGTATAGTCTTTATTTTGGATTTGCTATCGGGAAGGTTGGGTATATTTGTTGATAGATAGACATTTCTAGTTCCTGATGTTTGAGCTCAGTATATAGTGTAGTAATAGAGCTGGATCTGTTGCTTGTTTTGTATCTGCTACCATGGCATTACTGTACCTGAGAGACCGAAGACTGCTAGGATATGTATCTGCCCACCTCCACCACCACGACATTCTCAAATTGAGACGGGCAGCAACAGAAACCTGAATTTCTCGAAAAATGACCTCACATTCATAATGCCGAGAGCATAGTGCGCCGAAAAGGCCCAACTTCAAGCAGAAGCCCTTGGCTTTGGGCTCGGCAAGACAGGATTCCCCACGGCTCTCTCCACAAAGTCGGCATCCCGGGGTCTCCGAATGGAGTCATGCCATGGCCGCCGGAGAATTGTCGGAGAATCTCGACGACGATCACACATGCTGTGGAGTAGGGTTGCAGTCTATGCACCAGGACCAAGCAGCTCAGAGTGTTGCGAGAGACATATAAAGGACGTGACGGACTCCGCAAGGTAGACTAACAAACAGGCAGCACAAGCGACGTCCCGAGGTCGACATACTGTACGGTAGCCCGCAGGTCCAAAGTGCACGCAACATGCGCCCTCATACTCTCCTCTCATCAACCCTCGCAGCCCAAGCCGCTGCTCGCGCACTCTCACCAACCCCATCCCCATCTCCAGCAGGGGTATCCTACACAGAACAATACAGACCGCAGTACCACTTCACCCCGGCCCGCAACTGGATCAACGATCCCAACGGCCTCGTCTACGCAAATGGCACGTACCACTTGTTCTACCAGTATAACCCCGGCGGGGTCGCGCACGATGCGATCTCCTGGGGCCACGCGACGAGCAAGGACCTGACGCACTGGGATGAGAAGCCCGTTGCGCTGACGGCGAAGGGATTCCCCGGGACCGTGACGGAGGAGTTCTTTAGCGGGAGTGCGGTTGTTGATGAGCAGAATACTAGCGGCTTTGGGAATGGGACCGTGCCGCCCATGGTTGCGATGTATACTTCTTTCGTATGTTGTGGAGTACCTTGATGGGATGGACGAGGATACTGACGCTGTATAGTATGTCTACGACCAGATCCTCCCCAGCGGCAAAAAGGTCTACGCAAACCAGCAATCTCAATCTATAGCATACAGTCTTGACTCGGGGTTAACGTGGAACACTTACGACGCTGCAAACCCGGTCTTGCTACACCCACCGCACCCCTACGAAGCGCAGTACAAGGAATGGCGCGACCCCAACGTCTTCTGGCACGCAGACACAAACAAATGGATTCTGACGACTGCCCTCTCAGACCTGCACAAACTACTCATCTACACCTCCGACGATCTAAAGAACTGGACATTCGCCAGCGAGTTCGGCCCGTACAATGCTGTCGGCGGCGTCTGGGAGTGTCCTAGTTTCTTCTCTTTACCTGTTGACGGCGACGAAGAGAACGTGAAATGGGTCGCGCTGATCGGCCTTAACCCTGGCGGTCCGCCTGGAACAGTGGGCTCGGGCAACCAGTATATCCTGGGACAGTTCAACGGGACGCACTTCATCCCTGATGCTGAGAGTGTGCATGAGGAGGGAGTGGCGAATTGGCTGGACTATGGACCGGACTTTTATGCGGCGCTGGTTTACAACGGTCTGCCTGAATTTCAGAAGACGGTCGTTACGTGGATGAGTAACTGGCAGTATGCGCAGAAGGTGCCCACGACGATCTGGCGCAATGCGATGGCCATACCGCGGCGTCTTAAGCTCAAGACTATCAAGGAGAGGGTGGTCGTTGTCCAGGAGCCGCAAGAGGACTGGGCTGCTATCACGAGCAAGCCGAAAACCACACACATCGAATCTCTCGCAGCAAACAGCACGCGCAACCTTGGCTTCCTGGGGAAGACGCTCGCCGTCAACCTCACGTTCTCTGCTGAGGACGAGGATGCATCTTCGTTCGGAATTTCCCTCCTCGCAACACAGAACTTCACGACCCAGACCCGCATCGGCTACGACTTCGCGGAGAAGCAAATCTTCGTCGATAGGCGGACGTCAGGAAATGTCTCCTTCGACGAGACATTCGCATCCGTTTACACAGCTCCTCTTGAGCCGGCGGATGATGGGACTGTGACGCTGAGGATCTTCGCCGACTGGTCGAGCGTTGAGGTCTTTGGGGGACAGGGCGAAACGACTGTTACCGCCCAGGTTTTCCCACCGGAGGGAGCAACGTATGCAAGACTCTTCACAGGGGATGCGGGCGTGGAGGATGTGCTTCTGAGCGTGAGCGAGGTTGCTTCAGTGTGGAAATGAAGCATCTGGCTAGATATTGCATTTAGAACTTGCATATAAGGGTATCTTACCTGCCCCTAATGTTCAGATGTTAGACTTACCTACTGGCCGATTCAATTTGATATTATTCCGTGGATTGATCTTAAAGACAATATAGCATGATTTTCAGTCTATACAACTAGGTGCATGTTCGGCAACTGCCGTAGAAGCAAAGCCACATCTTGATGAATGTACAGCCAAAGGGACCGAAAAAACATTCTTTGTAGCCAGATCAACGAGCAGTTCCCATACAATATGGGTCTTTTGTTGACTTTGCCTGGAATCTTGTGGTAAGCTCACGAATAGAGGAAGCATCTAGGGCTACCCACGCTGCTAGTAGGCAAGGCCTCAGAGTCTCAGCTTTCCGTAAAGCAAGACACATGATAGCATGCATGCTTGATTCCCTAAATGGCGAGCACTAATTCACTGTGGGAATAGGGATTTTCACAAAGTATGCGCATGGTGATAGAGGATGTAGTCATCACTACCAGCAGTCATTGCAACGCTTCATTAAGCCCATTGCTGAATAGGCTTTAAATCCAGATCTACGTTCATCCGTTTCACCTTACCATCTTTATCTTCCTTGTCGTATTTCTTCCCGTGTTCCATTTCCGCTCTTCCTCCACGCGACCTTCGCATCTACCATCGTTTCGTAAATCGACACAACCGAGTGCAAGCGCAGATTCCACTTCCTGAGACGGACAAGTTCAAGAATTAATCACCATGAGAGCCCCAGCTGTCGTTGATGCTCCTCGCATCCCGGGCCCTAAGTCCAAACGTCGACCCCTTACCGACTGTAGAGCATGCTATTGCCCGGCCAACGTCTTGATACCCAGCTGCGGCCATTGGTACTGCCGCTCCTGCGTGGCAGAGCTCTTCAGAAGGGCAATAAAAGACGAAGCCGAATTTCCAGCATACTGCTGTCGGGGCGAGAAGCTCGAAATCGCTATGGTCCGCAAGGTCCTCGATGCCAACCTCATCAAACAATACGAGAGTAAGGAGTTTGAGTACAAGACTCCAGGCAAAGATAGGGTATATTGCTGCGCCCCGACATGTTCCGAGTTCATCCATCCGTCTTTGATCAAGGACGATATTGCGACATGCTCTGAGTGCCGGTCCAGGACGTGCATACACTGCAAAGGGCAAGCGCACTCGGGAGAATGTCCTCCAGACTATGCGCTGAAGCAGCTATTACTACTCGCGGAGAAGAACGGCTGGCAGCGCTGCTACTTCTGCAATAGAGTGGTAGAATTGGAAGATGGTTGCGCTCACATCTCGTTGGTGGCTCCGTTTGCCTCATTATGCTGATTGACTGACTGATCGTGATATAGTTGCCGGTGCGGCGCCGATTTCTGCTATAAATGCGGAGGATCGCTTGATCTAGGAGAGTCGTCTGAAGAATGCAAATGCTATGAATTAGATGTGGATGGGCGTGAAGATCCTGCTCCCGATGACCTTGACATTGATTATCGGGCTCTTGGAGTTTTCAATATCGACGACACCAGTACCTCGACAGTTGAGCTTCAGGATAGTGCCGGGTTCGCGGAGGGAGGCCAGGATGAAGACGAATGCAACCACGAGGAGTTCAGATTCGTACAGGGGTATTTTTCTTGCGAATTATGCTCTGATCCAGGATATCGGTTTTGTTACGAGTGTCGGGAATGTGGGATCCTGGCTTGCAGGCGCTGCAGGAGGGACTATTTGTGTGTTAGGTAGATGGGTCAACTTCTGCTGGTGGTTAGTTGTGATATCCTGACAATGGAGTTCTCCTTCAAGGATGGTGCCTATTAGAGTGCTAGGTAGAGATAAACGAATTTAGTGGTTTGTCAGAAGACTGAGATTCTCCATAAAGCTGTTGCAACCTGAGGTTGATGCGTTGAACGAAAGAGGCAGGCGCAAGCCCAAGTCGACACCTCAGAGCTCAGGCGTCAAGTTTGCATACTTTGCAGTCTTATCGTTCATCCGTCTCTGGCTGCAGCTCTTCTTCCAAAGGTTTCTACTTCAACCATCCTTCTTCTGTATGATTCCTCAAATGCTATATATTAGAGCTGGCTATGTGTTGATACTCAAAGAGAACAACAGCCCAGCTCGGAGAGTATCTCTAAACGCTATGATTCAGCATTTCAACCATTCATAAACCGCCTCCGCATTTAGAGACTGAGCAGTTCAACAGTCGCTGCAATTGGGCGACTCCACTCATACATTCATACTACGGCTCTCCTGCATCGCTCCCCTTGTGTATAGATTATTGAAGACAAATCGCGCTATTCGAGCCTACAGAAGCTGTATCGCTTCACTTATTCTTCACCATGTTTGCGCCGCTTGGATTATTCAAGGACATCCCCTGTCCGCAGGGAAGAGAATGCACTCTTATGGCATGCATGTTCTCTCATCGCAACCTCACTTCAGCTTCAGTCTCTCAGGATGCGTCGTCGGAGAAAGAGAATGCGGAGCCACCCACTAAGAGAATCAAACTAGAGCCTCGTGCAGAAGCAAAGGAGACATCAAAGGATGACTTACCGCGAGTCGATAGCACGAAGAGCACACCCGTTAAAAAGCCCGCAGTGCCAGTTCCAAGAGTCGAGAGTACGCCACCTGTATCACGGCAGTCGGCCACCCCAACTACTACAGCAACAACGCCCACCAAGCGCGAGAGTACCCCCACCTCAGGGTCCAATCTCCCGCCCAGACAAGCTCCGAAGGAAACGTTGAACCCACGCATGCTTCAGAAGGCGCCTGCTACGTATAACGTACGGGTGGCTATTGTGAAGAAACTGCATGGTGCTCTATGCTCCCTCAACGATCAGTTCGTCAAGGACAAAACGCTTCAGGACAAGTGCCTGATTCTCACGCCGGATGAGCTCATTACGATGGCCCTTGATGAAGAGGAAAAGGTGGCAAGAGAAAGCCCGACTGTATACTCGAATGTGGTCAAGCTTCGCATTGTGAAACTGTCCAAGATGAGCAAAGACGACTGGGCGAAAGAGCTCAAAGACTACCTCAACAAGAAATACTATAAGATCAAGATCGGGGCGGCATCGAAAGAGCCGAAGCCTTTCAAGTCCAACTTGACTGTCGAGGAGGAGATTGCAGTTGCAAGCCACTTGATCACTCCGCTGCAAGGATTAGAAGAATTCGGCTACGTGACGAGAGCGCCAACAGCAGACGAAATCGAAACTGCAAAGAAAGGCGTTGCTGAAGCTAAAGGCTGGGAGAAATGCGAGCGATGCAACGCTCGGTTCCAAGTCTTCCCAGGACGCGCTGAGGACGGCTCCCTGACCACCGGAGGCACATGCACCCATCATCCGGGCAAAGCATTCTATCCTCCAAAAAAGAAGACGGACCATATCACTGGCACCACTAGGGAGGGGTACTTTACCTGCTGCAACCAGAAGCTAGGAGAATCCTCAGGCTGCACGACAGGCGCAACGCACGTTTTCAAAGTATCCGAAACAAAACGACTGGCCTCGATCCTCCAGTTCGAACAGACACCAGAGAATCTTCACCTCGATAATCCGACTCCAATATGCTTCGACTGTGAAATGGGCTACACAACTTTTGGCATGGAGCTCATCCGCCTCACAGCGGTTAGTTGGCCAGTAGGCGAGAAAGTCCTCGACGTCCTCGTCAGACCCCTAGGTGAAGTCCTAGACCTAAACTCTCGCTACTCCGGCGTCTTCCCTGAGCACTTCGCCAATGCTATTCCCTACGGAAGCCCCGTTGAACCCTCCACATCAGATTCGACCCAACACCGACTCGTCTCCTCCCCCGCCGAAGCCCGCTCCCTCCTCCTCAACCTCGTTACTCCAACAACGCCTTTGATCGGCCACGCAATCGATAATGACCTGAACGCCTGCCGCATCATCCACCCAACCGTGATCGACACTGCAATCCTCTATCCACACCCAGGTGGTGGACTACCGTGGCGGATGAGCCTGCGAACGCTTGCGAGGAAACATCTGGACCGCGAGATCCAGACCGGTGGGGCCAGTGGCAAGCAAGGTCATGATTCGGCTGAGGATGCGCTGGCTACGGGGGATTTGGTTAGGGTCAAGGCGGGGTTGGTATGGGGAAGGTTGAAGGAGAAGGGATGGGTTGTTATAGAGGGCAAGCTTGTGGCGCCAGACTCGAATGCGGCAGCTGGCCCGGTGCAGTTGAAGCTTGGGGAGGGGGCTGGGGTGAAGAGGACTAGGGAAGGCGAATGATGAGGCTTCATTAAGGGTCAAGGCTCTAAACCCGGTTGGCTGCTTTACAGTATCACATACAGCGGTATACGGACGAGCGGTATACATACAAGCAGTATACTCTGCATACTACAGGATTGAGTAAACACAAGTTGGTCTTGTTGGGTGTAGATTGGCTCCATATTCATCTCTACCATTCATAACGTCATGAGTAGCTGAAGTCCGTAAATCCAAGCAACGGTTCGAGCGCAACACCGGGTATAAGAGAAGAAACTCAGCTACCTTTTCAGGCTCGCTGATCCATCTCACAAATGTCCGCCGACCGCCGATAAACCACGACACCCCACAGAGTCCAATCCAACCCAGCCGAGCTGGACACACCGGCCCCGAACCCATCACCCCTTTTGTTTTGTTCCAGGCGGAGAACGCGACGCATCATCCAGCCAGCTCTCACTCATCAAATTTCTCTAGGAGTGAGAAATTTACTCCTCATCCTCATCGGCCTCCTCGGAAGCGACGTTGTAGAAGCGGAGCTCGTAGACACCCTTGGAGGTGGAGACAACGCGGAGCCAGTCACGGAGCTGCTGCTTCTTGAGGTACTTCTTGGTCCTGCACACGCAAAGCAATTAGCCCTGTCCGGCACTAACAACATATCATATATAGACGGTGAACGTACAGGTACTTAAGGTAGCGACCAGAGAAGGGGATGTGAGCGACAACCTCGACCTTGCCATCGCCAACCTGGGAGATGACGACCTTGTCGCCGAGGTTACCAACGCGGCCCTCAACCTTGATACGGTCGTGGAGGAACTTCTCGAAGGCGGAGACGTCGAAGATCTTGTCGTTGGCGGGCTGAGAAGCGTTGATGGTGAACTTCTGGGTGACCTTCTGGGCCTTACGGCCACGGGCGACCTAATCCGGCGATATCTATTAGCCTACTGTTCAATTGGCGATGGCGAGAGTCCCCTGTGTGCGAAGCCCTCTCTGCATCTTTCTTTCTATCTTGCGGCTCGACCGTAGGCATTTCGGCCGCGGCGAAGTGCGAAGAGAGCGAAAGCGAGAGAGTCCCATCGCAGCAACAGGGGGAACAGCAAAGCAGTTCAAGAATGGAGACGTGGACATACAGCGGGAGCCATTTCGAGTGACGAAGGGGGGTATGAAGAGATGAGGGTTGAAAAGTCGTGGTCGCAAAGAGGTGAGTATCCTGCGCCTTTTGTGGGTGTGAGGAGAAAAGTTCGATCGAGGAGCGGAGCTGACTTGACGATGCGTCGGTGCCGTGGTGGGTTCTCCAAATCCGGAAGTTAATTAGGGCATTGTTGCTAGGGCATGCACCTGCCGGAAAGCCATCACATGACGGCTCACTGGAAACAGCCAATAGGCAGCGTCGAAAATCGACACTAGTCGACTCGCTACGCACGCTCCACCTCTGCCGGGTATAAAAGCCTCTTCGCTCCCGCATCTTTTAGTCTTTTTTTCTTTTCTTTTCCAGCTCTCTTTGCCTTTTGGCTTAGATCAAGTGTAGTATCTGTTCTTTTCAGTTTAATCTCTGAAAGTGTTCTACTTGAACACAACATTGATTATTCTTATTTTTGGTCTCCGCAGCTGGGCCTCTGTGCTTGCGCATGTCCTGCTGCACAGTGTCATCGGGCTTACACTACCCCCGATTGACGCGAACACACCCTTTTCATCAATGGGTCGGCTTGCCGGTTGATTGGAGAAGAGATCTTGTGTTATTGGTGCTGGAAGATCTTGGTTTTCTGCGCTGTCTGTCCATCAACCATCGTAGGCGAAGTGTCTTCAGTTCATATTTCTTGTCCTGTTTTCAGTCGTAGATAGGTCCTTGGTCGTCTTCTACCCAGAACCTTCTGTCTCTTGCCTGATCGCTCCTATGTCCTTCGTCTGGTCTCATATTTTCCGCATTGCAAGCGACCTTTATGAGCCTCAACCTTTGCTCGCCAACCGCTCGTACAAAACTAACACTTGTCTTCATAGAAGTGGATTGGCGAACCCAGATCGGCTACGTGTGCAAACAATGCCTTACGTGCTTCCAATAATACATCCCCGGCTTCGCCTGATCGATCAAATGCCGTGGAACGCTGCACTTCCCAAAGGACAGCCTTCGACCTCTGATATTTGAGTACATGAAGACTTCAGAGTTTTCCCCGGTCATAATGCCTTCGGCCATGGTCGTTGTCCACGAAATCAAGGCAAATATCCCCGAGCGTGTTACCTTCTCATCGTCTAGGTGAGAACGAATCTCCCAAGCGTGTAGAGGCCAGCCACCAATCCAGACGCTCTCCAATTCGAGAACAGGCGATGACAGGGATGTATATAACCGGGGTCATGAAACGGAGAGAAAAGGCGTCTAACCAGGTTTGACTGCAGCCGGATGACGACTACAGCCCAGAGAGGGAGAAAGTTCTCTTGTTGAATATACTCATGAGGCAAGAAGATGCGCGTTGTGCACGTCGCCAACTAGGATATACCTTGTTGACTGAAACACATCCAACTCAACGTCGCATGGCAAATAAACATCCTCCACAGTCCAGAGAAGCTGGAGATTCTGGCCCGCGAGCCTTGACGTCAAACAGCTGTCGAACCGGCCACCATGCTAAAGCGCAAGGACGAGCGTCAGCCGTTCTGGAGCGCGCCCAAAGAACGAGGGATTCCTAGGCATGGACGGGAAGGCCCGGACTGGACGAACAATCCCTTCTTTGATGAGATAATTGCGTTGCGCTTCAGCTGAGGCTTCGGTTAAATTGAGTCACGTACGTGCCGGGTGACGAGCCACACAAGGAGGGCTGGCACTACGACTGACTGGATGTTTGGCAGCCAGTCGACTTCCTTTTGTCAATAGAATCCGAAACCTAGCCATCGAACTCCGCGTCATCGGGTAGTTCGGCGTAAGACGATGTTTTGATGTCCTCGTTGACGGCATTGCTGACGACGGTCGATAGCTTTCACCGTAATTGCGTTGATCTAGTGCCCTTCATGGTCAACAAATAGCTAAGTTGAAAACACGATTCTTCCAGGATGTTCCAACCCTTTAGCTTGGTCTTCTTTCAAGCTAACGATCAGATAGTACCTTGCCCTGATTCGAGAATCTAGATCGATCGTCGGATGTACATCCGAGTACCTTGACGAGCCCTTCATCATCCTTAAATCAGCTAGAAAGATCTGCCTTTTCTTTTTCTCCAAGCATCAGAATCACATCACATATCGCAGGGTTCCTCTGTTGAAGGTCGAACTTCAATTCTACAGAGTAGTTGTAAGAATGACGTGAAGCCTCAGCATTGGCCAAACAAACTCCACCATTTGGGAAACCACCGCAAACTCGAAACTTCGAAGCATCAAACAATCGACAGGTCAGATTTTAATCCTCAAAAGCAGGAATTTGGGATAATTTCCCCCTGCCATCGCCGCATATCTCAGCGTCAGTTCGAGGGACAGACACTCGTATCCGTGGACCACCCTCCGCCACCCCATACAACTCCCCCTCCCCCTTCTGACCTCACAAACCCACAATGACCGTACCATGATGCCTCAACCACGCTTCACAGAATCACGGCATCTCAACCCCTCGTCCATGACCCTGAATGACCTAGAGACGACATCATCATACCCGTGAACTAGACGCAGATCCTCCCTCGCAACGGCTATAAGTACCGCCTCGAACCTCGCCCATCAATCCACATCAAGCACATTTCTCCCAGCTACATAAACACAAACACAAACAACTACTTCCCAATCCTCAGACCCAACAAGCAACACCACCAAAACCACCAAAATGGCCCACAACACCAACCCCGGCAACTTCTCCAACCGCCCCCACGAGGAGGTCGAGAACATCGCCCGCAAGGGCGGCCAGTCTTCCCACAGCGGTGGCTTCGCTAGCATGGATACTGAGAAGCAGGTACGCACCGCACCTCAATCAAATACCCAACATCCCTAATCTCGATCTTGGTTAACGCGTCTCTTTAGCGCAACATCGCATCCCAGGGCGGCCACGCCTCCGGCGGTAGCTTCCAGCCTGGCGAGGAGCGTGCCCGTGAGGCCGGACGCAAGGGCGGCAAGGCCACCGGCCAGACCCACGAGCCTGAGGAGTAAGGGGAGGCGTCGTTGACTTCTCATGTGTCATGATCTGATATGATGAATGCGCGGAGCGCTATGTACTATAAGCAAGCTTGCTATGACTGTCCTTTCTGTACGATAACCGATAACTGTGGATCCATTGCAGAATACGAGCCATTGAATTGGATCACTCGAATCGCTCTACAGTGTTTCCTTTCGGGTCGAGTATTTCTTAACCAGGGACGTACTCCGTATCATTGCGGACATAACTATCTATCTATGCAAAACCTCAGCCGCATTGTCATTTATCAATGCAATCCCGACCGCGCGATATGTATCGGCCTCAACATAACTCGTAACATTAGCATCGAAGACGAAATCCCGCGGATCGTGCACATCGTACTGCGGCCAAGCCGGAATACTACTGTTCCTTCCGGTATAGTTACTCGGATCGAGGTCGTACACAAAGCTGACCCAAGTCGAGCTCATCAAGTCCGCAAGCTCAATGTAATTCTGGCCCTTGCCCTCGAACGGGAGAATATCCGGTCTATAGCCCACACCCTGCAGATTCTTGAACATGAACCCGATCTCCTTGTAATGGCCAACGCCGATCTCGGGCGGGACGCCAGCTGGAATGGCGTTGAATCTGTAGGCGTATGCGGGGATCCCATGCGCAGCCCACGTCTTCGCGGTTTGCCGTCTCGACGCGATGAAGTAGTAGTCACCCCAGAAGGAGGCGCTGCGGCGGAACTGGGCGCCGTAAGAGGGAGCGGGGCGTTGATTTCCTAGACTGGCGACAACGTTAACGGAGAGGTCGTCTGGGTATGCTTCTAAGATGGCGTCTTGGAATGAAGCCGGTAGAAAAGTGGAGAGGGTGGCTTTGAAATCTTCTGTCGTGTTGATGCCCGTGGGGCTCATGGATGCGCCTTCGTCGCTGTTTGCACCCGTGATGATGGGGACATTGACGAATTGGCCGTTTCGCAGTTGCTGGCTGCCGTACGTGCGGATGAAGTCGCCGTCGATTGTTGGGGAGAAGGAGCCACTGATGGTGTTGTATGTTGCGTTTAGGGTTAGGAATGGGACCTCTCGGAGACATTGGAGTCTGTCCCAGGAGTCGGAGCAGCCCACCTGGGATACGATGGCTTCGAAAGAGGCTTGAGAGCGCTGCGTGCCATTTTCGGCGCCGTAGAAGATCGGGTTGCCCGACTGCAGGATTGCTGCGCGGAAGAGCTTGTCGTCGCGGCCGCCGTAGGCAGTAAGCTATGCTCGTTAGTCGGGCATGACACTCATCTCCAAGATGGTGATCAGACTTACCTGAAAGCCAACGGAGGCGGCACCTGCAGACTCGCCAAATATAGTCACTTTCTTCGGGTCTCCGCCAAACGCAGCGATGTTCTCTTGCACCCAGTGCAGAGCGAGGCGCTGGTCCCTCAGGCCGAGGTTGGTGACCCCTTCCCCGACGACTTCGTTGGAGTGGAGGAAGCCCCAGACACTGAGGCGGTAGTTGATCGAGACACCGATTATGGGCTTGCCGATTCTGACAGACTGCTCGACGATAAAGGAGAGGTTATAGCGCTGGTCGCCACCGCCGCCGTTGCTGAACCCTCCGCCGTGGATCCAGAAAGCTACGGGGAGCTTCTCGTGGTCGTAACCAGCGGGTCGAACGACGTTCAGGTATAGGCAGTCTTCTGATTGCTCGTAAAACGTTTGGTCGAGCTGCGAGAGTCAGCATGAGTATGACGGCTTTTCTGCAGAACTTACGCCGTATCCGACGCAGAGGAGGGAGTAGTCTTTTGCATCTCTAGGACCCTCCCAGGTTGTGTTCAGAGACTGTGGGAGCCTAAATCGGAGGTCATCCACAGGAGGCTGCGCGAATGGGACACCCAAGAAGAAGTCCTGGTCATATTCCGTCGAGTGAACACCCTCGTATGTTCCGTTCTTGACGTGAGCTGTGGGTGGACTGATATTGCCCCGCCTGAATGGGGTAGCGGAAATCCCGAGTGACAGAGCAAGAACAGCGGTGATAAATGTCCACATCTTATCAAGCATGGCATGAATGCACAACGATGCTGGTTGCAGAGGAACGACCCATGAGGTTGGCTGGAGCCATTCTGTCCTATTTATACTGTTCGGCTCCCATAAGGTGTGAAGGATAGTCATTGCTCTTGGCTCGAATATCCCGAGGTCTTTCGACCCAGTACGAACAACAACAATCCTATTAACGGAGTCAATGCTTGCAGAAAGGCCTGGAATGAGGAGCCCCGCATCCCCAGAAACGGCCAGCTAGGGTAAATCCGGGGGAGTGGGCCGGCTGGAGCGCAGCCAGTCTCGGACATCGGACACGCACCCGATTGTAAATGGGGATAAACACGGCTGGAGGCATGGAGATTGTAGGATCAACTCTTGACTCCAACCAAGTTCTGCAAGGTATTTCAATTGCCGACCGGCGTTGTTCCCCGATGTCCGATGGCTGATATCACCCTAGCGTGCCGCCGGACTAGGTTCTCCAAATCGCACCATTTCAGATGGGATATAGCAATTGGAGTTTGAACTCCAAACACTTTCGGAAGCTTTCCTGGCCACACTCGGGATAAATTGAAACCCATTACGCCGTTCTTTTGCTGGCGACAGCAGTGTCGATCTCAAGTGGTTGCTCTGATACCAGGCTTCGTTTTGATGAAAGGAGCAACTCGTCGATAGGGCTGATATGTGGGAGGGAAAGCGAAGAATCGCTGTGCATCATTACCTAAAAAGCTCACTGTCAGAGATGACGGTCAACAAGTGTTTTCCTATGCCAGTATAATGCAGCGAACTAACCACAACATGCTTGTCACTAGCTTCATGAGCCTTCTCTCAATGCGCAGCCTGGCCCTGTCGGCACAACGGTGCTAGGAGCGCGTTACAAGGCTCTTCCTGGTATCTGAGGGGTCTCCGAGTTGACTGCGTTCTGATCACTGAGGGAGATAACGGTAATGAGGAAGTTCCAACCTTGCAAACGAATTCCCTCATCTTCCCACGTGACAGAAGTGATGTGAAGAAAGAGCAATTATAAAAAAATAACAAAGCAAATGGTATTCTCGCAATGCAAAGGTAAACCATCTAACGAAATCTAGCAGTTTAACGAGCCAGCTCATATAAACTACCAAGCTGTATGGCCTCCGTCCACAACAATGGTGCTCCCAGTCATGAAACTGCTCGCATCACTCATCAGCAGCAACGTAACACCTCGAAACTCCTCCGGCCTCGCCAACCTCTTCATCATATTCTCGCTTTCCCAAGTTACCCTTGTTTCCGGATCCTTCTCCATCACCATCTGTGCCATCGCCGTTTCGATATGCCCTGGGCACAGACTGTTCACACGGATACCGCCACGCCCATCCTCTCGGACTTCCGACCACTCCATCGCAAGGCTGCGACTCAGCTGGACGACTGCTGCCTTCGACGAGTTATAGATCGCCGACGCCATTCCCTTGTTTGCAATCAGACCGCTCATACTCGCCACGAGAAGGATCGAGCCGTGGCATTTCCGTGCCATCATCGCACGTGCTGCGGCGACAGAGCTTCGGAATACACCGGTGTAGTTTACGTGGATGAGGTTGTCGACGGTCTTTGGACTGTGGTCGAATGCGCACTCAACGTGGTTGATGCCTGCGGCTGCGATCAGTCCGTCAAGGCGGTTCCTCTTGCTTGCGATCTCTTCCATGACGGCTTCGGTATTGGCATCATCCGTGACGTCCATACGAAGGTAATGCAGGGCACCTCCAAAGTCAGGGTTCGCTCGCTTCTGCGCAGCGTGGAACTCGGCATCTGGTTCGGGGAGCCGGTCAAGACAATACACTGGTTTGGTTAGCACACTCCAGGATAACAAGATATGGTCAAAAACGTACCTTCCCCTCCGGCCTCAACCAATGCTTCCGCCATCGTTAAGCCCAGTCCTCGAGCGCCGCCGGTCACTGCGAAAACCTTCCCGGCCAAATTGAACTCGCGGAATCGCTCAGTACCGTTGTGATCGGGCAGTTTCTCCTTCATGCTTGCATGACCAGCCATCGTTCTGGCTGCGTAAACGACTGGCACCGGCGGTCGAATCAAACTCGATCTGAGCCATGGCGCCCTGGCCTGCTTTGGCATCGAAGTCCGAAACAAGGACACCCCAAGACGTCGCGACAGCATCTTCATTCAATCTCAAGACGAGCGGAGTCTAATTCTATGCATAGATCTCTTGCTTCTGAACGAACAGGTTCTTAAGGTTACAGTTATAGCCCGCTTGTCTGCCTGGGGAACTCGGAGTTTTAAAACCTTGTTGGATGCTGCAGCCTGCGTCCCTCTTGCGTCATCTTCAGCCCTCCCGGCTGGGCAGCGCCGACTTCCAGCCGGTAGCTATTCCAGCAAATGAAATCAGGCGGGCAACAATATCGTTGATGATAGTCAGTCGTTTCAAGGCAGGTGTGCCAAAATGCGGCCCATTCCGACTTCTACTACTGATGGCAGTTAAACGAACCAATATATCGGCCAGCTTGGATGGCCCTGGAGAACGTTCCACGCGTCCTTTAGGTACCCGATAAGGTTCTAGTTCTATCAGGTCGTCCGCAATCAACTCAATCGAACCGAATCCATGTCAATAGGAGATTGATCAATGAGCCGCTACGATCGGTCGATCGGGCTTCGTGGGCTTCCCAGGAACGTCCAACCCAGCCTGCCAACCCCAGAGACCGGGAGTTCTCGAACAATCTCTTCCCGTTTCGGGCCCCTCCGAGGTACCTTGATGTCAGCATGAGGTCCCAATCAGTCCGCTGCTTTAAGTTTGTACGGCATTCCTCTCTTACCGCAATGTGATGTCAGCAACCTTGACGTCAACCCCGGCCTTTTCTTACCCTGATCAACATAGGAAGGAATGAGCTAGACCTGGAACAGCATAGCTGCGATCCTACGACGATCATTACTGGAACTGGGCTTTCAGATTCTAGCCCTAAGCAGGAGCCTCGGATATAGAATCCGGCCACTACGAACGAGGATATAGATTGCCTACAGTGTTCGATAACACACGCAACCTCTTTGGAGGGCTCTAAATTCTTCTAGAAATATAGTGAGCATTCGGTCGCAATCTTCAACCCTAACTCAGCACGCCTCTGAAGACTTCAACTGTAATACTTGATGTCATGACTTCATAAACGATTCTTTCTTCTCTGACTCAGGGGCGGCCTCCTCAGCATCGCTTTCGGGGTCAGCCTCTCTACGAGGGGCCGCTCTCCCCTCGCAGAAATACTCGTACAACCGGACAATGGCCTTCCCCACAAGATATCCCACGACACAAGCAAGAGCCGATACTGTCAGCCCGGTGAAGCCAGGTTTGCCGAACCAACAAGAAAAGCGCTCAAGGGGTTCCCTCAATTTCCATGCACCATCCGCTGTTGCTTCAGATTGAGGGCAGTGGGAGGGCACGGCTTTTGTTCCTGTCCCTGTGCCCGCCTCACCGGTGTCTTGATTCTGTGAAACAGAGTAGGATTTCCAGTCGTTCATCCGCCACCAGCTCCATTTGCCCTCTTTGTCCTGGTACTGCACTTTGTGGATTTGGTGGTGATATACGCGGTGAATCGTCTCCTCGACCTGGACGACTGCGAGCTTCACGTTAGGCTCACGAACCAGGCCAATGGACACCAGCCTCTCAGTAGCCGCCCGACCCTGAGCGTCGAAAAGGCTCAGCGTCAAATGATGGATGTCGCCCTTACTGCCGACAGGACTTTGCTGATGTGACGATGGAATAGCTTTTGTGTCGAGTTCGTATGATACTGTGGCGGTTTTGCTCTCAAACTTGGGTACCGACTCCAAGTCCGCGTTCGAGATCCAATGCCGATTGGCCTGGAATTGCATGGGCAGGGAGGGAGGGAAGACGGTGGCGTTGTTGACGAGGAGAGAGTCATCGGTAAGCGCAAACGTTATTGTCTGCGAGGGCCATGATTGCGCTGTTAGTGGATTCCAGTGTCACGGAAAGCACAGGTAAGGTATCACAGCAACTCAAGACTCACTAGGAATGAGACAGCACGGCCACTGCTGCTACAGCCATTGCTTGCGAAGGCGCATTCTGTACAGGTGAGGTTGACCGTATGTGACTCGGCTGCCGAGAACCCTGGTAGAGAGTAGGGCTCGGTGCCTGGACTCTTATCCGCGGCCGTGAACGTGCTCAGAACGAGGGCAGATACTGGAAGAAGACGGAGCAACATGATAACGCTGTCGGTGCAGAAATGCGGCGAAATATGGAGCTCAGTACGAGAGTCTTGCAAGAAAGCGACATGGACTGACCGCTCCAGCATCGGGGACAATGCGATATATAGTGCGTCCTGAAGCCCGAACAGACAAAGAACCTATGGTGCCCTAGGTAGGCGAGCATAGTACGAACCTGTCCGCCCACGCTACACTGCTAGTACAATCCGAGCCATCAATCGAAGCAAACTCGCCTATCGTCGTACCAGCACTCGTACGATCTTCACGATGTTTGCGCTACGAATCTTGCTGAACTCTCTGCTGTCACCGCTAAGCCTCAACGCATCCCACAGGAAGGAACCAGGGTCGCACAACCAGCTGGTAGCGCTAACCACCACCCCGGATGATTTGGCTCAGATCCAGCCAGTCCCTTAACGATTCTGCCTAAGACCCTGCGCTATACGGCATAGATGACGCGGCCAGCTTGCGTCTGTTGTTGCTTGGCTGGTTCTCTGTCTCGGGGCGGATTCTGTCAGGGTCCGAAATCCGAATCCGCTGGGGTGAAAGTGAAACCACGAGTCCACGACAGGGCGCCCGTCTAGTGCAGATCCCGATCCCACGCTTACCTAGAAAGGACCCAGACTATTTTTGTCGTTGGTGACACGAACTAGTCTCTTTGACGGTTCTAGATCCTGGGATTCTGCGTCGGCATCATCCGCCAAATTATAAATACCCGGCTTGGTGCCGACGAGACGGTTGCCGACCTGGGGATGGGGTAAAACTTGGCTGGGGCTGTGCTTGGTGGATCATCGATGCCATAGGGCGTACACATACGCTTCACAAAATTGAGGTACTTGTGCCTGATGTTTGGGTTAGTGGCTTGAGAGATCACTCGCTTGTTATAGGTTTGCGTCCTCGAGGGAATCCTAGGTTACGGTACCGTATGTCTCCGGTTCAATTGTTGTGGCACGCTTCGGCGTAATCATGTCCAGGACATTTGAGTGGAATGGTATGCTTTGATCACCAGACCAAAATGGAGGCATCGCACCCGCAGTAAGCCCTAAGTTACGCCCACTCGACCCGGACGCCGAGGACCCTAGCAGGCCCTGACCCATCACGAGTCGCGTCGCATGCGGCCCACCAGCATGAAGAAGATGCCCTCTGTCGGGAGGAAGCGTTTGCAGACATCTCGCAGCCTCGCTAGAAGCCGCGCGGCTTTTCTTACGACTGAAAACTATTTTCTCGTTCCAGGGTCCCGCGGGGTCCGTTAATATGCGCAATGCTGGGACTGCTAAGTGGTCTGCTGGCGCTGCAGGTGGCTGGCAGAGGGAAATCCAAGACGTTCGACGCATAAAATGGCGCACCGGTACGTCATGCAATATATTGATGTTACATTGACTAGAAGGACTTCGAGTTTGAAGACATCTTCACCATCTTACTGGTCAAAATGGCACTCCAAGTCTTCGATGTTGACTGTTCTGGCAGGCTCCGAACGTCGCCTAAGAGGTTATCTCAGGACCGGCATCGTGTAGCCCATCCAGTGAGGCACGCACACTAGGCGAAAGTTTGTGAGCTGCGATCAATCGCTCGAGCTCCACACTGATTAGCAATAGCTGTATACGCGCCGCTTCCGGACAGGTGAGATTGACCATTACCTCAATCACAACAGCGCCGACCTCGTGGAGTCCTGCAACCTCGCGAGCTCCAGCAGTAGTCTATAAATATAGACATTTCTGTCCACATCCCTCAGAGCACTCGCAAACCATTCTCGACCCTGCTCGCCAACTTTCCTAGCCACCCTCTGTCCATTCTCAGTCGACGTGAGATACGACACCAACTCAGGAAGCTCCTCCATCCCTTGGCTAACGGGTACAAAATGCACCCACGGCACAAGACGATCATCATGCCACTCTCGAAGAAGCGCCTGCTTCAGCACCGCTGAGTTCGACGCAAGGAGCTTGTAAAACCTCCCGCTAATCCCGTTCCCGTCAGTGTCGAAAACGAGACGCGAACCCAGGGCGGCATCTTTATGAGCACGAGGTTTGAGCCGGAAGTACTGGCGTTGCGCGCGGCAGTACCACTTCTCGCACTGGGCGACTTTGGTGAACGCGACGTCGAAGAGTCTGCTGTTTAGGAAGGATGATCGAGCAAGACTGACTCCGCCATCTTCGTCTTCTGTGAGGTAAGAATGCTGACGTCGCTTGTCTAGATTCTGCGCTAAAGTGACGAATCGCTGCCGATGGAAGCGTGCCCACTGCTCATTCACGGCGTACCCGCCAGTCGTAGAGCCAGCCCAGTAGAGGTTATTCCGCTTCTTATCCCAGTCTACATCGTGATCTTTGCTGTACGTGAATTCGGGCTCGGTGTAGGCTGGACTAGGATAGAGTATGTCGCCCATTGTTGACAGGGAGCCTGTTGAGAGGATCGGCACTAGGCCTTCAAAGAGGCGGAGGCTTGTTGGGCTGAGGAGCAGCCCGTGCATGGTCTTGTAGTCCGGGTGCTGGCATAGATCTAGGGCTGTGCTGTGGTTTGTGATGAAAGGAAGAGTTGAGGGTTGCTCGGCTTTTATTTCTTGTCCCTCGTGCTGCTGAACTGCTTGATTTATTTGGGTGGAGCAGAATCGCGTAAGGACGTCCCAAACTGGTTGTTTGGAGAGATTGGTCAGGGTGAACTGTCCACTGACCCTCGTCGAAGAGTCTGAGTTCGGCGGAACGATAACCCTCGGCTCATCAAGATGGTTGACCAGGAACTTGATGTTGATATCCGGGAAAACACCTTGCAGATCTCCCAGAGCCGTATTAAAGAAGAGCTGGATACTCCTGTCGCGGGTGCGGTACGGATGTCTACATGAAGTCTGAGCCGTCGTTCCCGAGAACTCACAGAGCCACAGTTCGCTATGAGGCGCATTATACGCGCGGCCCATAGCGTCCATAACCTCTTGCCCACTAAGACGCCAAAGGGGCGAAATAGCGCTGTAGAGGATATTGAAGTCGTCGATGGTGGGTGATGCATGCGCCTTTGCGTACTGGAACCAGGCTTCGAAACCGGGTGGTGGCTGGATACCGTAGCGACGGACGTACTCGTGATGAGCGGCAGTGTAGGTCGTTGACTGATTCTTGAGTAATGTCTCGAAATTCGCGTTGGCGTTTCGCACGAGGGCTTCGATGGGATGATTTTTAGAGTGGATCAGTAAAGATTGTGCGGTCCTGATGTCCAGCATGTTGCTGACGAATGGAACGATAGGGACGAGTGAAAAGAACCAGAGCGCTGATTTAGCTTTTGGGTGCGATGGGATGATGTGGATGGTCTGGGCAAGGACAATGAGAGATCCGACGAGATGCAAGAAAGCCTGGGTATCGGAAGAATGTATAGATGGATCAATGGTGGCCACCATGCTGAAGATTCCCGCAGCACCGGCGGTGCGCCAGGAAGAATGCTGAGCCTGGGACCAGTGAGTGCCTTGTCGAAGAAAATATCGCTATAGACTGGACATACAGTTCGAGCCATAAAGTACCAAGTCCAAGCTTTCGTAACTCCTAGTGTCAGGATAGACCATATCCCGCTCTTGGGAAAACCAAATGCATAAGTCTGAGTGCCTATAATGATGGCCAACACAACCGTAACACGTGCTGAAAGAGGTCCAACCGTCTCTTCAACATCAAGCGAGCGAAAACTTCGAGAGCTCTGATGCGTAAGAGTCACGAAAACGATCAGAACGCCAACAAAAGGGATGGTTGAAAAGGCGTATAGTCGGGGGTCCCAATCCGATAAGACCCCTATAAGAAACAGTGCTACCGTAGTTGTGCCCCAAATTGTGTCGACAAAAGCAGAGAAAATCATTGGGTTGGCTCCTGATAAGGTGCGACGATCATAGCCAAGACACTTCTGGGCCACAAGAAGCAACGGCGTCAGGCCAAGCTGCTTGTCGTTAGCATGCATTCTGAACCCTTCATATAGGCAAAGGCCGCATACTCACCAAAAGTCCAACCATGCCGTACTCGGCTTTGAACCAAGAAAAGATGCCCAGGTTCAGAGCGACAACCCATAGAGCCAGCTTAGACACAGGCTGAGTCTGAGCTATCAGGTTGTTGGGAATGATTGTTTTAGAAGAGTTCCTAGCACCCGACCTTCGAGTCACGGTGAAGACAACTGGCAGCAGCATCCAGCCCAACAGGTCCGAACAGAATTCCAACTGCTGGGAATTGAAGAAGTCGGTCGTAACCAAGCATAGCAGGCCCGCTGCTATCACCCATATGGACTGGCCAGAGTCTTTTATCGGCGGTTCGAGCATCGATTTGTAGTCCCACTGGTAGTCGGCACTTCCGTGAGCGTGGTGGGACGGTTAAGCGTAAAAAAAGACAAGACGTAGCCAAAACTAGATACTTTAGATAGATGTCAAATCAGCGGTATGATAATCCATAAAATCAATGATGATATCGAAGCGTAAATACTCGTTGCTGCTTGATTGTGCTCAGACAACGACCAGGCTGTCAACAAATGTTAGAAGTGGATGTTCACCTGGACAGGCAGTGGGAAGCTCCTTCCGAATGCAGAGCTAGGTGACGGTTTCGGGCGTATGACGGGTATTTGTGTGAAGGTGCCCTGGGCCAAGTCTAAGCTAGTGCTGGATATTGCTCGTGAGTCAAAAGGAACTGGAAGTACTCGCTAAGATGTGACCTCTGTTTGGCCCAAGCCACGATGGCAATGAATCTTACCTACCGTACTGCGCCCCGAAAAAGCAAAGAAAAAAGGCAAAAAAAAAGTTGTCTACTGACTCCCCGTACGGGTCCTGTAGGACTTGGGTATATCCGTCAGTACAGAAAAGCTCATTCTCGGTTAATCCTTGTAACGCTTATCCAAAGGGATTTAATTCTATCTGATGTATGATTCTAACGCGAGGCCTATAATCTAGTTCTATACATGTGCCCAGCCATTGGAAATAAGGACTTGCATCTCGTTGATCAAACAGAACTCGCCCACTTCATGGCGGTTTTGAGAACGCCCTTTCCAAAGTGCGACTCTTCGATTAACCACGAAATCTTGGAAAAATGTAGTGCTAACCCAACGCCGGAGTCTATTCTTCCAAATGCCCAACACCATAAATTGTGGAGATAGCCAGGAAGGATGAACGGCTGCGTATGCAGCGCCAGTGTACCCAACACGGACACGAGGGTTTAAGTAAACGCCATGTATACGAGAAAGAGGATTATCCGCATGAATCAAGCAGCATTCGGAAGCTTCGAGGTGGAATTGCGCCAGGGAGTCGGGGATTCCACGGAATCGGAGGGGTGAGGACGATAGAAAGGGCTCGGCGGGCATGGCCACTTGTTGGAAAAGGCCACTATTAGTGAAACGGACAGAAACGAGGATGAGAAGCGAGAGATCATGGGAAGGATATGCTGGTGAACTCACCAATGCCATTCCAGCAGCTCTTCACGGGGACAGGGGACATGCTACGCAGCGCATTCCGAGACCTTGCGGAGCGGAAATAGGGCCATGTTTGCATGAGATGCGCGTCACCTTCGGAATCCCGCAAGGCAAAGGTATCGTAGAAAGCCGGCGGTCTCATAAAATCCAGCGAGCATGCAGCCGCATACTCCCCATCATTCGTATTGAGTAAATCAATCACATCGTCCACCTATAGGACGGTACCGATACATGAGCACCTACTCATCACAGAAGGAAGCCTAGGAAGGTGGTCAAACCTACAGTAAAGACCACGTCCCCTAGGAAGAGAACCTTGTCAAACAAGATGCCCTGACGTCTAAGATCCTCCAGGGGCCGCAGCGTCAAGTTGCGCAGGCGCGCCAGGTAGGGTATACGCCTGAGCTCTGTCTTGCCACGGGGTGTGTCAATCCAGCCTTCGCTTGAAGGAACCGCTGTAATCTCATCTCGGTGCGTTGTGGTAGATAGGGTGATATTCCGTCGAACCCCAAGCCTATCAAGCTCAAAATCCAGCTCGCGGAGCGCGCCTTTCGAGTCGTCCCAGCTTCCGCTCTCATAGACGCTGACGAATACATTATTGGGGCCCCAGTGCTGGACCAGTCTAATGACAGCGTCATTCCAGTGGCTTCGGAGGATGGCTTCGTTGTTCCAATGTATACTCGTGATGAAAATTCGCTCGGATTGGAGTGGCCGAGGTCTGACGGTGGCGGCTGTTGAGATTCGATGATGAGAGACATATTGATGGAAGCCATCCAGGATAGCCCAGAAGATCACACACAACAAAGCCTGTAGGGAAAAGGGACGCCGTCGAGAACGACGGAGAGAAGCCATTGCTTTGTTGTTGAGGAGATGCCTGAAGCTCCCAAGATCACAGACCAAGGTTGGCATAATAATTTAGAGTCCATTCCAGCTATTACCTTAGAGCCTCGCTGAGTGCAGCATAGACCACCTAGGTAACAGCTATCCGACCCCCCTTTCCACCTGAATATGGCATTGGATACCCATTTGGTATGCGGTCCAAATGATCCAGGCCTCGAGGCCCGAGATCCCAATAACCGCCATGTTTCGTACTGTATAGTAAACGCGAATCGGAAGCCCAGACCAACAGAACTGGTCAAACGAGCAAGCTGACTCGGGAAAGAGGTGGCATCGCGTCAAATTCGGGGACAGAACGTGCAGCTGAGCGTGACTCTGTGACTGACCAGCACGCATAGAACCCGAGGCGCAGATCCTCCAGGCGCAATTCTCATTCTCACGCTCCCATTGGTCATATGGAAGCGTTCGGGCTCATCCGAGTCCCGTTTGATCGGCGCTTCCCTTTGTTCAAGTTCCTTCCTGGGGGCTCCTTGGCTCTTGGCTGTTGGCAGATGCTGCGCCTTGGGCTGAACTCCCAATTTTGTCGCTACTCCGTAGCTACCCCTTTCCAAGAGAAATCGGTTGTCCTCATATGCCGATCTCTGGATATTTCAGACGCCTGCTTGACAAGCCCCCCACCGATTCGGTTGATACCGAGGGTCAGGTGCCTTCAGATAGGCTAGGGTATCATCGCACTGTGTCCATTCCATCGCACTATGTTGGGTTAATGCAGAGCAGAGCACGTTTCTGGGGCAGAGGAAACTGTAGCCAGTGAGTTGGGTGACCGGGGAAGTAGGTGATCGGATTCGCAGAATGCGTATATTCCATCTTTTGAAGTTCATTGATGCGTTGGAAGGCCGTGGAGAAGAGGTAACGATTCTCTCTCTGGGGCGACGTCTTGTAGATTGGAAGATGGCCGGAGTTGCCTACGGATTTACCTTCGATATCAAGTAGGTACCGTTTGCGTCACGGGATCATTCTCCTCCGCCTGTACTTCGTCGACAATCATGCCTTCCAGATCTATACAACTTTAAGTTCTATCTTACTTCACGTATAGATCCGGTGAAGCAATTTGTTCCTCGTTGGTTACCGTAGGTGTGCCAAAGCCTCGTTCATTTTATCAAGATTCCCAGCCCCTTCCAAACACTGGCATCGCTAGGTAAACACAATCTACGGTACAACCCTTGCAGCCACCTCCATCTCTCAGCAGCTGAATCCGTTGGACCTTATCATGATGCCTCCGAAGTTATCTTCCAAAGCTATAACCTCTCTAGGTAACCCTCCGCCAACTCTTCCATCTCCACGCCCTTTCCATTCACCCAACGTGACCACCAACACAGCCCGCCATGCTCGAATCCGCAGTTCATGCTCCAATCAACCTGCACCATTACACTGGAGCCGCAAGACATACTTCATCTCGCCACAAAAGTATCTGCGAGCATCATGCGGAATCATGCGTATCCCGACCGGAATAGACTGACTGCGTTGTTGGCGGCTGATGCGATCTTGAGGGTGAATGGCTGTTGGCTTACAACTCACCCGTTTTTGCGAAAGAGGATAGGAATTTCGGTCCTGGATAGATTGCGCGAGAGTCTGAGCTGGCGAGTGCGCTTGTCAGTGTTGTTACGAGGGAATTTGGTGTTGGATCAGCCCAGTGAGTACTGTCAGGGCGTGGCAAAGAGCGTTGACGATGCTTTTAGGTTCATTATCATCAGGCGCCACTTCGAGATGAACACAGTATAGCTGCTGCGCAGTGAGGACCACTTGTTTCTTGATTGATATTGTCGGCTCCGTCAAGCAAATTCCCACTAGGGAGCGACTCACTGGCGAGAAGAGTGTTATATGCGTGTCACATCGACGATATACTCCGAACGCCCCTCTGGAGTTTAGAGCACGAAAAGAACAATCGCACGCAGCACCTCCCGGTAAGCTGAGCCCGCAATTACAGAGCACCATGTTCTTGGGAGGTTCAAGCCTTACCCCAGAATCGAGGGAGGTCAGACGAGCTAGGGCTCCTCCGATAGGGCAGCCCCCGCAGCGACCCAAAAGAGACGACGTAAGCTTACAATATCATGGGTCTACCCCGGATACGCAGCGCATCTATCGAATCAAGCTCATTCGCACTGCAGTCGTTAGTCATTGTGCAACCCAAGCTCTCCAGCCGATGCCGAAGAGCCGGTTTGCGCAGTACACTTGCTACAGGATAAAATGCTTACCTTCCCATGGAAGATTTATCAGTATCTCCCACACTCAAGATCTAAACCAAGCTCAAACCAAACACAGAAACAAAAAGCCAACATGAAAACAATCCTCATAACCGAATTCGGGGACCCCTCTGTCCTAAAGCTAACAGAACTCCCAACTCCAAGCCCCGAGCCTGGACAAGTCCTGATAAAAATCGCAGCCTTCGGCCTAAACCACGCAGAGATGCACATGCGCAAAGGCGAATGGGCCGAATGGATGCCGGTCAGCGGAATTGAATGCGTGGGCACAGTCGCATCCTGCCCGTCCGGCGAATTTGAGCTAGGAACCCGCGTCGCGAGTTTAATGGGTGGCCTGGGCCGGACAATCAACGGCTCGTACGCTGAGTATACAGTCGCCAACGCCTCGAACGTTGTACCCCTTGGCCCAGCCGCAGAGAGCTTATCTTGGGCACAGCTCGCCGCTATTCCGGAGTCGTACGCCACGGCCTGGACGTGCCTGTTCCGGAATTTGGAACTCAAGGCCGGCCAGAGATTGCTAATCCGCGGAGGGACATCGGCGTTCGGCCGCGCCGCAATTAATCTTGCCGTCAATGCGGGTGCGCATGTTACTGCGACGACGCGGAACGAGAGCCGCATAGACGCCCTAAGAGCCCTCGGCGTGGAGAATGTTGAGATCGAGCACCCTATCCTCTCAGAGCACCTCAGCAAGACAGAGAGCAAATTCGACGCCGTCCTCGAGCTCATCGGTAACAGCACAATCGTCGACTCATTGAAACTCGTGCGTCGCGGTGGCCGCGTCTGCCTAGCTGGTTTTCTGGGCGGCCTTGCGCCGGTTCCTGACTTCAATCCGCTGCTGCAGATGGCGAGCGGCGTCTATTTCAGCTTCTTTGGATCATTCGTGTTTGGCACAGAAGAGTTTCCGCTCAGTGATGTGCCGCTGCAGGATATTGTTACGATGATTGCGGAAGGCAAGTTCAAGGCAGAGCCTGCTCGGATCTTCAAGTTCGGAGAGAGTGATATTCGTGAGGCGCATGCGTTGATGGAGCGGAATCAGGCGGGTGGGAAGATGGTTGTTGTTGTTGAAGAGTAAACAGAGAAGTTGATTGCCGTCCTACACTGTCAGAGGCGGATGGATGCATCAGATGCTCAGAGATGGAGCCTCAAGTTATGCCATTAGTGACTTTGGGTATGAGTTAGGGTTAGGATTGTTACTTTCAGTATCCCGTCTAGTTACCGCTGATAATTACTGTCAATGTTATCAACGCTCTCCGTTATCGCTCTAGGAAGGCAGATAACGCAGACAACAACACAGACCATGTGCCATGGACCCTACGCATCCTCTAGCCCTAATCAACCCTCGGAAGTCCCCCATTCACTAGCCCCATGCAATGTGGATCCCTTGAATTGAATGTGGTCATTCTTCTTACCTATTTTATTGGCTATCGGCAGATCATCGACTGAAGACTGCCGAGGCGACATCCAGCATGCATTCTTCATGCAGCAAATTCAAGTTGGGATGTGGTATCATGTATGTTTCATTCAGTGACTTTTATATCATCATTATCCCCGCTAGGTTGAACTCGCAGGAAATCTCATCTCGGTAACTAAGACTATATACAACTAATTCGTTCATATACCCATAACCATGCCATGTTAAATGCTCCCGTAAACGTTAACGACCGTAAAACAAACCCAAATGCAAAATAAAGAAAAGCAGATTACAGCTGACCAGGCCAGATGTCGTCAGCGATCGCACGAACAAGCTCGAGCTTCTTGATCATGCCATCGCGGTCAATGGCGTTACCCTCGCGGTGGGAAGCGAAGCCGCACTGCGGGCTGACACCGAGCTGGTCGAGCGCTTGCTCGACGGTGATGCCGTTGCCCTCGGCAATGAACTTGGCGGCGTCGTAGACGCGCTGCTTCATCTCCTCCTTGTCCTCGAGCTCGGGGAACTTGGAGGTGACGACACCGAGAATGACGGCCTTGTGGCGGGGGACCTCCTTAAGGGGCTCGAAGCCGCCGGCGCGGGGGGTGTCGTACTCGAGGTAGTAGGTGTCGACGTTGAGCTCCTTGAAGAGCTTGGTGGCGATGCGGTCGTAGCCGCCCTCGGAGAAGTGGCGCGAGCCGACGAAGTTGCCGCGGCAGAGGTGGACGCCGATGTGGAAGTCCTGGGGGCGGGTCGCGAGGCAGTCGTTGTACAGCTTGATGTACTTCTCGAAGGTCTCGTCGGCGGTGAGGGTGTTCAGAGGGTCCTCCTTCCAGCCCTGGAGCATCTTCTCGGAGCAGAAGTCTGCGGGCTTGTTAGTTTTGGATGGGCGGGATTCAATGGGTGAGAGACGTACAAACAAGGTTAGGGTCGTCGAACTGAACGTTGCGGCAGCCGGCGTCGTACAGGACCTTCAGCTCGTCCTGGTAGGCCTTGGCAATGTCGGCAAAGTACTCATCGACGTTGGCGTAGACGTCCTTGGGGTAGGCGTAGCCCTCACGGTAGCGGAGGTGGTACCAGTTGGGGGCGGCGAGGGTGAGCTTCAGGTTCTTGACCTCCTCGGGAGCGACAAGCGAGGCGAGGTACTTGAACTGGTCAACGTATGTGGAGCCGACGTGCTTGATCTTGCCGGTACAGAAGACGCTCTCGCCGGGCTTGTGGCCGGCCTCGAGGAAGGCGGCGACGTCGGGGGCGTAGGGACGGAAGACCTCGGGGTTGGGCTCAGCGACCTCTTCAAAGCCGTCAAGGCCGGGGAAGAAGGAGCCCCAGAACACTGTTGTCCGCAAGGTTCTCATTAGTCACGGCACTATAAAGCGGGCGAAGAGCGGGGTTGGGTTTCTTTTTCTTCAACTTACTGTGTCGGCAGTACTCGCCGTCAGAGGCGGCAGGGTAGCGGAGCTTCTTCTGGAGCTCAACAACATCCTTGATGTCCTTCTTCTCGACAGCCTCGAGTTGTTCCTGGGTGGCTTGACCCTTCTCGTAGGCGGTCTTGACGTCGAGGAGCTCGTTGGTACGGAGCAGGGAGCCGAGGTGCTCGACGCGGAAAGGGGGGCAGCGGTGGAGAGACATGGTGAAGTTCTGTATGTCAAAACGTTTCTGTCAGAGATTGATTCTGTTGATCTTGAAGTGCAGCTGGAGGACTCACCAGATGGATGTGATGGTGGAAGAGGGAAGAGGAGAATCAAAAGAAAGACCAGGGAGGAGAAGAGTGAGGGGCAAGAATTAGTCGAGCCATGATGGAGCACGCCGAAACCGCAAGCGAGTCTTCTCGAGTCTCCAGCTGAGAGTGCGGTTCACCTCCCGTAGGGATGTTAAAATGTCGTCACAAAACGGACTGTGACCGACACAGCGAAATGTCCATGTTTTTTATGACGGTCAGAGACGACATACACGTGACTAAAAGTGGGTCAATACTAACCAATAATCAGGCGCCCTGCCCAGCTAATAGGCTTCCAGATTGGGACTAGCGCTCTTTTATGCTACGGGAGCTAGACCCTTTAAGGTATGCCAAGCGCCAATCTGTCAGTCTTGTTTCGCTGTGACCGTCACACTGGTCATTTAGGTGGTCACAGACGGTCAGACATATGTCGGACCGCACCCCTAACCTCCCGAGTCCCGTCGAGTTCGAGCCTGCGCTGGATGGAACCAAATCCAGCAATGCCCCACTGCTGCCTCTCTCTCCACATTCAGTATAGACGGGGGGAAGTTCTATTGGAATAGATGCCAGGATCGTCTTGGCCGGCTTGAGAGTGGCAGGCTCGTATTGAGGATCCCATGATGTCAGTCTCTCTGCGTTATCAGGAGAATTGAGACCGTTGATGGTAAGTTGAGGTTGGAAATGCAGTCGGAGCTGCAGTCGAGGAAAAAGATGCAGAATGTGGGGCTCTGCGGAATTGCGGGACAATAGCTTAACGCAGCCTCACATTCCTCGACCATTATAAATGGAGAATCGGGATGTAGATATGGCGTATAGAGCTGATGCATGAAGTGCATAAAGGATCTGTTGTCTATCAATTTGGAAGGGTCTTTTTTGGATTATTCCCCATGAAAAACACATCATGTAAACAAATGCCAAGCTCATTTCCCCGCTTGGGGGATTTCCGATGGCAGAGTATAGAACCGTAAGGTCTCCGTACTTTGTATAAATGTAGCTCAAGTTTCTTGAGTATATTTATCTTGATCGCGTACTTAGGTAGACCTCCCGTTATATCCTAGAGACAATAAGTGGAAGATTAATTCTAAGGCGAAACGGTCAACCCTGCTGCTACCGAGGTCCGAAGATATATATCGCGGTTCTGGATGCCATGTCGGACTATAGTTCGGTTAGATACTGATCTGTTGAATGCTGAAAATGAGCTAGTTTACATGAAGGAAAGTAAGGATAAAGGTATGTATACGGTCGATTCCATCTATTGACGCTCTTTTCTACCTACAAGACACGAAAACGAGCCAAGCAAAGACGAAAGCGAAGGATTAAAGGGGTATTAACGAAACCCAGAGAACAGTGGGATATCACAAGAATAAAAGGTGACAAACATGAGCGAAAGTAAATGCATGCAAAACATAGAAAAGATTCCAAGGCTGCGTCTTCTGTCATCAAAACGGACATTCAACAAATGGACGGTAATGGTATAGATCGATGAGACAAGTATGGTAGGAGAAAAGGGCATTGTTGTACATGAGGGCCGTGACAGTGACAATCACACCCTCGGATTAGGCGAAGGCACGGATCGCGGTGGTTTATTTTTGGGGTTGTTGGACTTTGACGTTGTTTGAGAGCCAAGCCTGATGCTGTTAGACGGGTCAAGCTAAGCAGGCCGAGCCGGGAACTTACCAGTCCTTCGAAGATACCAGTACCCTCAGTAGCAACGCTGGGCGCAACGTACCACACCTTATCCTTTAGACTGTGCAGTTTAAGCGCGCTGATGATCTCGTCCGGGCTCAAGTCTGCGATGCGTTAGTGACGGAGCTCTCTGATTGTAACTGGGGTGACGTACGTCCTGGGACATCCTGTTTGTTCGCGAACACGAGTAGGAGGGCGTCTTTCATTTCGCGGTCGTTGATGATCTTGTGAAGTTCTGAGCGGGCCTCCTCCAGTCGAGACGTGTCGCTAGAGTCCACCACGAAAATCAAACCTTGGGTTCCTGTAGTCGCGGTTAGCCAGCATAACGATGTGCAGTCGGGCGAGCCGTACCGGAGTAGTAGTGTCTCCAGAGAGGTCGTATCTTGTCCTGACCACCCACATCCCACACGTTGAATTTCACATTTTTATAGGTGACGCTCTCGACGTTGAATCCGACCGTGGGAATTGTGGTGACGTCCTGGTTGGTGAGTTTGAGTTTGTATAGAATCGCTGTCCGAGTCAGTAAACACCCTCGCTGAGTTCGAGTAAACATGGCCGCAACGTACTCGTCTTTCCAGCAGCATCGAGACCCAACATGAGAATCCGCATCTCCTTCGTCCCAAAAATCTTGCCCATAATCTTCGACACTGAGCCACCCATCTTAACGGATATTACGCGACTGCGGGGGAGAACGTAGACGGGTGATTAGGGGGTTGAGGGTGTGGATTGCGATTGAATTATTGTAGGGACGGGAACGAGAAAGTGATCGAGCGGAGCGTAGGCAAGGAGAGAAGGGCCGCGAAATAAATCCGAAGCAAGGGGGGCTATTTAATCGAGTCCAAATCAGTGAACGTGTTCCTTGTCATTTTATGCGCAGGGTGCAGGGGACCACGGGGTGGGCCATAGCAGCAGCTGGGATAAACTCACTACTTGGCTTCAGGAGGGAGCGCACTCTAGACAAAGCGTTGATAGCGCAACGGCGAAGCTCGATGAGGCGGCAAGGGGAAGACAAACTCCGCGACAGAGATGTTAATTGAAGATGTCCTGTCGATTGAAGATGGCCGACATCGAATAAATTCGGGGTTGAGCTAGATCCACACTCCTGGTCGCTGTCGAGTGTCTTCAAGGTCAACTCCGTAAAAGGGGCTGGCGATGCTGACTCAGCGCCCCCACGAGCAGCCAAGAGTTGGTCTGTTTCATCTCCGCATGTCATGCTTCACCTTCAGGCTTCGTCGTCGGCTGCTGCTCGCTTCAGGGCATCCATTGATTTCACGATTTGCCAATTTCATCAATTGGTTTCCCCTCCATAGGGATCAATACATATCATGCGCTAATGTTCTTTGGCTGCGCTAATCGCCAAGCCCAAGCTTCCACAGGCTTGCGCACTATACCAGTGCTTGGCCCGATCTGCAAACCGTCATCCATGATCTGGCACTTGATAGCTTAGGTTTATATCATGTGTCACCCACATCGGCTTCTTGGTACTATCTTAGTATCTTTATCCATGTTATATCCGTTCGGTTAGGGATCAACTTCAATCAAGTAAGCTGCCGCTTACTCAGTCCTCATACGTCATGCCATGGCATCACAGGTGAGGTCACAAGGCGATACTTCCGGGGTTCCGAGATGCGTACCTTGCGATATAACTCACGATAAATCTCTGGACAAGTTCCTCCCTTGCCGAGTCTTGACCATCAATAGACAATAGACCACACACATATAAAACATGCCTGACGGTGCCGCACCAAAACGCCGAGCCTCGCAGCAGCAGAAGCGCCGGCTATCGACTGAACATGCTCCAAATTCATGGGGCGGAGCAACGGCAGGAGTGCGTATTCACCTTCGCTTTATCATTAGGGAGAAACCTAACCGTCGCAGAACATCTACGGCGGATTGTCGACTGTATTCGAGAAGGACAAGGTGATCTTCGCAGTGGCTATCCGTGATGCGACCTACCTGGTGGACTTTGCGCAGGAAGAACTGCCGTTCAGCGATGGCGACAACCTGGACTCGAAGATTGGTGACCACATGATGTTCCATCTATACAAGTGGTGCGACACACATTTGGAGAAGATGATCGGACTAGCTATTCCGAAAGAGCTGGCCGACGCCTGTCCCACGATTACCTCACGTCTCTGGCTGGAGCTCGATATTATTCCATTGGTATTAGCAGATAACAGGCTTGATATCGGCAGCGACGATTCATACCATGGATTCCAGCAGTCCGAGGACTGGGATTTGAGGACTTTGGATGAGCAGGCAGAGTCCATGGCTCGGAAATGCGTTCGGTCCGTTTGATGTACCGATTCCGCCGTTCGGCACTGACGATTATAGGCTTTTCGGTCCTGAGAGTATTCCGTTACTTCAAGTTGGCCTTTCAGGTCTTGTACAGGTTGACACGGCTTTCCACGTGCGATTGACCAACAAAAAGAACTATGAAGACTCCGTGACTTCCAACACTTGGAAGGCTATTCAGTATTATGCAAATGATCTCAAAGACCGGAAGGTCAAATTGGCGTTCTTTAGCGCCACCCCGCAAGGAGGAGGAGTCGCTCTCATGAGACACGCTATGGTGCGGTTCTCTCACGCGCTAGGAACCGACATGAAATGGTAAGATCTCCATACCGGTGGCTCTTCTTCTCTGACCGGCATAGGTATGTGCCCAAGCCACGACCAGGCGTTTTCCGTATCACCAAGACGAACCACAACATTTTACAAGGTGTTTCCGCTCCCGAGGAGCGTCTGACGGATGAGAACTGGGAACAGGTTACTAGCTGGATCCACGAGAATACCGAGAGGTACTGGCTACGACCGGGAGGCCCTCTTGAGCATCCGGACAAAGGAGGCGCCGACGTCATTGTCATTGACGACCCGCAAATGCCCGCCCTCATTCCCCTGGCGAAGGAAAAAGCTCCAGACCGACCGGTTATTTTCCGAAGCCATATTCAGATCCGAAGTGACCTGGTGGACCAAGAAGGGACACCGCAGGCGGAGTGCTGGAATGCCATGTGGAAGGACATACAAAAGGCCGACGTATTCGTCAGCCATCCGGTGAAATCCTTTGTACCGAAGAACGTTCCCCGGGATATGGTAGGCTACTTGCCTGCGTCGACGGACTGGCTGGATGGCCTGAACAAGAACATGCGAAACGAGGACATAGCCTTCTACGGACGGATCTTCAACTCGTGGGCTCGAAACTCTGGAATGCCAGTCATCGACCATCCAGCAGACGAGTATATCATCCAAGTCGCCCGCTTTGACCCGTCCAAGGGTATCCCCGACGTCCTAGGGTCCTACGTGAAATTCCACAAGCGCATGCAAGAGTCCTGCCCCGAGATGCCCATTCCCAAGCTCCTGATATGCGGCCACGGCTCCGTCGACGACCCGGATGGCACGATAATCTATGATCAGGCGGTGAATTACATCGAAGAGTCGATTCCCAATCTAGCCGACGAGATCTGCGTCGTCCGCCTTGGCCCCTCTGACCAGGTCCTCAACGCACTCATGTCCAAAGCAAAGGTCGCCCTCCAACTCTCCACCCGCGAGGGCTTCGAAGTCAAGGTCTCCGAAGCTATTCACAAAGGTCGCCCGGTCATTGCTACACGGGCTGGCGGCATCCCGCTACAAGTCATCGACAAGGGCAACGGGTTCCTGGTGGATGTTGGGGACACAGATGCAGTCGCAAACCACCTCTTCGATCTGTGTACGGACAATGAGCTCTGGCAGAAGATGCACAAGTTTGCGCTGAAGCATGTGTGTGATGAGGTCAGCACGGTGGGTAACTCGCTCAACTGGCTGTATCTTGCTTCGAAGCTCTCCAAGGGAGAGGTCATCAAGCCGAATGAGCGTTGGATTAATGATATGGCTCGTGAGGAGGCGGGCATTCCGTACCAGGAGGGCGAGGACCGCCTGAAGCGGGAGCTGGAAGTGCCCAAGATGGGTTAAGGCAGTTCATGATCCTTGTTTTGTATAGCCATAGCGAGCGTTACATATCTCCACTTCATCTCAACTGTTATTGACAATAGACAATCCATTCACAAACAAAGGGGGTATAATAAATAATCTCTAAAGTCCGAACCCAAACTCCGCCCATACACATTGCCCAGCTCCACCTTACCATATCTACCGGATACTCCGATATCTCTCCCGACTCAGTCCCCCCTCTAACCCCTCAACCCCATACGCAATCGCCGTATCCCCCACAATCCTCGCCGGCTGCCCGCCCACTACACAATGGCTCGGCACCACCATCCCCGCAGGCACAACACACCCATCCAGCACCTGACACCTCTCCTTCAATATCGCCATAGACCCAATAACACAATCCTTCCCAATCGTCACATTATCCTCCACCTTCGCCGCCTCAACGACACTCCGTTCGCCCACGAACACATGGCTCCCGATATGCAGCGTCGTGTACGTGTGCACACCCCTCGTCAGCCGCGAGGGCGGACGCAGGATCGCGCTCCGTGAGATGAACGTATACCGCCCGATATTGATCGCGATGTTATTGTTGCCGGAGGAGGAGGACTGGGATTGCGAGGAGGACGAGGACGAGGAGCGGAAGAGGTCGCCGCGCACGACGGCGTCCGCCATGATGATGGATTTCCCGCCGAGTGAGATGTGGTGTGTTCCGTGGATCTGCGAGCGGCGGGAGATCTTGTTGCCGGTTTCCTTGGGGGGCGTTAGGAGGATGGAGAGGTCTTCCCAGGTGCGGAGGTCTGTTGTTGTGGGGGAGAAGGAGAAGGGTTTGCCTTTTGGGGAGAGGGAGGGGGATCCAAGAAGAGATGAGGATGGAGGTGGAAGTGTAGGTGTAGGGGAGAACATGGATGCTGTGGCCTGCGCGGGCCAGGCGAATGCCTGTGCTAGAACCATCTCCGCGGCTTGTAGGATGTGAGGGGAAGAGGCGGGAAATGGGGAGAGGAGAGGAGAGGACGCACTGTCTCAATGTATTCGCCCTTGGCTACTTTGGGCGGCATTTTGGCGGCTGGGTTGCTGAGACCTCTGTCTCAGTTCGCTCCAATGGACTGGTGAGGAACGTCAGGTAGGTTTTGGAACTGCAGGTGTTGATTGTTGACGGGGCATACAAGGGGACACCGACCGACGATGAAGCTCCAGGGCGGTGAGCTCGCAGGAGGCTTAGCGTCATTCTATGTAGGCTTGGTGGGGCTGAGATACGCTAAGCCTAGAGAAGTATAGCCTAATGCTATACTCTATTTATGTTTCTTCACAAAACACTAGCGCTATACTTGGGTCACACCTGGCTACATCAGACATGCTACATGATTGATAGGATTGGAGTCAACTGAGGTAATAAGTTTGCTACGCTAGCCTCTGCATTTGCATTGCAGCACAGGGAAAACCAAGCGGACAAAAACCTGTACCAAGGCAGATCCCCAATGACCTCCTGATCCCATCCAGATTCCAGACCTAAGATGTTTCCATCTCTACTTCGGGAGAGCCTCTCCTCCGCCTGCTTCCCCAACACCAGCAGAAAGAACTACGGCTGGGAGTACGCGAGCCTTCGGGAGAGCCTCTCTGCCGCCCGTTTCCCCACCACCAGCAGCAAGGACTAGCATTTGCGGTATGCGAGCCATGTCGACGGACGGAGCTGTAGCGACGCTGGCCAGATGATCAGTCGTAAGGTAGGAAAACGGACAGCGCTCGGGATAGAGCTGGACGGGCAAGGTTCGGACGCGAATCAGCGAGCTTACCGAGGTGATATAAATAGGTTTGACGTGAGACGAAAGAGCAGGTGGCAGTGTTGGTCTGGATGGCGAAGAGAATTAGTATTTAGCGGGGTGCAAGCAGGAGGGAAGTGCCTACTAGTTGATATCTTGTCAAAAGGTTGAAGGAAAGAAGGAACTGATGGTCGGCTCTGTCCTTATATACTGCGCGGTATCTTCCGATCGTTTCTAGGGTGCTGAGTGGTTCTGACTGCACCCACCGGATCGAGATCGTAAGAATGGTGGCTTGACCATGTTGCTATAATTCTCCAAAGCTTATCAGTACCATCCAAATGTGCGATTTCCAGTTCAGCACAAGGTTAACATGGTGTCTGGGAGAGCTAAGGCCACTGCTTGTACGTCCATACCACACCACAACATCATTGTCATTTCTAATAGATACAGCGCAGCCTCTACATTTGCATCACGGTACAGGGAAACCCAAGTGGAAAAAACCTACACCAAGGCCGGCCGACTTTCCTTTCCTCGTCAATATGACCGGCGATGTTCAAGAACCCAATCCAGTCTGCATGCCGATTCTGTTGCCCTACTTTGCAAGGGCTTCTCCGCCACCGCTTCCTCCATTACCAGCGGCAGAAGGGCCGTCCGCAGACATTTTGAAACCGAACGTGAGCTGCGATGGTCAATAGAGATGCGTCAGTTACGGACTGTTAAGCGCCCGCATGAGAGGGGGATATAGAGCTCACTTACACGAAGGGTTTTGGTAATTCAACCGGATTGGTTTAGGTCGGCTGCGTAGTGTCGGGATACTTGCTCTGGAACTGGAGAGAGAAGATTAAATGGTTAACAAGCGGGTAGGGCAGCGAAAGGACAGGGGGGAGAAGGACAGCTTACCAGGTCTTGTTGATCCTTTTGTTCGAGGGGACGGAGGTGTAGAGTAGGAGAAATGAACTGAACAAGGAAGAGGCAGTGATGCGATACACCTGACGTGACATCAGGCTGTGCTCAGTCCGTCAAGGTTCAGTGGCATTGATCATTTCATTATATGGATTATGGTACCTTACACCATGCAAACCTACTGCTGCTGAGACCACTGGACTACCACGGTACTGCAAGGAGTTCGGTTTGGCTTGGTGGACAGCCGCAGATAGATTGGGATTCATTCATTTCCCTCTCGAATAGTGGGAATAGATACATCATGAACTAGCTAGCCTCTGCATTCACAGTACCTTGCCCTTGCGGCACAGGGAAAACCGTCTGGACAAAAACCTGTACCAAGGCAGTTTGGCCATGACATCCGGCCCCAGATATCAGCAGTATCCATGCTAATGCAGTGCAGTGTCGACTGCCGCGAGGTCGCCTCTGACGACCCTACTTTGGAAGTGGCTCCCCACCTCCAGGCTGGTCGCTGCCAGCGGAGATAAGACCGGGGCCAAATGGGAGAAGAGCCATATTGGTTGGAGGATGATATGGTCAGCTTTTGATGCCGACCTCGAAGGATAGCAATACCGTTGGAAAGGTCCACCTGAATTCGAGCTGTATCTAGATAGCAGAGAGAGTTAGCGTAAGACTTGGATGCTGCAATGGACGACGTACAATATCTGTTTGAAGATATGAAGTATTTTGGATTAGTGGATGGAAAGGAAGACCGAGGTGCATTTATAGGGGGATGAGACGCATCCAATTTATGCACGTGGGGGATGAGGATATGGCGTAATTTCATTCCACACCACCTGGCTTGGGGTTGCAGTATACTGCAAGCTCAGATGGATCCTGGAAATGACATTTGCAGACGGAATGGTTCGGACTGGGCCATGGTGGCATCATGAGTAACTGCGGCTCTATAAGTTAGATAGGATGGCTTCGGAATAAGACGTCGGTAAGCTTAGACAGAGCATGGTAGAGCCACTACAACAGCATCATTTGAAGATTACTGGGAAGAGCTTGAGAAATTGTGAAAAGTGAAATGTGAGCCTCTGCATTTGCATAACAGTACAGGGAAAACCGGTGGGCAAAAACCTGTACCAAGGCTGAGATCTATACTACATGAAAGATTGCCACCCCAACATTATCTAAGATATCTCCACTACTTAGGGAGAGGCTCGCCGCCGCCAGACTTGTCAGTGCCGGCAGAAGCGAGAGCCCAGGGTGGTGCAGCCATTGTTAACTGGAGTTGCAATGATTAGTTCTGGATGATCAAGTGCGGTGGAGCAGGTGCATGGGCGAGTCAAGGGATGTGCCGGAGAACATGGAATCAAGCTGAAACTCACCTGTGGTGAGAGTGATGGTTGGCTGGTTGGCTGATGCTGAGGACAAAGTTTGGAGGGTATCAATGCAACCTAGATAGAGAGTAGAAAAGGTCAGAAACTGCATGGGAACAAAGGAGGCATGGCATACCGGTGCTTGTAGACTGGCTTTATTGATGGAAGAGAAACAGACAGAGCGGACGGCGAAGAGATTGACTTTATACCCAGGAGGATACCAGGTACTTCCTGCGTATCCTACGGCAGCCCCTCAACTTGCCTTCAAAGGAGCCCGGGGTATAGTGAAGCAGAGCGGAGTACCTACGTCTTCTTGGCCTGCATGTAATCAAGGTCCGCCTATCATAGCCGGCTTACTTGAATACCAAGACAATTGCACCTTGATTTCAGCTCCAGGGGCAACGACTCCTCAAGTCGCTGATTGGATTGGTCGTGTTAAAGATGTCGATCGACCTGGGGCAGGTCAGCAATTCGACGGTCCACGGCACATTCCATCAGTCAGCCCACTGGTTCCCCGGCAGACAACCACAAACAAACCCCATCCAACCAAATCAGATGAGCTCAATGTTATATTACCCGCAGTCAGCCCATTGAGTATGCCTATCACCCCCCCAAACCAGCCATGTCGTCCTTCAACGGCACTGAGGTGCCGGACCTGTCCAAGCGCCTACATCAAGCGACGTCTGAGATCAACCAGCTGAAGGAGGTCTTCAAGGTCCCCTCCATATCGTTTGGCGTCGTCCACCAAGGAAAGGTGATCCGGAAACAGAGCATCGGCTATCGAGATGTCGACAACCGCCTAAATGCAGACCCAGACACGATTTATCCGATCTCCTCCTGCACGAAGATGTTCACGGCCGCCGGGATTGCCCTTCTCGTCGATGAGGGGAAATTGCAATGGCAGGGCCAGGTAAGCAAGAATCTGCCCGAGTTCAATCCCCAGGGCAACCCCGCCATTGCGCTCGAATCAGATCTCATTGATCTCCTGCGGCACTCCAACGGGATGCCCGACGCGACAATGCTCACGGTTGGCCCTCGAGGCTGTCATCTTCATGATTGCGGAATTAAAGGACTCATCCCACTGTTTAATCAGCTGCCCACAGCCAACGCCGATGGACAGCGGTTCAACCGGCATTGGACATACAGCAACATGAACTTCATATTAGGGGGCGAGATCATCTCAAGGGTGAGCGGGCAGACGTATCCGGATTTCATCCGATCTCACATTCTATCCCCGCTCGGAATGACCCGGACTGTCCTTACCAAGGCCGATATCCCCGACGACAATGTCGCCTGTCAGTATACCCTGCTAAGGGACGGAACACTGAAACAACTACCGCCGAACCATTGGCCTTTCGACAAGAGCAGGCCTGACATCCCCGGGTCCGGAATGGGAAGCAGCCTCAACGACATGCTGACCTGGTGCATGGCCGTGCTCTCCGCAGAGAACGAAGAATCAGAGCTAGACAGCTCCATGCCCGAAAGACGCAAAAGCCCCTTGAAGCAAATGACCCGCCTTCGCCGTGGCTACTGGACCCGACCCCCTGAGGACCCCGACAAAAGCAACGGTGCAGCCTTCGGCATGGGCTGGATACGGATGACGCTGCCAACCTCGATGGTAGGCACATACAGCGGGAACCGATACACCCGGGATCCAAAAGGGCCGTGGAAACTGCACCTCGACCGCAACAACATCCTTGGCTTGGATTCTCCCCCGCGGGAGATGATTGGACACACTGGGGGCGCGATAGGAGGGATCGCCACTGTCTGGACATTTCCTGAGACCCAAAGCGCCGTATGTGTGCTCGTCAATGGGCGGTCCTTAGGTGACGCCAGCGACTTTGCAGCGCAGGCACTGATCCAGGCGCTGTTTGACCTAAAGCCGCAGGTAGACCTACTCTCGTGGGCAAGGAAAGAAGCCGAACTAAGCGCGAACTCTCTGACAAACGACTTGTTGACACTATGGAAGGCAAATCGGCGCGAGGCCGATCGCGAGCGAGACCCAGAGCGCTATGTTGGCGAGTACAAGGGATTTAATGACCTCTTCACGTTGAGTGTTGGCACTTCGCCCGCTTCGACACCTGATCAGGAATGCGATTCAAGGTTAACTCTCACATTCAACAACGTCGACCGCACAACCTGCGAGCTGGTCTTCTACAAACAAGACACCTACAGCGTCTTCACCGGAGACCTGGACTTGTGGATGGCCGAGTGGTTTCACTATCGAGATTACCGCCAGACGCTGCTGGAATTCGAGCTTGATGATGCTGGACTGGTGCTGGGGCTTTGGTGGATGTGGGATACAGATGAGGAGCGGGCGTGGTTTCGGCGTGGGGATGGAGGCCGTGCTGTTCTCAACTGATTGGTCTATTTCTGTGTCTAGAAGTGGCGAGACACAGTAGCATAGGTTAGGTAGTCTTAAGCCCGGGAACCGCTGGATGAATGTCATCCCAGAGACCTTTAGCTCTACTGCGTGGGAGGTGTCAACCACCATACCTTTAAGGCCATACTTCTCTAAATTGTCAAGTTGTTGCCCTGAGATAGTACAAGCTCCGGTGGCAGCGGTGATGTTCTAACCTCACCTTAGTAGTCCAGTGCCGCAGTGCCCGGCGGGCTGGCGGCTAGTACCATACCCTAATCGTAGGCATGACTATAACCCTAGCTCTACCAGACGCACGAATCAAAAGCTAGAGCGGCGGCGGATGGACCTTCCTCGCATCTTCCCTTCTCCTATCAATTTCGCTCTTGCCCTCCCTGGAACGCGAGTGCCGGCCCGGAGCTCTGGTACCTTATCTAGCCCTAACATGCCCAGGTGTACCATATGGTACGAGTACGACTGGATTGCCGGAACTAGGGTCCACGGTGTTGGAGGTAATACATGCCCCGCCTCTTGCACTTATAGCCATTAGATCGTGCACTCGTAGTCTACGTAAGTTGTTCAAGGTTTGTTGGCGCCCTGATCGGTGCCGGCAACTGTGACTCTTCCAACTCCGGCGTGTAGGTTCGTCTTGCTGTACCCCATCTCATCCCACCTGCATCTTCTTGCCCACTCCAGATCCAGATACCATGTAGACCAATTGAAAAGAACAGGTCGGTAGATACGGATTCAAAACTTCGTTCAATCCTGCCAGTAATGTAAAGCTAAATCAAACACTACTCAATTCAAACAGCCAAGCTCGCAACCCCAAACTTCCCCGTCCCCAGGTCCTCCCTGTGCAGGAACTCGTGCGGGCTCTGGTGGTCTTCGACGTACCCGACGCCGCCGACTGCTTTGTCTGCCGGGAGTATTTCCGTTAGCTAGCTGGCCTTCTGGGGTTGGACTTGGGGTCGGAGAATGGGGTGGTCTCCGATGGACTCCGATTGTGGACCTACGGTATCCAGCTAGCTTTAGGATGTCCTCTGGGAGGCGGCGGGCGATCTCTAGGGGCGTGGAGAGGACCTCTTCTTGGTCTTGGCGGAAGTAGTCTCGTTGGCTGTGGTGCGGATGATCCCATTGATTAGCGTTCAAGTCGTTACGGCACGGTGAGGAATTATAGGGAATGGATTTGGATTCGAGTCTTACCCGAAGACGGCGAATAATGTGCGCAGAGCCAAGGGGTAGTCCTTCTCGCATTTATTCTCGCCCGCGCCGTGATACGTTGCTACATGGCGTCGAGTTAGTCGAGGACGCACGGCGCTGATCAAGAATGGGGTGGTTGAAGGAGTGGGGGACTCACAGCCCAGCGTGAAAAGCGCAGAGCCGGGCTCCATCTCCGCGTATGTGCACTCCTCAAGCTTGGGCATTCGGTCTGGGCCCCACAGGTGGCTGCCGGGGATAACGGCGGTGGCCTGGAATGTGATACAGTTAATTGACCTGGGCCTGGGTAATAATGCAGAGCTGAGGGCTGCCTTACCCCATTCTTGTATGTTGTCTTAGATCCTGCAATTAGGCAGCCCACCATGGGGGTAAAGAAGGGGTTGGTCGGGTCGGGGCGAGTTTGGTAGGCGATTTGGTCCTGCAGTCGTACCCGTTAGACATATTTTAAAATTATAAATACTTGAGAAGGAGACCGTGGCTTACCCTGTGCAGGGGCTGGGGCTTTGCTCCAGGGACTAGACGGAGAGCTGCGGTTGAAGCGAGCATATAGCCGCTCTTCTGAGGGACGAGTCTGTCGCCGGTGTAGGATGAGAATTCGTCACTGAAGTTAATGACTCAGTACTATACTCGAGGCTGCTGTGGGTTGGGATCTCACTTCAGAAATTGGCCCATAATTCCCTGCCAAACGGGGAGGCGCATGATCTTGACAAGTTGATCTGGGATCTTGGAGAGAAGGGCCTGCGGATGTCAGGTATGGATGTATTGACAGCGATGACAGCAGAAACGACGTACGTAGACTCGCTGGGAGCCCTCGGGGAAGAAGTCAGGACCTAGCTCTTCATGTGTGGCCTTGGAGTCGTAGGTCTTGCGGCCTTTGAGATACGGCTCAACTGGACGGGAGACAATTAGTTGTGCTCACAATTTGAAAGCGAATGGGAGGTTTCGGCATACTCGCGTCCATGCACTCCTTCAAGAGCTGGGGCGAGAGGAAGTTGGAGACGATAACGCCGCCATCTCGCTCGATGATCTTGTAGATCTTGTCTAGAGGCTCAGAGGAGTCGATGGTGACGAGGGAAGGGGCCATTGCAGTGAGTCGAAGTGAGGTGAGGGATTAGAGATGACACAGCGATGCCAGTAGGATCTGCGTCTCATTTAAGACAACACCTGCAGCTCTTTTGCACCCGTGAGTCACAGACCACTTCCCTGTCTACGTTAGTCAACTGCGCGGCCCGAGACTTGCGTGAGACGATCATGAGGCCCCAGGTTGGAGTATCCTTGTCATTCTTATCTCCAGGGTGGACCTGCCTAGCGCATCATGATCCTACTGCGTACTGAACTTTCTCGTGGTCCAAGAGTTGCTTCTCCAACCTCCTCTCCTTATCAAAAACCCAACCATGAAGCATAAAGCTCTCTGCCAATTCAGTCTACCCCAACTCTGGGATTTGAATCCCTGTCGCTATCCGCTCTTCCATTCGAAATCCTCTACCGGGCCGGCTTGACCTCTCCCAGATGCACGAATCATCTGGGATGATGTCCTCAAGCTTGCTTTTAGCGCTTCCCCGCGCCTTGTTCTGCTTTTTTCGTGTCGCTTATCACTGGTTGGACCTTCCTGACGGATCTCACCTTCGGATTCGTTATATAAAAGTGCCTGACGCTCTATGCGGCCTTCCTCCTTTCAGCCGCCGCCATGGAGAACTCCGCAACTTCCAGCAGTGACTCTCAAATGCCGTCGAAGAAAGTGAATTCAATGTCGAGGGTAGATTCGGTGGATATTGGGGAGGTAGCTTCGGTTTGTGGCCTTGTACCTTTTCCTACGAGGCATCTGGCTGACCTGCCCCTCTGCTGCAGAGCCCCGGGACCGCTGAACATCCTTCCAAGTCGGACGAGACGGAGCTGAGCGCGGCTATACAGCAAGCCGTGAATCATCGCCGATTGAACCCGAGACAGATACAACTTACGGCCATAGCTGGGTCGATTGGAGCGTCAGTCACAATTCCTCGTCTACATCCCCCGGACAGCGCTGACAATAAGCAGTGCTCTATTCGTTGGAATCGGGTCCGGTGTCATGTCGGGGCCGTTGTGCCTATTCCTCGCATTCATCTTCTGGGCTTCTGTTGTCTTCTCCGTTGCCCAATGCCGTACGTCTCAACTCCTGCTGAAGCATGGGTGCTGATATTATCCAGAGACTGAGATTGTCACTCTACTTCCCCTTGACGGGGCCTTTATTCGTTTAGCAGGGCGAATGGTTGATCCTGCGCTAGGCGTTGCAGTTGGTTGGAATCATTTCGTTAGTATTTTGGCCAATTCCCCCGGAGCTGTAGCTAATGCTTGTCTACAGTTCGCACAAACGTCCTATGTCATTTTCGAAGCGACGGTCATCAATACACTCGTCGAGTACTGGGGCTATAACCAGTCGCCTGCCATTTTGATATCGAGTATGTTTTCCATCCCAAATTTAGATTGCGTTACTAACCACTACCAGTCTCACTGGTTCTCTACCTGGCGATCAATGTATACCGAGCTGATCTCTTTGGTGAAGCGGAGTGTATGTCCCAGCGTCGCTCCAGCCCGATCTTCAGCATCATTGGCTAACAACATAGTCTGGCTCGCGTTGGGCAAGATACTGCTTGCTGCAGGTCTGATCATCTACACGATCGTTGTTATGCTTGGTGGAAACCCTATGAACGAGTAAGTCTACATTACATTGCTGGGGTTAATCCTAACAATTCTGCAGTCGCTTTGGCTTCCGGTACTGGAAAGAACCCGGAGTATGGGCTGGCGCCGACCCATCGAACCGCCTAATGTCGTTTGTGAATGCTGTCAATGTCGCTGCCTTCTGTATGGGAGGGCCGGAGTATATTTCCAGTAAGTCTTCCGTTTATCATGATGCTTCATCGCTAATACCTGTGCAGTGATTGCCGGAGAGTCAAGAGACCCTCGTCGGACGGTGCCTCGGGCGTTCAGCACTATTATGACTCGTCTGATAGTTTTCTTCATTGGGGGCTGTCTGTGCGTCGGGGTGAGGCGATCCGCTTCTCACTTTCAACAACATTTACTAACTCGTTTGTAGATTCTAGTCCCGTCTGACGATCAAACGTGAGATCATACTTTGGTCTAGAGTTTAGAAATACCACTAACGACTGCAGTCTGACCAACGGTTCTGATACCTACGCAGGTGGATCTCCATAGTAAGCCCTCCATGGAATGTTGTTGAACAGCTCTAACGCATGCAGTGTGATCTCGATGCAACGCTTGAAAATCCCAGTCCTGCCGTCCATTGTAAATGCTGCCTTGATCACCTGCATCGTCTCCGCCGGCAATGCGTATACTTTCAATGCGTCGCGAAGTCTCCATGCCCTTGCCCTAGACGGGCGAGCCCCGAAGTTCCTCCGGCGACTGAACAAGAGGGGCGTGCCCTACATGGCGGTTATCGTGGTGATGCTTCTCTCTTGTCTGGCTTATCTCGCACTCGGCTCTAGCAGTGCTAAAGTCTTGAATTGGATTCTCAAGTAGGTTCTCTCCGTGGTTCTTCATGTGTCACCGACTACTAACGCTGCTTGTTGCGTAGTTTTTGCACAGCTGCCACCATGTTGTATGTCCTACCAAGTCAGACGTTTCGATCGTTGAGTCTAATACATCGCAGCAATTGGACCGTCATGTCCTTCACCTGGATCCGCTTCAACGCAGCCCTAAAAGCCCAAGCCATCGACAAGAAGAATTTCCTCCCCAGCGTTTCCAGATTCCAGCCCTATGCCGGCTACTGGGCGTTTTTCTGGGCATTTTTATTCCTCTGGTCCGTCCAAAGACTCCAAACTAACTCCATCATTTACCCCCGAAGTAAGCTGAACTATCCCAGGATCCAAGGCTACGCTGTCTTTGTGAAAGGCAATTGGGAAGTCTCAACCTTTATCTTCAACTATGGGATTGTACGTGGATGTTTCTTCCCAATGACGCCCGCCATTAACATAGTCATAGATCGCTCTCGCCAGCATCATAGGCATTGGATGGAAGATTTTCAAGAGAACGCCATTTCACAAGAGCATAGATGTCGATCTCGCTTCCGGGCTGGAGTTTTTCGATGCGTTGACGGAGCATTATCGCCACGAGCGCGAGACCGCGCCGGTAACGGTGAAGGACAAGATTATGGCGAAGATTTTCTAATTGGAAATTAGAAACATAACATCTACAATAGGGACTTTTGGTTTCTGTTAAAGGTTAGACTGGCCAATACATATATGTTCGCATGCTTCCTCTGGATGGTGGCAAACGATTGGTCCCCGCTTTCCATCCAACCGTTCGCCTCGAGTTGCCACTGTCAACAACAGTCTCCCTCAGACCCTTGTCTTCATCAAAGAATAGATTAATCCCCGATAAACCCAGCCAAGCGTCAGCAATGAGCACAAAGCGCGACGGCACGTGCGGCTGGGCGGGGATAGCCGTTGATAAGGCCGAGCAGTGGCCCCGAGGACCCATCAGCCCAGACCCAGAGGAAGGAACGTTCTTCTTTCATCACTGCGACCTCACATGCACGCCGTTTGTCGCTGGACCTCGAGGTATCGGAACATCTTGCAACTGGTGAGTTTTTGCATACTTATCCTGCGTCTTTGCTTTTTCCTCCAGGGGCTTGCTTTTCCCGCAACCTTGATTCGCCCATCCCTTTAGCAGTGGCCATTCCATGTGGGTTTGGCACACTTTAATAGCGTAGAAGATTGATCCTCTTTATGCTCTTCTTTCTTATGCCTTTGATATAGGCATATGTCCGGCCGCTTATCCGCTGCAGTCTGATTGAATGCAGCCCACATCTCAAATATCCGCCGAAGCTCCAGGAGCTAATAGAGGCTGACAGAACTGACTATTACACTATCCAGCTATACCATCTTCTGCTTGCGACTTCCAACCTGCAGGCTTCTTCTACTGTCAAGTAGGTCGATCGGCGCATCTAGCCGCCATGACACGACCCCCCAATGTGGCCATAATTGGGGCTGGCTTTGCAGGCCTACGATGTGCCGATATCCTGATCCAGAATGGCGCGCAAGTGACTATCTTCGAGGCGCGTGGTAGAGTTGGAGGGAGAGTATGTTGTGGATACATCCAGTTTCTAAACGGAGCTCGTTACTAACTCTGTCACAGGTCCATCAAGATACAGTCGGTGGGCACCTGGTTGATATGTATGTATCAACCGTTCCTAGCCAGAGAGGTCTGCCCTATTAACCACTGCAGGGGCCCAAATTGGATCCATGGAGCTGGCGCAAATCCTGTTCTTGATATAGCGAAAGCAACAGGAACGGTCCTCCATGATTTCGAAGGCGCCCAGCTCGTCTTCGGATCAGATGGAAAAGCCATGGACGAGGGGCTTGCCATGAAGATGTCCGAGGTCCTTTGGTCGACTATCGATGAGGCGTTCAAGTATAGCAACAGCCATAGAGACGACATCCCGGCTGAGAAGAGCTTGCTTGATTTTATCCGTGAGCAACTCGAGGAAACGGATCTGACCGCGGATGAGAAACGCTTGTGTGTTGAGTCTGCTAGGCTTTGGGGCTCGTATGTTGGAGATCCTATCGAGAGGCAGAGCCTAAAGTTTTTCAGCCTCGAAGAGTCAATAGATGGGAGTGCGTTTCACCATTGCTCTGATTTCCCTCTAGCTAACTCCTGATCAGGTAATTACTTCGTCGCGTCAACATACAAGGACATCCTTGCCAAAGTCTCCAAGACTGCCTTGAACCAGGCGGACATCCGCCTCAACCAACCCATCGTCAACATCCACTCGAAACCGATCATCCAAGGTACAAGCACCCGCCGCGAGATCACTCTCACCACGCAAGCTGGCGAGAACCACACCTTCGACGAGGTAGTCGTTACTTGCCCTTTAGGCTGGCTCAAGCGCAACAAAGCAACCTTCACCCCCGAGCTTCCGCCACGCCTTAGCACCGCCATTGACGCCATCTCCTACGGACGCCTAGAGAAAGTCTACATCACATTCCCCGAAGCCTTCTGGAATATCAAAGTCGCAGGCAACGCTGTCGCCCTGCCCCTGCAAACTGAGGCAGTCGTGAACGGATCAAGCGCCAAACTGAGCTTTGCGCAATTTCTTAACCCAACATACCATACGGACCACCCTGAGGAAATCTCCTGGGATCAAGAATGTTTCTCTCTCGCTGCCTTGCCGCATAAGACCGCACACCCGACTCTCCTTTTCTACGTCTACGGCCCTTGCGCCACATACATCGTCGACAAACTCACCTCGCTATCGTCATCAAATCCAAAACCTCACCCACATTGCCACCCCCCAGACTCAAAACAATACACCTTCCTAAACGACCTCTTCCGCCCCTTCTACGCCCTCCTCCCAAACTACTCAAACAAACCAGGATGCATCCCAACATCCATCCTCGCAACAACCTGGCAATCAGACCCCTACGCCGGCAATGGCAGCTACGCAAACTTCCAAATCGGCCTTAGCGACGGAAACAAAGACATCGAGACTCTGCGCGCGGGGATGGGCCTCGACCGCGGCGTGTGGTTTGCGGGCGAGCACACGGCGCCGTTCGTGGCGTTGGGGACAACCACCGGCGCGCTCTGGAGTGGAGAGCGTGCGGCGGGCCAGGTCTGCGCGCTTTATCGCCTTGGACGCGTCGGGATGGGAGCTGAGCGGGATGATAGTTTGCCTAGTGGTGTTGCGGAGCATGAGGATAGCAATGGGACTCCGAGGGAGAGGGTTAAGGGGGGGAGCGGGTTTCGGGTTGGGGTGGGCAATGGAAATGGAAGTGGAAATGGGAATGGGGTGAAGGGTTCGATGCTCTGAGTAGATTCTGCGTTACGGCGGATAAGACGCGGTGGGTTTGGTATTCTTATATCTTGTATAGGACTGACTGTCTGATGGGCTGGGCTTTGGGTTCGTCTTGGTGTACTAGGGCTATCCAAGGTCCACCTAGTATATACGCGCATAGACAGAGTATGCACCTGCATACTAGACCTCGAATATACTTTAGGACAATGGACGACGCGCAACTCCTCTAAAAATCCTACGTATAGATCATTTTTAAGATGTTCTGATATCATTATACACTCAATAACCCCCCGACTCCCACGCCAGGGGTTGATAATATGTACACGCATTTCCCCCCCCAAGGTTCCTTCACCTTGCCCCCAGAGGCTGAGGCTGCCCCCTCTCAATCTCCAAATAAGATACAACTACCAGATGAAATGTATCTATGCCGTATGCCGTATGTCAAGCACATCACATACCAGCGCGGAAAGCAAACCAAGCAAACCGCGCCGCGTCTGAATCTGAAAAAGCAGACAGAGCGCAGTTCAAAACAGCCAACAACGCAAGCAAAGCAAAGCAAAGAACCACCTGCCCAGACCTAATAAATGGAGAAAAGAAAAGAAAAGAAAAGACCAGACCCGAACGGAGCGCCAAACGTCACGTCAATGACAACGGCGCGATGGGGAATCTTAATCGAATCGACATGGCAGGAAGAAAGAGATGGAATAAAATGATGAAGGGAACTTGCGGTCAGTTGATTGCAGCGAGAACCGAGCCGAGAGTGAATGGCAGCGAAGCGAGAAGAGCGCCGTTTGACTGAACTAAACTCCGAAATGAAGATGAGAGGTGAAGGTGAACTTGAACTTGAACTTGACGCCTAGGGAAGCTTAAGAGATGAAGAAGCGGAACCTGGGTTGAGAGCTGAAACAATTGGACTGACCGGGAATCGACGGCCTGCGCGATTTCCGGGGGCGGAGGATGGGTGTGGTGGTGGGGCGCATGTGAAAATGGGGGCGACGATCGCTTCGAGCGGGAGCGGGATAGATAGGGGTGACACCGTGACAGCCAGTCCCTGCACCAGTGGACAAGAGAAGCTGTTGATGGCCGGGTACCTCAGCCTCAGTCCTCCCATATAGTCTCGAGATCTAGATCCTGACGACGCTCTGCCCCGCATACACTCCACCGTTTCCGGCTAGAGCGCGAGCTTGTAAAGGAGGATGGGCCGGACATGTCGGAAATGCCGCGGCGGCGGTTCGCGTTGTTGGCGTCTGTCTCGTCTGCCCTGTCTGCTGCTGCCTTTAGAGCGGCGATGCGGTCTGCTTCTATGGCTTCTGCTTCGGCGTCGGGGATGTCTGGGATTGTCTCGAGGGAGGAGATACTGGGGCTGCGAGAGCGGAGGCTGGTCGGGGTCGAGGGCATGGAGGAGGCAGACGACGCTGAGACCGAGTAGCTGGGGAAGGACTCGTTAAACCGGGAGTTGAGGATGACGGGTGAGGAATTTGCAGAGGACAGCGGGCTGCCTGCGGCATTGCTCGTGGGTGTCTGGGGGACGTGTAGCGGGGACGAGGGGCGGCGACGACCAATCCGCGGCGTAGAATGGGACAGGACCGGCGAGGTCAGGTGGAAGTCTGAGGCTGAAATAGAAGATGACGACGAGCCCGACGTGTCTAGCTCCGCGTATTCAGATATCGTCTCGGAGATGTTCTTGCGGTGGTGCATCCTCGGCTCGAACGAGTCGGGGGCCGCGGTCGTCAGTTGTAGAGGCAGATACCGCTTGGGTGTATTCTCGCCCAAGTTCACATTCGCCGGCGAGCCGCGCCCGTTGACGAAGATATATCTCCCCCGCGAGTCCAGGCCGGGCGAGGAATGTGCGCGGATCATGACGGGGACACCGGGGTCGTCGGCGAGGGAGCGCGACCGGATGTGCGAGCGGGGGAAGGGCGGACGACTCGGCGTGGACGTCGGCGTCGAGCGAGGTGGATCGGGGGTGAGTGAGAGTGTTATCATGACGTTTCCCGGGCGCTCCGGCTCGCCGTTGTTGACGCCCGCTGGAGAGCCAGAGGAGCTCGACCTTATGCTGGAGCTGGAGGAGGCGAGTGACTCGACCGAATCCACGGGACTAGGCAGCATGAGGCCCCCGGGGCGCGTGCGAGACGCTTCCATGGTGTCACACACGCGCTTTTGTTCGCTTTCGCTTTTCGCTCGTGTTTCTCTGTCCGGAGGGGAACCTAGACGTGTGGTTTAAAGCGACCGCATCGCGGGTGTAGGGGGGAAAGAAAAAGTTCTCCCTGAAACAGTCGAGCCGAACCCAGGGCGATAGTTAGTGTCCCAATCTCAGGTCGCGGCCCAAAATGTGGTCAGGGCGGCGAGAGATGAAGAAAAAAAAAATGGATTCCTCTCCTGAGATGACGACTTCCCCTTTCCGATTGAAGTGCCCAGCGAGACCCGAGATTTGGATCGGTGAAGGGAGGAAGCAAGAAGGGTGGAAAGGGGGAGTCGAGGGGAAGTGGTGAAGTCAAAGACTAACGCCCTAGAGGCAAAACAAGCCGAAGAACCGCTCAACCCAACTCCCCTCTTGAAACATTCGTCGCTGCTCAGCCATTCTGTTCCCCGCTCAATCTCTTTGTTCTGCTTTCTTTCATCGTGGTATGGCAAGGACAATCAGGTGGCAAATCAGACCGCTGAGAGGCTTGACAGCTCCAAGCTGGAAAGCAGAAAAACAAAGGTGCAGCTCCGGTCCCACCTTGGCGGATGACTTACATGAGCGACACCCTGGCACCACACTTTTGCATCACTGGATGGGGTAAAGACTGCCATATCTGGGGAACCCTGTCTGCGATTGTCACTGATGTCCGCAATGGATTTTCATCTCGGAGCGATCCTACGGTATGTCCGGAGTAGATAAAGACCAAGTACGAAAAACAATCTATTAGGTATCAAGGTATAGCGAACATTGCTAAATCTAACAAGTATAGAAGTCATTTCAATCAATTGTGCTCGTCCTTGCACATTTTGGAGGCCCTCTTCCGCACATAGGTCTCGCGAATAGGGCATCCTTCATGGCTTTTCACTACCCATTCCCCAATGCCATACTCCGGAGGAGCTCGCTTTACACCACGACCACCGCCCCCACAAATCAGATTCCCCGGGCGGTAATTGGGATCCTTCTTCAGGCGGCGGATGGCAGAGACATGGACCTGGGCGTCATGCGGCATGTCGCGGACTTCTCCGCCCGGCAACGGCCATCGGATCGGTTCCCATGATCCATCCTCCTGCAGGTCCATGCGGCGGAACGGCAGGTACTCCATCATCCTCCAGGTGAGCACCGAAAGACGCGGCAGGCCATTGCCGAAGGATAGACAGTCGTGCAAGAGACCCTCCGTACTCGAGGCATACAAGGCAGCCTTGAATCTTTGGCTTGAACTGGATGGCTGCTCAAAGTCCTTGTCGCCAGTTGTGTGCATTCCGTTCTCTTTTCCATTGGGTTGATCGTCATGGCCATGAGCAGGGTCTTCGCACCAGCTCTTTTGCCACTTGATGTTTTCCTTGATAGGGCTGTAGTCACCCTCGAATTCCTCAAGACACTCGAATTGCTTCATCTTGGCGGGATCGAATTCGAGGCCTGCAGCCTGGGCAGCGTGGACCATCCATACCAACGGCGCATGACTCAGAGCCCAGCTTTCGCCGTCGCCGAGCGTCCAGCCTCCGCCGATATCTGCATGGCCGCCGGGGAACCAGACCTCTTGGATGTCCTGCTCTCGATCGTCGTCGTCCTCCACAACTCGGCCTTCTGATGGGACCTGGAGGGACATTCCAGAGTGCCCACTTCGTCCGCTTCGAAGGGAGTTGAGATCCTCGGTAGACGCGGTGGGCATTGGAACCGCAAGACTAGGCTTCCTTCTCCTGGGTGAAGGGGAGGTTGGACGGTATCGATTTCCAGAGTGGAGGCTTTCGTGAGATGCATGCGAACTTCGATAGACGGATCCAGTGTCTTCTTGGCTTTGATGCCCGGGGTCAACTGCTCCGTTRATTTTGTCGCCGACATCCAGGTTATCGTTCAGAACGATCTCAGGCACGTTATTCTCCTGTGGCTTTTCCTCCTTGGGGTCACGGCTGTGTGGACGCAGGTATTCCCGCAGATGAGGATGGTGATGGTAATGGGTCTTCTTCTTCGGTCTCGCTTGAGAGATCAAGTCTTGTCGAAACTTGGCCCGACGCTCGTCGATCCCCACGGCATGCCGAATGACCCTGGCCGAGCTTCGTGCCGTGTAAGGGAACTTGCTGCGTTGCATCCAAGCGGACTCGAACCTTGGGACGCTATTGACGGTGTCGAACAGTCCCATGAACTTGATTCGGGTGATCGGTCGACTGAACGTTTCGCGAAAAGCCTTCATGTAACGGAAGAGTTTCTGCTTCTCGGCCTTGTCTTCCTCACTGTCGCCACCCCGCTGCTGCCACTTTGCGAAGGTCTTCCAAGCAAAGCGGGTGAGTTCTTCATTTCCTGCTTCGAGCAAGCCAATAAAGTCCAGCATCTCTGCAAGAAACCGCGCGACATAAGCGCCTCGACTGAAACCGATGAAATAAATTTCGTCGCCGGGGTTATAGAACCTCATGAGGAACTTGTACCCGCCCATGACATGCGCATCGAAGGAAGACCCGATTGCAGAGTCTTTAGCCTTTTGATACGCAGATTTAATGCGCTGGAAGCGACCAGTGTGGGAAAGTGTGTTGGTTGTTACATATGTTCCAATCCCTGGTTGGTAGTAATGGAACTGATGAGGCTGACTGCGATCCAGCATCTTGCATCGGCAGCAAGCGTCAATACTCTCATTGCGAACGCGGGCTCTGTGGACTTACTCGGAAAATCTTCAAGACATTACTGTCGCTCTCATCGCCATTGAATCGGTTGCCCGTACCCTAGCCCAGATTTCTTTTAGCAGATTACCACTGCAGGATAACAAGACACCTACGTCAAAGCAAAGAACGAATTGCCTAGGCCTCGCTAGCCGTGGTCCAACACCCGCGCCTTCCATGACTGGACGATTCTGTTGCGTTGGAAGATGCCACTTCAAGGTCGCTGCGGAAGGGTGGAAGTGATAAGGAATTCTGACGGCTGGGGCCGAGATGCAAGGAGCCAAGATATGTACGTTGGTCTTGGGAGGGGATGCTACTTGTATAAGGGCATTGAGACGCTCTTCCTATGGGGCCAGGCAGCGACACATGCACAAGAATGGCTCTCTCGCTGAGTTTGGAGAACGCTCTCGAATCAAAGACAGGGATTATGCACGATGGTGTCAAGCCTTCCTGGCTTGTAAGTTGCAAGCCCGAGTTCCTGCAGCCCTGCCGGCCTTGACTCGCTGGGGAAATGAAGTGGGCGAGACGTCGAGTTCACGGGTCAATCTTCTTGCGAAGAAATGCGATGGTTGGTCAACTTGGTCCACACTTTTTCGAACATCCATGAGACCGGGGGGATGGAAAAGTAAAAATGTCTTCCCCCGTTTCACGCATGAACGAAAAGGAATTTTGTCTTGGAAAGTTGGAGTCTGCTGATTCTCAGCTGCGGTAAGAGCGCCATCCCACTAGTGGTGAGACTAACATGCGCCTGCGATGGGACTCGTATTCTTGCGAAACGTGAGTCGTGACGCTTACGACCACCACGTTCCTTTTATCGCTTTTTTGGGGTTCATAAGCTTCATGTGGCAACAATTCTATACATCTGACTCCTTTGCCCTGTCTCGACGTTGTACAATATCGACGTCGTCTGCAGGCGAGCCGGAGATAAACGTCATGACTTTTTGTGTCTTGCTTATGGGGGCGTCCGGCATGCGAACGAGTCTATCTTGACCTTTCGCGGGATACTCGGAGGCGACCACCACCGCAGTTCCTACTCCGTACCTAGCGGGGCCGCCTTGACGCCAGCGAGCGTGGCCGCGCCGCCGCGGCCGAGTTTCCAGCGACACGGACCCATGCCCACGCCGGTCCTCCACTCTTGTATCTCGATATCCCGTGCAGTTACTTTATTTGCACCTGCCACCGACGAGATCGGCGGAGAAAATCTCCCTTTCCCGTCCCAAGAACAGTCTCCGTAGTGACTTAGATTATCCCCACCTTGCTAGCGGTATTATTATCCATTCGACGTGCGTACTTGAGAACGCGTGCCGCATTGCCGACAAATACTATTTGAGCAAGGTGCACCCGATGCAGCAGCTCAAAGTTTGGAGGGAACGAAGGATGCGAGAAAGCCAATCAAACGCCCAGGAGGTATGCAAGGGGCTTGAAGAACCTCTCAGTGCGTGGAGATATTCGTTCGGTCGCCGTCTGTCTAGCACGAAATTATGTCTGCCACGACATTCGACAATCGACAGGCTTTCTCGGAATTCGAAGCCTGACCTATGGAGGGTAGAACATAGATTCTGCAACCTTTCTTGTGGCGGATCTCTTCCTTCTGGCAGAGCTAATCGACTAGTTCGTCAGCGAGCGAACCTAGCGTGATGGATCAACGATGGAGCCAGGTCCTAGCGTACCTAGCGCGAAAGTGACGGCGGCGGGCGTGGTGGACTCGGTAGGAGCCGATCATTAACCCATGGATCATGGGCGATAACCGAGATGCGGCGAAATCGCATCCACGACATGGAGTTTGGAGGTAAGCTTCGTAGCAACTATCACTTGCATATGGTCCAAAGGATTGCATGGTCTACTTTGTATGTGCTGAGTATACCCATCAAGAAAATGGGTTGAATGAACGCTGACAAGAGACGAACTCCTTGCTCGACGTCTTGGCCGATCCACCGGTCCCGTGATCGTCTGCCTGCCACCAACTTTCTTCTAACCGATGTTTGCGCACTCTGAGCGCTGATGTTCGCTAGCTTCTGACGATCGCTGACAAGTATCTTTACCCTCTTTGGTCCGATATCTCTCGCTCGCTGATCGATGCGTTCATCGCAAGTAAATTTGAAATCCAATGTTGCAAAGACTGATTACGGGGCACGTAAATCGACGATGATCTTGTGCTGAAACGCGTGGGAAAATCTCGCCAAGGCCCACTTGGATCTCTAGTATTTGCACCGCAGCGGGGTTTCTCGAGTTGGTGGTTTTCCTTCTGCAGCCTCTCATCCAATCCGATTTCTCTGACTCAGGGTGCAGCTCCGAACACTCCGTGCCCGCCAGATCATCCATGTCTCTCAAGCGCCCCCGTACCACGCTCTCGGTGTCTCCTCTCTCTGCTCGGAAATACCTGTTCAAGCCTCGTGTGACGGAAAGGACTCGGCCTTGGGAAACAAAATCGAGTTTCCTCGATCACAACTGGCAGACAAACGTTCCGTCTTTCGTCAGAGAAGAACTTTAGCTGGCGGAAGCTTTGGCCATGGGGACCGACGCGCCAATGTGGAGAGTCGACTCAGTCGATCCTTCCCACCGGATCAGCTAGCTCTTCGAGATTCTTACCAGGGTCGCGGTTGGTAATGGTATCATTGGTATGAGAACATGAGAAGGGCACTGCGTCCTGCAGGCCTATCGCCTTCCTCTCCAGGCGTTTTTCATATCTTGGCGTCGATTTTCTCGCTCGGAGCTCCACAACACGCAAAAACTTGCACAGATTTACAGGCTGTCCGTGTGTCTCGCACACTGTGGCTGGCGGAACACACCGTCCACTGACTCAAATCAGCTGAACCTGAGTGGATGTCCTCCCGACCATCACCTCTTATTGCTTCAATGGCCCAATCTAGCTTTCTTCATTGCTTGGCCAATTGTGAGCTTTGTTGTGCGGAGCTGTTCCCGTTCGCTGGGCCTATGGCAAAGCAAATACACGAGCTTGTAAGGAGACCCGAGCCGAAGCGATCAGCTCCAGGTGGCCATGGCCCTTCATGAGCTCGAGAACTCAAGAGGCACGACACATCATATTGAGATTGCCCCCCTTTTCAAGATCCCCACAATTTGTGTCCTTACTTCTGAGACGCTGGGCAAGCATGAAGCCACAGAAGACGGTGTCTTCCGCCACAACAATACATTCAATCAGCTTCCACGAAATCATAAGCATAATGACATAAAGCCGGGTCCCTGTCCAGTGTCCGCTCGCGCGGCACCCCCCCACTTGCACCTCGCTATTTCTCTCCTAATATCTTCGGCTCTTAGAAGCGGTAGCTCTCACATTCATTGCATTACACAGACAGACTGTCACAAGCGCGAGGTACAACCAACGGATCTGAAGCACAGACTGATTTACTTGGGAGCTGTGCCAATACACGTGGAGTCGCTTCCTATTAATCGTCATCCTTAGTTCTGCTTTATAGTTATTTTCTTTTTCCTGCCTGCCGCTTCGTCCGCGCTTTTAAGCAGCTGCTTTCCTTGTTCTGTTTATCTACCTTCTCACGTTTCCTGTTTTCGCGTATTGATACCCACGATGATGCGAAGATTTTCAACTTTCAGAAAGTCCAAGGGGGACAAGGCCGAAAAGGCCGATCGCGAGTCAAAGGCCAATGGCTCCCATGCTCACGGCACGTCTGCGACCAACAACAGCGCGAAACGCCAGTCCAAGGTGCCTTCTCCGCGCAGGGCCTCATCGGACAGCGGCAGCAGTGCTGAGAGCGAAGATGTTCCCGCCGTCTTTGAGAAGTATGCACAGGTGCTTCACTCATCCTCTCGCCCGATCCCTCACCAGGGCGGAGAAGCCGCATATCTCGAGAAGGAGAATCCTTCAGGCTTGTTCAACGACTTGAGATCGCTTGGATTCAAGGACTTTGCCTCCTTGAAGGATGTGATCAAGACCAAGATCAATGGGGAGCTCACAGACGATAAGACGATGATCATGGAGCGAGTTATTCAGGTTAGTGGCACAGAATTCAGGCGATCCATTATGAGTTATGCACCGGGACTCTGACGCGATTGTAGATTGTTAGCAGTCTCCCTTCGAACTCGAAGATGCGCACCGACCTCACAAACGTTTTCCTCGACGAGCTCTGGGGTTCATTGCCTCACCCTCCGCTCTCGTAAGCTCACCGCGCGCAATAACTTGTCAAGATTATAACTTGGTCCAGGTATATGGGAAATGAGTATCAGTACCGCTCTGCCGATGGTTCCAACAACAACCCCACCATTCCGTGGCTGGGAGCTGCGAACACGGCGTATTCGCGCTCCATTGAGCCCTTGACCGTCCAGCCTGGGGGTCTTCCGGACGCTGGCTTGGTCTTTGACACTTTGTTCGCTCGACAGAAATTTACGCCTCACCCTAACAAGGTGTCGAGTCTGTTCTTTGACTGGGCGTCCCTGATTATTCACGGTCAGTTCGTTGGGAATTGGCGGTTCCGGGCACAACTAACGTCCTCGCTCAGATATATTCCAGACCGACTACAGAGACTACACCAAGAACAAGACCTCGGCTTACCTTGATCTCGCCATTTTGTATGGTGATGTGCAGGAAGAACAGGACCTTGTTCGTAAGCACAAGGATGGAAAGCTGAAGCCAGATGCTTTCTCTGAGCCGCGACTGCAGGCCTTCCCCGCTGCTTGCTGCGTTCTTCTTGTTATGCTGAACAGGTATGTCCAATCTGCGAGTTGCCCAGGCTGAGTAGCTGATCATCAGATTCCACAACTATGTTGTCGAAGAGCTTGCCGCCATCAATGAAAACGGCCGTTTCACCAAGCCCAGCCCTCACCTGCCAGAGGAGCAAGCCAAGAAAGCGTGGGCTAAGTACGATGAGGATCTTTTCCAGACTGGCCGACTGTGAGTAACTGCCACCTTGTCAATCAACGTCATTCTAAGTCTGGACAGCGTCACCTGTGGTCTGTTTATTAACATCACTCTATACGATTACCTTCGCACGATCGTCAACCTGAACCGAGTAAACAGTGATTGGTGCTTGGTGAGTAACGTGCTCGGTCCCCGCGATTGGGCGGGCTTCTAATACGATACAGGACCCTCGTGCTCAGATGCAGAATGGCACTACTCCGGCTGGTCTCGGAAACCAGTGTTCCGTAGAGTTCAACTTGGCGTACCGATGGCACTCTGCCATCAGTGCTAACGATGAGAAATGGACCGAGCAAGTATATGAGGAGCTTATCGGAAAGCCTGGCTCAGAGATCACTACACAGGAGCTGCTCATGGGTCTTGGAAAGTATGGCGCTAGCCTTCCCAAAGACCCATCCCAGCGCACCTTTGCTGGTTTGAAGCGCCAAGAGGACGGTACCTTTAAGGACGAGGAGCTAGTCAGCATTCTTACTCTTGCCATTGAGGATGTTGCTGGTACGTCAATTCTACTAAAAATTCGGGAATACTGCTTACTCTTCAACAAGGGTCTTTCGGTGCTCGCAACGTGCCCAAGGTTCTCAAAGCCGTCGAGGTTCTTGGTATCGAGCAGGGTCGTAAATGGAACGTCGGATCTCTCAACGAGTTCCGTAAATTTTTCGGTCTGAAGAACTACGAAACCTTCGAGGAGATCAACTCGGACCCCGATGTTGCCGAATCGCTACGAAGCTTGTACGGCCACCCCGACTACGTCGAATTGTACCCCGGTATCGTATCCGAGGAGGCCAAGGAACCCATGGTTCCTGGTGTCGGTATTGCTCCTACTTACACTATCTCCCGTGCGGTTCTGTCTGACGCTGTTGCGCTTGTGCGTGGTGACCGACACTACACTGTAAGTTCGAAATCCCCAAAAGTGAAAATAAGTTGCTAATCTGGACAGATCGACTACAACCCCCGAAACTTGACCAACTGGGGTTACAACGAAGTCCGCTATGACCTTAACATCAACCAAGGATGTGTCTTCTACAAGCTCGCCACTCGCGCGTTCCCCAACTGGTTCAAGCCCGACTCCATTTACGCCCACTACCCCATGACCATCCCCAGCGAGAACAAGGTCATTATGAAGAACCTCGGTAGAGAGGCCGACTACTCATGGGACAAGCCCCAGTTCCAGGCTCCTCGCGTCAGCCTGACCTCCTATGCCAATGTCAAGCTCGTCCTCGACCAGCAGAAGGATTTCCGTGTGGTCTGGGGTGATTGCACCCGTATCCACCCTGGCAAGGGTGGCGAGGACTTCTGGAGCAAGACCCTAAGTGAGCCCCAGTGGAAGAAGAGCATCAAGGAGTTCTATGAAAAGACGACTCTCGAACTTCTCGCTGACAAGTCGACCAACCTTGCCGGAAGGAAGCAAGTTGACATTGTGAAGGAGTAAGTCTCTACCCTCCACAACGAGTTATTGGCTAACTCCATGACAGTGTCGGAAACATCGTGCCTGCTCGATTTGCATCCAAGCTTCTCTCGCTTCCTTTGAAGAGCAAGGAGAACTCCAAGGGCATTTTCACCGATCATGAAATCTTCACGGCCTTGGCAGTTATCTACAATGCAATTTTCTTTGACGTTGACTCCACCAAATCGTTCCCGCTTCGCAAGGCTGCAGATGCTGTTAGCAAGGAGCTTGGTAGTCAGGTCGAGGGCCATGTGAAGTCCATCAGCTCTCCCGGCTTCCTCTCGAGAGTTATCGACAGCTTCCGCGACGACCACAATGTTCTCAAGGATCTTGGTGACCAGCTCATCAAGCGTCTATCAGAGAATGGTCTGAGCGTTTCCGACATCACCTACGGCCAGATTATCCCAACAGCGGTCGAGCTTGTCCACGGTCAAGCCCAGATGTTTACTCGTATTGTCGACTACTACATCAACGATGGCAAGCAGTACCTTCCTGAGATCAGCCTTCTCGCCAAGCAGGACTCTCCCGAGTCCGATGCCAGGTTGACCCGCTACGCCCTGGAAGCCATCCGCCTGAACGCCGGGTCAGGAGCCTACCGCAAGGCCGAGACCAACCTCTACGTCAAGGAGGGAGATGTTGATGTCAACCTCAAGCCCGGTGACGAAATCTTCATTGGATCGGTGAGTTTCTTCACTAGTCATCTCTAACGCCCATAAGCTAACACCTTCCAGACCGAAGCCAACCGTGACCCCGTGGCCTTCCCTGACCCCGACACAGTGCGCCTCGACCGGCCCGATGAATCGTACCTCAACTACGGCATCGGCTCTCAGGTCGGCCTCGGCAAGGACGCCACCCTTACCGCGGTTACTGCGATGGTCCGCGCCGCTTTCAGTCTGGACAACCTGCGCCCTGCCCCTGGTCCCCAGGGTGTGCTGAAGAAGGTTGTTCGCCCTGACGGCTACACTGTCTACATGCGCGAGGACCACGGCGCGTTCTCTCCTTTCCCGACGAGTAAGTTCTCCAGTCGTGTGATTAGACCAAGAGCATTGCTAACTTCCTTCAGCCTTCCGTGTTCACTTTGACGGACAGGTTCCCACTCCCAAGAAGCTAATTGCTTCGTCTTAGTAATGACCGGATGATGACATTGTAATGTGTGACATTTGGCTGAGATATCTATTTGCTGGTTAATGTACTGCGTAATGTTGGTTATATATTGAGTAATATATATATATGTCATGTACTGTTTGTTTACGCCTGTTTTATTATTCGCAATCCGAGTCGGATGATAATGAATATAACTGAGCATAGCCCTTACTCAACAGTGACCAAGCCTCCCGGTAATTCTCGCAGTACCCTATTGAATATGCTTTGTAGGACAAATATATGTTGTGCAATCTCCAGTTATCTATTTACATTGTCAACTCATCACGGAGACTGAGGAAAGTTGAGCCCTCATTGCAATATCCATCAGAAGAATATCTACATCTTCCTTCTCTTAACCCTGATCCTCGCACCCTTCGGCGGCAGCATCGCCTCAATCATCCAACTAACGCCCGGCCTCTTCCCACCACACCCAGCCGGGAATCCAAGCTCATACCGCGAAACCGCATACGCCACTATCATCTTGACTTCAAAATCCACCAGCCACCGACCGGGACAAGCCATCCTCCCGTGCCCGAAAGGCAGGTGGTAGGGGCCTGTACTCACGAAGGACTGCGCGCCTAGACCTGCTTTCGCCCGTGGGTTCCCCGTGGCTCTCGCATCGGCCTCCGCCGCTTGAGCAGCTTCATACGGTCTCGAGAACCGGAACGGATCGAATCGCTGCGCATCCTCGTACACACCCTCATCGATCTGCGCGGGATGTCCGACGAACGATACCCTCGCGCCCCGGGGAATGGCGTCCTATCGCCCGTCACAATCCCATCCGCAAGGTCCTTGCAGATTGCGCTCCGGTTATCGAGTGAGTGCCGTCTCATTGTCTCGCGGCCGACGCTCTCCGCCCGGAAGAGCTTGTTCGTGCGTGGTCTGTTCCAGGAGGACATATCTGTCCGTTCCAACCCATCATCCGTGAGGACGTGGGCGACCTCCTCGCGGAGCATGGCGATTGTGCTATGCTTGGTATTTGAGTTGATGATGTTCAGCAGGACATTTGTGGTCAGGAACGCAGTGCGGTGGATGGAGCCCAGATTCGCGAGGAAGAGGCGGCGTGTCATGGCATAGAGGTTCAGTTCGTGCGGCCGCTCGCGCTGCGCATACCGGAGGATCATCTGGAAGAAGTCGTTTGGCTGGGAGGTTTGGTTTGGTTGAAGGCTGTCCAGGCAGGCGTGATACTCGGCCTCGATCATGGCGGCGAGTTTGTCGAAGCGGGCTTGTGCGCGACGGCGGATCAGAGGGCCAAGTACCTATGGGGTGGAGGATGCGCGGGCTTAGGAGGAGAAGTCCCGTGCTCAGGTGCATTTGGTCGACCATGTTGTAGACATGATTGATGTACGAGTCGCTGCGGCCTGGACTTGTTACCTAGTCACCGTGTCCTGCGTCGATACCTACGAGGATTGAGATGGAAGACCCACGGTAAAGGATAAGGACAACATACAACATCCAAAGCAGCTCGCCAACGATAAATCTGCACGAAGCCCGCCCGACGATCTTCCGCATCGTGTCGAGGATATCGATTTCCCTCCAATCCTTAGTATCCGCACCGAAAGAGTCATTGAATGCAGCCTCGAGCTCGACGGTCATCACCTCGCAGACATGGTCTAACTCGGGGACTAGCTCGCTCTTGACGAGGTGCGCGTGCCAGGGATCATTGAGGAAGAAGTCATCCCCCAGTAGGTACTTGGGGAAGTCGACGTCCAGCAGTCCGGCTCGGTGGTTTAGAACGCGGGATGGCTGGCCCAGTGCCCATTTTATGCTCGTGCTTGGGAGAATGAGTTCCTTGCGCGCACCCAGGCCAGGGATCCAGACTGGTTTACCGTGCGTTGGAAACTGTATTGGGTGCGAGCGGTTAGAGATGACGGACTGGCTGCATACCTGCACCTTGTCCATCAGAGAAAACCTTAGGTACAGAAGGCAAGGGCGTTGATTTAAAAGGCCACTTGGTACCGGGGGCACCACCGGATACGCATCGACTGTGGGAGGCCTCAGGAATGGGTTATGGCCGTGGATATGCTCTAGCAAGTGGCACCACAGGCAATGAGGGATTATTTTCCTGAGAAACGCGTGCAAGTGGTGCCACTGCATTTCTTACAAGAACGATGGCTTATATCCCAATCATCAGGGTTTCCTGAGATCCCTGGAACCTGAGACATGCGCACCAGATCACTGGGATTGGGTTAGATCCGTCATCCACAGCTGTTTCGGCCCACAATCTGCCAATGGTCAATAGCAGCACTGTGGAATTTCAAAGAATCAACAAGCAAGCTCCAGTCCTTAGCACATGGATTTAAAAGTTGGGGGCGTGAGTCTTCAAGGAATGGACTCTTCTCACCTGTCTGACATACGCTGATATCGATAGGTTCATTGTGGATGTTGAGTAGCAAGGCCATTCTCCATCAAGCAAGCCATGTGAATACTATGGCCCCCACGGCTGCTGGATGTAGGTTATCATGTGGGCAGGCCAGACGGTACATATTTTCGCGAAGATGTGATTCCAAACTAAATGGCTGCATTACTCTCACTTTCCAACGCCGATATCTCAAGCCAACTCTGTAACCTCGCCCTGAGCGCATTCCCCTCGTTCTCGTACTGCTCATATGCCGAGACAAGCTGGCTCAGGTACTGTATGGCCCTGTCCAGAACGACCGACTTGGTTGGCGTCTTCTCCGAGGTCTCTCCTTGCTCTTCAGGGTCCAGACTGAATGTGTTCGAGGCCGGAATCGCCGCGTGCAGGTGTTGGATTTTGGCGTTGACCATGGCCCGGTACCGCTTTTCGACTGCGGCGTGTGGTCGTCCTTGGTCCTGCTCCTGCTCCTGCTCCGCTTCTTGCTCTTGTCCTGACGGGGGCTGTCGTTGAGCTGGCGCCGGGCTTGCCGGTTGACGCGGCCGTAGACGCCGCGTTCTGTTTTGTGGCGAGCTTGGACGCTTTCGCTTAAGAGTACGTGGACTCGACGCGTAGTCGTCTTCTTCTTCGTCGTCTTCTTGGCCTTCATTATTGACGCTGGGGCTGTATCCGTCCTCGTCGCACTGGACGTCTCTGTGGCTCGAACCTCCACCAGTTGGCCTGCCGCCGGGGCTACCGGTTATGTTGCCTCTCAAGGCCGGGTGCAGAAGGCCCACAAGACTCCCATCACAGGGCACACTCTGAGGATCAAAGCGGCTAGCGAGCGAAGCCGGACGCTGTGTGCTTTGGTTCACTTTCGATCGTTAGCCATGTACCGTGCGGGTTGAGGCTCGGGGCCATGGGCAAATTACGGACAAAGATTGTCAGAGTTGTCAGCGGTTAGGAGGCGAGCGACTCGCAGGAGCCGTCGGAAGAGTTCGAAGTCGTCTCGAGACGCGGCAAGTTCAGGAGGGATAGGAGTCTGGGGGGGTTGGTTTTGGTTCTGATTCTGGTTCCGGTTCATGGTGAATTGGGAGTAAAGTTGAAGGATGCAGCAGTAGGTAAAGTCCCAGAACACATTGATAAAATACGTACTATATATTCTTTAGGTTGGTTGGTGGTCCCCAGCGGCCCCCATAACCGCCCCCAAAGCTCTAAGTCTGCCCCCTCTCGGCTGTGCTTGAGCTCGTTGGTTCCCCGCCTGTTCAGGCTCGACGGCCCCCAACGGCCCGGCCCCCGGTCCGGCACCAAGAGCTTATCTCGCATCCAAGCAGCCGTCCCCATTGGAGCCACCTAAGAACTCCATGTTGACTGTAGTAGACTAGGCCTGCGCCCAGCGTGCGGCGCTGCCACTGCCACGATCAGGCCAAGCCAGGGGCCCCGAGGGTGAGGTAGGTGAAAACCAGGGCGAAGATAGCACAAACAAGGCCAGATGGGTGGTGACAAATACATTCATCAGGGTACATATACGGCACAGCGAAGGCACAAGAATATTCAACATCTTGATTCGCCCAACAATCCCTCTCGCCACGACTTCTGTGCCTTTCACATACTGCATTTAATACATACAAACCACGGCATAGACTATGTCAACCGACTTTGTTGACTTCGGCCTACCCCCAGGCTGCGAATCCTGTACATCTACCTCCATTACAGACCAGTACCTGAGCAGGGCTAATGCGCAACAGTCGACGACCTCCTAGACATCGACCTCAATGCACCACTACCAGCCCCATCATCCATGAGCACAATCGACCCCCTACTCTCCACCCTCGACTGGTCATTGCCAGACGTGGGCAGCTGCCAGCTCCCGCCAAGCCCGCAGGTAGGGCTACACACTCACACCCAGTATCCCTGGCCCTTGGACTTGGACATGGACGTGGGCATTCTCAGCCCCTCGCCCCTTCCACCTCTAAGTTCAAACAGCTCGGTCTCAGCATCATCCACAAGAGGTTAGTCAATGACAGGCCGGCATGAACTGGAGCCCTGGAGGTCGCGACCGCTAACCCTAAGCCTAGCACCAATCCCCGCATTAACACCAGCGTCAGCACCAGCCCCAGCACCAGCATTATTACCAGGTGCGACTGCGACTGCGACTGCGACTGCGACTGCGACACGACCGACTCCGTCTCAGCCACCGCCCCAGGGCCCCGGGATCTCAAGATCAAGATTAAGTTCGAGATCGAACCCTTCGCACGCGCGGTCAAACCCAAAGTCCAGTTCCAGTCGGAGCTCGAGCATGAAGAGCGTACGTTGCACCCACCCATCTCAAACCAACAAGATCGAATCCCCACCCATGGCATACGGTACTGATTCCGATCCCTCAACGCAGAGCGCACCTGCACGCAACCCCAAGCGCAAATCGGCCCCGCCAGCAGCAGCCGCCGTTCCATCGCCATGCCCTCAAACCCAAACCCAAACCCAACGCCCCCACTACGCCGTCGAAAAGCGCTACCGCTCCTCCCTGAACGAGAAATACGCCACGCTCACACAAACACTCCTCTCCGAGACCGTGAGCCGAATATGCAAGACCGAGAGCCCGGAGTGGACGGTGGCATTGGAGGGGCCGGGGCCCGGGGCGCGGCAGAGCAAGACGGCGACGCTGTCGGCTACGATTGAGGCGATTGGGATTCTTACGAGGGCGTGTAGGAGGGAGGGTGCGGAGGTTGAGAGGCTGCGGGGGGCTGTTGGGGAGGTTAGGGAGAGGGTGAGGGGGATACTAGCTGGGGGAAGGGGAGTGCAGGTGGTGTCTTCTCCGTACTAAGTAGGAAAGATAATGAGTAATGAGTAATGGATTTCATTTGGATTGATAGTGTTGACCTTGAGACTTAATGAATCGACACGGCATCAACCGGAATGCACGAAGCCTACTTAGACTAGGGAGTTTCTAATCTTTTTTGCTAACCTGGGGACCTGGCCTCTAAGTTCAAGAGATAAGATATCTTCCAGCGAGATTGCCAACTGCAGTGGAAGCAACAGTTCAACAACCGTTGAGCAGTTTGCATGTAAAAGCGTTCGATCTCAGTAACTAAATACAAACAACTTCATGGAGCAAGACACACTCCTAGATATGCGTCGTAATATCACTGATGGAGATGGGACATGCACTTATTGGACGGGTAAAATCAAATGTCGCCAAGCTGATGGTGAATTTGGATTCGGGCGTTCTGAGGTTGAACTCAATGAACAGGGACAACACACCATGGTCGGCCAATTCCTTGATGGCGGCTTCATCCATAATCCAGTCTTGGGAGCCTTCGTTAAGTGTGAACCGCGAACCCTGGTAGCTGCGAAGCAAATGGCCTAGAGCCTTGGTTTCGACTGATCTGTCAGCAAACCGGCACCTAATATATCCTAGAGGTTGTCAGTACAGAAGATGTGTGCAATTTGGTTTGTGGAAGGCCTACCTTGAAGTGTGACTTGATTGGGATTGTCCTCATATTGGACGTGTGTAGGGTCGAAGTAGAAAGACGTAGACAGTAGGCGATAGGCCAATTCATCGACCGCGATAGTCAACCTCTCCGACAATGCTTTCCCGGGTCTTTCGGTATCTGCAAAATCGAAAGCGGCCATCTGATTCTGGTTCGAAGATCTCTTTGAAGGATCGGAAGACAATTTGATATAATAGTCGCTCATCAGCAGGTCTGGCTGTTCAGGCTCTTGAAACGGGCCCCCATCGATAGAAAGGAGCAGGTCGGGGCGTTGTGGGAAGTCTACACCCGGCCAAAGGCTCTGGGCTTCGTACAACACCACTCGAGCAGTTTCCGTTTTGAACTCTGGTCCGCCCAGATAGACCCGCCGGTTCGCATGCATGAAATGCTCAAAGAGGCCCGGGATTGCAGTGGTCGCCCTTGCTGCTTCCCATACCTTGAATTTTCCACCCTGCAATCCACAGCGCACGAATTCATAGGTGGCATCCTTCGCTGAGTCCTTCGCCATTGTTTCCGATTTGCGATTGCTAGTGGTCCCGGGGAGGGCTGGGAGAGAGCTACTATCGGAATTGGGCCTGATGTAATTGGCGATCAATGCACCCCTGCCGTCCTCTTTTGTTGCCGTCACAAAAACGCTGGGGATGCCAAGTGAGCACTACCGTAGTGGCAGGGTCAGCAGGAGTTATTTGGAGAATCGGTCTCGGTACCTTCGTCTGGAGTATTGCCGTATTAGCGTAGTGGCCGAATGCGCGTTTTATTGCATCTTCCCAGGGCCTGGTCTGATAAAACACCGATTGCTTTTTACTAGTAAACCAATCCCAAATGGTTACCTCTGGTCTTTGCAGGCCATCGCTCAGTTCCCTAAGCTTTGGGAAGGCTTCTTGTGTTGTCCAGCAGCCTATACCAAGCCCGAGCGCAAGCAAACCCCCGGCGCCTGAGCCACCGACCATGTCGAAGAAGCGTTGAACCGGGATACTGCCCCCAAGTCTCTGCTCAATAGCAGCGAGGATGTCAAGGTGGAACTTACTCTTGGTACCGTCGCTATCCAGAGTCAGTAGTCGCTTACCTATCCATTCTGGGAGAAGAAGGAATCGAAAGGGCATGAATTCCACTGGCTTGGGGTGGAAAAAGCATTGGTCGATGCGGATCAACCGTGGATCTTCGCCTGAGGTAGAGTGCTCGTGCACGGAAAGAGCGATCATGCAGGCCCTACAGACCCCATGTCCACACGGTAGGATCGCGGTGGGTGGCTTCCGGAAACACCAGGAACATGTGGAAGGGTTCGAGATCACTACACCGGGGACCAAAGAATGGAGCTGCCGGAGGTTGGCTTCGTGCACAGCCCAAATAGCATTCAACTTCGCGTCCCTGCCCCCGCCTTCACGGACGATTGCAGTAGGGTTCTCCAGCTGCTTCTCCACATCATCTAGTGCCTCTAAAATTCCAGCTTCCATAGGGTTTTGCAGATCATCGACGAATTGTGACTCAAAGGGTCCGAAGCCGATATCGCGACCCGCTGCATTTTGGTGCGTAGCCCTTTGGTGACCCAAGAGAGCGTTGACACATTTCTCACCAGATGGTGACACAAAGTCGCAGGGACAGTCACAGTTCTCAAACAGTGTTATCGCCTCCCTAAGGTGGGAGAGGTACGTGCCAGGGATTACTTGCCAATCGTCATCTTCAGAGAGAGGATTGCCACGGTAAATCTGTGCAAGCGTTCCTGGCATTCCTTCGCGGGATCTGTAGACATCTAGTGCGATGGCGCTGCAGATGGCTGGAACGACCGCATCGCAGAATTCTTTGGCTGATCTTTTGGTCTTACTATGCTGGTCGGCTATTTTCACAGCCTTCATGATTCCATAGTAGTTAGATGCAAGTTCGTTTGGCAGTGGGTGTAGAGAAAATATGGTTTCGAGGAAGCTGAAGGGCTTGTCGAGGTTGGTGGCGTAGTGGTCGAAGCCTAGCCGGAAGAAAGTGTTGAGATCGTCCGAACACAGTAGCATTTTAGCCTTCCTCTTGATGTCATGCGCTTCCTCTGTCGTATCATAGATCATTTGATGTAGAACTTGCAATTGTTTGGAAAGTCTGGCGCTGTTGCTGCCATTGGGCAATTTGATGAACTGCACGGACGAATATGAGTACTTGAGCAGGTCTTCCAAAGTATCGATCCTAGCATGTATGCGCTCGAGAGCCTCTTTATGCTCCCTGATGGTTTTGTTCTCAACCAGAGCCGGTTGATGCTCTTTGAATATCTTTGCAGTCATTTTTTTGGCGTCCCAGTTCAATTCCGAATCCGGGTCCGACATGTTCAACACGACAATCAAGTGAGGTAGAAGGGCCCGATTCACGGCTGCAGCTCTTGAAGATTGAGCCCATTCGAGTAATTTGACAATGTCTTCCTCTCGTGTTCTGGAGGCTGCACTGATCACAACGTGAACTACCACGTCGGAGAAGTTGTAGAGAATCCGAGGGAAAAGCTCTCCAATCGCTGTCTTTCGCTGAGCCTCAAGACGGCTAGGGAGGTTGAGAATCCGTCTGATTCCGCGGCGTAAGGACGTGTACCATCTGTCAAAATGTACATGCGTTCGGCTATCGTCATCGCTCTTGCCTATGTTCGTCCGGGGTCTATGTCCTGCTGGCTGCTGATCGCCGCCGTGGAATCCTTCGCAGTCAGCGTACAGAAGAGGCTTTGATTGCTGCGATTCGTCGGTATTTGTCAGGGCATCGTAGTAGAGATGAACGTCTCCCGAGGTTGGGATGGTGCTCTCAGGCTGTCCCACTACAGGAAGGGGGATATCCTGGAGCTTTTGTCTTCGAACGGTACTTGTGGAGGCGTCCCATGGATGCTTCATGAGCAAATGGATCAGGCTGCTCTTTCCAGCCCCTGTGTTCCCTATGAAGGAAGCAAGCCGGGGACAAGAAGAGGAGAGTAGAGAGGTGGGCCGGGGAGACGTTGACGTTATATCCCCCAGGTACTGCTTCATAAGATTGCTGAATCTGGCTGTCTCTTCCAATTCCAATTCCCCCTTTTCCGTTTGGCTCACCGAGAACCAGAGGGCTTCGGCCTCCCCTTCAAGCTTCTTCTCCTGAATGCTGCTGTCAGGGCTCGGATGTAAGATCTCCACCAATGACCGGCTATATGAGGAGAAAGGTCAACGGTACGGTAATATTGTCAATTGAACAGAGTGCTTACTACTCCGCGATTGAGATTTGCGGATGGTCCAAATCACCCCTCCGATGTGCATGGAGCAGTGGATAGCAGAACTGACATAGCACAGTTCCGCACTTGCCACAGTAGACCGACGGTGTCGACTCTCGGCAGTCATCGCATTTTTCCTTGGTCCAGGGAGGCTGAACTTGATCTTCCAATTCCATGCTTCTGTTGTAGCGGTTTTACCCTTGTTCCTGGTTCGGGCTTGAGACAAGTTGTACTCCTCTGGAACCTTTTGAGGGTCGATTAGAAGATGGAATCTAAGATATCAGAAGTGCCTTCGGTCACCTTAATTTAAGGGAAAAACCCATACCTTCTTCAATGGTAGCGCCACGTTTGTTTCACCTACCATACGCATCCTGCGGAAAAGCGGGGTTGGCTCCTGTCAGCGCTTTCCACGCAGCATAACGAGCAACAAGGGTCCGAGTCATCACGCGTGTGATCACGTCAAATCAGATTAGCAGTTTGCATGGGTGCTGTTGGAGAGTCTGTTCATTTCTCGGGCAAGTTTCATATTAGTGTGGCAGGCTGTCTGGGCCCACCGCTGTATCCAGGAAGGGATCCAGTAAGCAGTATCAGTCTCTGTGGGAAAAAGTGGATTTCGATCCTTGACCCCCTGAAACTTGATCACAATGAACTCTGCTCCAAGAGTTTTTTGAAATGGATGGGGAAGGAACGGCCCGCAGGCTGTAACGTAGGTATATGGGTCCTTCTGCGAGGTAGAACAACCCTACCTCTAGCTCCAACAATGCGACGGTCGGGCTGAAGCTCCTTCTTGCTTCATAATAGACACTATCTCCTCTCCTACTAGGAAATATTGTCTTATACGAGCGTATATGGACAGATTATATAGCACCTACTTACTTACCTTGCTTACCTAGGTCGCGCGACTTCAGGGCAGCACTTATCGCCGACTGGGTAAATCAATAGTCTTGGAGCTCGTAATTTCTTCGCTTGGTACCGTAGGTTACACCTCCCTCGATTGATTCCGCATCAACCTATAAAACAAACTGCTCTCATCATCCAGCAACGCGGTTGGACTGCCCGTCTCCGCAACAGCGCCCCTATCCATAACAACAACGCTATCAAAACTCATTATGGTACCGAGATTGTGCGCGATACACAACACCGTGCAATCCTTGAACCGCTCGCGGATTGTCTCGTCCATAAGCCTCTCTGTCTCTGCGTCACTCCCCGTCTGGCTGATCGGCTCGTCCAAGATAACAATCTTCCCGCCTGGCCGCGAGAGCGATAATGTCGACCGTGCGAAACAAAAGAGCTGTCTCTGTCCGTGCGATAGGAGACCTTCTGTCAACGCGACATCAAGTCCGCCCTGCGCATTGATCGCCTCCCACAGTCCTGGAAAGGCTTGCAGCGCCGCTATGATTTCGATATCGCCGGCGTTGGGCTCGTACAGACACATATTGTGGCGGACTGTGCCCGTGATGAGGAGTGGTTCTTGAAGAAGGGTAATGAATCGGGAGCGGACGGTGTTGGGAGGAAGGGAAGTGATGTCGGTGTCATCGACGTGGATTGTCCCGCTGTGCAGGGGTAGAAGGCGGAGGAGGGCGGATAGCAGTGTGCTCTTTCCGCTTCCGGTTCTCCCACATATAGCAACACGCTGGCCGGGCCGGATAGTGATCGAGACATCCCGCAGAACCAGAGGTCCTGATCTTGTGTATTTGGCAGACACGTTGCTAAAGCTGACACTGCCTGCGCCATGCCAATCCTGAGCGCCGACCACAGCTGCACTTGTCCTTTCTTCCGATGGTGTCGAGTCCGTGAAGAAGCGTACTCGCTCGACGGCCGCCATGCTTGTCTCGAGCTTCGTCCAGTGCGAGATCAAGCGCTTCGCTGAGACGCCCACATTTGATGCACTAAGCAGAGCCAGCCCTAGAGACGCATTACTCGGCGACCGTGTCGCTACTCCAACACACATAATTGCCACCGCAACTCCAGCTGTGATAAGATCTAAAATCAGATTCAGCCAGTTTTGCGCGGAGAACAACAGATAAAACGGCTGCTGCGCGACGCGGATGGCATCGAGGTTGCGGCGAGCATAGTGTGCTGTCCAGCGCAGAGCGCGGATAGTTGCAAGGCCGTTGAGCGTCTCAATGAAGTTCGAGAATAGAGGGGCTTTGGCCTCGATTTCCAGCACTCGGAGCTGTCGCGAGGTCGGGAGGTAGAACAGTTGCAGGAAGTACGCTGCCACGGCGACGGCGGGGATAGCGCAGCCGGACCAAGGCGAGCTGTAGATGATGATTCCATAGAGGCCGATGACCATCATGGCTTGTGTAACGGTCCCGAGGACGTCGTAGGGTAGCTCGGTGTCGATTAGCTGCATGTCTTGGCTGAATCTGTTGATTGTTTCGCCGGCAGCGGTAGAGTCGAGGAAGGACATGGGCGCGCCGAGGACGGTGTCCAGGATCGCTTCATGACAACGGTCGGCCGAGCGCTGGGTGATGGTTATGACGAAGAAACTGCCATTATGTCAGTGAGTGTGAAGTAATCCATAAAGTAAGGTAGGCGTACGCAGCAGCCGCAGTCCAGAAGATCAGTGTAAGCGCCCCGATGCCAAAGTATACGCCGATATACATCTTCTGAGGACTGTATGGATCTGTAACGCTGCTCTCAGCCCAGCGGGATATCCAGTACTCTGCATGTGTTAGCAACTTGTGCAACAACACATAAGGGAACTTACGATTGAACGTAACGCCAAAGACAAAGATGGCACAGAGGACCAGAAACACCAAGAACTTCCGTCTGCCAGAGAATCTAACAAAGTACCGATGTGCCCCCGCACTCGCATGGATGGCTCGAGGGGCAGCTGGACCTTGAGGTAATCCACCGGCAGGGCCATCCTGAACCACGTCAAAGATAAACGAGTTGCGTGTCTGTTCGTGTTCTTCACCGGTGTCGTCTGTTGGAGGGACGAGAAGCAAGGAGTCCCGCTTTCGAACACAACCGTTCTGATCTAGGGAGATAACTCTGTCGGCGAACCGTACCTGCTGCGCTGCTCTGACTTAGTCCATCTGCGATGAGTGGTCTAAAAAAGCTGACCTACCAGTACTGGTCGCCCAAACCACCAAGGTCTTCCCTTGACGCAGCAAGCCTCGCCGTCCCAGGACTGCCTCAAGCACGAATCCCTCTGTCCTCCCATCAAGCCCGTTGAACGGATCATCCAATACCACAATGGGCGCTCGACTGTAGATCGCCCGCGCCAGAGCGACTCTCTTCTTCTGCCCGCCACTCAGACTGCCCCCCTCATTGGCCACCACCGTGGCATCGCCGTGCGCCATTTCCTTGAAATCTCGATCGAGGGCAGTCGCGAGTACCACAGACGAATACCACTTCTCGTCAAACAGGTCCGACCCAATAATGTTGTTCCTAACCGTGTCGTTGGTGAGCCACGGGGTCTGGCCACAGTATCCAATGTGCGAACTCGACAGCGCAACTGATCCCGCGGCATGCTGCGTCTCGCCAAGAAGCATCTGCAACAAAGTGGTCTTGCCGCTCCCGATCGGACCGACCACCGCCAGAATACTGGGCGCAGCTGCGTCGAGTGTTGCATTCTGGACGATCGAGGGTGCTTCGGAGCTCCAGCCTGCAGATGCCCGGGTCAATTGAAGTGTGACGGGACGTTGTCGGCGAGAAAGACGTCTGCTCAGCCGTCGCAGAAGCACTTCACTCCCTGTTTGTGTCGGAACTGGTGCTGACGGGAGCAGCGAGGTTTCATCGGACTCGGTGTCTTTCTCGATGTCGCTCAGCAGCTGTCGGCTATCATGGCGTGTATTATCGTCTAGCAGGAACTCCTGGATACGCAGGAGCGAAGCAATTGCCGTGACGAACTGAATGGCACTGTTGATGAGAGCCGCAATGGCGTCGCCGAAGAGGGTAAATATGGTCAGCGATCGATATACGACGGGTGGCGTAAGGGTATGTCCGAACGCCTGGCTGTAGATGGTGAAGCCCATGATCGGAGCCATGATGACGGGAATCCAGGCCGCCCATGCGACGACCAGTAGGACATATCGAAAGTGTCTCAGTTTTATGTCCTCAATATCTCGCAACCCCAGCAGGTCCTTGCGGATTGTCGGCGCAACTCCAGTCATCTTAATGCCCTTGATTGCGGCAAGAGCCTGGGTCGTGGCGGCGATGCGATTTTCCATAGCCTTCAGCCACTTGTTCTGCCGTTTGGCAGCTGGTGGGACAACAGCCATGGTGAGCGCGACAAAAATTGCCGTTAACCCTCCTGTTGCGGCGATGGTCACGCCGAGTCGATCCTCAAGCAGCCAAATGCCAAGGGCAAGCTCGATGATACACGCCCAACACTCGTGCATGTCTCGGGAGCCAGCGGCAAACCGCTCCACGTCCGCACTCATCAACATGGATGCCGAATCGCGATAGGTGGACGATGAGCTGAGTTTTAGCGTGTGGTGATGGATTTGACCTATTAGGTCTGCTCGCACGGCGCTGATGGCGCGGGCAGTGCATTGACGGTAAAAGGCTTGCGATGCTGCGATCCCTACATACACAACAGCGTAGGCGCCGATGAGGCCACCGCCGACCTTTTTTATGTTTGGACCATCCGGCTCAAACATGAAGACCGTCGCTCGATATACCAGGAATGGTTGAGAGAACGTAAAGCCGATACAGGCAAGCCGCGGAATAATCGGAGTCAGCAGTAGCCATTTGCGGGCATCCCACAGGTGGTGGAAGACCGTGGGTCTTTCATCGCCAACGGAAATTGGACGGAGCATGTCGGACTCAACGCCTGGGAGAGTCTCTGTGGTCAATGGTGATGCTGATTTCAACCGCACCCGTATGAATAAGGGCAGCATCCACCACAGGAAAGCTCGCGAGAAAATATCGGCTTCCTCATCGGGCGAAGGCTTGCGGATGTCTGGTCGAACAGACTTGCGCCCGCGCTCGGCGACAAGAAGAACAAATTTACACACGCAGATGACAGTGAAGACGGCGGAAGCGGCCGCGTTATCATCGGCCATGCTCCATAGCGTTCTTGCACGCAGCGCATCTGCGACGGTGGAGTAGAGCAAATACAGGAGCAAGAGGGTAGACGGTCGCACCGTCCGGGTATGTTCATAATGAGAGACAAGGAGGAACACCAGGAAGCCCACAAGACTGAGGCAGTGCGCCGCAATCGTCGCACGGGTTAGCGAGGTCTTGAGTATACCCTGCACAACAAGAAGAGTGATCTGTAGCACTGCTGCTAAAAGATAGATAATCTGCTCTGTTTATTAGCAAGAGACCGTAACGGTGGGCAGTTGGCGCTCACCACTTTGGTCCAATATAGTAAACGAGAAGCCACAACTACTTCATCAGCACGCAGCTGCCATACCCGTAACCCAGCCCAGAGTAATGCAACACATAGAGGCCCAATGCCCAGAATCGACTCTTGGAAGAGCAGCGTCAGGTCAAAGTCCGTGCCGCAGCCATGCACCCGAGGACCCCGTACATCTTGGACGTCTATTGAGCACTCCATGTCGAACCGAACCTAGTACCCATGCGACGGTCGGCATCTCTCATTATTCCTTGCAATTTAGGACGCGCTGGCGGGTCGCCTCGAATGGGGCTTGGCTGGACTGTTCTAGTGGCACCACCTTCCCTCCGCAATCGGTGGCGCCATCTAGCCCTAAGCCAAAACATAAGACTTGACACTCGATGACACAACCGGCAGAGTGATGCTATCCGATTTCACCATGAGCGATGACATGGCGCTGCAGGAGGACCTTAACCTTTTCAGGCGTTTTCTCCAGGTCATCAACGTCTTACAGCTAACGGGCCCCATAAACTATCAACTGCCATTGTATCGCCACCAACTGTTGTATCGTGATCCTCAAAGATGGTTGGCGGACGTGCAGGCGACGGTGGAGAGTGAGCTATCGGAAGTCGGGGATAGCGAAGACGAGCTGATAGAAGATGATGATAACGAGGAAGAGAGTGCACAAGGTGGTGGCAGTGAGGATCAGGACGAAATGCATTGTGGTGATGAAGCTGAAGAGGGTGAGATCCTAAAAGGGGAGGAAGACGAGGGTTTGGATGAGGACGACGATGGCGATGACGACGACGATGACGAGTTATTCGATTACTACGACGAACCAAAGCCTCTTGTCGAACGAGGAGAACCAGAACCGCAACCACCACCACCACCTAAACAACCCTCTCCACCCCTACCACCATCATCTCCTCGCCATCGAGACAAAGACAGAGGCAGGGATCTTTGTTGCTGGAGCCACGGCTGCAACGGACGAAGGTTCACCACGCGGAGCAATTTGAGAAGGCATATCCTCGAGAAATCGCGAGCACGGCCGGGGCACCAGTGTCCTCGATGTGGCGCCAGCTTCACTCGGACTACGGCGCGGAACAATCATATAGCAAGGGGAAGCTGCAACAGAATACGTCGGTACTCCAATGGACGGATCAGGCCAGGGGCCAAGGAGAATTGAACGTAGATAGAATATCGGATGATGCTTGGACCAAAGCGTCACAGTCCCTGCGCGAGAAATCTGCCCGCACTACCACCCTCAGAGTGTCCGTGCTCTCATTGTGTGGTGCCAGGGTATACGCAGGGACCGTCCATCCTTGCCGGTGCAGCTCGGCGGCGATCGCAAATTCGTTAATCGAATATTTTTGCCGCCGTTCAGTCGGAAAACTACCATTGGAAGGCTCGGGATGTTACATGACATGACTTCGAAATAGCCTAGCTTATTCAGGTTCGAAGCGAGGTATTCGGCTGTGCTGGCACATTCGATCATGATTCGGCGGTAGCCATGCCTCCCTAGACGAAGGAGATTGTAGTACTGCCAGATGACATGGGAGGCACTTCGCGAGAAGTTGAGATTGAACTATGCCTGATCTGGGCCGAGATAGTTGTGATGAAATATAAGCTCTGATATGGTTAGATGGATGCGAATCGGAGAATACAAAGAACACACCTCTAGGCCGGTATTCTGCATCGCGCCAGATGGCCCACCCGACTCCCGCGTAGACAAGCCCATACTTGTGACCGGATACATTAATTGACGCGACTTTTTCAAGTCGGAAACCCAGACAAGCTCTGGGTGCAAGAATGGAGCGACAAAGTCTCCAGATGCCGCGTCAAGGTGAATGGGGACATCGAGATTCCTCGCCACCAGCAGGTCATTGATCGCCTTTGTATCCTCATGCTCGCCGGTATAGGTGGTGCCAAGTATAGAGCAGATTCCAATCGTGTTCTCGTCCACTAGCTTGATTGCCTCATCTGGATCGATGGTATTCCGGTCCTTGGTACAGTAGACATACCGCTCCTCGATGTCAAAGTAGGACGCTGCTTTCTTCCAGCAAACCTGCACAGCGGAGCTCATGATCAGGTTATGCCTGCTGTAGACTTTCCCGGCAGCCTTGCGTTTCCGGCCCAGCGCTTCTTCATGGCGAGAGTGGCGAGGAGGATCGCTTCGGAAGAGCCCGCGGTGCTAGTGCCCACGGCGTCCTGGGAGCCTTGCAATGGCGCGTAGAAAAGACGTGCGATTATCTTTATGCAGAGCTTCTCTATTTTAGAGGTGGCTGGGTTTGACTCGTAGTTGATAAGGTTCTTGCTCAAGGTTTCCACCATGAGCTGCTCCGCCTGTGGTTCCATGTGCGTCGTGACGAAGGAGCCATGACTACAGAATTAGCACGAGGTAGAGTATCCGTCACGCAGCCACTTACTTTCGAGCGGGACCCACGTCAAGCGCGAGCTGATTCTGAATTCTGCCAAGAGCATATGCGGGCAATGTCTCGTTCTCAGGAATTTCATCTTCGAGCTGGAGTGCAGAAGGGGACTTGTTCATCCGGTGTTCTGGGAGTGGAGTCCGGCAGGCGGGGTCACGTGGTCTTGGCGCCATCCTGTCCGAATATCTTGTCTTTGTTGAATTGTTTGCTCTCTCACTTTCTGATCTGGCAATGCACAAAGGATCTATTTCCTATTTATCACTATGGATACACGACTTGATCCTTCAATCCTTCGATTCCTGTCTCCTCCGCAAAACACCCTTGGTCACCTTGCCCGAAGGCGTCCGCGGCAATGCCTCCAGCAGCTCGTACCTACCGCGTAGCCAGTGCAACTCAGTCAATTTGCTCTGCACAAACTCGTCCCAATCGTCAAAAAGTGCCTCCACCTCTCCTTCCGCTGGCTTCTTGGCGGGAACAATGAATGCCTTTGGTCGTTCTCCGGCTAGATAATCTGGGACACCGATGACCGCAACGTCCACGACGCCGGGATGCTGACGCAGACAGTCTTCGATCGCAACGGGCGATATTTGCATACCCTGCTAACTTATAAGCATATACGCCGAACCAGGATATGGGCGGACGGCTTACCTTGACCTTTATCATATCCTTGAGACGATCGACAATGTAGAGATGGGCGTCTCCTTTCGGACTCTGGCGGAATAGAGCAACATCGCCCGTGTGCAGCCAGCCATCGCGGAAGGTTGTGGCTGTGGCCTCGTCGTCTCCGAGGTATCCCGCTGCTTGATTGGGCGAAGCTAGGAGTAACTCGCCGGGCTCGTCGAAACCCTCAACTTCGCTCCCGTCTTCGCGGACAAGACGTGCCTGATACAGCGGCAAGAGGACTCCGATCGAGCCAGGGAGATATTCGTGCGGGCTGCTCAATGAGACACCGACGGAGCTTTCAGTCAGACCTGCAGCGCGTCAGTCATAGCTCGCTACCATCTCAGAGGACACACACCATAGCCAACCGTTATCGCCCACCCTGGCTGCGCGGCTTTTACACGGGTGTAGAGACCGTGGGCGAGGGCTCCAGCACCGACAAGAACCTTATCCACGGATGACAGGTCAAACGCCTTGAAAAGGAATGGGTTGGCGACAAGGGCTGCGAGGATTGCGGGGACTACGTAGAGCCTGTTAATCCGGTGCACCTGGATGGACATGAGGACGGCCTTCATGTCGAAGGTCGGGTGGACTATAAGCTCATCGCGCAGATAGATGTGGCTCAGCGCGGCCACCAGACCCTGGACGTGACTGAACGGGAGACACCCCAGCGCAACCTCTCCAGCGGGATTATGCGATAGACTAGCTACCGCATTCATTTGAAGGATGTTTGTGATGATGCCGCTGTGAGTTAGGCGGGCGAGTTTCTATTGTAACATTGTCTGTCAGGTTTCGCGATCAGCCGATATCAAGTTAAGGCTTACCTGCGCCCCAGACGTTCCGCTCGTCGCGCACAAATAGGCGATTGGACATGGCTTCCCCAGCACTGGTACAGGGCCCAGCGTTCTTCCCGACTCCAGTAACTGCTCAATGGTCTTGAATCCGCTGCTGCTGTCTTCAGCCAGAGACGCAGTTAAATACACTCGCAGACCCCGCAGAGCGGCTGCCGCAGCACGACCGGCCTCGACTAGCGCAGGAGACACAATTAAAACACTGCAGTTGCTGGCTTTGAGATGCCTGATGTTCTCTTCAGATGACGTGCTTGCGTGGAGAACGAGACTCGTGCCGCCAAGGCGATGCGTCGCGAAGCAATATGTGTGGTAGTCGACCTATACCGTCAGCAAAGTCCCGTGCTTTTCCACAAAGATCCCAGGGATGATGGTGAATTACAGTATTCTCGGACCAAATCCCAATTATCATGTCACCCTGCGCAGACTCGTTGGAAGACCATTGCAATTCCTGCGCAAGGCCCGCAGCTAGGGCTTCGACATCCTCGGCGAGCTGCCGGTAGGACTTCCTCTTCGTTCCGTCGGCAGAAACGAGAGGATTCTTGCTTTCAGTTGCTGACTCTTGTGCGCTAGATGGTCCACGAAGGACGAACTCGCCTACTGTCCCAACTTTGGACAGGTCTTCTGGAATAGCGGGGAGCCATGAGGGCGGATGGAAAATCATGATGAATAACTGTACGTAGGGCTCGAAGCAGTACTTGAGGACTCTATGCCCACTAATGTTCAAGTTTGTCCGCTCCATGCACAGCTTGGAAGATCCTTCAATTCGCCGATGGCCCCCATGCATCGCCAGAGTGGTGCCACCGTGGTCTCACATTCAGCCCCAGGACTCATACAAACATTACACAAGGTAGCAGATCTTCGAGTCGTCAGCGACCGTATGATAGTCGAGGGCTGAATATGGCGCCCTTATAACTGAATTTGGCGTTTACCTCCAGCATACAGATACAGTTTGGGTAGGTGAGCTCCACCTTCAGGCTATCTTGTGTTGTTTAAAAATGCTCCGCGAAGAAATCCTGGTCGTCATCGCGATATATATCCTCGCCTACAGCATCGAATACATATTTGCATTATTCGATGCCGCGCGCGAGCCCCGACGCGTGAACCCTTCCATCCCAGTTCCCATCATCGGCCATTTCCTGGGATTTCTTCGCCATGGATTCGGCTATTATAACCACATGAGGTACGTCCGAGTAGTTGCGTCGAAGTACCAGGTTAAGCAGTTATTGATCGCCATGTAATAGCCAAACCACGTGCGCAGAAATCTATACCGTGGGCGTCTTCAACTTCAAAGTCTACATCACCAATAGCCCGCGCATCACGCAGCTCGCCCAAAAGGCCAAAACGCTAACATTCACCCCACTCCTCAAAACGCATAACAAGATTCACGCACGTCTCAGTGATCAGGCGGATGCGCTCTTCCATGATGACCTCCTTGAGAAGTACGCCCACTCGACGAAGCAGACGCTTGCGCCGGGGCCAGCGCTGAACGAGCAGAACTTACGCATGGGAAACCAGGCACTAGCTGAGCTAGGGATTTTATTGAATAGAGGAGGTGAAGTTGGCCTGCTCGAATGGGCGCAGCATGCTGTCGTCCAGGCTACCGCTGCGGGACTTTATGGCGTCGAGCACCCGCTTAAGGACCCGGAAGTTGAAAAGGCTATGTGGCACGTCAAAACCGACTCAGATTACCCGACACTAAGTGACCATGCTAATAAACCTCAGGATCTGGGACGAGCACCGACCAGGCCACATGATCGGCGTAGACATCTGGGGCACAGGCTACAAAGCGCGCGCCAAAGTATGGGACGCATTCAAACAGTACTCCGCGAAAGGCATGCCCGACGACGTCTCTCTCCTCGTGAGCGAACGCCAAAAGATCCTAGTCGCAGGCGGCTTCAGCGCCGACGAAATCGCCCGGATCCAAGCGACGCTTTCGGACGCAGCGTACCCGAACACCGTACCGACGCTGTTCTGGACACTCTACGAGATATTTTCACGCCCCATACTGCTTGAGGATGTCCGCGCCGAGGTCTGGAATAAGGCCGTCAAACCTGAAGGTGGGCGATTCGTCCTCAAGGTTGCGCCCCTCAAGACAGCATGCCATGCCCTCCTCTCCGCGTACCAGGAAACCCAACGCATGCGTCACTACCAGGTTGGCTTCCGGGCGATTACGGAGGATACCATGCTGGATGGGTATCTCCTCAAGAAGGGCGGGTACCTACAAATCCCCGCGCAGCCGACGCACCACAACACCGCTATCTGGGGTGGGGATGCAGACGAATTCGATCCCTACCGGTTCGTCCCGAACAGGGATAAGGAAAAGAACGAAACGCAGAAAATCCACCCCAGCGCTTTCCAGCCATGGGGCATGGCGCCGCATATGTGTCCAGGCCGGCAGTTCGCCTCGACGGAGATCCTGATCATAACTGCGCTGCTAGTCTGCCGGGCGGATTTGAAGCCCGTCAAGGGGAAATGGGAGAAGAATCCTGCGCTGAGGGGGATGGAGATTCCGTCGTTGCCGCGGCCAAAGAGGGATGTTAGGGTTGTGGTCAGAGAACGGGATGATGGAATGGGTGAGTGGGTGTTGGATATGGGGGATAGTCTGACGAGGGTTACGCTGGCGAGTGGGTAGTTGTCATTATCAAAATTGTCCTCTTCTTTCTTCTGTCAGCATAATAGCCTATATGCTGTCCGGCCTCTCTCACCTGGCTATAAATGGAGGTATCCGCATGCCTATAGGTTTGACCAAGGATTGGCCATCCAAGCCGGACCCCAGACACCAACTAATCGAATACTTGACGGCGGCTGACATTTCCTAGACTTGAAGCTAAAACTTCCAAATTGCGAATGTCCGACTGCATCACTACCAAGTATCTACCATCCTTTCCGCCAACAAGGGTCTGTAATGCGAAAGTCATGGTAACTTCAGTGTGGTCATCATCAATGGAAATGACTTGTGACTTTCGAGAAAGCACACCTTGAGACACATGTCTACAATGACTCTAACATCAACGTGGCCCCATAGCCTTCCACGGCCTTGTCTAATTGTACATGACATTGAGAAGGTGCTACCTGGATACATCCCTGATAGTTTATGGAACGACATATGTTCAAAATATGGGAATACTTCACAACGAGAGCTTATCATCTTCATCCATAGACTCGGGCGCAACTTTGGCCATGCTCTGCTGTCCGGCTATACCAGTAAGCACCCTGCAGGCGATCGGTATTTTGTTATGGATGATAAAGCGAGTCTGTAAGCAGCATGGAGATCATAACACGTGTGCAATGATATCAACTAATGAATCATCGACAGACATTATACTTGATATTGCGAAGATGTAGTCAGCTGTTTGCTAACAGAACATGGTGCATTAGGATGAATATGCTGCTTATCATACCCTAGAAAATGGTGTACGTCATGCAAGAGGTAGTGGTGATGCTGACACCTCACTCAAGCCCTATCATCGCTCAAGCCACTCTAGATAATCTATTAAATCATACCAGCAGTAACCACTTCGATTATAAAACCACCTTCATATCTTGTGGGACAATTCTAATCTCGGGTTTCCGCTATCAACTCTTCTATCAAAGGGTGCCACACCACAAACCAAGCTATAAGCTTCATCCCATACAGCATCCGAGTCATCACCATGCCCGAGGCCAACGGATCATTCCAATGGATCGATCAAGATCAAGTAAATGCAATATTCGACGTGGATGGTCAAGAATACAAATGCGCTCTTAGGGTCTACGAACCGCTCGACGATTTCGGCTGGGCGATGGCCAAATTACAGTACGATGGGAAGGACGAGCTCACAGGCAAACAGCAATTCGAGGGCCACATCGGCGAAAACGATTTTTTGATTACCTTTGACAATAAGCCTAAGATCGAGGGCGACCTGGACAGCCCGATCGACCTGGACATACCCGTCATGGGCAACGGAGAATGGATATGACCTCGGGAGAAATCAATGTATGTACTTCAGTTGACCTTAGGCGGCAGACACAACTTCTAGCAGGGTTTTGGTTGCTAAAGCCTCTGTATAGGTGACAGAGAAGTTTCTAGCCAGGGTGAGCGAGCAGGAAAGGTTGCCTTATGGATTTTCAGCAACTGCCTAAGTATAATGATGTTTGCTTTGGTCTTTGCAAGCCTCAGCGTAGGTTTTTCTACTCTTAGCTAGGTGTTTTCCTGCACTTATATGTGAATGCAAGGTGGTGCTTATATTCTTTGGCTTGGTAGGTACAAAGTAGGTTAAACCTGGCCCAAAGCAAGTTGGAGGGGTAGTATGGTAATCTCACTCTGGTCTAGAAGCCATCACTCACATGCACCCTGGAGTCGGGGGGTCAAACACTGGTAAAGGGTGAGTTGTAAGCAAGTCGCGCTGATGAGTCTCCTGTTCTCATCAGGGGCAAATAAATCTACATGTACAGCAGCTGGGTTACTACTATTAGCCGGCGAAACTCTCACATGGATAAAAGGCACCACCAGTCACCACCAGTCACCCTCTGAAACTTCTTGTATATTACAATTTCCCACACTATTACGGTATCTAAATACTCACAACCACCAAAGCATTTACAGACAGACAGGGCTCCCCGGGTTGAGAGGGGTGCGTTGACGCTTGTTTCAACGTGGAGGAGGACGCATTACTTTCCAGTCTATCTATTGTGATATTGTTTTCTAGAGTTTAGGTAATCTAGGATATCTATCCGGCACTCCCTGCTCCAACGGGGTAACCCTATCTACTACCTAGGTACCATAAGCCACGGCAAACTACGGTAACATATGGCCGTGAACCGAGGCCGCTGCTTAGTGCTTGATAACGCCAATCAATTTGTTCATCAAATCGCATTGAATTTCGACGTTTATTAGACTCGTATAATGTGGGACCTGACGAAGCCCTAGATATTCCTCATCTTGGTGCGTTGATTCCCTCCATGCGAATTGCTTACGCCAAGTACCAATCACCAGAGGTGAGTCATAACTTTATGTACTCGTCAGATTTTCTGATTATTCTACAAATATCAAAGTAGGCATGAAAGTGAAAACTATGAGGAGGGATTGATAAGCGCCAAGTGAAAATACGAGGAGGCATCGTTGTATACCTAGACAATGCCCAGGATAGCATTATTAATGCACTAAAACAACTAACATGGCGACGGCTGCGCAAAGAGATATAAAGGCTTCTTGCAGTCTGCAGGAAAGTCAAGCAACTCACCAGCGCAATCTCTCAAACTCATCTATCAATCCCACATCCATGTCCCAAATCACCCTCTTCGGCCTCGGCGCCATGGGCCAAGCCCTAGCCCACCGCTACCTCGACAAAGGCTACACCACAACAATCTGGAACCGCACGGCCTCAAAAGCTCATTCTTCAGGCCTAATCGCAAAGGGCGCCAGTCAAGCCAGAACTGTAACCGAGGGCCTTGAAGCCGCCGACCTGGTTATCCTCTGCCTCCTCGACAACGCCTCCGTCAAGGATACCCTCGCCCAGGGAATCCAAGCGCTGCACGGCAAAACCATCGTCAACTTGACCAACGGGACACCGTCTCAAGCGCGCGAACTCTCGGAGTGGGTTGGTTCACTTGGGGCAGAGTATATCCACGGCGGGATCATGGCGGTGCCTGATATGATTGCGTCGGGGTCGCCTCATTCAATGCTGCTCTACAGTGGCGACGGCACGGTCTTCGAACGCGTCGAGAACCACCTCGCGCATCTGGGTGTATCCAAGTACCTCGGCGCAGACCCCGGCTCTGCATCGCTGCACGACCTGGCCTTGCTATCCGGAATGTACGGTCTATTCTCGGGCTTCCTGCACGCAACCGCACTGGCTAGATCCGCGCGGTTGCAGACCGGTATGAGCGCTGAGGACTTCGTCTCGCAGCTCCTGACACCCTGGCTGTCTGCAATGACGCAGTATCTGGCTGCCCTGGCGAAGCAGATCGACAGCGGGGACTACGCGACGCAGGGGTCCAATATCGCGATGCAGGTAGCGGGCATGGAGAATATTGTTAGCGCGAGCGAGGACGCCGGGGTAACCGCTGCGTTTATCCTTCCGATATTGGGGCTTATGAAGCGTGCGGTTCAGGGGGGTTTTGGCGGGGCGGATGTTTCGGCCGTTGTTGAGTTTATGGGGGTGGAGAGATAGGATGGTCCGAGGTTCTAAGGTAGCATAAGTGATGATATGATTAGTGAGAGGAGGAAGTAGACAATCCTTGGATACCGATTGTGTTTGAAAAATCTACGTACCATAACCAAGGTGCCCATGCTCTGAAAGGCCCCTATTACTACCAACCCACTTCGTATACACATGCTTCGACAGGTCAGGAGGTGACGAGAGTCCACCGCATGCTTTGGTTTGGGTTCCTAAAACAGCGTCCTCAAGAGGTTCAAGCCTTCCATGATCAGTTGTTGATCGTAAAATGTACCGTATTTGTCTCGACTGAAACAGCACATGACCCGCATAGCCCTAAGTCCCTATTCCAATCCGGCCGATTCAAGCATGCCCATGCCGTCCACCTGCATTGGGTAGGGGTCTCTGCAGGGCCAGTCGGAGTCCTTGCGGACCATAGCCAGCCACGCCGTGTCGTAGATGGAGACGGCCATCTAGCTGGATCCATACTGTGAGTCGGCCTCCTTTGCAAGCGTGCTGACCATCTTGCGTGCTCGATCAACGACCTGAGCGGAAGGGGGCATCTTGGTGTATGGTGTTTTTGAGTTCGGTTCTGGTGGTTCAGTCGATGGGCAGTGAGAGAGTCGATGGTGTTTGCTACCTGAGGTTGTACAAAGGAGGAATCTACACGACAATGCCTCAGATGCGGGGGTAGTTCTCTGTTACTCAGATCTGGCGTCATCAGCCCCGAATATCCAAGTAGGTTTATCTATGGGGTCGACGTATCTCATGATCTTGAGACGGACCTCATGCGTTGCCTCCCATGTCTAATATACAGAATGACTTTCCGACGAATGCGTTGACGGTATACTAATCATCGCCAGGCTGCAGGATCAACGAATCGAGAACATGGTCACGGTGATCATGCTGAATGACGCCGTCGACTGCAGCGAGGCAATGCGCCGATCCCATGGATTCGTTAGAGAGGCCACGCGGGCGTTCCGGGATGTCGAACGTCGTCTCCAGGCTGATTCTGGATCTCAATCTGCCGTTGCGAGTGCGAGTGCCGGTTCGAGGACTAGTAGGACAAGTCCAGAGCTCGGCATGGAAGAAGTGTTCATTGAGCGTGTAGGATACATCTCAACTCTGTGCTTCGCTTGGCTTGCCATGCTAAGTAGGCGCCTTGCCTTGCCCTGCCATAGTTTTTCTGGACAACGGTACTTCAGGTACCCCGAAGTGAATGAGCGGAACGAGGTCGACGTTCATATCCAAGGCCGTCAACTATACCATGGTGTGATTTTATTAGACGCTCTATGCACACAGATCTTCTGGAGGAAGCTATATCGTGGGCTAAGGTACCCTCACTCAATTCCACGGCGTGTAGCCATCTGTGATCTAGACAGCCCTGGAATCAAAGACTAAACCTATGGCGAAAGCTTGACGGCCCAACCCTAACGATCTTGTCAGTTTATCTTGAGTCCATAAGCGTTACTACTTGCAGCACATCTTTCTAGGCCTTGCTTCGTCCGTAGCCAACTAGACTGGAACTCGTCCATCACCCCCTCTCCTTCAGCACAACCATCGCCCCCAAATCCGGCACATAATTGCAATCATCCTCGACGCCCCGCGGCCCCTCCTTCTGTGTTCCCGGAAACGCAATGTCGAACTTGATCACCAGACTCGCGACAATGATCTTCGCCATCGCGCTCGCAAAGTGCCTCCCAGGACACGTCAGCCGTCCAGCCCCCCACACCCCATTGCCCGCCTCAATCCCATGGAACACGGACTCCGGCGTGACCGGTTTCCCGTCGTCTCCTAGGAACCGGCGCGGGTTGAACTCCGATGCGTGCGGGTAGAAGTCGTTGTCTAGGGCCATTGCTTCGCCGGCGACGGAGAGGTAGGTTCCGCGTGGGATGTGCGTGCCGTCACTTAGGGTTATCGGGGACGTTGCGACGCGCGTGACGGCGAGACCTTCTGGGGCGAACAGGCGGAGGGATTCCTTTAGGAAGGCGTCGAGGAGGTGTAGCCTTTTCGTAACATTAAACGTCCACTGGCCTCCCTCGGATGAGAGGGCGTTGAGGGCTTCGGTCCGGATATCGTCGATGTATTGCGGGTGCGCGGCGAGGTCGTAGAGGGCTTGGGTGAGGGCGTGGGTTGATGTGTTGAGCTACACCACACGCAACATCAGTTCTCTACGTCCCATACACAGAAGTGGAAACTTGATAGGGCACATACAGCACCGGTGATGATCCCCACAATCTGCATCGCGATCTTCCGCTCGCTCTCGCCGTACTCCGCCAGGAACTTGAGCACGTCCACGTCGTGGTTACTCGGCTCGCGGCGCTTGCGGACCGGCTCCTTGAGGAACGTCTCTGCCTTGGCGATGATGGCGTCGAGCTGGTTGGTTCGCACGAGGAACGGTTTCACGAGCGGTCGGAGAAGACGGGGCCAGTGCCATAGTGCGTTGCGGATCCGCCAGGCTTCGGGGAAGTACTCCATGACGATCTCGTTCCAGCCGCCGATGTGGGTGAGGTCTTCGCCGATCAGGACTGCCGAGGTGATGCTTGAGACGGTGGCGTAGCAGAATTGGTACACGTTGACTTGGTCTGATCCTTTGCGTTAGAGACGGTGGGGTAGGGATTGGTGGGTAGACGTACTGCCATCACGCCCAATCTGGCTGAACAGGAACTCGCTCGTGCGTCTGTACTCGCGCGCCATCATAGGGACGAGCTTGTCTGCAATCCACATCATCAGCCCTCTCTTCAAGAGGCGGTCCGTTGCAGGTGTCATGCGTACTCAGATTCTTGGTGACAGGCCCCCTAACCGCATCGATATGCTGCGCCCCCTCCATCGCCATCTCCGCCCCAATATGCTCGCCGACCAGGTTATCGATGATAACCTTGGCATGGCTGATCTTCGTCTCCGGCAGCATGCGGATCTCCGGGAGGTACTTGGGGTCAATGACGAGCTGTTCCTTGTTGGCGGTTTGGACGACGAAGTTGTTCCCCTTGTGCCGTCTGTATCCGTCTCTGATGATCTGCCGTCCGTTTGCTCGGAACTCCGCTGCGGCTTTCTTGCGGTTCAACCCGAGGAATCCGGGTGAGCGGCCGACGCGGATCCAGGGTTTGCCTTTGTTTGATGAGAGGATGCTGCGTGCGGCTGCGAAGAGGGCGATCAGCAGGAGGGCGCATGTTGTCGGGCTGATCGTGGTGATGGCGGACTCCATGGCGAGCGAGAGACTTTGCCAGCCTGTGCAGTTGGGAATGCGGACGTCCAATGGAGGCCGTGTGTTTATAAGCAGGTAGTGCTTGGGTTAGTTAGGGCTAATCGTGATGTGATGTTTTTGCCCGTGGCACCACCGCTAGGGCCGCTCAGCCTTAAGAGTCGGCCTGGTCGTGGTGCCACCCCGCAACCGAAACTGGATCTTATCATTGTTGTCTCTAGGCTAAGCGACTGAGTAAAAGACCAGCTTCATACAGTTATGCTCTAGCAATTCAGTACCACAATCCACGACCAGAGCCAACGAAATGTGAAGCCCAGTATCAAATCACCAAGTCACGTGGGGACCAAGAGCCCTAGGTCTAGGTACCGCACGGTGTCCTCGTCGTGTAATGTCACAGACTTAACAAGATGAGAAGACGACTACCGTAAGCGCATAATAGACGTGCACCGCATAGGGTCATCTAGCGATAGAGCAATTACTATTAAGGGTTTACGTCCTAAGGTTATACTCAACTAATCCAGTTACCAACACTATTGACCAACTGGGGGGCCTTGGACGGTCAGCCTAGGGATGGAAGTACTTGCAAAGAAAAGACCCATAGCTCCAATTACCCATCTATATACAAGCCCACGTTGTGATCCTACGCAGCCTTAACGAGAAACTTCTCCCTTAACCTTCCCACCGCCAACGCCCCCAGATCCCCAAGCGTATTCGTCCCGCTCGTCAACTCGAGCACCGTAACATCTACACCAAGCGCCTGCTTCCACCAATTGCGAATCTCAATCGCGACAAGCGAGTCCGCGCCCATTGCGCTCAGAGTCTGCGCTGTATCAATCTCCACATCGTCGTTCATGAGGAACGCGTAGATTCGTCGCGCGATTTCGGTGGCTAGGAAGACAGCCGACGAAGCGTCGTTTAGTTTTTCAGGTTCGGCCGCGAGGCTTGTAAGGAAGCCGCGGAGGGATTTCTCGTTTCCGGACTCGGCAGTTTCGACGGAGGCGGTTTGGTTGTTTCGGAAGATGGAGAGACGAGGGTCGCGGCGACCGGCCATGGTTGTTTGGGGGTCTGAGAGAGGGCGGGCGGGTTCGTTGTAGAGGATTATTTGGCTTGGTGCGGTGTACACTTTGCTTGGTGTTGCGGGGGAGGGGGTTATGGATTTGGCGTGCGAGCGCTCGAGGACTAGGTGCAGACCGTGCAGGAAGTCTGCTTCGCTCATGAAGCGGGAGAGGTTGCGCTCCAGACGCTCTGCGACGTCGTTGTTGGACGCGACGTAGCCGACGTCGCCGACGGCTGCGATGTCAAGGACGGAGGCCGGCAGGCCGTGACCATGTCGGAAGCGCGTAAAGGAGTCGAGGAAGGAGTTGGCGGCTGCGTAGTTGGCCTGGCCGTAGGCGCCGAGGGTTCCAGCGACGGAGCCAAACATCACGAAGAAGTCGAGTTCCTTGGGGGCGATGTTGTGTAGGTTTAATGTGCCTGCAACCTTAGGGTTGATGGCGGCTGTCCAAGACTCGTGGTCCATGTTGACGAAGCCCGCGTCGCGGAGGACCATGGCGAGTTGGAGGACACCTTTGATGGGGCGGTTGGAGGTCTCCTGGACATTGTGCACCACGGTGCGAACGAAGGACGCGTCCGCCACGTCACCAGAGAAGCATTGAAGCAGACAGCTTCGCTCGGCAAGTTCTTTGACGAACTCCTGGTGCTCCTCGCGTGTACCGGCAGTAGGGGACATGACGGCGATGTGGCGAGCGCCATGACTTACCATCCACGATATAACGGAGCGGCCGAGACCTCCCATACCACCGGAAAGAAGGTAAGCAGCATCAGCCTTGAAGGTAGGTTTGGGGGTGGGCATGGTCAACCCCAAGTTGTCTTCGGCCGGGTTGGAAGGCATGCGAACGACAATACGACCGCGATGGACACCCTTCTGCATGTAGCGGAAGGCATCTTGGATCTTGTCCGCCTCGAAGACGGTGGTAGGGCGCAGAGGGAAAATCTTCTCTTCGCGAAGAAGCTCGATCATCAGGTTCATTAAAGGAACAAGCTTATGCTTGCTGTGGATCGAAAGCGGAGACAGGTCAATACCGAAGAAGGCCCGGTTGTCGGTAAACGGACGCATAGCCAGACGACCCCGACCAAGGAAGTCTCGCTTTCCAAGATCAACCATGCATCCCTCGGCCGCGACGCAACTCCACGAGGCATGGAGCAGCTCTCCAGAGAGCGAGTTGAGGACAACGTCCACGCCAACCCCGTTAGTAACGCGCATGACATCCGCGACGAAACTGTCGTTGCGCGAGTGGAAGATGCGCTCGCGTGGTACACCCAGCTCATCAACCAAGAACCTGACCTTCTCTTTCGATCCAACAGTAACGTAGATCTCGGCGCCGACCCAGCGCGCGATGTGAATGGCCGCGATACCGACACCACCAGCCGCACTGTGGATAAGCACCGTCTGTCCGCGTTTCAGGTGGGCTTTCTCGAGGAATGACCACATCACAGTCAGGTAGGGAACGGTCAAGGCGGCAGCGTCCTCGTCGCTGAGGTTCTCCGGAGTCTTTGCAACCAGCGCCGCGGGGATCTGGATCTCGGTTGCGAAGGCACCAGTCGGGACATCCATGAAGACGACGCGGTCGCCTACAGCGACGTGGCTAATGTTTGCGCCGACAGCAGTCACAGTTGCCGTACCTTCACCTCCAAGGCCGTGGTATCCGTCCGCGTCGGTGCTGCCCTCGGGATCCATGATCGCCATGGCCTCCGCGACGTCGTGGAAGTTCAAACCCACGAACCGGGGCTTGATCTGGACCGAGTCGGCGGGAACGGGGGATGGCAGGCGGTGGCCAATCCAAGACAGAGACTGTAGCAGACCGGGCTGTACGAGAGCCAGATGCTTCCCGTCAATTGAAGGAGCAGCATCGTTCAAGGCGTCGTCAACAGCGAGGTGGTGGAATCGGCTGACTAGAACCTGACCGTTCTGCACGACGTACTCGGACTCGATGTCCAAACTGTCCTCGGCATCCGTCGCTGTCTTCTGGGCGCGCTGTACTTGGCCTAAGATGTCGACAACCGTGTGGCTTGTATTCTCGCTCAGGTTGTCCAATTCCACGGTGACAAAGTCAATGGCCATTTCGGACCTGATGCAGCGCGCCAAACCCAGCATCTTGCCCTGGTGGGGATCAGTACAGTCCATCTGTGCGGAACGCATTAGCCAAACAACGACCTGGCCGGAAATATCTTCGGCCATGTTGATAAAGGCTGCAAGGTTGTCTGAGTCAATGTCCGTTAGCATGGGCGTTTCGACGTCGACGTCCATGAGCGACACGATGAGTTGGTCGACAGGCAACATATCGCCAGATCCCCAAGTGAGCTCATCCACATCGTATCCAGAGGACTGCAGCGCGGTCTTGACTTCTTCCCCAAATTGACCCAGTGTCTCATTAGGCTTTAGCAGAGTAACCCTCAAGATGTCACCAAGCTCAGTCTCCGGACTAGCCGCACGGGCGACGATGTTGCTGATGAGGAAGAGATCAGGGTGGTAGTTGTCACGGACGGCGTGCTGAATGCCCTGGAAACCGCTCTGACGCAGCTTGATGTCCCACTCGGGCTCAGTGAGCAGTGGGCGTTCGACACGGCCGTCCTCGACGCCGACCCACCAACCCTCGAATAGGCCGAAGACGACGTCCGCTCGTCGAGTTTCTAGATGCTGTTAACATGATGAACGACAGATCAAACAAACTTTGACATACCGGTCGTAATCTCCTGCAGGTAAAGTTGCCCATCTGGTTTCAGAAGAGACCGACACCTTGACAGAGTTTCATGCAGGTTGGGAGTTGCGTGCAGGACCTAAACCAGTCAGTCTCGGATGTCCCCAAATAGAAGCCAAAAGATCGATGGCAACCCACATTAGAAGCCAAAATCAAGTCATAACTCCCGCCCTCAAAGCCCTGCTCCAGCGGATCAACTGTGATATCGCAGACCGCATACTTGAGGTTCTGGTACTCAGCGAACCGCTCCTTCGTCTGGTTGACGAAACCCGCCGAGACATCAGTGATCATATACTCCCCATACAGACGCTCCCCTTCGTCAGAGTGCAAAGCGTCCAGCACAACCGCTGTCAAACTACCAGTACCCGCGCCGATCTCGAGAACCCGCAGCTGCGGTTTGTTCAGACCGAGCACGCGGAAGAAGTCGCGCGTGTCAGACCACCTGTTGTACTCGTCGTAGATGCCCTGCAGCATGCCGTCGGCGAGGAGGAGGTCCAGATAGGACTGCTGACCTTTGAGGACAGGCTCGATGTTTGTGGCGGCACGGCAGAGGGCGGAGATGGAGACTTCGCTAGGGCCGCCTTTGCCCTGTTGTACGAGTTCGTCCAGCTTCCTCAGACGAGTTTCACGGTTTGTGCCCAGCGTCTTGAGTTCCAAAGCACCAGGGACCTTGGAGAGACCTTGATCAATCAGCTCAAGCTGCTTGCGGATTCCGTCGAGGTAGTTCTTCAAGAACGGCTTTGCGAGAGAAGCGACGGGGATGGAAGCGGCGGTCTCGTCAATCTCCATCGCGCAGAGCAGGCAGACTTGTTCCGCTAGGGCGACGCTATCGGTCATCTCGCCTGTTGGCCGGATGAGCGTGTCCAGTGTGGCGAGATCGATGGCTGGGTGCCATTGAACCGACCAGGCGTTTGTCTTGGGTGGTTCCTGCCTGAAAGATCCACCCATACGGCTCGCGTGGAAGCCGTTCAGCACGAACGCTACCTGGCTCTCGGCAGTCAGACCGTAAGAGTCACCCTCGGCTTGCACCACAGACTCCTTGGCGGTTGTGCGAACACGGAGCGGGGACTGTCTGCCACTGTCACTGACGTAAAACTGCTCGATGAAGGTGGGGAGGAACATGTGGTCGAGTCGGCGGTACTCGCCGTTTGTGGCGGCAATGGACCATGATTGGAGAACGTTGTCGAGAGTCGACGGGTGGAGGGCATACTCTTCGCCGGGGACCTGAATGTCAGGAATGACAGCAGACGCAAGCAGGTCAACCGGGCTAGCAGTAATGTCCTGTAGCCCGACGAATCGATCGCTATAGTTCAGGCCCGCGCGCGACAGGGTCTGGTACCACCGCTTCGAGTCGACCCTGCGTGCAAGTGGTGCAACGTCAGGGTTAGAGGGGGTAGAGACTGCGCAACCCTCCGTGACGAGACCCCAACAGTGCTTGGTCCAGATGCCCTTGTTCTCCGATGAGATGGTGAACTCCCACCACCTGCTGTTGTCGGCGGCGGTAAGAGCGTGTTTGCGGAGGGTCGTCACAACCTCGACACTTTTGCTTTCTTCCAGAATCATGGCCGAAGCGATATGCACATTCTGCACGGTGTACGCGGCGGAGCCTGTAAGTTGGCCGATGGCGGTTCCCGCAATGGCGATGCATCCAGCGGCGGGGAAGATAATGTCCTTTTCCACGCAGTGACCGGACAACCAGGGGACGTCACGGACACGGATGAGGTTGCGCCATGAGGGCTCAACGTCACTGCTCTCGAGGATACGCTGGCCTAGGATCTCGTGCCTGGCGTGCTCGCGGAATCTCCAGCCTGCCATGACGCGGGTCTCCGACCAGTAGCGGTTGGCGTAGTTCCAGGCGTAGGTGGGCAAGTCAGGGAGGGTGTAGGCCTGTTCAGAGGCGGGTGGTGTGGGGATGATGCCGAAGGTGAAGAGCGTACCAATGGCAGACAGAAAGACATGTGCAGCATCCTGGCCACGTTCTGCGACCGAAGTGTAGGGTGTCTGAATACTCCCGGTCTCTTTGTAGATCTGGCGCAAAGGACCAGCCAGGGCCGAGTGAGGACCAATTTCAAGGTGAGCCGTGTCGTTCATGTCAGCCAGCATCTGCGAAACCGCGGTGCGGAAGAGGACGGGGTTCTCGATGTTGAGCTGCCAATATTCCGCACCCAGCGCCTTGCTCTCTCGAACCTGTCGGCCGTAGACCGTAGAATAAAAGGGTACTGTCGGGGCCTTGGGGGAGATGTACGGAGCGACTAGAGACTTGTACAGACCACCAATGGTCTTAATGTGATGGGAGTGATAGGCAACGGGTACGCGGAGGCGGCGCACGAACACGTTGGGGTCTGCCTGCTTCAGGCTCTCTATTGTCCCTTCCACAGCCGTGAGGTCACCAGAGATGGTGACGCTGGCGTTGCTGTTCTCGCAAGCAAGCACCACACCGGACTTGAGGTGTTGCTCAACATCATCACGTCCTAAACCCACAGCAGCCATGGCACCAGGGATTTCACACCGTGCGCAGGCGTAGCCACGGTAGTACGCGGCAATGATGGCCTCCTTCCTGTTCAGTACGCCCGCAGCATATGCCGAGGCAACCTCTCCACTGGAGTGGCCAACTACAGCACTGGGTTTGATATTCCAGGCGGCTAGAGCATCAACGTACGCCATCTGAATGGCAGCACAGATGGGCTGCGAGATATCAGTCGCGCTGAACATATCCTTTTCAGACGGTTCTGCAGTTAACAGCCCTTCCAGCGACCAACTGGGTGGATGATCAATTGACTGGAGCGTCTTATCCATTTCTTCGATGCTGGCAGCAAACTCCGCATTTTCCTTGAGCATCTCGCGACCCATACCGACCCACTGCGCACCCTGGCCGGTAAAGATGAACGCAACCTGACGAACACCCTTGGACTCAGCCGGGGTGACGGGCTCACCCACCATCAGGCCATCTGCAATACAGTAACTACCCAACTTCAACCGTTCTCTTCGCGCCGCAAGCGTGTAGACCATGGCGTCGAGGTTGGCGGGGTTCTTCTCCAGGTACTCCCCGTATTTAGACGCCAGTTCGGTAATAGCGGGCGCACTGTTACCCGAGAGCAGAAGCAACGACTTGTGAGTCGGTAGACGGTCGGCGATGGTGTGACGGAATGGCCGTGAAGGGATTCCCATGGAGTCGGCAGAGTCAAGAACAACGTGCACGTTGGACCCTCCAAGACCGAACGAGTTCATGCTGATTCGTTCCCGGGCGCCTCGAGGCCACTGCGTCGGCTCGACCGGGACAACAAGGTTTTGATCCCACGGGACTAGAAGGTTAGCTATATCCCACGACAGCACAAATGGAAGCTTACTCTTCGGGTTAGGCGTGTTGAATTTGATATTCGGCAACACAGTCTTGTTCTCCAAAGCCATCACAGCCTTGATGATACTACTGAGTGCGGAGGCGCCCTCTCCATGTCCCAAGTTCGGCTTGACTGAGCCGATGTAGACCTGCTCAACGCCGCCAAAGCAGCTCGCGATAGCCGACGCCTCCAATGGGTCTCCAACGACCGTTCCCGTACCGTGCAGCTCAACAACCTTGGTCTCGTCAAGCGGCAGCCCTGCAGACGCATATGCGTGGCGAATCAGTTTCTCCTGGGATTTTGGGTTCGGGGTACCGAATGTTCGAGTTCCGTCGCCTCCGTCGGCGTTGCTCTCGCAAGCTCGGATGACCGCGCGGATCGGGTTACCGTCGCGGATGGCATCTTCCAGACGCTTGAGGTAAATCGCGCACACAGACTCACCGCGAGCAAAACCGTTGGCGCTGGAATCGAAGGTCTTGCAGTTTCCGTCGGGTGCGAGTAGACCCAGCTGTGACATGGAGATACTGGTTCGAGGAGTGATAATGACATTGGCGCCGGCTACAATGGCGGATGGGCAGGAGCCAGAGCGAATGGCCAGCACAGCCTGATGTAGAGCCTCTGCTGTTGCGGAGCAGGCGGTTTTGGTAACGACACTGGGACCGACCAGATCGTACTCGAAAGCGAGGCGGTTAGCCAAAGAAAAATCTGACTTGCCCAGCATCAGGTATGGCTGGTGGTTGAGCAGGTCGATGTTCTGCACATCTTGCCAGTCTTCGGTGAAGTCGCCGACGAAGGTGCCTGTATTGCTTCCCCGAAAGCCTGGTTCGCCGGCGCTTTCAAAGGCCTCGCGGGTCACCTCGAGGAGAAGGCGTTGGCTTGGGTCTAGGGTAGTGAGTTCGGTCTTGGACATGCCAAACATGGTAGCATCAAATTGGGCCAGGTCGACGTCGAGGTAGTAGCCGTATTTCGTTTTGATGGTGCCGGGCTTGCCGGATGGGTCATAGTAGGCGTCGACATTGTAACGATCGGAGGGGACGACGTTGCGGGCATCGCCTTTGTTGAGGAGGAAGTTGAAGAGGTCAGAGGGACTTCGGATTCCGCTGGGCAGCCTTACGCCCATACCGCAGATGGCGATTGGTGTCGCGTTCATCTTGGGGGTTGTGGTGGTTGTGGTATCGCTGGCCACGTCGAGGTCGGCTGGAACCGTTGCCGCATGGGTAGTTGTCTCGGTTGTAGTAGGCTGAGAGTGGCCGCTGAGGATGTCAATATCAATGCTGGGCGACATGTTGAATGAAAGGGTAGAAGGAAATAGGTATCGAGATGCAACGACTGGGCTTAGGGCTCTGGATGCCCCTGCGGAATGACGAGCGTAGTATATGTCCCTGCAGCAGAGATAGGGCTGACCCTCAGAAGCAAGAGACAGGGCATGATACCACTGCGGCTGTGCAATCGATCCTCCAGCATGATGCCACCTGAGTATTCTGGTGGAGTCTTGTAGGCACTCGACCTCAGCTGTTCTTGGGGGCCGAACTGTGCAGCAGGGGCACTCACCATCTCCACTACCCAGATCCGTTGATTGTGGTTAAGGGACCTGACTTGGGCAACGCCATACGCAGCATTCGAGGATGGGTAAATTCACCAGCTTCAATCGTCGAGACCTAGTCTACACCGTCGTCGCCGACCACCCAATCGAAGTCTCTATCTTCACACCGAAGACAACAGAAGATGCCCCTCAACTTCAATCGGTCCCCGTGCTGGTCTACTGGCATGGAGGAGGTTTCATAGTCGGCGACCGCCTATACGAAGGCTGGTGGCCGGACTGGCTGCTGGAGTTTGCGCTTGAGCAAAATGCGATGATTGTTGCGCCGGACTACCGACTGCTCCCAGAAGCCACGGGGGCCGATATTCTCGACGACATGGACACATTCTGGACCTGGTTTCTAGGGGCATTGCCGGAGCTCGCAGAATCAGAGGGGTGGAAGATGCGCCCTGATCTCGACCGCATCATCTGTTCCGGCCACAGCGCGGGGGGTTCGATCGCGCTCTATTCTGCGCTCCAGCGACCCGAGGCCGCGATCAAAGCCGTTGTCACCCTGTATGCGCCGCTATACTACAATGTACCGGAGTTGAAGATGGCGCGGCCACGGCCAATTCTAGGGACTATGCCTCCGCCGCCGCGAGAGGCAGAGGCGCAGATCCGGGCGTATGTTCAGAAGACCAGGGGTACGGTGCGAACCCGTGGAGACGTATTGGAAATGTGGGGATTGGTCGCATGCATTTTGCAGCAAGGACGACTTCCGCGCATGATGGCGCAGAGGCCGGATCCGCGACTGGATGCGCTCAAAGTTATCGAGAAAGGGACCTACTGCCCACCGATCTGGGTAGTACATGGGGAGAACGACTCGGTGGTAAGCACCCATTGCTGGCTCTGTTCAGAATGGCTACTGAGAATTGTATAGGTTCCGACGTCCTGTTCGACGGAGTTTGTGAAACGGTTGCCGCCAGAGGTGCCTAGGATTCTCTCTGTGCGGCCGGGCGAACACAACTTTGACGCCTTGTTGACTATCCAAGAGCCTTGGCTGGCGGAGGGGTGTGTCTTCCTGCGCGAGCTTTGGTGTGGAAATGAGATTCGGGGGCCAGTTGAGCCTGTCGAGATGACACCACGGCCAGTGGTGCCACTGCATGCTCAGCCCCAGGGGGTCGAGGCGCGGCTGCAGTGGTATATACTTAGGGTTTGCTAGTAGATGGGGCAGAGCCAATTAGCACCTATAGCCCCTAGAGCATATACCAAATATACTTGCTTTGTCTTTGTCTGCCATTAGTATTGTCAAAGTAACATTCTGACCTACCACACACCACCAAGCACGCTATGGCTCAACAACACGAGGACCTGCTGAAGCGCAGGCTGAAGTTGGAGGAATTCGCCGCCGGCGCGCTCGAGATCAGCCCTCGCGTTTTCCGAAACAAAGCCGACAGAACATGGGTCGCGCTGGGCGGCGATTCTCTAATGGCAGTTTTCTTCATGGGCGCCTGCCACGAAGCTGGGATTGAAGTTGATCTCCCAGAGATTTTGCAGGCTGGGAGTGTCCGCGAGTTCATCGAACAACTGGTGGAATCTCAGCAAACCGAAGCTGAACAAGGCCTAGACATGAAGAGCGAGCCAGTGATTGAAGAGTACATCGACAGTGCTCTCCTGAAGTCTTTGCACGATTGTACGCCGGAGCAGGTCCAAGCCATCGGACCATGTTCAGCTATGCAGGAGAATTTCGTCGCGCGCCAGAGCATCGATCCATCGGCATATCAGCTGCGGGTGGCAGCAAGAATCTCTTCCGCAAACCCGCAGTTCGTCCTTACGACAAGCGTTGTCGAGCAAGCATGGCGAGATGTAGTCCAAAGACATGCGGCTCTCCGGACAAGGATCGTGGAGAGTGTTGCCCGTCCAGGCCGGCTGGAACAGGTCATTTTGAAGAGCATCGAGCCCGAGATCCGTGTTATCTCACTCACCACAGCCGAGCAAAGCATCATGCCTTTTGAGGAGTACCAGTCCGCCTTTCCGCATCGATTGACCCTAGTGCAGGCGCCCGACGATGGCTTAACCTTGGGCCTTGACATATCGCATGCCATTGTCGACGCGGTGTCCATTGAAATCATCACTCGCGATCTGTTCCGCGCCTTAACAGGAACCCTGCCAGCGGGACAGCAAATGCGGTGCACCGACTTCCTGAGCGTTCAACAGCCCGATAACTCACCAGAATCCTTGTCCTATTGGTCGGAATACATGGCAGATACGCAAGGCAGCTTTCTGAGCACCTCGAGCTCAAAAGCAACTCCCAGCGGCCTGTACACAATCGACCATGAGATGCCGATTGCTTCGGATTTACTTGAATCTCTCAGAGACAGGTCCAGCGCAACAATAGTAAACGCCTGCCAAATCGCATGGGCGCTCGTTCTGCGCGCGTATACCGGCGCCGCTGATGTCTGTTTCTCGTACACGACCTCAGGGCGGCAGAGGCGTGTAAAGGGGTTACAGGACGCCGTTGGAAATTTCGTGAACACCTTGCCGTGTCGTGTGGACGTTGGTCAGGGACAACCTATTGCGGAAATCGTGGAGCTCGTCCATACAGAATACCTAGAGAGTATCCCGCACCAGGCAGCAAGTTTGAACGGGAACCAGGAACTCAAAGGCCCGTCTGTGCGGGAGCTCGGCGACTCGCTCCTCACGTTCCAGCGAGGGATGGCTGGGGCAGAGCTAGCGATGGTCGGATTTAAGGTGGAGGTTCTGTCTTGGGAGGCGCCGTCGGACGTAAGTGGAAGGCCCAACCATGTCTGGTGTTGGAAAGAAGAACTAACGGGAGGATGCGCAGTACAATTACACCCTGGCGATTAGCACCGAGGAGCAGCGACTGGGACTTCGACTTACAACGTGGGAGTCTGTCGCCTCGAAGGACAATGCGCTAAATATTTTGCAGCTGTTCCAAGACAGCCTTGACTTCGTGCTTCGGCATACTAGTGAGAGCTGCTCCGGTTTCGTCGGACTCACCTTAAAGGATCAAGAGAGGATTATCGCAAGAAACAGAGACCCATACACCCTTACCCAACGCACTGTTCACGACCAAGTATGGGATATGGTCCAGCGGCAGCCCGATAGCTCAGCGATCTGCGCCTGGGATGGAGACCTAACATACAGCGAACTAGGCTCCTACGCCAACCGACTGACAGCCAGATTGCTGGAGCTTGGTGTCAAACTCGAGGACAAGATTGGACTTTGCATGGATAAGTCCCGATGGGTACCGGTTGTGATGCTCGCGATCTTGCAGGCTGGTGGCATAGTCGTTCCCCTGGGCAACCAACATCCGCCAAATCACATCCAGAGCATTGCATGCAATGCGAACATCACGATGTTGTTGGCTGACCAGGCCCATGCATCACGGTTAAAGGGCATATTTGCAAAGACAGTTGCGGTAGACGCAACCTACCTGGGGGAGTGCCGTGTTTTTCCATCAACTCAGAAATGGCCCAATGTGTCGCCAGAGAATGCAGGGTGGATCGTCCACACCTCTGGAAGTACAGGCAAGCCAAAGGGAGTTGTCCTTGAACATAAGACCCTCTCCTCCACAATGCATGAACAAACAGCACGGTATAACATGGGGCCGTGGACGCGAGCGATCCAGTTCTCAGCGCATACTTTCGACGTCTGCGTGAAGGATATCTTTACCACCCTGACATTTGGTGGCTGTGTCTGTATTCCTTCAGAAGCACAACGGCTCGACGACCTCGGCTCGGCCATGAAGGCTATGGGTGTCAATTTCGCGTCGCTGACTCCAACAGTTGCATCCTTGCTTGATTTGCAGGAGCTACCTCTGCTCGAAACAATCGTATGCACAGGAGAGGCGCTATCACCTGCTATCCTACTACCACTGCTAGAGCATCAGAAGGTAAAGGTTTGGAACGGATACGGTCCTAGTGAATGCTCGCACGTCTCAACAATCAATGGCCCGATTACTAGTGTTGGTGAGGCGACAAATATTGGATTTTCCGCCGCCAACAGGCTGTGGGTGGTGGATGCCCTGGATTTCACCCGGCTATGCCCCATTGGCGCGGTAGGAGAACTTTTCATAGAGGGAGCAATTGCACGAGAGTACTTGAACGATCCGGAGAGAACTGAAACGGCGTTTATCACAGATCCCGGTTTCGTGGAGAGACTTGGGCTTGTCCCTGGCCGACGTATGTATCGGACTGGTGATCTTGTGCGGCAAAGCAGGGAGGATGGATCGTTGACTTACCAGGGGCGTCAAGACACACAAGTCAAGATCAGAGGTCAGCGAGTGGAGATCGGAGACATTGAAAGTCACATTTCGCAGTCCTTACCTGGAAACCCACTTGTCTGCGTTGACTTGATTACCTCGAACTCTTCATCGGTCCTGATGGCCGCAATTGATATGCATGAGTTTTTACCCGCCAATGTCAGTTCGGCTCCAGTTAGGCCGTGCGATTCATCCGACACGCTGAGACACTCCTTGCAAGAACTGCATTCCAAGCTTGTTGATGACTTTCCACCTCATATGGTGCCTACCAACTGCGTCCCATTTGTGTCACTCCCAATGAACGCCTCTGGAAAATTGGACCGACGTGCTACGCATGAGTTGCTAGCAGCGTTGACGGAAGAGGAACTCGCCAGCTTCAAGAAAAGCAAGTCGATCGGGTCCAGCATATCAACTGCAACAGAGAAGGCTCTCCGGGAACTTTGGGCTGAAGCACTCAAGCGGCCAGCAACAGATATCGGGCCTGATGACCACTTCATGCATCTAGGGGGTGACTCAGTCGTAGCCATGCGCATGGCGGCAATTGCCAGAAGAAAGGATATCTCTTTCTCAGTTGCCAATATCGTTCAGCACCCGCGCCTAGCAGACATGGCGCGTGTTGTAGACAGCCACCGTGCCACGGCGGAGAAAACAGCTCAAAACGACCCCATCCCGTTCGAACTGTGGGCTGATTTTCTCTCTGCAACCCCTGAAAAGCGGGAAAAGCGACTCGCAACCGTGGCTGAGATGTGCAATGTTGATCCTGCCCAGGTCGAAGATGTGTATCCGACAACAATGCTCCAGGAAGGTCTGATGGCAATGACGAATCAGTCCCGTGAAACATACGTCGCCCAGCATCCCTACATACTTGCTCATGCCGTTGACATGGGGTGCTTCAGAGCGGCCTGGGACAAGGTTGCAAGTGCACTTCCCATTTTGCGAACTCGCATCGTTTATTCCCCTGCTTCTGGCTCTGTTCAAGTCGTGATTCGAGATACACCTCAATGGATAATCACAACAAGAAGTCTTATGCAGTTCATCGAGGAGGATCGGGCAGCGTCCTTTGCATATGGGACACCCCTCCATCGCTTTGCAATTGTCAAGGAGGAGTCCACAAGATATTTTATCTGGACCGCTCACCATTCCGCATATGATGGCCCAACAGTCGTCAGAATCTTCAAGACGCTAGCCGACGCACTGCAGGGCAAACCATTATCATCTGAATCAGTGACTCCTATCCCGCGATATATCCGGTACTTGGAGGACCAGAGCCAGGAGGAGTGCGAGACGTACTGGAGAGGCGAGTTGGAAGGCTCCACGTTCACACCATTCCCCAAACTCCCCAGTCCCTCATACCAGCCATTCGCCGATGGCGTGCTAAGGCACCACTTCAAGATGTCCGACAAAATAAACAGGGTTAGTCACCAAGTCTCACCCGCCATTATACTACGAGCAGCGTGGGCTCTGGTAGTTGCCAGCCACACCGGTGGCGAGGAGGCAATGCTGGCAGTGGTGCTTTCCGGTCGTGACATGCCGGTCGTTGGAGTCGAGGACGTAGTCGCGCCCACCATAACCACCGTTCCTTGTCGAGTTCGAATTGATCGACAGAAACAGGTCACTGACTTCCTTCGTTCTGTCCATGAGCAGAGTACGAGAATGGCACCCTACACACAGTTCGGCCTCGCGAACATCCGTCGTGTGATTTCCAGCTTAAGCCACGACTTCAATCCTGGACACTTGTTCTTAGTTCAGCCTGGTGGCGATGACATGGCGTCAGCTGACGAGATCGGTCTGGAGAGACTGACAGGCGAGCGTGGGAATTTTGAAGGATACTCGCTTGTTGTCGAATGTAATCTCGACGCAAGTGGGACAGGGACCGAGGTTGAGATGCGATTCGATCAGCATGTTGTCCCGCCCTCACAAGCGGAGTCTTTGATGTCCCAGCTGGAGCATGTTGCGCGGCAATTGCAGACTTATGGCAGCGACGATGACATCAGCCCTACTGCAATTCAACATCTCGACTGGATTAGCACTGTAGACAAGGAGAAACTGCTTCACTGGAACCAGCCCCCGCCGGATGCAGTGCAGTTCTCTTTGGTTGAACATGTGGAATCTCAAACGCGGAAAACACCAGATGCCTTGGCAGTCTGCGCGAGAGACGGCGAGCTGACATATTCTCAGCTCTACGCCGCTGCGAGTCGCCTCGCGCAGCATCTCGTGTCTCTTGATGTTGGCCCAGAAACGTTCGTTGCATTGTGCATGGAAAAATCGAAGTTCGCTGTCATATCAGTTCTGGCGATTTTGCTAGCAAGAGGTGCGGTGGTGCCTCTTGGTGCCCAGTACACAGATGCCAGGATCAAGACTATCCTGGATGATGCTGGTATCTCTGTGGCCTTGGCCGACGTCGCGCAGGCCAAGCGCCTCAGGTCTATGGTGTCGCAGCCGATCATTGTGAATTCCGGCCTGCTAGAGTCTCTGCAGGCCGAGGACAGTGATTCCCAACTTGCCCGGCCGAATCCATCATCGGCCGCCTGGATAGTCTATACATCAGGAAGTACCGGTGTTCCCAAGGGAGTCGTTCTCGAAAACCAAGCTCTCTGCACAGCTGTCCTCGCCCAGGGGACCCGATTCGGGGTATCCTCTTCAACGCGCATACTGCAGTTCTCTTCATTCACATTTGACCTTAGTATCGAGGAGATCTTCGCGACCTTGTTGTTTGGAGGGTGCATTTGCGTCCCTTCGGAAACCGATCGCACGGACAGATTAGCAGCTGCCATGAGAGAACTAGCCGTCACGTTTGCAATCCTAACGCCGACTGTCGTATCCCTACTTGATCCGAAAAGCGTTCCATCATCACTGGATACCATCGTCCTAGCAGGCGAAGCACTCAAGCCCGCTGTTGTTAAGCCTTGGATCGGCCGTGTCAAGGTCTTCAATGCATATGGTCCGGCAGAGGCATCGATGTTCGCCGCCATAAACGGACCCCTACTTGGTGAAGAAGATGCACCGGTAATTGGATCGACCATGGCCAGCCGTCTGTGGGTAACAAGCCCTCTCGATTACAATTCCCTTGTTCCCGTTGGCGCGGAAGGTGAATTGCTTATTGAAGGCCCACTGCTTGCTCGGGAGTATTCGCATGACGCTGAAAGGACGGCGAAATCATTCGTCATTGATCCGCATTTCTGCCGCACATTGAACCTGCCATCCGGACGACGCATGTATCGAACGGGCGACCTTGTCCGCCAGCACCCGGAGACTGGCTTGTTAGAATATCTAGGTCGTCTCGATACCCAGGTGAAGATTCGCGGTCAGCGCGTGGAGATCGGCGAGATTGAAAGCCACATCGTCCGCCTTCAGTCTGAGGTTCAAGCCGCCTGCGTCGATCTTGTACAGCTAGACACCATTCCTGACCCGATACTACTCGCCGCGATCGAGCTTTTTCCAGCCGTTGACCGTGGCACAATTGTCTTGAACGACCTGCGCTTCAAGCTCCTCCAGTTCCTTCCCCTATACATGGTTCCAGCCCATTTCATTCCGATGAAGCTCCCAGTAAATGCATCAGGCAAGCTGGACCGCCAAGCTACAAGAGCAGCGCTGCAAGCACTGGACATACACCAATTGAAAGCCTTTGCCGCAGACAGCTCGGATCCGATCGAAGACAGAACGCTCACGGCAACGGAAGAACAACTGCGCCAGCTCTGGGCCCAAGTCCTCGGCCTTCCTTCGAGCGACATAGCTGCAAACGCGGACTTCTTCCAGCTTGGCGGTGACTCTGTGTCAGCAATGAGGCTTGTCGCGGCTGCGCAGACTGCGCCAATCTCGATGCAACTCGGGGTAGCTCAGATTCTGCAGAACCCGCGCCTAGTTGATATGGCTCGTGCCTCAACTAACGCAGATAGCACAGCAGCAGCCCTTGAGTTCGAGGCGGATCCCGCGCCATTCGAGCTGTGGAATGGCTTTGCCGATGCTGGGGCGGAGGAGCAGAAACAATGGCTTGCCTCTCTCGCTCAACAATGCGAAGACCTTGTTGGAGCAGAGCAAATTGTCGATGTGTACCCTGCAACTCCACTACAGGAAGGTCTGATGGCAATCACCTCTCAGCAGGGCAGTGCATACGTCGCACAACAAGTGTTCCGGATGGGGCGAAACGTTGACGTTCCGCGCCTGCAGCGGGCTTATGAATCGCTAAGTGAGAGACTCGCTATCCTGCGCACTCGGCTTGTCTATACAGCGCAGGGTTCTGTCCAGGTGGTTACCGATCAGGTCCAGCAATGCACCGTTATTACTTGCGATCTGCGTAGATACCTGCAACAAGACCACCACAAGTCATTCGGCTATGGCATCCCACTTCATCGCCTGGCAATTGTTGAGGATGAAACCAGCAGGTACTTTGTATGGACCGTCCACCATGCGGCGTATGACGGATGGTCATTGATGCAGCTCTTGCGCATGCTCGTACAGCTGTACCAGGGCCACGAGAATACCTTCACTGCCACCCCCATCTCGCGCTTCATCAAATACCTGCAGCAGACAAATGAAGATGACATGGCAATATACTGGAGGAAGCAGCTCGAAAACGCCAAGTTGACTAGGTTTCCCCAACTGCCATCCCCTACATACCAACCTCACGCCGCATGCCTCGTGCGAACAACCCTTCGCGGCTCAAGCAATACAGATATCTCCATTGGCACCCTGCTGCGAGCTGCGTGGGCCGCAACTGTAGCGACCTATACGGGTGCCGATGAGGCAATCACCAATATCGCTCTCAGCGGCCGCGATGCCCCTGTGGACGGCATCGCCAATGTCGTCGGACCAACAATTACGACAGTACCAGTCCGAATTCAGATGACCAAGCAACAGACTGTGAGCGAATACTTGACGGCCGTGGACCAACAGGCCAAAGAAATGGTTCCGTATGCGCACGCCGGACTGCACGCGATTCGAGCTGCAGTGCCGGGTCTGCCTACGGATTTCGATGCAGGGCATCTCTTCATCATTCAGCCGGCTGCCTCTGACAATGACAGCCCCGGTATCGAGGCTATCGGCCTCGAGCCAGACACGGACATGACGGGTAGCGGGGAGAACGCAGACTTTGGAGGGTATGCTCTTGCCGTCGACTGCACGGTCGGCCCCAATTCGGTCGGTATTGATATCCGCTTCGACGACCAGGTGCTGCCGCACTCTCGAGCAGAGGCGCTTCTGTCGCAGTTTGAGCACACGATTCACGAGCTCCAATCCAACAGCTGCGATGCTCGGATGGGCGATCTCGACCTGTTCAGTCCAGCTGATGCCGCTGTCATTCGAAGGTGGAACGAGAATACCCCACCCGCAACGGAGGCGTGTATTCACGAGTTGATCAAGGACATAGTCGACAAGCAGCCTGACGCCCCAGCTGTGAATGCTTGGGACGGCGAGTACACTTACGGAACTCTGCATGATACCGCGCGCAGTCTCGCGCATCACTTGGTAACCCGCTACGGCGTCGGCCCCGAGGTCAAGGTAGGTATGTGTATGGAGAAGTCTCGCTGGGCTGTCGTGGCGATCCTGGCGATCCTCATGGCTGGGGGTGCTGTGGTACCATTAGGAATCCAACAGCCACTGGGTAGGATCTCCGCCATCCTCGCTGACGCGCCGGTATCCACGATCATTGTTGACTCAACACACGCCAAACGCCTCGAGGAGCTAAAGAGGGAGGGTATCTCGCCTTCCCTCACAGTTGTCGACGGCGCTTTGCTCGAGTCCCTGCCACTTCCTCGGCAACACGCTATCTGCACGACAGTCACACCCGACAACGCAGCATGGGTCGTGTACACCTCTGGCAGTACAGGAGTGCCGAAGGGCATTGTCCTCGAGCACAAGGCGCTCTGCAGCAGTTTTGCAGCACATGGTCAACAAGTGGGGTTTGGTCCAAATATTCGAGCACTGCAGTTCTCCGCGTACACCTTCGACAACGCTATTGAGGATATCCTGTCTCTGCTTTCGTATGGGGGCTGCGTGGTTGTTCCCTCCGAGTCACAGCGTCTCAATGCCCTCCCTGAGACGATTCAGGCAATGCAGGTCAATCTGCTCAACTGCACGCCAACCGTCGCGTCGCTGATCAACCCGAAGAATGTTCCGACGCTGAAGACTTTGTAAGTGATCTCGTCATTCCCACACTAAACGTCACGCTCCCTAACAGTTGCTTAGACTCCTCGGCGGCGAATCCGTCTTCCCCGCTGTCGTAAGGCAATGGCTAGGCCATGCTAATATCTTCAACACGTACGGTCCTTCTGAATGTAGCGTTGACGTCGCTGTCGGCGGCCCCGTGCAGGATCCCAGCAACTCGTACACCATCGGATTCCCGCTCAACGTCTGCTTCTGGGTGACAAGCCCCTCCGACCACAACCGTCTCGTCCCTATCGGTACGCCCGGAGAACTTCTAGTCGAAGGCCCGCATCTAGGAAGAGGATACCTGAATGACCCCGCGAAGACGGCCAGGGCCTTCGTGTGTGATCCTGCTTTTGTCCGACATTTGAGAATATCACCCGGTCGTCGCTTCTACCGGACAGGAGATCTCGTGAAACAGAACGCTGATGGCTCGCTGATCCACCTTGGCCGCATCGACACGCAAATCAAAATACGAGGTCAGAGAGTGGAGACCGGCGACATCGAGAGTAATATCCTCCGCATCGCACCCCAAGTCAGAGTAGCCTGCGTCGACCTCGTCCGGCTGAGCGACATGGCTGGTGACGCGATGCTTGTGGCCGCCATCGATGTGGGTGACTTTGCGCGGGACGAGGACGAAAGCCTTGCGCCAGAGACAGTACGCCGGCCAACTCGGGGTCTAAAGGCCATGATCGACAACCTGCGAACAGAGCTTTTGTTCATGCTTCCGCGATACATGTTGCCGCATTTTGTTCCTATGAGCAGTTTGCCACTCAATGCTTCCAGCAAACTGGACAGACGAGCTGCACGAGCCATCCTCGAAAGCCTCAACCACCAACAGCTCGCGGCCTTCGAAGAATCCGCCGCAGCGGTTGCCAAAAACAATGACAAGCAGTCGCTATCGCCAATGGAAAAGCGGATCCGCAAAATCTGGGTGGAGGTTCTCGGATGCTCGCCCAACATCGGCCCGCAAGCGCACTTCGTCCAACTCGGAGGCGACTCTGTCACCGCCATGCGCCATGCTGCCGCTGCGATACGCGTCGACATTCGTCTAGGCGTTGCCGATATTCTCCAGAACCCGCGGTTATGCGACCTGGCCCGTATTGCGGAGAAGAACCTGCACGGGTCGACGGCCACCGAGCAAGATCCCCAGCCCTTTGAACTGTGGAACGGCTTCTCCGGTGCAGAGCCAGCCCAGCAAAAGGAGTGGCTGTCCGAGATCGCAGAGCAGTGCGATGGTGTGGCAACGGAAGATATCGAGGACGTGTATCCCGCGACTGCTATCCAGGAAGCCCTGATGGCGGTAACAGCACAGGAGCCCGGCGCGTTCGTCGCGCAGAATGTCTTCCGCCTGCATGATGTGGACATAGTCCGTTTCAAGAAGTCCTGGGCGCAACTCATGAATTCTTTGACGATCCTTCGCACTCGCATCGTTTACCACAATGTCCAAGCAGGGACCGTGCAGGTGGTCGTCAAGAGATACCTTGATTGGCAGGAAGCAGATGACCTGCAGACATACATGTCCACTGATAAGGCGCGGCCATTCGCGTACGGAACACCACTGCATCGTTTGGCAATTATTGAGGATGGGAAATACTTCGTGTGGACCCAGCACCATAGCGGTTATGACGGGTACCAGACGGCCCTTATGCTTAATATGCTGGGTGAAGTATATCAGGGCAATGTACCCGATCATTCCCCACCACCTGTCACGCGGTTCGTGAAGTACCTGCAGAAGAATGACAAGAATGAGGTCGCGGCCTATTGGCAGCAGCAGCTTGGAGATGTCAACCTAACACGCTTCCCTCAACTGCCGAGCCCGTCATATCGCCCTCATGCCGATGGGTGTTCGAGACGAGTTGTGAAACGCAGCAAGGCGCAGGACAACGCACCCATCGCAACGCTTCTGCGAGCGGCTTGGGCTGCAACTGTGGCTAGTTATACCGGTATTGCCGAGTCCACCTCCATGATTGCGCTCTCGGGTCGGGATATAGTGGTCCCCGACATCGGCAGCATGGCCGTTCCAACCCTGACCACGGTGCCAGTGCGAACACGGCTGGACAATCGCAAGCAGCGTGTTTCTGATCTCCTGGATGCCGTAGCCCGCCAGAGTGAAGATATGAAGCCGTTCCTGCACACGGGCATGCAGCATATTCGCGCGGCTGTACCGGTGTTAGGAGTCGACTATGACCCCGGTCATCTATTCATCATACAACCACCTTTGGGAGAGGAAGATAAAGATCCCCTTTGTGCAATTGGTCTGGATGAAGTTACCAATGCTACCGCGAGCTTCCCCGGATATGCACTCGCGGTGCAATGCAGCATCGATTCCGACGGCACGGTGGATGTCGAGATGCGGTATGACAGCCAGGTAATGTCAATCGGAATGGCCGACAGTCTTCTCGCGCAATTAGAACACGTCCTGAAGCAGCTCGAAGCGCATCCTGATGCTGCGATTGGGGACCTCGATCTTCTCAATCCGGCTGATGTGGAGAGGATTAAGAGGTGGAACGAGCCTGTTCTTAAAGCCACCCCCGTTCAGTCCTGTATGCATGAGATGGTCCAACCCATGGTGGAACGCCAACCGAATGCCCAAGCCGTTTCTGCGTGGGACGGCGACCTGACTTACAATGCCCTTTGGAGCACTGCATGCCGCCTGGCGCACCATCTGGCAAGTCTTGGCGTTGGTCCAGAGATTGCTGTCGGAGTATGTATGGACAAGTCGCTCTGGGCAATGGTCTCGATGTTAGCGATAACCCAGGCCGGTGGTGTTGTGGTGGCATTAGGAACTCAACACCCGCTCAGTCGGGTCGAGGCAATCCTCACAGACGCCCGCATCCAAGTCACCCTGGTTGACAAAGCACAATCAGAACGCCTGCGTGGAGTGGTTCCCAGCCCTGTTGTCGTTGGGGCGGAATTCATCAAGCAGCTCCCAGCGCAAAACACCCTACCAGCTTCGGGTGTAATGCCAGATAATGCAGCTTGGATCGTGTATACATCTGGTAGCACTGGGACACCAAAGGGCGTCGTTCTCGAGCACCAGACTATCTGCACAGGCATCATGGCCCACGGCACGCGATTCGGCAACAGTACCAGTACTCGTGCCCTGCAGTTTGCGTCTCACACTTTCGTCGTTTTCATCGAAGACCTCTTTACAACACTTATCTTTGGCGGCTGTGCCTGTATTCCGTCTGAGGATCAACGCCTGAATATGAGCGACCTGTCACGTATGATCCGCGACAGAAAGGTCAACTTTGTCAACTTGACAACCACGGCTGCATCCCTGCTCGACACACGCGAAGTCCCAGGGATCGAAACAATTGTTTTTGGTGGTGAGGCCTTGACGCCTGCGGTGATAGAACAGTGGGCACCGCATGCCAAGATGATGAATGCCTACGGTATGAGTGAAGCTTGCGCCGAGGCAACGATCAGTACCGTTCGAACCCCTAAGGACATCGCCAACATCGGCTTTCCCATTGCAGGTTCCGCTGCCTGGGTGGTTGACCTGACTGACTACAACAAATTGGTTCCCGTCGGAGCCCCTGGAGAACTGCTTATTCAGGGCCCGCTCCTTGCACGCGAGTACTTGAACGACCCAGAAAAGACTGCCGCTTCTTTTGTATCCAACCCGGACTTCTTGTCTCACTTGGGGATTTTGCCTGAGGCCGGCGCCCGCATGTACCGCACTGGAGATCTCGTACAGCAAAATGATGACGGCTCACTTGTTTACCTCGGCCGTCGAGATGCCCAGGTCAAGATCCGAGGACAGCGAGTCGAACCTGGAGAGATCGAAAGCCGAATTGCCAAGTTGCATCCGGACATCTCCCACGCCTTTGTGGATTTAGTAAAGCCAAGCAATGCACCGGACTCCTCCGACGCCATCCTGGTGGCTGCTCTCGAGTTTCAGTACGGGTATCAGGTCCAGTCAAACGAAGCAGGGCTCATGATCAAGACGATCCGTGTAGCACTGGCCAAGGAGATTCCCCCGTATATGGTCCCTAGCTTCTTCGTTCCGTTGTCGAGCCCGTTACCGGTCAACGCCTCCGGCAAGTTAGACCGGAAAGCGGCTGTTGCGATGCTCAGCCAAATGAGCCGAAGCCAACTTGGAGCTTGCAGCGCCGTGGCAAAGGGTCAGCATAGGCCGCTCTCAGCCACAGAGGAACAGCTCCGCGCCGCGTACGCCGAGGTCCTGGGCTGCTCTGAGGAAGATATAGGTCCCTACGACCAATTCGTCCAGCTGGGTGGTGACTCCGTGGGGGCAATGCGTGTCGTCGCGGCATGTCGCCGACAGGGCATGGTCTTCTCCGTGCGTGACCTGATGTTGAAGCAAAGTATTGCGGGTTTGTCGTCGTGTTGCGGACCAACGAACAGCGGCCACGCGTTGGAAGAACTACCGACCTCAGACGCAGTCAGCGACGTCCAAGAGTGGATGTTGAACCACCACGTCGCTCGCCCAGACGTCGGCATGACTTGGTTTGCCTTAGACGCGGCAGGGCCATTAGTGGACGACAAGATGGCAGAAGCGTGCAGGAAGCTTCTCACGACCATCGAAATCCTTGACACAGGATTCGTCGTCGACGAGATCGGTAAATGGAAGCGAGTGGTCCCGGCCCCGATCAAGGCAGACGTTCGAACATTTGAAACGGACAGCACAATCGACGAATGGACGGAAGAATATATTCAACGAGAAGGATTCAAGCCTCTTCAGCAAGGACGACCCCTCATCGACATAGCCATCTGCACCACTGCCACTGAGCATCGCATCCTCACCCACATGTCTCACGCCATCTATGACGGAATATGCATCGCACGCTTCTGGACGACCCTCAAAGACCTCTATGAGCATGGCCAACCCAGCAAAGTCGCCTCCTACTCGCAGTACATGGCCCAAGCCGAAAAGGGGCGGACCCCAGCAGCATCTCAGTACTGGAGCCAACTCCTCAAAGACGCAACCATCACATCGGTCGGCAACATCTCGCCCCAAGACAAGGAATTCGTCTGGCGCGCAGGTGTGATCGGTCCGAAGCGCGTACGCATTGGCAAGAACCTCTCGACAGGAACAACCTGCGCAACAGCCCTCAAAGCAGCCTGGGCCCTGACCCTCGCCCGTCAAACAAACCACAACGACGTCACCTTCGCCGACCTCGTCTCCGGCCGCGCCGATCTCAACCCATCCGTAACCGACGCCTTCGGAATGTGCTCGACCCCGATCCCCGTCCGCGTGCAACTCAACCCATCCACAACTTACGCGGACCTCGTGCACGCCGTCCAAAAACAACAACTCGACAGCATGCCCTTCGAAACCTTCGGATTCAGCCAGATCGCTCAGAACTGCACGGACTGGCCCGCCGGCTCAAAGCCCACATCGTGGATCAACCACGTCCCGAAGCGGATCGCGAGTACGCTTGAGATTGGTGGGCGGGAGTACACCATCTCGCAGCCAAGGCAGGAAGAGCAGAAGTGGACGTTTAGTGAGACGCGTGTTTCTTGGACGCAGGATGAGGAGAGCTTTGAGTTTACGCTGGCGTATGCGGCGGATAAGGTGGATGAGAGTGTTGCGAGGAATCTGTGTGATGAGCTCACGCGTAACTTGGAGAAGATTCTTACGGAGAGTGGGAGTTTGATTGAGGTATGATGAAGAACAAAAGTTTCGGAGTGGGCAGAGTGCCGCTGAATAGTTATATAGCTACCTACTCCGTAGTTTGGTTGATCAAGGGAATAAGGAATGGTTATATTCATTGAGTGCCGTGAATGGATGAAGAGGTGAAGGATTGGATGACATGGGGCTAAGCCTATTCTGGAACAAAACAGGACTCGATACATCAATTCAACGAGAGATAAAAAGGAGGGGTTGGGCAGTCATCTCACACCACTTTATCTCATTAATCACCATTTTATCCTGTCTTATCCTGTGATATCTATATTCCTGTTGTTGCGTTGTATCGACACATTCTTTATTATCCTTAACAGTGTTTCCAGAATCTGACGAGGATGGCATACCCAAGACCTTGACTGACTGGACTGTACACAGTACGGGGACGGGAAATAGCACAATCATGACAAAAGGGGGGTTTCAATCATACAGGCCGTCACCGCTTGCTGGTTTGCAGCGTCAAAATGAAAATGAACTCAGAGGTATTAGAGAAAAAAGAACAACAAAGGAAATCGACAAATGAAATGGAAGATTCATCGTGCAAAAACGGGGTATTGTGAGGTAGGCTCATCTCCATGCGCCTTGGCTAAGAGACAGCAGGCCTTGGATGCAATCCAGGTCTTCTTCCTGGCTCGCTGCGTTTCCGCCCATGAATGCAGAGACATCGCCATCGAGACCGGACATGGATTTTGAGGCCCCGATAGGCTTCCGATGTGATGGTTGCGATAGTCGCGAGCGTCCTGATTGAGCTTTCTGCGACCGGCCAGCTCGTCCGTTGCCCTCCTTGAGGACGGGCCGCCGCTGATCGGATACTGTACGCCGACGCGAATGGGATACTCGAGTACCAGGGATCCAATTCTCCTTGTCCGAGTCGCCGGCTTCAATGTCGAGGTCGTCCTTGGCGGACTTGGAGTTTTTGAGTGTCGATGGTGTTTTCTCGCCCAAAACTCTGCGTCCAGATTCCAACCGTCCGAGCGAAGAGACGGTCCGAGAGAGTTTCTGCCGCTTCTGTCGCATGGCTTGGGTGATGGGCGTGCTCTGGACGTCGGAGTTCGGCGTGAGGAGGGAGTGTCTAGCAGACAAGCTTCTTGTCAGGGAGCGCTTGCCGGTAGACAGTAAGGCAGAGTTCGGTGTGCGCTGTGAGCTAAAAGGCGTGGCAAGTGCGCTTCGTGCATCAGTGTCGAATAGGGACTCCCAGTTTCGGGGATCACGCGACCTGCCAAAGGAGGTTTCTTTCTCGAGTGAGCGAGGTGTGCTTAGTCCAACAGCGCTGTTGCTCCTTCGAAGACCGATGTCTCTAGGCTTGCGAGCGGAGAACATGGAGATGCGGTTCTTCGACGGTGAGGGTTCGCCATTGGCACGGATGACTGCTTGTCCGTCTGCAGACATGGAGATTCGAAGCGAATCGCGTCTTGGTGGTGAGGGTGTCAATTCGCCTTGCTTACGAACCATGGCTTCGCCGTCAAACGAGAGCGACAACCTCAAAGATGGCGGCGACTTGAGGGTATCGAGCACGCTCGGAGAAGCCAACTCTGTGATTGTTGCTCCAACGTCTGATCCAGATCGCTTTCTCTTTGCCGAGTTCTGGAGTTGCTCGGTGTTGGACGCGTCGACAGTGGTCTGAACAACGTCCAGCTCAACTAGGTTGTTGTCCACGGATTGTTGGCTGGGTTCTGGGAACTCGGACGTAGCAATGCTCGTTTGTGAGCTTTCCCCAACCTGGTCTCGCTCATCCTTCTCTTGTCCCTCGGATGCAAACGAATCACCCTCGGGTATCGATGACTGTTGAGATTGACCCAGCGAATTGTCATTGTTTTGCTCCAGCCCGCTGGAGCCCTCTGCAAGTATACTGTCATCGGAGGCTGGCTTCAGTTCATCAGATTGGGACGAAGGAAGTAGTTCGTGAGGCTGGAGAGGCTTTGATTTTCGGCGGTCATTCTGGCGACGATTCTGAAACCAGATCTATGGAAGAACACCATTAGACCCAAGCAATTGCTTGTCCACTCGAGCAAGCATACCTGAACTTCTTTCTCGCCCAGAGAAACACGACTGACAATGTTGGCCCGTGTTGTCTTGTCCGGCTTCGAATTGCGTTGGTACTCGGCCTCGAGAATCGCGTAATCTTCGGGACTAAACACGCGATTTCAAGTCAGAAGCTGCAATTGGCCGAGGGCATATTGAATCTGGGTTATCTGGGAAAGGCATACCTAGTTCGACGCCGTTTCTGCCGCGCAAGCAATTTGTTGTCCACACGCGGGGGGAGGTTCTGCGTCAAGGTCTTTTGGGAGTGAACAAGAAAGGCGTAACTCGAGGAGGCCGTGGTGGAGTCTGAGGTCTGGGTTGAGGGAGGAGAGGACGAGAATGTCACGGCAGAGGGCTCAGGGTCAGACATGATGGTGGATTATGTAGAGTCGAGTCAGGACGGGAGCATAAGGACAAGCAGACAATTAGAACTAAACACAGAAGTAGAAAAAAGAGAAGTTTAGCACCATCGCGTGATAGAACAAGAAGAAAAGGACGAGCGATGCTGGAGTGGGAATGTTCCCGACCGAGAGCTCGTGCAGAAAAGACGCTGCTCTGATCGCGTCGCGATGTCGTGGACGCGGCGTGCCTGGAGTGAGACTAAAGTTGCTCCGGTCAGTCTTCGGGGTCGGCCGAGTCTCCACTCTCCACCACCTCACGCTTCATTCACCCTCGCCTCGATAATTTCCCTTGCACGACGCGAGATTGAAATTCCAATTCTGCTTCAATTGATTGAGTTATATTGATTGCCTGATATATGTCTTGCCCCCCGCAAACACGTCGCGATGCTGAAGAACCCAAATCCGGACCACGTGCTCCGAACCATTCCAGGCCCGCTGGACACCTTGGAAGAAAAGACGGGTTATGCAATTGCTCATTCTTGAGACGTTCCTGGCCTTGGTGTTACTTTGGAATACTTGGAGCCGCCTGCTCGATTTCCACAAGTTCTTGACATCTCGAGTCTTAAAGATCGACTGGTGACGAATTCGCCCAAACTAAGGCTCGCAGCGTCATCTCCGCATGTCTACTACATATGAGCATACAGCTTAGTGATGTTTCACAAGATACTGGTGCTCCATTTGTCGCGCCTAAGCCACTGAGTTACCCGTACAAGGATTTTGTAGATTCCCATCCTACGGCGAACCAATCTGGAACAAAAAGGCACGCAGACGAGGTATCAACCACAAACATTCCAGGGTATGAGGTATCAGGAAAGCACCTCCGCCAGGGCCAATACACTCAAACCCGCCGATGCCGCTTCGACCCCTTTGACGTCCTTCTGCGGAGGATAGCTGCAGCGCACCAGTCTCGCCAACTGGGAAGCGAGCAGATGCTCTCTGAACTGCTGGTCCAGACCTCCAACCATGTATATGGAATGGTCCGCGCCATTGCCGCCTCCCTTTTCTCCCCAGCAGAGTTTCGGCCCTACAGTCTCATCGTCCATCTTCCCCGTCTTGCTTCCATCCTTGGGCCAGACGCGTTTCGTCTCAAAGAGCGTCTCCCAAGCGAACGACTTGAACAGGCCGCCGTCTGCACTCTTTCCATCCACACGCCCCTTCCACACGAAGTTACGCCCACCATAGTTAAATCGTCGTGGAGACCAGTCTTTGCTTTGCGCTTCGCGGTCGGGAATCTCAACGATATGGCCGGTATTCGGAGGGACTGTGCTCGTCACCAAGCGAAAGCTGCCTCCCTTTGTTTTGCGGATTCTGATGTTGACGGCGCCCATCTCGGGAAGAAACTCGCCGGCGCGTCGCAGGATGGCTTCGACGATTGGGACCTCTTGGCTCCAAACCGCTTGGAGGGCGTATAGTACGTGGGTACTGGTCGAGTCTTTAACAAACCACCAGTGAGAGCGTACGCCAAGGGCTACCAGCTCTGATGAGTGCGAGAGGCGGTACGTCACAATCTCAGTCGAAGGCGACAAACTCGGAGTGAAGGCTGGGATCTGGGCTGAATCGGACGCGTTCAAAAACGGCTCCAGGTGGCTAGGCACCACCTTGTGAGGGGACTCGTCTTTCTCGTAGTCGTGGAGTGCTTTTCTGAGCTATCACTATATTCAGCAGTGACCCTGAATCACTCGGGGAGGACATACCTGAGACAATGTCCACGGGCTAGTATCATCTTTTCTCGCCAAATCCTCGATGAGACCCATCCTCGAAGGCGGCAAGACAATTCCATCAAAACTACCCTTACGCTGAAGGCCCTCTAAATACGCGAGTCGCTCTCGATGAAGCTGCACCTGCCGCTCAAACATCTTCCGGAATATCTTGCGCACATTGCTCTTCTTGAGTCTCTCCGCCGCGGCCTCTAGAATGTCGACAGAGTTCCTATGGAGCTCGATTGCGCCTTGATATTCGCCGTTTCGCTCGAGGACGAATGCACCTACAGACAGCTTATAGAGATTCTCTTTGATCTCGTCGCCTGTCGTGTTGCTAGTCATGGTGGTTGGAATCACGGAGGGACTTGCAGCAATCTTCCAATCTGATCGTGCTCAGCGAAGGGTAAGTCAAATGTGAGTTTTTTGTCTCTTCTCCTACCCCACCATGTTGCAGAAACAAGCACTTAAATATGAGGCCGAACCCCCGGAATCTCCTTGTCGCCAAATCACTCCCGCCAAGGGTCAAAGCTGCCTTACGGGGCAATGAACCTGCAAGGCTTCCTCCAAAACCCAAAATGCAGCATGCACCAGGTCCACATGGCTGCTATCGGATCGTGCAGACCGAAAGCCCTCTGACAGCATCGAGTGGTTCCCAGGGCTTCTGGGCGTCGCTTAGCCTTTCCATTTTGACAGCGCGCGCCTTGGCGATCGAGGTCGTGTCAGTCGGACTTGAAATCTTGCTTGCTGATTGTTGTTTGTATCCGTGCACGAGTCAGCTGCAGGATCTCAGGACTCAAGGTACGGAGTAGGTACGGATAGACTCGGTGTGGGAACAACGCTCGGATGGATGAGGTTGTTGTGCAAATACCTCCCTTCGCTCTGCTTTTCTTCCTCCCTTCTCTCTTTTTTCCCTCAAGCGTTTATTCTTGCAATCTTCAGATCTTTCATTATCAAGGTTCTAGTAGGACAACTTCGGAGAACTGTGGATAGATGTGGGCCGTTTACGGTTACCAGCATTCGAGGTTACCTGCCGTCTGCTTTACCACGCCGTCTACTTTACAGCATGAGGCGGTGCAAGATACATCTCCATCTGCATCCTCAAGCCTCTTTCCAACTTCCAATGTTTGCTACCCCCCAATAGCGTTAGGATGGTTTAGATGGATTCTGCCTTCTGATGCATGCACCTGCAGGTGCACTCCGCCACATAAGCCCTACCTATACCTCCTCCTAATCTCACCCGACACCATATACCTCGGCATTAACTTGGCAGCTTGGAAGAGCAGTACGGAGAATTGAAGAAGACTCTGGACTCAGAACCAAATATGAACGTGAGTGATTGCCTGCCAAGGTCAACGAGCGGAGACATAGGTAAACCTCGGCATTATCCGACAGCTCCCATCGGACTTAGACCGCCGCGTCCTCAGAGCTCTGTCGAAAAGTTCCTTGAAAGGAGATGCTTTAGGCTTCTACGCAGGAGGCCTTACCCATAGTGTAACTGGAAGTACTCCGTGTCTCCCAGTTCTGGAGTTAATCTCGGACAATGTATGCAAGTGTTTCAGTGATCTACATACGGAGTAGATCAGCGCCAGAGACGCGTAAAATCGCGAACTCACGTGACACTTAATTGGCCGCACTATACGGAGTAACATTATGAGCACGAAGTCTGCTTCGCCGATTTGAAACATAATCATACAAGCCGCCAGGTCATTACCTCATTACGCCTCCTGCTGATTCATATGACTCGGGATATTCCACGGGTCATAATCCATATGGACAAATGCCCGTTCCACCGTCGGCACACTCTCAAGCATATACTGCAGACTCTCGCCGAGATCATGGCTATCGCGCAGGCTGCTCTTGTCGGGTAGAACGATGTCGACTTCGACGTTGAGTAGATCGCCCGCGTAGTAAGCCCTCAGGTTCTGGATTTTGAGGATCGATCGCGAAAACCGCATTGTCATGTACAGCAGGATGCTGACGTCCTCGCGGGAGGCGGCGGCGCCCGTGAGATGCCGGATGTGTTCGCTTGCAGTCAGGCCCCAGTTCCAGATGATGTAGATGGATAGGACGAGGCCGCCCAGTGGATCGAGGTACCAGGTGTTTGTTATGCCGCCGACTGCGTTGGTTAGTATTGCCGAGCTGCGAGAGATGCTTGATGACACATACCAAGTGGGAAGACGATACTGAAGAAGTTGAAGATCACGTCTGTCATGGCGTCCTGTGCTAGAGCCTGGACGCTGGAGTTGTTGATCAGTCGGCACCAGAACCAGCAGAGGAATTTGACGACAACGGTGCTGCCCATAATCGCCGCCGACGGCACGGATAGCTTAACCACAGCATGTTGAGGAGACATCAGCTGGCTTGCCGATGTGATGGCCACCTGGAAGAACGAGGTTACCATCACAACGGCAAAGACCAAAACACTAAGCGGCTCCAGTCGACGTCGGCTGATCGGATATTCGTAGCGGTCCTGCCTTTTAATAAGAGCCGTTGTGATCCAGACGATCGTCGTAGACAAGAAATCCAGCGCTCCATCGACCAAACTTGCAAGAACGGACACTGAGTTGGTCATCAACAACGCAGCAATCTTCGCCACCAGCAAAATGACATTGGCAACAAAGTTAACGTAAATGGCGACAGTGACAATGCGGGCTCCGCTATCCACGAAATCGTGACCTTTCGGCGTGATATCCTCCAAGGGCGACGATTCTTCATCAGTTGTTGGGGGCAAAAGTAGCGTGCTTTCACTCGGAATCCGATAAAGGTTCCGGGGAGTCCGCTTGATCTTCTTGGGTGTCGCATCACCACCTAACCGACCCCTTTCGGTCAGATCATCTATAGATCCATAGTCACCTTCAGATGTAATTCCATTGACTCCTGTTGTGGCCCGTTCTGCACGATTCTGCTGGTATTCCACAATCAGTCGATGGGGTAGCGACGAGTCGAGAAGCCGGTCGATGTAGACGTATTGTGATATGAGGTCATTGTTCCGCTCGTAGAGTTCACGCCTAACAAGATTAGAACATTGACTCGGAGGTGGGCGGAGATTCGTACACTGGTTTCGATAATCCTTCCAACGCGTTCGGGTGTTTGTAGTACTGCTGCCTGAAGAATAATCAGCATGCCATCATTATATCCAAGCGTATTTACTCCCAGCGCGCACCAATTGTATGAAGGCCTGTCCTCTCCGATCAGTTCCCTCGCCCGGACCGACGCTGGCCGTTCAAGTCGGTCTCGGAAAGAAACAGCGTCATCCCGTTCGGTATCAAGATACTCCGATCTGTAAAGGCTCTGGCTGCTCGAGAACGATCGTCGTCGTATCAATGAGGAAAGGTATTGACCGCGGGTGGAGAGGATGTCGCCCTGGGGTTCGAGACTCGGTCTTCTAGGCCGAATGGGCGACTCGGCGTCTGATGGTGAGGAGGGGACAGAGAACTGGGGCCTCGTCCTGCGGCCAAAAGACGCCATCTTAAACTGAATCAGGCAATGCCACGATCTGGCGATGGCAGTTCCGCGATGACTAGTGGCGTCACCACTACTGGCGTGCCCAATATTTGGACAGTTGGACCTGGAGGATCGGAGCGGAGGCCGATTGACGGCAGGCCAGATGCGGTTAGCCCCGCGTCACATGCCGTTTCGGTTGCCATGTGTTCGTCTCCTCCTCTATCGGAACATCACCCCATTGTTCCTGTCAATGTCAGCTGTTATGCTGGGAGTCTTGGCCGCAGCGGGCAGAGAGAACCGAGTTAATGTCCCGTGAGAGCTTCCCATCGGCATGACCCTTGCCAATGGGCCGTGAATCTCGAAGGCCCATGTTGATCGGGTCGCGAGCCGAAAGCTTCAATCCAGCTGTCTCGCCTAAATTCGAACAGTTCTTGGGAATCCTGATTCCTTAGCTGACCATATTCATTGGCCATTGATTTCCGAAACGAGATTCCTGGGAATTATGGAAGACGAAGCCGTGTCTCATTGGGGATAGTGCGCTTTTGCCTGAGAACCCCCGCCGGGGTGTCACCGCGTACGGCATACATGCGGTTACTCTGCAAGGCCCGCATTATGGACCTTCGCACCTGGAGTCGACATTTGACAAGAGCCCTTTTTCTACATACTCCAAAGCTTGCCACTACCTTCTACCGCCGATTCCGTTCGGGGCCATAGAAAGCACACCGGCATTGGCCTGTCATCTGTCAGGTCATCAATCGTTATACTCGGGATGTGGTGTAGACTGGGTGACGGAGAAATTCCTCGTTGGTGGCAAGATCGCGGTACATTGAGCCTAAATGCGCCAATACACCCGGTCAGGTCTGGATCGTGGTCAATCACACTCCGAGCTGACAGCGGCCTATTTTAGCTTCAATTTCACTGCGTATTTGCACCAACCAGGGACCGTGTCCGAGTATCGCACGCGATGGCAAAGGATCGCTTAAGGTGCGGAGTGCGGACTCACTGGGCCACCCCGGATTTCGTCCGCCCCGCTTTCCCCTTCGCCTACCGGTCAGGAGTCAGGCCAGGGCCCAGCCAGCGACAACGGCGTCTCATGGGCTCTGAAAGAGAACAGACCTTGGAGGCCAAGGCAAACCCTGCCGACCTTGTATATAGACCATGCGGTCCTCCAAGTTTCGGCCCCTCCTTGTGTTCTTTTGTCTCTTCGACCCCCACCATCGCGTTACCCGTTGATCCGCCGGCGAGGGACCCTTTGGCGATACCCACACTTCACGATGGGTCGACTGTACACATTCAACCTCGCGCTGTTCGCGGCGACAGGGTCGTTCCTGTTTGGTTATGACAGCGGTGTGATGACCGATGTCATTGCTTCTAAGAACTTCCTGCGCTACTTCAACACCACCAATACTTCATCGATTATTGGGGCAATCAACAGCACGTTCTCAGGGGGTGGTACGTCAATTTTTTTTTTTTTTTTTTCCTTTTTAATACTGCAAAACTGACTATTGCAGCCGCTATTGGTGCTCTCCAAGGAGGTCTGACGATGGACCGTTTCGGCCGTAAATTCACAATCCAGATGGGCGCGGCCATCTGTTTGGTTGGGGCTATCCTACAGGCCGCGGCGACCAACCTGGCCATGATCCTCGTTGGTCGTATCCTCGCGGGGTGGGCTGTCGGTCTGATGTCCATGTCTGTTCCTGTGTATCAGTCCGAATGCGCGCACCCCCGGAACCGTGGTTTGATCATTGGTCTTGCCCAGCAGATGATTGGAGTTGGTTTCATTGTCAGCACGTAAGGCACTCATTCCTATCTTCATGATCAGTCTGACTGGAGTAGATGGATTGGCTTCGGCTCGTTACATGCCCCCGACTCTAGTGAATTCCAATGGCGGTTTCCTTTGGCGTTCCAGGTCGTTCCTGCACTGATCCTACTCATTGGACTGTTTTTCTTGCCAGAATCCCCACGTTACTTGATTGGAAAAGAAAAGTACGAGGAGGGAATGAAGATTCTGAGGAAGCTTCATTACGATGGCTCGAACGATGACTGGATCCAACGGGAGTACGCCGAGATCAAGTCGACCATCGACGCGGAGCGAGCCGTTACCGAGCCTGGTTGGCTCGTTATGTTCAAGGTTCCTCAGTACAGGACTCGACTCCTGTAAGTCTCCACAACTTATCAGTACAGGCCATCGCTAACGAATGCAGGCACGGTATCCTTGTTCAAGTCTTTACGCAGATGACGGGCATCAACGTTATTAACTACTACCAAACGATCATGTACGAGAACCTCGGAATTACCGGCAGCACCAACATCCTCGTCACCGGTATCTACAACTGCCTCGGTCCCATTGCGAACCTCCTCTTCATTCTCTTCGTCCTCGACAAAGTCGGACGCCGCAGACCGATGCTTTTTGGTGCTATCGGTATCACGATCGCGCTGTTCTGCGAAGCCGCGTTGAACTCTCAGAACGAGGACGGTCATCGAAAGGGCTACAGTATTGGCGGTGTCTTCTTCATCTTTTGCGTCACCATCATCTTCTCCTGGTCTTTTGGACCGTGTAGTTGGTATGCCGTTCCATTCCACAATTTGATCCGCATGACTAACAAGAACAGGGTGTACATGGCCGAAGTCATGCCCATGCAAATCCGAGGCCGCGGAAACGCTTTCGCAACCGGCATTGGCAATTGGACCGTCAGTACGCTATGGTCGCAGGTGTCTCCGATTGCGCTGGGCAAGATCGGATGGAAGTTTTATTTTATATTTGCTTCGTGGAGTGCGTGCCCCAAATCATCCCGTCAACAAATTCTGGGCTATTTGCTAACTGCATGAAACAGATATATGCGTCACCATGCCAGTCGTATACCTGTTCTTCATTGAGACGAAGCAAAAGTCCCTCGAGGAAATCGATATCCTGTTCGGAGGCCGCGCGCTCGGAACTTTGCCTGAGGATATCACCAACAAGGACAACGAGGTCGTTGTTACTACGGAGCATCAGGATAAGAGGGAGGTTTAAGCTGAATAGCGAGGGGATATGGTATATCCAGCCGGCTACGGATACAATGAACATCACGTTCTACTCTGGGAGTTTACTTGCACACTTGTCCCAGGTGGTAGTAGATACAATGTACTATGTACAGTCCCGTGATATAACCAAATCCATGCAGGCATTAGGTGCTGATGATCAGCTGTGCATGTGCAGCACTGGTCGGTTGCATGGTGGCTGTGGCTATGCCATGTCTTGGCACCCAATTCAGAGTCAGCAGAGTGGCGGATCTCCCATCTCATTCATTGCATTCCACCAAATCCACCTGAGCTATAGCTATCCATTCTGTCTGTCAAGGGATACTCAGCGTCTGTAACTTCAATGGAGTGAAGACAAATTTCCATGTAAGTGCCAGCGCCCAAGCATCTGGAGCCATAGCCACACGGAGCTGCCATCCATCCATTAAGCTCGTGTGGGGCTGGCACAAGGTGGGGTTGCCGTTGGATCATCGATTCTATTACCATCAAGAACAACAAGGTATAGACAGCTAGAATCTAGGTAGAAGTCCTCATAAATAGCAGAGAGTGCATCGACTCTTTAGCAAACACTTTCGCAAGACGAAAGCCGCAACACCGAGCCACGGCCGAGAATGGGATGGCATTCACATGATCCCGTGCAGACCAGTCCCGTCCCGATTCCAATGATCGTCCAACGCGGGGAACTCCTGTCAAATCGCATCGTGTGTCCACTTTTCACTCCCTTACCGTAGGCATGGCATGGCATGGTGTTGGCAGTTCACGACCGTCTGATCTTCCAATCTGTCCAGCTACATACATACGCGAAGCTAGCTTGCCCTGCCCCTCTTTCACTTTCACCAAAGGTACCACTGGCTACCTTACCACTACCAGTAACCAGAGTTCAGACAAGGTTGAGCTAGCAGCTCAGCTCAGCCCGTTACAGAGGGTAACACAGACAACCTTCCTTTGACAAGGTCCGCACGAGCCACCTGCCTTTCATTTCGTTTCTTCTGACCTTACCTACACCGTCTTCCTCTCTTACATCCATCTCATCTCTCCTCTCCTTTCACCTCCCTTGACCCAGGCCCTTTGTCACGTTGTGAATACTAGGTCCCTAGCGCTACGTCTACGTCACCACCGGTCTAGACGGGACTTACCGGTACCGTACCGCTGCCCACCTGGAGACCGACGCTTCCCGTCGGGACTGAGAGTAAGAGGGTCGGCACTGGCTCAGGCTGAGCATCTGATCCATACTTCTGCAGCGTCCGCTGGATATGGCCTGACCGAGCTGGCGACGAAAACCGACATTGCGACCCGGTCGCGGTTCTCTCACCGTGAATAAATAAGTGATCAGACCCGCCCGAGAATACTGCGACGAAAGCACCACTGCAGCAAGAACCAAAACATTGAGAAAGCGACCGTTGCTGTGACCCCCGCACCGCACCGCAACGCAACCCAGCCCCTCAACGACAATCTACTTAGACAAGGCAAGGCATGGGGGATCACCACCACCACCAGCCGCGCGAGAACGAAGGGAACTTCAAACTGAACAAGGTTCATATGAGCATTGCGCTAGGTATTGGGCTAGGACTCGTTGGTTTGGTCGTCATGTGTTTGATGTACGTTCTATCCTCCCCGCCCCAACTCATCTACATCTACCCAGGCCTACGCCTCGGCGCAGTCTACACGCGTGCTAATAAGCAGTGCCAGATTCACCGTCTACTTCAACCGCCGCGAGCGCCGGCCGGAGAGCAAGAAATCCCGCAAGAAGGACTCGTCCGATAAACTGCGCAAGCTCGACGCCGTTTCGCCGACCAGGACGCTCGAGGAGTGGTGGTCCAAAGCCCACGGGCCTCCTCTTCCGTCTGATTGTCCGGATAACCAGTTTATATGGTATGCTTAGCCAGACCAAACTGCCAGGGCAGTTTCACCTCGCCGTAATCTCGTTAACTTGTTTCGCAATCGCAGCGTCGTATGCCTCGAGCCCGTCCTCCGCTCACAGGAGATCCGCGAACTGAAATGCCTGCACGTCTTCCACCGGGAATGTCTGGATAAATGGTATCTCCAGGACCATTACAACTGCCCGCTCTGTCATAGGGCGTACTTTTACCAGGAGTCCCGCCCGACGAACGATTTCGTGTGGATGGTATGATTGCGATGATGATGACGATGGAATGACCCATAGATGTGATGATGATTTATCTGCTGTGATATCCCTCTTTCGTTTATACATTCAAATCAACGCGCCATCTTTGCAGGTTTCGCTTCGTGAACAAATGTCTTCTCTCTTTTCAGCTCGTTGTGTCGAACGCATGTTCGCTCGAAGGTGGACAATCGCGTATTGAATCGCGAGGCCGAGTCGCGTCTGCTAAGATCGAAAGCTCAGCTCGCGCGCGCGAACGTACCTAAAGCAAGAATCCATCCTTCACCGGGAACTCGAATGGATCGAACTCGATGCTATCCGGGTTATACCAATTCAGCAGACTGTACAGCCCCGCCGCATCATGATCCGGATAGCCGCCGCCAGCATTGCCATCCAGAAAGCCCTGTACAGGCTGCGGGTCCGGCTTGGGGTCCAGTATCTGGTCGAGGATATCGGACAGCTTCTTCTCAACTGCCTTGCACGTGCGATAATTGCCTTGACCCGGCGTCGCGACCCAAGAAAGGCACGAAACGAACACGCTCAGGTTGCGGATTGTTTCGGGTCGGGGCGGCATTACGGGATGGGGACCCGGTTCTTGCGTTTGCCGGAGGAGTTCGAAGGCGAGCGTGCTGGCGCTGGGGAGGCCGTAGTAGAGGACCTGTTGCTGTCAGTGCTTTGTCTAGGCTCGGGATGGTTCGGAACATACAATCCACGAATGATGTCTACTTACATCAACCCCCGGATGTCGTTCGCCCGTGACTTCAAGGATTATGGCGAGGACTTCTCGGGAGGTGTTGAAGAGGGCTTCGTGGCCTGTATTCGTACGCTTGGCGACCATCCGCTGGACCAGGAAGACGGTATAGAGGTAGTCGAGGTATATATGGCGGCGCGCGAACGTGATATTCGGTGGCTCGGGATTCCCTTCATTATGGACGTATTGATCGTGTCGTAGATATACGGGACAAGATTGCCATAGATTCTGCGCTGCTTGGATCAACTCACTGCGGAGAATTAGCAACTTCTACTGACGCAAATAACAAGTGAGACACACTTATACTTCCTCAAGATCGCCTCATCGTCAAACGTCCCCAACGCTATCTCAAGCGCCTGCTCCCTGAGCACCGCAACATGAAACCTCAGCCGCAACATACTTCCCCGCAGCGTATTCCCCTTCATATTCCACCCGTCCCCATTAATATTCGCCATCGCCTGACTCAGCTGCTCGCCGCCCGCAATCAGGTCTTCATCCCTGATATCCAGCGGCGCGGAAATCGAGCAGTAGCGGTAGTTGATGAAGGGCGGTCTCCCGACGAACGTGGACAGCGATTTATCGGCGTAGAAGGCAGCCGCAAAACTTATCTTGCGCCATTGGTGCAGGAAGGGCGGGCAGTTTGCGCCGCGTGTGTTTTCTTGGTGCAGACCTGCGGCGTAGATTGTTGCTGTGAGGTTGCCGAGTTTGCGCCAGGCGGCGTAGCCTGAACGTTTCCTGTCGTTAGTTGAGATGGTTAGGAAATGGGTGACGACGTACTTGTGTCCCCGTAGTACTGCGTCCTCAGCAGCATGTCGTTATACTGGTAGAACCCCAGCAGTTCGTTCACCGATGCCGCAGTCGCGCAGAACAAAAGACAGGTCCTGCTCGCTTCGACGAGCTGCGTGCGCAGCATCTCCGCGCCCTGGGGTTCGGGCGCGGCTTTTTGAACATCGGGGTCGCTGTCGGCAGTCGACATCATGGCGATCCCTGCGGTGGCCAAGACAAGGCCCACGACCTCCCAGCGAAGATTCGCATCCGTGAACGACGCAAAGTACTCGTCGACGGTCATGGATGCATGAGATGTCAGCGGATGCGCCGATGCCTGGAAGATCCGCTGGACGAGATCGCGGAGGTGCTTCTCTGTATCTTTCGCGCGGTCGAGTTCGTCAAAGATCCGCCGTATAGACTGGAGGATTGCTTCGATGATGAGAACCGAGACAGCAGCCATCAGGTGGCCAGCGTAGAACTTCCGGATCAGGGTTTCGCAGACTGGGTGGCGGTAGAGGAACCGGATCACTTCCAGGCCGGATTCCAACCGGTAATGGTCCGTTGATTTCGAGAATACCCCGTCGGGTGCGCAGGTGCCTTCTTCGAAGGAGATATCTGTGCGGTGCTCGCTGAAGACGGCTGAGAAGCTTGTTGAGCCGAGATACCCTGGTGTTGTGGAGGGTCGTTGTTGTTCTGGTTGACGGAGGCCATACTGCACCGTGGGTGTAGATGCAGACGCAGATGGCGGCGCAGCAGTTGACGCAGGGCTGGGCGTGCTAAAAGGCCAGTAAGCATATTATCTTGTACAGAAAGGCGCCGGACATACTGCGAAGACTCCGTCCTCGCCCTCTTAGCTGGACGAGACTGGGCCTGAGCCTGAGCCTGCGAGGCATCCTTGGTCATGGGCGCAGGATGATAGAAGCATCTCTGCGTAATACTCTTGGCGATGCATCTCCCACATACAGGCCGTCCGTGGTCACATTTGAGTTTCGACTTGCGGCATGGCTCACAGGACTGGAGCAGGCCATTTCGGCGCATTGCCGGTGCTGGGTCCGTCATTCTCTTACATCCACGGTTGTCACGTCGCTGCGCTATGAACTGACGCCAGTAACAAAGAGGGACATCTTGTCTTCAAATATAATATGCCAGTAAGGGAACGGTGAGAGTGGTCCTGGGAAGCTGAGGACTTGGAGATGCCAATCTCGGCAAAGGGCCCGAGTCTAACCCAATCGGTCAAAGTTGACTCTGTTCCCGTGATCGTGATGGCCTCGATCATCTCGCGAAAGCCCGGGCGGATACATTGGACAGGCACTTCAGGATCCGAGATTGGCCTGACTATAAATCAGAATTTAAAAAAACATTCAGAACCTTTCAGCGGCAGTGAAATCAATCAGCCTCTAAAAGAGTGCACTTACGAAATCAAACTACCCCTTAAAAGATCAGTAAAGTAGAAAGACGGATATCATGACCTCGTGTCTATGCTACCTATGCCTGGAATAGGATGCTTGAAGAAAGGGCATCAATGTTGAAAGACAAAACATAAGTACAACAGGTTCAAGAACCAAACGCCGGTGTCCAAGCAGCCAGCCCAATACTCCGAAAACGACGAAAACAGCAAGAACGCCCAAACTAATCAAAGGAGATAGTCAAAAGGCAAAACCAGTAACCAGAAACGAGAAGATAGGTTATATAGAGGCAACGGTTAACGAAGCAAACAATGCAAAGCAAGATTAATCACCACCCGCGGACAATAGCGCGGCGAGATGAGCAAGGCAAGAAAGGATATGGAACAGTTGAAGGTGGATAACGGACGAAAGGAGGATGTATGTGCCAGATCATGCCTGAGCCTTGACTCGCACAGGGCTGCCGGAACTTCCAATCCGTCCACTGGGTTTCCGGATGGATTTGGACTCCCCGGTGGTTCGGCGGGAGCTGGACCGGACCCTGCTCACGGAAACAGAGCCCGAAGTCTTGCTCGTGACCGGCGTCTTGGGTACTTGTGCGCCAGCTTCCCAGTTCTCCCTGTCTTCATGGATATCTTCGTTCAGGGTATAGCTCGCAGTCACTGTTCCGGAGTAGCTAATAGAGCGCTGGCCGGACGATGCCACCGGTGACTTTGATGAACGCTGCTTTGCGAGCATCCGCAGTTGTGCCTCTTCTTCACTCTCACTGCTGTCCGTGCTGCGTCTGGCCTTTCTCGCTTCTTTATCCACAACGAGGCTGCCTGATACTGTGCGAGAGTAAGGATGATGCCGTGAGTCTTTCCTGTGCGACTTGCGGGGCTGTCCTGGTGTAGGCGCCGGTAGGTTGTCATCGTAAACAGGGGTGGCTTCGTTGTTGTCAATCTCACCCAGCGCAGATCGTTTCGATTGGCCGTTGTTTGGTGGCGTGGCGACCGGGGCGGACCGTTGCTTCGCGGGTGACCGGCCAGGGGTAACCGGGTTCGGCTGCATCTGAGCGAGCTTCTCCTTCATGCAGTCCTCAAACCACCACTCCCGGAAAGATCCCTGGTTGAGGTGGAGCCAGTGCTGTTGTGGGCCAACAACCATTCCAGGACGCATAAATCGCATGAAAGCAATAACCTCGTTCGCTGTAAACCCATATCGGTAGATCAGGTAAGCACCGATTAAGCAGCCTGTACGTCCGAGACCAGCCTTGCAGTGGACAGCGATGGCTTTGTGTCGGACGTTGATCATATCATGGGCCATCTTGATGAATTTCTTGACCAGCGGGAGCGGAGGGCAGGTACCATCCTCGAAGATCATGTCGATGTGTGAAATACCGAGCGCAGTGAAGTATGACGGTGAGTACAGCTCGGAGTTCAGTCGCACAACGAGTCCGACACCACGAGTTGAGAAATGTTCCAGAACGTTTTTGAAAGGAAGAGGAAGCTTGGATGATCGGACTTCTGAGACGGTCGAAGGTAGGGCGGCGTATTCTGGGGTATCGCGGGGGACGGGAGCAACCGGTTGGTGCTGTGGCGAAGCGAAAGCGAGGAAGTCAGGGCTGATCCAGTTGAAGTCTCCCATATCAACCCTTTCGAACTTCTCATACCTAAACGTTTATCAGCACCCCGCCATGTAAGTTCAGGGGTATAGATCCGCAACATACTCTTCGAGACTGAAATCTCTCAATCCGCACACTCCCTGCTCCTTGGCTTTCCAGACGCCGTACACCACATCCTGGATGTTGAGAATAAAGTCCGCCTGGCTGTATCCAGCGTCGCGGAACGGCATGTATGGAGGGTCTGCCTGCGCAATCGGAGCGAGCGCCAGATGCGGCGGCCATGACTGGATCAGGACCATGTAGCAAGCAACCAGACAGGCAGCGTTCGCGCGGCTTCGAGCATCCGTTCGGGAGTAGAAAACAATGGCGCGATCATTGTTCGCAGCGAGGAGGTCATGGAAATGAACGGCGAAGCGGTAGAGATGACCGATGTGGAGCGGGCCGAAGTCCGCATGGAACGAGTTGTACAGGAGGGTATCATCGACCGTGAAGTAGACAGGGCTGCGCTTCTTGCTCTGTGTAGCTGCCTGTGCTCGTCGCTTGCTGGGAGACTTCGGCGCTTCGGTAGGGTAGGGAAAGGCACTTTTCGCATCGGGGGCATGATCGTAGGAGGCGAGGTATAGCTTGTCTGAAGTACCGGGTTAGAAGTGCCAACAGACGTTTGCGGCAGAGTTAGCACGAACCCTGAATGTACTCAATGACCTGGCCGGAGCCAGCAGTTGATACAGTCATCGTAAAGTGAGGTGATGGCCACTAAGTGATACTGCCAAACAATAACAGCGGAAGAGTTGAATGTGAGAGGATAGAAGAAGAGAGGACCGTCGTAGAAACAATGTCTTCTTGTTTGGAGCAATGAAGAACTCCTGGTCGACTGAGATTGTTTCAAAACAGTGACCTAAACATTCATGGCCTGTCGATACCAAAACAGAGATGGCGTATAATAGAGGACGCGGTCGAGTGGGTGAGGTAAAGATAGGAACTGCGATGTTCCAGAGAGAGGCGGATATGAAATAAGTGGGATATGGAGAGATCGTAGAAGGTTGAGGAGGGGAGAGGTCGGGGTAGAAATGAAGCAGAAAAAGATGGCCGCACGAGACGATCTCGAGGCCGACGACAGGCCGAGCACGCTTGGAAGCCACTATGTTATGTTATGGTGGGCCAGAAGCAGTTTAGCGCCGGCGGTTGACAGGACAACATTTGGGGTGGTGCCTGAATGTGCCTGAGGCTTGTGCGACCATCATAACAATTATGTAAGCGGTCTCCTCCACAACAACAAACGCCCCCTCATCATTCTCCCGTGTCTTACGCCTTGGCCGTTTATTTGTTTTGATCATATATGAAACTCCATCATTGCGTAAGCTTCATTAAATATCTAACATGCCAGCCCTGTTGGTCAGGCACAAAGCTTCTGAGGCTACGAGTAGACCTACATGGAACCCTGCGCTGCCCCGCGTGACCCTTGAGCGATGGCCATCTCAACCCCGACGGAACCGAGTCGATCCTCAACGATCGAATACCATTACTCGATGTTGTTGAAGAAGAACTGCTCCCAGAGCCCCGTTCCGTCAGGAAGGTCATTTCCATTCAGCGTCCCGGTGATGTTCCCGGTGAATCGTTGGTAGTACCGACCGTCCATCAAGACAATATATATATATTGTGCCTCCAACTCCAGTTGTCCTTCGGGAAGTGTGGCATTGATCCTAAAACCTGTCGCTGGCTCGAGTGACGAAGTCGGCGGATATGTTGAGTTATCTCCGTATGGTCTCACTTCAATAGCACCAGGCTCGCAGCTTGTTGTCAAGATGTCGCCATTCTTGGAGACGTACGCCGAAACCACCTCATCGCCGTTCGGAGTCAACGAGTCATACCAGACGATGTTGTATTCTCCCAGTGTGCCATGACCCCAGTGGGACACGGCGAGGGCGTTTTGAAACGGTTCGCTGCCGAAGTTCTACACAGACCGGGCAGTTAGTAAATGCAAGAAACAAACAGGTGATGAACACTTGCCTTGTCGTGGTAGCCTCGACCATTGAACCTGAGCTTTTCGCCCCGGATCGTGAAATCGGCAAAAGCAGGTCCACCTGGAATCGCGTTTGCCCAGCCTGCGCCAGGGGCCAAGTGCAGGTTTTGACCCTCCTCAGCTGGACCGCAAGCATAGTGCGGCGGTGCGTCCTGATCTCTTGCGTAAGCAGGGCCGTATAATAGGTATGGATGGAGTACTATGGCGATACTTACTGATCTTATGTACAAGGTACCATTAATCTCATGCTCCGGCACATTGATGTGCACCACATAAGCCGACAAATCCTGAGTGCCCTTCCAGGAGCACCCAGTCCCGGTAAAATTACCGCTGGATCCATCTCCCTCGACAAAGATGATCGCGTCTCCAGCCGGCAGGTCGATTGGAAGGTCAATGGTGCCGTTCGGCCAAGCGAGGGTTATCTGGACCATATTGCCGCTCGGAAGACCATTGGGAAACTGTCCGGTCAAAACTTCAAATGAATCCGAGCCGAGAGTATAAAAGGTGAAAGCGACATGCGCCTGAGCCTGCGAGCCGTCGTCTCCCTGAACCGGCTGTTGGACAGCGTCAAAATACCACCAGTCATATGTGGTCGCGTTCACGGGGTGAACCTTGGGTGCGTCGAAGCCTTCGCGGCCAGAAGTATACTGGACAACTGAAGTGGCATTTTCGTTACGGTGAGCGGGGATCACGATCTGTTGGATATGGGGTTGAGACCGAGAAACGGCACGGCTGGCGAGAAGCGCCATTGCTGAGAGCTGAAGTAATCTGAGAGCCATTGTGCTGCACTGCAGTCTCGGTGGTTGGACAAACGTATGAGATTTCTTCTCGTACAGCATGGGGCAATCTCGCAGCGAGTATTTATGCCACCGTTAAACTTGCTATCTGACATCATGGTCTGGGAGCTGTTCGGCCTCACACACTACTCACGGAGCACGGAGTAAATATCTCTTCCTCGGTGAGTATGCTGTTCCATGACAAAAACAACGTTCGTTTGATGTAGGCGGGAAACTCCGGATTGTCCGCTGTCGAGGTCTTTCCTGCATTATGGTGCGGGGAAGTGATGCTGAGAACAAGCAAAAGAATACCGCTGACAGGTCGATAGTGTAAGATATCGGACGTGCTACTACTCGGCTGGGGATGTCGTCACATCATCACGTTGGTCCATCTCATATCGGCGGATTATATGAGTGAGATCACGATGCTTGCTTATTCCGGTTCTTGGAAGACCGATACCTAGCGGCATTATCCGATGTCAGGACCCAGATCCACTAACGCCCTAGGATTAGTGATAATCAACCACGTTTCTTTTGTCGCACGGCTACATGAAGAGGACTCACTGGGTTCTAGAGTAAACAGTAGGCGAGGACCTTGCTCGCAACCATGACATCGAGTACGTATAAGCAGAGGGGAAGTATCAAGAGGACCGACAAGCGATTTACATCTTGCTGAAGCCATCAGAATCTGACTTTCAAGTGCAAAAGAAGTCTCATACTCTCAGTCAGCACATCAATAACGGGGCGTCTCACCTCCGCCCACCCAAGCCTCCTTGCCCTATGTCATTGAGAACTATCGAGTGTCGGCTCGAGCTCCACCGGCATGCCTTATCCTCGTCGTCCAAAATGAGCAAGAGACTATCGAACAGCAACAGTTTAAGACCGGAGTACGTCGGCTTGTTTGCCGCTCATTCGCGCACGATGCAAGCTAAGTGCCCTCCCGCTGGGACATCGACACCCTTTTCCGTTGCTCCCGTGATAAGCTTTCCGAGGTACGCTTTCCGAATTATCTCTTTGCACTCTGGCGTCTCTATTGGCGGTGGACTAACGATTAATCTTATCAAGCATGGCCGTGGCATGGCCACCCACTGGTCTCGTCTTGTAGGCGTTTGACTAGCATTCCAACTTTGCGATGATAGCACACTATCTGCCTAACAATGGACAAAACAATACGCAGTTTCTGCTATATCTGCAGTCCGAAATTGGCTTGGCCGTGAGAGTACTTAAGCTAGGACGCTGCGAGCGCTGAGATGCCCACCTGCATCGGACAGTCAAAAACGAAACCCCAGTTCACATTGTTGCGCCGGACATGGGGATTACACCGCATAATGGCCGATTATGATTTCGAGCCCGCCGCAAATGTTCTTGGACTTGACAAGGTGCGATAGCCGCGATGATGTTCCTGGTAATTCGTACGTCGCTTCTTGTTCAATTTGGGCGGGGAGCCTCTAGTGGACCGGAAGTCGGGCTACCAAGCGCGACTCGATCAAGGCAAGGGACAGTGCTGCCCCCGCAATATCCCCCGCACCACGTCCCCTTAGGTATTCCAGCAGCAATAAGGTGCACTTCGGATGGATCTGTATCTCCCGCCCGAGTTCAATTCTGAAGCGTTGAAGGCTTCGATGACCTCCCGTTTCTTGCATTTCCTACTCTCATGCCCATGCACCGATTAGTCTATTAATGGGATATCCAGTACTCTGAGGCGACCTGCTCGTCGTCCTCAATAGAAGCTCGTTGACCAAGCTTGGGCCTCAATCTGTGCGACAAGTGACCGAGTCGTGACACATCTCAAATTGCCCCTTATATTTCCCATCCCCAACGATTCGGGGTCACTCCTCCATATTTTAAGGAGAAACAATGAGGCGGGTTGTATGACGCATCCTGATTCAGCCTCTGTGGCCCTCCAACTGCATACCCCTAAGCTTTGTAAACGAGAGCCTCTTCAGCGGCGGATTGCAATTTCAGATCTCGAGCGTTTGCGGCGAAGCCGCGAGGGGTCTAAAGTCTGACTGCCAATTCTTGGCCGCAAAATGGTCGGACAGACCAGTTCGAGGGACGTCGACTGAGGAGCGTCTCGGAGAATATGTAGCAGTCAAGGGTCTAGCGTTCAGCCTAGCACCCCGATGCCTCCATGACTGGCACTTTCCTAACTTGAAGGAGAGATGTTCACGGGCAGAAGGTGTTTCAGCATCGGTCTTTCCAAGGTTCTTCTTCTAGGTTCCGGATGCTCGATCGCTCGAGAAATCTTCGCAGTTGCCAGCATGGCTGAATTTACTTGCCAAGCCCTCTGCGCTGGTGTCGTGCTGGTGTCGTGCAGACTATGCTGTCCGATGCAAACAAATCGTAACGATCCACCGCCGAAAGTCCCAACCAAGCAATTGTGAGATTGTGCCAGTCGCATCTGTTGTGCTCCCAGGGTTGACGTGATCCCCGAGACTCAGGAGTTGGACAGCCATGGCGTGGTAATTTCCTCGCATTGACTCTCGACTGGATTCCTTCTCCCTTCTTCTCTTCGGACTGTCCGATACCAAATCCCTCACTATCTCGATGCTGCCACCATGCCAACTCCTGCTCAAGCGACGCTTGTGTCAAATCTGTACGAAGACCGCGGTCCGCTAGTTCGCATCCACTTTATCCTGATGATGGCTGCTCCGGTAGTGGCCACGGCCTTGCGATTCTGGTCGCGCGCTCTCATGCCTGATGCCGGACCGGGGAGAAGAAAGATCGGACGATTCTGGTGGGACGACTGGACAGTGCTCCTGGCTACAGTCAGCTTCCCTTCTTGTTCTCGCCGTGGCTGGTTTAACCATTACAGCTCTTCAACATCGCTGTCTGCACCCTCGCCATCCAGATGGTTGGTGTCGGACTAGGCCGTCACGCTGTTTTGTTGCCGCAAGAAAATCTCGCGTTATTCCACATATTTCTTTGGGCCGCCTATATCGTTTTCATAATAGGTGCAACAATAGCGAAGGCTTCAGCCTTGCTATTCTACGCCAGGGTATTCACCCAGACACACTCGCGCCTCCGCTATTGCCTCTGGACACTCCACGCACTCAACGTGGCTTGGCTCTTGGGCACCCTCTTCGCGGTGGTATTTATGTGCCTCCCGGTTTCTAAAGTGTGGCATCGCGATATACCAGGTCATTGTCGAAGTCCGAGCGCCATCTGGCTGGGTAGCGGAATATCCGGCGTGTTTATCGATGTGCTTATCCTGGTGCTGCCCATACCCATTGTCTGGGGACTGCAGATGAAGCCTTGTCGCAAGTTTCTTGCTGTGCTAGTCATCATTCTTGGGCATCTGTGGGTTATCTTCAGTTTCGAGTGATAGAGCTGACGTCTTCAGGGTGGTGGTTGTTTCAATCGGTCGTTTGGCGTCAGTTGCCGAAACGGCGGAGAACCTCGCATTGGACCCTACCTGTATGTCGACACTGCTTTTCTTTGTCTCAATGTTAACCTCTGCCAGACAAATCCGTCACACCGATCTTCTGGCATGGCTCCGAGATCCCGATCGCCGTCATCAACGTCAGCCTTCCCAGCATATTCCTCCTAGTCCGTCGAGCATTCGCCCACGGAGTACCGTCGGTATTTACTGTCAAGCATTTCCCTTCTTCGGCGCGGGTGAATGACAGCCAACTCGAACGCGCCGATCTGCGGCCATCCGGATCAGGAAGTTCAATACAGCTTATGACCGCCCGACCGATCTATACACATAAACTGACAAAGTCCTTGACCTCGCACAGCGGATTCACCGAGTCGATCACAGCTTTACCACAGATTCCAGAAGAGTCGGTGGGGCAGCAGACTCCGGCACTTACGCCAGAGCATGGTTCAACTACCTCAATATCGTCCACCTTGCCCCATATTCCCGAAGAGCCACCCCAGCTTACGCTTGGATATCCATCTACTAGTTCTATCTCATCAGCGCCGCCGCAACTCGAAGAGACACAAGGACGGCGGACGCCTCAGCTTACCCTGGAGGTTGGCTCGCCGAGTCCGATTCCATGGGGCCGGGCCACTGAAGCTAGACTTTCGGAGCTGAGTAATGTATAACACTTGTCTATAGCTGCTAATATATATTGTATGACAAAAGTACTCCTGGACCAATGTCTATGTCGCACGAAAATGAAGCCAACAGCTTGAAGCTGCAGGTTCTTCCAGGTTCGCGTGCAACTGTGATGCTGAACAAATAAGATGCGGTCTTTGCGTTGTACGATGCCCGATGCGCAGATTGCTATCTGGCCCAGAGAGCCCGCTTTACCTATTATAGAGTCTCCACTATCTATGTCTCCCCTGGACTTAACAGATCACCTGCTGGAGATTTGTTCAATTTACTATTCAAGATACCATCAGCCAAGCCGGAGGCGACCAGAGAAAGAGATGGGTAACAATCAATTGGTTACGACAGATGAGCTGGTCTGGTATCTGCATCAGGGGTCGAGAGCCAACTTTTAGATGGAACCGGGCCGAGGGAATCATGGCTTGGGGCCTTTGGGCATGGCAAAATGCGGGGTAGCCCTATTCCCCAGTTTTACCCCGCGCCGATCCTCTTACCATTCAGCACTGATGGAACAAAGTAGGTAGCCCGAGTCCCAGCCTCACTTCTATAATTGATCAACTCTGCCAAGGAGATACTACAGGGGCTAGCCATAGGCTATTGATAGAGTCTAGGATCGTGCAGGATCAATAGCATTGCATGATCGGGCATTTCCGAACGAGCTAAGAGGTATAGGTTTGCTTAGCCTCGATTAAGCCATGCATCTACAGTCGCCTATCAGTTTATGCCTCTATCTTCTTGGTATTGGCTTTGTCCGCAACCAATAGCCTGGCCAGATTGCGGGGCGATCAACCAAGAGTTACCTTCTTGTGCTGTGGACCCTGATCAAGGCCCATACAGGCTCTTCCGCACTTTCCGCTATTCACGCCCAGGCAATAGTGCCCACCCATTGTACGTGGCTTCCTCGGTCGGATGGGATGATGAGGGGTTAGGGGTTAAGCCGGGGAACAGAAAGGTATTTAGACGCCCCAAGACCCCTTTTTCTTCTTCCCAGCAATACCATACTCCTCATCATACAACTACCACCACAATGACCTCAACCGAACACCCCACCCTCCCAGACTACGACTCCCTCCCCCCAGTCCCCAACATGCCGCGCGGCTGCGCCTGGGGCATCTTCGACAAAAACGGCGTGAAAGACCACCTAGGCTGCCTGAACCTCCTCACGCCCTCCGTGGTCCAGTCCGCCCTATCCGAAGCCACCACCGGCCAATCCATCAGCCTCAACTGGCCCCTCAACGCAATCCACAAGCCGGGCTTCGCGCGCGCAGGCCTAAAGCACACTGTCTCCTCGTTCCAAGATACACCCTTTGCCCTGCATGGTTTCGACGACGAGGTCAGCTTCAACACGCAGTGCTCGAGCCAGTGGGATAGCCTGGTGCATTTTGCGCATCAGCCGTCTGGGCTGAGTTATAATGGGGTGAGGCCGGATAAGAGCGTTCTCGAACAGCGGGGGACGCCTTTTTTCAAGAATGTTGAGCTGCCGACGCTCGATCACTGGCATACACGTGGTGGACTGGTGGGACGGGGCGTGCTGCTGGATTATAAGGCGTTTGCGGATGAGCGTGGGATTGAGTACTCGCCGTTCGAAACGCATAGGATTACGGTTGAGGCGCTTGAGGCCGTTGCGGCGTGGGAGGGTGTGCAGCTGCGACAGGGCGATATCTGCATTATCCGGTCTGGCTTCACGAAGGGGTTACAGGAGGCCGAGACGGCCGAGAAACAGGCAGAGTGCATGGGCAGTCATCGGAGTGTTGGGGTGGCTGGTGACGAAGAGACGGCGCGCTGGTTCTGGAATCAGCATTTTGCGGCGGTTGCCGGGGACGCGATTGCGTTTGAGTGTTTGCCGCCGACGAAGGAGGATGGGAGCGAGGGCGGTATTGGGGATTTGGTGCTGCATCAGTACTTCCTTGGATTGTTTGGGCTGAATATTGGCGAGTTGTGGGATCTCGAGGCACTGTCGGCGATGTGTAGGGAGAAGGGGAAGTACTCGTTTCTGTTGACGAGTTGTCCGCTCAATGTCCCGGGGAGTGTGGGGAGTCCGCCGAATGCGTTGGCGATCTTCTAGTTGTTTTCCTTACATGTAAATAAGACATCTTGCCCTCGTTGACGATGGTTTAGCCCTCGATCCAAACTAGTTGTACTGCTGTTGTTGGTTCTGGTGTCAGTGCATCGAGCAAGACCAAGATCAACGGTGTGGGTTAGGGTTAAAGACCATGCTAGCATGGATACGGCCGTGCAAGCGCCAATTACACGAAAAGCAACTATTCTCCCTCTAGAAGGATAGAGTAAGGAATATCACCCACTGCCATGAATGATGCTCCGGAAAATGGATTCCGCGGATTGGGACGTGACGGGTATAGAGGCCATTCGCCGACCTCCAGCACAACCCTAAATCTCATGACAATGCTCAATCGCACCGATCCCTCTGAGACCCAGAGTTCAGACCCTAGTTACACACATATTCACGCATTATGGATGCGATACAAGACGAAGAAGGATGGCGCTTCGTCGGCGCCCTCTCTTCCTTCCAAGACCTTAGCCATAGCCACCTTCACGATGGCACCTGCCGAGTTCTGACTGGATGCAAGACCTTCCGTATCCCCAGGCCAGAGCAGGACAAGCCAAGAACAAGTCAGTCCCGTTCGAGCCTGGACGAGCAGGTGCTTGTTTTCAAGTACAAGGGGTCCATGCACGCCATTGACAACGTGAGTGCCGTCATCTGCTTGCTTTACTACCTGCACTTCCAAGCTAAGCTAGGTTGGGTTATGCTCAAACAGAGATGCCCGCACTCCTCATTCCCACTTAAGCAGGGCACCGTCTTCGACATTGAGGATGCAGGTGCGGGGGTCAAGTGCTTCCGCCATGGCTGGACGTTTGATCTTCTTTCTGGACGGGCGGATCGTGGGAATGGGAGTATTAAGCTTGCGTTTTGGGATATTGAGCTCCGAGATCTCGGGCCGCTAAAGGCTGGGATCGCTATTGGGGTTGACGAGGGCGATAGTGATCAGGAGGATGGTGGCGTCGCTGATCAGGGAGTATGGGTCAGAAGGCAATCATAGCTAATTCTAACACTCAGCAGATTGGCCATTGGGGATCTTTCGTTCTAATTACATTCACGGTCTGTTGCATACCCTACTTGGGTATACGCGGATGGACTCGATGCCATGGCGATATTCCCAATGCAGAACCCAACCCTTCATCCTGGTTCAATATTTACATATAGGCTGGCGATCATTTCCCCTGTCCGCTAGTTACTGTGTATTTCTTGGTCCACGGTACTAAGTGATGGAAGTTTCGATGGGGAGAGCCCATGTAGAAACCGAGGAAGACTATGTACGGGCTATTTCTTGTAGGTATCTTCAGGGCCGTGAAAATAACAATTCCTTTTTACATGGCACAGCAGGGTTGCTTATAGTGCTCGGTATTCTTTGATGTCAGTGCAGCTGCATCAACCAATCCTCGCCATTTCAAGAATATCCCCATGATCAACCCCATGCGTATCCCCACTCTCCAAAATGACGTCCTCCACCCACTCCCCTCTGGGCCTCATCGCCGCCCGAAACGGCTTGGGAAGTGTAACGAAGCCCTCCGTACAATCCATATCGTCAACCTTATGCCTTTCACCTGAACGCTCGTCAACAACACCAGCCTCGACCTCAAACGCCCACAGCATCCGCGCCATCTGGATGAACAGCTGATTCCGCGCAATGAGACGCCCCGTGCAGACTCTGCGTCCGAAACCAAAACCCGTCTGCGGGAGGTCTTTAAGCGCTGAGGTGTTCATCCCGCAGACGTCAATTGTGCCGTTTATATCGGAAGAAGGTGAAGTGGGATTGGCAAGCCAGCGCTCGGGTATAAAGTCATCGACGTCTTCACCAAATACGGACTCGTCGCGCGTGATCGCGAACGCGTTGCCCAGAACGATCGAGTTTGCAGGGATGTGGTAGCCCATGTACGTGTCCTCGGTCTTGGTGAAATGTGGGACGCCGCCGACAACAACGGGGCGCCAGCGGAGGGTTTCGCTCGCGATTGCGTCGATGTATGCGAGCTTGGGGCGGTCTTTGAAAGTAGGGAGGCGGTTTCTCCCGACGACTTCATCAAGTAGTTTTTGGGCTTTGAGGACCCAGCCCAGGCGCACTCCGGATGTAATCCATGCAACGATGAACCAGTCCAGTGCAACAGTTGAGGTATCAAGTCCGGCGTCTGCGAGGATGCCCAAATCAAATGCCAGCTCTTCAGTGGACATATCGTTGCTCTCAGGCGACGCTTTCATAGCCTTCGCGAAGTTCCATCCCTTGGACACGTTCAACCCCTTCTCCAGATTTCCCACATGCAGCTGTCGTTCAAGCTCGTAGAGCTCCTCACCTTCTTTCTTCCACGGCGCCAACAACTTGGGAAGATAGTTGAGGAATGGAAAGGAATCGACAATATAAGCGCCGACCTGGCCCGTCCTTGCAAACTCCGCCTGCACTTTCTTCCCGTCGAGAAGAGCCTTCTCATGCCCTGTCTTCAGTCTGTACCCGTAATTCAGGCAATAAATTGTACTCGCCATCGCGCGCTCATGATGGTGATGAAAGTCCACGCCCTTCTCACCGAACTCGTTCCAATCCCAAAGCACATCAAAAAGTAACTGCCGCGACTCGATATCCTGCAATGGACGATACCCGCTTGCCGCCTTCAACGTAAGCAGCGGCGCCTCCATGCGCTGATGCAGTCTATACCGCTCGTTATACGGCCGGAGAAGCATGTGCATATTTTTAGTGACCAGTTCGCCGGCCATGACCATGCGCGGGCGGTCGGAGTAACGCGAGCTCCGCTTATTAAGGAGGTCGTGGGCTGCTTGATGGGTCGAAAGAATGATAAGTGGTTTCCCGCCCATGCTGAGGTGCATGATGGGTCCATATTTCTTGCTCCAGTGGTAGAGATGTAGCCATTGTAGCGACTTGGGGAGTTGGTGGATGTTGCCGATCAATGGGAGAGGCTTTGGCCCTGGTGGGAGGGGGGATGAGGGACGCCGCGAGAGAAAAATGAGGAGTCGAGCAATGAGAAGACTGGAGAAGATAAAGAGAAGTGTAGTGAGAGGCGGCATTGTGGCTGTCCGCGCAAGAAAAAAGCTGCGGAAACCGTCCTTATCGTTTTTAGTCTCTAGCTGGATGTTCGAGAATTTATACCACCTTGGTAACAGGTAAACCCTAAGGCAGGAGAGTGGATAGCACGGGTCGCATTGCAACCGTTCATATCAAACAGCTCGAGCCAGTCCCCGTCTTGCTAGACTTGGTAGGTCGAGCTCTCGCAGGATTTCCGCCGGTAAGTGGACACTCCAGCTGTCAACGGAATTTGCAATGTTGTCATTGGGCAGGCCGTGGAGCGTAACGCATCTTCGGCTGTGCTATTTTGTTAGTGTATATGCCGAGTCACTAGGGAGTAACTAGTTTATGAGCATTGTATTGTTGGAGTAAATTCGCGGTGCCGTGGGTCTCATTGCCGTTATCTGTCTTAGTATCCGGCCCGAACCCTAAACGCCCACGCTGTACAATGGCGGCTAGCGTAGATGCCCATGGAAAGCCTGAATAAAATGGCAACTTGTGTAGTTTCGGGGTGGAAGTGCGAGGGAGGCAAAGTGGCCCAACTCGACAAACACATCTCGGTCAAGACGTACTTCAAGCCTCACGACTTCCTCTAGATATCGGTGTCAAACTCGGGGGAGGTAGAGGACGCAATCTTCCATTTTATTCCCTGATGCTAGATCCAGCGGCCCTCATAGGCGTATACTCCTCTTTCCGTGACTCTTGTCCAGGGACGGAGTCGTCAACTGCAGGCGTCGTTGCTGTCACCGGGGCCTCATTATCTAATAACGACGAAAAAGATGTTCTCATCCTCGACGAAGAAGAGAGCTGTACAGCTCGTGGGGTATTGACATTCGAAAGAAGCGGCGCATCCCGTAATTGGGACAGGTAATCCATGAGGAAGCCGTTTTGCTCTGATGCTGGGTCATTTATAGGCGGGATAGTGCTTTCATTCTCAAGCGGAGCAACCTCTGCCACGGTATTCAGGTTCAAACTTGAGTCGACTATCTCCTCCCAGCCGTCTTTCTCGGGAGACATATTGTAATTCGTATCGGCAAACGTGTCCGCCAGGTGCCAGCGACGATGATCGCCAGATCCACGGATCGACAGCATAGTTACAGGCCCGGGTTCCGGGGTGGACGTCGAAACCTGAAGTGAGGCCGACGGCATGGCTATAGTTGCTCGCGCTGCGGGCCTGCCTCTGCGTGTGTACCTGCAGCGCCCATGCAGGTAACGGTGATTGTGTTGGGTGCATCGTCGGCATCGCGGTTGGTCTCTGGAACAGCGAACTTTGACAGCTGTGCAGGGGTCGCAGGAGGGTTGGAGCTTTTGACACTTTTTGGCCATTTCGCCAACGCTCCGGGGTCTCGACGAAGGCTCTTCCTCTTCTTGTGTGGAGAGAAGAAGAAGATTATCCAGCTCAGCTCCAGCGGGGCTCCCAGTTTGGCGGCTGCCTTCCCAATCAAGAAGGTGCGGCTGAGTCATTCAGCGGCCATGTGACTTCCTTTGTTGTCCTCAGATGAAAACGATCTTCCTTACAAACTCCAGTGATTCCTATCAGGTCTGAGACCAGACATCCCTATTGCCATCGATTGGCTTTGGTCAGGATAGAACAAAAGCAATCTGCTTCTGTTGCACCCCACCATCATCGAAACTGCATTTGTGACTTCACACATTGGGGTCTCCTTGGCATGGCAAAACAAGCAAGTCAAAAAGCAACAATCTCCATCACCCTGGCTCCCCTTGCTCGCAGGTTCAAGTTTTTTCTTCTTCTCATTTTGAGAACCAGAGCACGGGATACAGAGGATCTAGTATCTTCATATTACGTGGCACTCACTCCCACCACCCTGAACCAACTGGGCAAATTTGAACCGTCACAATTGCTACCTAAGAACTTGATCAGATGCAGGAACCAAGAATCCTCATTCAAAATTGAGCGCACCTTGTGCCACGAACCCAGACCGTCGGTTCGCCGCTTACGCTGAGCTTAGCCTTGGGTCCCTCAAGAGTCGCGGCAGCATAGCCGACCCTTTATTCGGCGTCTGCCTTGTTTAGCCTCCAAGACTCCCCATGGTTTACTGACCATATGTGTTGTTCATGAATATAGCTTACTTCCGAGCCAGGACTTACTTAGCACCGGACTGGCTAAGGTGTTCTCCCCGCATATCGCCCCCTTACGAAGTATATACAATATCTCTGTTACTCCGTATTGAGGGCATATAAGGACCGAGGTGCACGCTTTGCTGGGGCGCACATCAACAGCTCTAGCCCCTTATGACATGGAATCCCTTTCCCGAAACCATGGTGCTATGTACCGGCTGATTGCAGACTGTGTGCGCAACAACTAGCCAGTATTATACCTCTCAACCCAAAATCGTCATTCAAGAGCCGAACCCCGGTTTAGCGGAGATCCGCTGAATAAACTAGGTACCGATCATTGGATACAATACCACCCCTAGCCCTAATTGATGGAGCCTAAGTCATGTCATATGGTGGCATCTGCTAACAATAACAGATTTCTTCCACATCCATCTAAACCCTCCTTCCAACAAAATGTACAGGACAAACTCCACCGCCATCCGCGAAGAACTAGATGAAACAGGCCAGCATACCTGGGGCTTCTTTATCTACCGCACCTGCTACTAAAATGACGATACCTAGTGGGGGGAATTCATGGAGCGCATGAAGGGATTCGCGCAGAGGGGGTTACTCGCTCGACGGGAAGGCCAGACCGACGGCCCAGGGTTGCTAGAACGGCTCGAGTGGAATGTGCAGCAGGACCCGGAGTTGGAGGGCTATTCAAAGGTCGAGATTTTTCGGTACGAGGCGTATCCATAGCATAAGAATCGTTGCTGCTTTGTCTAGACGGCATCGCGCCCTCGTGAACTCTCACGTCGGCTACAAACCGGGCAATGTGCAGCATTGCTTTCCCTTAATCGTGGACAAGGAGGCACTGGACTCTGTGGTGGACGGGACGCCGCCGAGCTGCTTGACATGAACTGGTTCAATGAAGAGCAACACACCGAGAGGGATTTTGCGGAGCCTGATGATGAGGGTGAGTATGGCTGGACTCAGGTCTTGGTTGCTAAGATCTATCCCTATCTTTACTCGTTGCTTAGTGGTGGGCTCTGGCATGCGGTGTATGCTAGGCCGCCTAGGGTGGCTTCCAAGTTGTTCAGCATGATCTCTGCTATTAAACTGGTTACTAATGGAGGCCACAGATAGGGCTAGGTGGAGTGGTTAGGTCGCGTAAGCCAGACCTTACTATATTAAGTAAGTAGTTATTAAATAACTTAAGCAAGCCCCTTTTATTAAATTTTTACCTAGTATATAACTTACCTTCCTACATATTTTTTTACTAGTTACTTAAAAAATTATTAAATAACTAGTTATTATATTAAATAACTAGTTACTATAATTAATAATTAATTATTATAATTAATAACTAGTTACCCCTAGCTATATATATAATAACTAGTTTAAAACTAGTTATTAGCTAACATACTAATTATAAATAAAACTAAAGCTTAAAATATAAATTATATTATAACTAGTTATACTATAACTAGTTATAATTTACTAAAATTAATTATTAATTAAATATAAGTATTAAATAAGTTAAAAATTATTATACTTAATTTATTTTTATACTAGCTTATTATTATATTTTAACTTTAAATATACTTTATTTTACTAAAATATTTTAAATTTAGTATAACAAGTCTTACCTATATTATTTTTATATAAGGTAACCTTAATATAAAATAATAAAGTAAATTAATAAAATATATAAGTTTTTTATTTAATTTTTAATTAAATATTAACTAGTTATAAATTTAATATAATATAATTTAATAATATAAAAATTAAATCCCTTACTTATATTTAAAGTAATAATATTACTATATTTAGTATAAATATTTAGGTATTTAGGCATGTATAAATATATATTTAAATTTTAAAAGTTTTTATTATTTTAAGGTTATTATTAAAAATTAAAAAATAATCTAGTAATATTAGCTTTTTATTAAGGTAATAAAAAATAAAAAATTAAAAAAAAAATTTATTATATAAGTATATATTTAGTTACTAACTAGTTTATAATTAATTATAATTAAAACCTTTAAGTTAGTTTAAAGCCTTTTTAAAAAAAAATAACTTATTAAAATAATTAACTTAATATATATTAGCCTAAAATAAATATTAAAAAAAATAGTATATACCCTTAATTAAATATTAACTAATTACTAACTAGTTATTAGTAAGGTATTAAGCATGCCTTATTTTTTATTTACTACCTTAATAAATTATATAAAACTAAAAATAAGTATTACTTTTAGTTTTTTATAGCTAAAATTAATTTTAATATTTTACTTTTAATATAAGTATATAATAATTTAAAAATTCTTAAGCCTTATTATTATAATATTTTTAAGAATTTAATATTTTAAAAGTAAAAATATAATAAGTTTTATTAAAATTAATTATTAATTAATTACTAACTAGTTAAATTTTTTATATAAAAATATACTTAATATTATATTATAACCTTGCTAGGTATTATTTAATATTATTATTTTTTTTAATTTAAATATATATTTATTTTTTTTATTTACCTTAATCAATAAACATGGCCATCCCCCTTTTTTTTAAATAAAATACTAGAAATTTACTTTTAAAAGGTTAAGTAAATTTTTTAAAATATTTAAAATTTAAATTTAATAGTTAGTAAGTAACTAGTTACCCTTTTATTATATTTAATTATTAACTAGTTATAGGTTTGTTTTAAAAAAGTCTAAAAGTTTAAAATTTTTATTAAAAATATAATAAAACCTAACTTGCTAAGATTTATTTTTTATTTATTAATTTAAATTAAATATATACCTTAATTTTTAAAAAATAGCTTTTAACATACCCTAGAAGTAAAAGTTTTAATAAGCTTTATTTTAAATAAGCTTAAAATACCTAGCTTTAGGTAAGTTACTTTTTAAACTAGTTTATAACTAGTTTATAACTAGTTTATAACTAGTTTATAACTAGTTAATATTTAAAACTAACTAAATATAAAATTATATTTATAAAATATACTATAATAATAATTTTTATATTATTATTTATAAATTAAAAAAGTAAATTTAACTTTTATAATTTTTAAAGTTATTTAAAATTAATATATTATATAAATATATATAAAATAATAACTTATATAAGGTTATTTTTATAATATTTTACAAGCTATATAAAAAGGGTAAGTTTATTAACTAGTTATAAACTAGTTACTAATATTTAATAACTAGTTATTATATTTTTTTAGGCTTTTATAAATTAAAAAAGTGCTAAGGCTTATAAACCCCTATTTATAAAGGTTTTTAAAATTATTATTAATATTTTAAAAAGCCCTGTTAAATTTTATTATTTTTATAAAAAAGAAATTAAAACCCTTGTTATTAATATAAATAATAAGTAAATAAAAAATATAATTTAACTAATTTATAACTAGTTATAATTTAGTTACTAACTAGTTTTATAAATTTTAATTAATACTTATTATTAATTAATTTATATTATTAGTATTATTAGTGGCACCTACTTTAATTAATTATTTTTTATTAAGTTTACTTTTTACAGGGAATTAAAAATATTATTAGCCCCTTTTAAAAAAGCTTTACTTTATATAAGCTTATGGCTAGCCTTATACATGCAACTAGTTCTTAATAATATTATTAAATACTAGCTAACTTATAAAGTAAGTAATATTTTTATATATTGTCAGGGCCAACGTTTTTCCATTCAACGTCACCGGAGCCAATCCACCGTTAGTCTAGAGTTAGCACCTAAGCTTTGGCCTTAGGCCGCCAAGGCTTGGCATACCTTACTATTATATTAAGCTATATAACTTAACTAGGTTATTAATATTTAAAATTTTAGTTACTAGTTAGGCAAGGCTAGGGTAGGCCCTAAGTATAGGTTAAAGTAAAAACCTATATATAAAGTATTTAAATTTATATTTACTTTTTAATTAAAAATAGCTTAAGCATAGCTTAAAAATTTATAAAAATAGCCTTAAAATTAGCCTTTTTTTTAAATTTTTAAGTAACTTTTTTAATATTATTTAATAGGGTTTAAAATACTTTATTTTTATTAATTAAATTTTTTTATTAATATTTTTATTATTAATAAAAATTTTTAAAACTTATTAATTTTATAATTAAAGTTACTTGCACCTATTACTTTTTAAACTTTTTTAATAATAATATTTTAAACTAGATTTTTAAAGGGTAAGCAAAGGTAGTTTATAGGTATTTTAGTTAAGGTTTTTAAAACCTAAACTTAAATAGCTAAAAAAATATTTTTTTTTTATTTATGCTTAAAAATTTTATTACTATTAAAAATAGTTAAAAAAAAACCTAACTTAAATAATTTAGTTTATTAGCTTAATAAAATACAAGGTAAAATATATTTTTATTTTATTATTTTATATTATTACTAAAACCTATTAATTTAGAATTTATTATAATTAAAAGTATTTTAAAAAAAAAAAGTAGCCTAAAACTATAACTTTTAGCTTATTTATTTTTTAACCTTAACATAACTAATATCGCGTCTTAAAATTAAAATATTTTTTAAAAAAAAATAAGGAAAAGTTGCCCCTATAATCTAAAGCTAAAATAATATTAAATTATTAATTTTTATATTAATTTTTTTATTAATTCCCGCGCTAAACTTCTTGTTAATATTTTTAATAAGCTTTAAAAAAAATTAATTTTAGTAATTTTTTTAAYTTTARTTTAAARTTAAGCTTAAATAACTTAAGTTATTATTTTAAAGCTATTTTACCTTTAAAACCTAGTACTAGTAAAGCTAGCTTTAAAAGGTTTAAAAGTTTTAAATATATATAAAAAAGGTATTAAAAAGCTATAAAAAATTATAACCTTTATTAAAAAAAAAGGCTTTTTAGGAGCTTAAAATTAAGTTTAAAAAGGTTAAAAAGTTTAAAAAAAAATATAATAAAATTTAAAATTTAGTTTAAAAATTTAAAAAATTGCTTTTATAGCACCCTTAAAAAATTTTAAATAAATAATAAAAAAATTATATTTATTATTTAAAACACTCCAAGAAATGCCTGTAATTATTAAAAAGGTTAAGTTAAATTTTAAAATAATAAGTAAACTTAAAAAAATTTTAAAAAATTTATATATATATATAAGTTAATTTAGTTATAAACTAGGGCCACCGCGCTGCCTAATATTTTTTAATTAAATAATAAAATACTTAAAATATTACTTTTTAAGGACTTTACTTTATAAAATTAGGCCTATACTTTAATAATTTATAGTTTAAGGTATAAATACTTACTAAAACTTATAATAAAAATATTTACTTACACTTAAAAAAGTTAAAAACTTTTTTAAAAATTATACTTAAAGTAAATATAGTAGTAATTTATATAAAATTTATTAATAAATATAACAAGACCTTAAAGGCTAAAAAAAAAAGTTTAAAGCTAGTTTTAACTTTAAAAATAAAAAAAAATAAAAATAACTTAAAATAAAACTAAAATAGTAATAAAACGGCTTTTTTTTAAAAAAAAAAAAAAGGTAAAAAAAAAGTGGTAACTTACTTTTTAAAAAGAAGAAAAAGCGTTATAAAAAAAAGGGTTTTTATTTTAATTATAGTAAATTAGGCCACTTATTAAAGGCCTATTTAAAAAAAAAAGCCTAAAAAAAATTAATAAAAAATAAATAGTAATTTCCTAGTCCTAAGTTATTAAAATTATATAATTTAAAAAAAAAGACTATTTTCCCTATTCTTGCAAATCTTAAAATATAAAAAAATAAGGTAAATTAATAATTTAAGGTATTACTTAATACTAGGGCTAATATTAATTTTATTTTAGTTTAATATTTATAAAAGCAAGGTATTAAAATAAATACTAATTATATAGTATAACTAGTTTAATATATTAATAATACCTTTACTTTTTATTATAGGCGTTTA